TGGAATACCGAACTGGCTTATTCCAAACAGCTTATCACTAGATACAAGTATATCATGCTTAGTTTCGAAAAAAAACATGAAAGTTTTAAGTATATGTATACTAACCGGTATGTTTGTACTTACATACATTGTATTGTTGATGTACCCTAACGTGGCGCGTACCCTAACGTGGCGCGGCCCCTAACGTGGCGCACTTTGATTTTTCGCCTGTAGTGCCTACCTAGAGCAAAAGTTTTAACTGAAATGTCACAGTAAACGAAAATTTAATCAAGTTCTAAATACTCCTGATCATAAATCGCGAGTTTATTTACCCGTAACAAAGTCAGAAGGAAAAATTATTTTGGCGTGATTTTCTGATTTTATTTTCAAGTGCAAAGTGAACCCTTTGAAAATAATTTTCTGACAAACATCTGGCTGGGTATGTAAGTAGAGATAACAATTATTTATCAGAATTTATCAAGTTTACAGAAAAATCTTTAGTGTTAATTTGGAATTTTCCAAGATTTATTCAAGTGCGCCACGTTAGGGAACACTCCGCCTATTTGTGCCCAATTTCCGGATGCCACCGTTTTTGAATTTCGGATTAAATTTTATGAAACTGAAATTGTTCAAAGAGGTTAAATAGCAAGCATTAATAAAGTAAAAGTACCAGTATTTCACTGCATGAATTTGAGGTTTGTCAACAAAGAGGTTTGGCAATACTACGCGAGGAAAGTTGGGTATGCTTCGAAGTGCGCCATGTTAGGGAACACGACTATACATACATCACAGAGGAGGAAGTGGCCTACATCATAGAAGCATTCAATTGTTTAAACATCTATTATTTCTGCCGTGAAAACAGTCGGTGCCCCGCTGTTGACCTCTGCGCACATATCTTATGGGTCAGGGTCAAATGGGGACACGTGTACCAGCCAAACTCTTGAGGAATGGTGATTTATGATCGGGGATAATCCCCAAGCCTACAGGATGAAAATCTCTTCAAATGATCTTTTCTGTCAACAGATCTATACAGGGATTTGCTATGTAATCCTCCATCGCACACGGCGATTCTGGAATGTTTTGTATCTTTCAACTAATTCGGGTGAAAGTTTCTGATGGGCCTGCTTCGTACATGTAAATTTCATTTTAAAAAAAAGTTACGTGTGGCACCTCTTTCAGCCAAACCAAGCAAAGAGCCGATTACAATGTACATGTAGGTGAAACCACATGCAACATCAAACTTGGGTTGTTCCAAAAAGTTTGGGAGGTTAAAAAAAAAAATTAGTAATCGATTTCAATTCCAAATTGAGGGTGATGATTCTCTCCAGGAACCAATTTTATGTCCTAGCACAGAACTTTGAAAGCACAGATAAAATTTGTTTAGCAAAAAACAGGTTACCAGCCAGTGTCATGCAATGTTTATTGCTTTTGACTGATACTCGTGAACGTAAACTAACGATTACGAAAAGAAAACACAGGGGGCTGTCATACATGTTCATGTAAATAGGTTTTATACTGCACAAGTACCCAAAGGGAAATGAACGTGTGACACCTACCGGTACATGTAAATTAGCCCAATAATGTCATTTTTGAATGAGGCGCAAGAAAGCGTTGGCACGGACTACAAGGATTTTTTCGACCACCTCGCACCAAAAAAATGGGTCAAGTTGGACATAAAGAGGCCAACACATGTACAACACAACAATGGGTATACATGTACATGTAGTTCTTGAGCTTTCACCTTTACAACTAGGTCAGGAAGCTCAGGGAGAGAAGTGGTGGGGAGAGAAGTGGTAGGGAGAGGGGGGAGGGGGAGGGGGAGGGGAAGGGGAGGGAAGTGGCTGGGCACGCAGGCAGATAACCTAATTAAGACCTCCATGTCTATACAAATGTCAATGAGTTTAAATCACAAAAACAATCCGGACATGTTCTAATTAGGATTTCAAGAATGAACACGCGCCTGGGACTGGTTTCTGCCTCAATCTGATGACGTAAAGTGTGGCTTACCTGGGAGGGAATTGGGAGGTTGACTCATCTGGAATCCAGACTAAAGAGGCCCGGGAGACTGTTTTGTGACGTGAATCGAACCCGTCCCCGTGGAGTGGGGATCGCGCTTAGCAGGGTGAGCAACAAATCAGGCACCCACGTGGAAGTGATATTCAGAGACATTTCAATAAATATAAGAGCAAGTGGCACATTACCTGGGTTACATTATCGGCTGTGATGTAAAAAGTAGTCCAAAGCTTTTTGTAAGCTCAGGGGGTGCAGATGGCGAAGCTCAGGGTATCATCACTTCGCCTGTCATATGGGATTTAGTGTGGTACCACCAGCTACCGGTACCATACTTGCCATTGCAACTATTGCATAGCTGGGAGTCTAGGAGCTGATCTTAGTACTTCCGCACTTGCGGATAAGCTCTTTTGACTTCCCAGACACATTGGAACAGACCAATGAAATTTGGTTCATTTATACATATACATGTATGTACAGTGTATCAGGTCTCCAATGATGTAAAGGTCTCTTGTTCCAGAAAAGGAATTTACTTGTTCAGCAGAAACAAGCAGCAGCAATATAAATTGTTTATGTACCTGTATTTCATACATAACTTTTTGCTGGTATACATGTACATGATGTATGTAAAACTTTTGTAATTAATGCATTTGATATTTCTGAAGTAGGAGCCATACAAATGTAATATTAAAGGCATACTGGTAGATTCATAGACTTTTATCCTAAAAAAGTAACATACAGGTACCAAATTATTATCAAAAAGCTTACTTGGATTACAGATCCTACGGGTACTAAACATGGCTTGCTGTCACTAAGTAGAATTCAAGAAAATTTATGATTTCCAATGATCTGTCAACTGATTGATATTTGGGAAACAAAGAGTGCTATTGTCGACATCTGTTTTGTGATCGAAAGGTTGTGCATGGTTGTTTTCACTGTTTTCTGGATAAGTGTAATATCCACTGAGCTGAAACTTAAACAGGTTAGGTTTTGCACATTCTTCGTTGGATTTTGAGTGGAGTTAATATTGGAAACAAAAAAAAAGATGCCTCAAAAGCAAATGATCTATGAAACTTAACCAGGAAAAGGTTATATTTAACACTACTTACCGCTAAATTTCTATTTCTGAGGCAGCCCCTAAAGTGACACACCCAGCCCCAGCTGGTCTCAAACAGAGTATAAGGGGTTTCATGTTCGGCCTTTAAATACCAAAGAATGAGGCCAGCTTGACTTAAGGAGATTATCGGCCAGAGAGAACACTGTTGACCCAATCGGCCTCACAATGGGTGACTTTCATGTAATGCCTATAATGGATACAGCACGTGGAATGATATGATACAGATACATGTAGCAGTCCCGTCAAAAGATCTGGAAGCATTTTTTTTTATTCCTTGATGCTGATGGTAATTTGATTAGTAACAAGTTACGGTGTAAACGGACACATATGGCTATCACTATCAGATGGTTGTTGTACAGGGATGAAGTACCCTCCTGCTGTCTGAACAGTCACTGACAGTCAAAAAGTCAATCCTTCTCCCCTACCATGCCTTTTACACAGGCTAGTCTCAAACAGTCAGATCATGTATGTTGTATTTCTGTAAGCACTGTGACTAGTCAAATTCAGTCAGACAAAAGCAGGTACCTGATAGGCACAGCTGGCTTATCAATCAAGCATAGCTGTATCAGGTTACATAAACAGTCACAGTCAGTCAATCCTGCTTTGTGCAGGCATGGAGCTCTTAACTGTTTTAACCCTCCTGCTATTTAAGCAGTCACGGACAGTCAAAATTCGATTCCACTTCCCCTACTACCGGTATACTTTGTCTAGTCAAACTGGGTCAACAGACAAAGCAGGCAAGTTACGGTTACAGCTGTTTTATCACTCTTCTAGAGTCAAAGCATACATGTAGCTGTATCAAGTTACTTAAACAGTCCAAGGCAGTCAATCCTGCTTTATGTGGGCTGGGAATTCTTACGGGATGTAAGCAGTCACTTGATTGATTTTGACTGGAGGGACAGCTTGGTCCAGTGAGTGAGTCAGTGAGAGAGGCAGAATGTGTACAAAGAGGACGTGGGCACTTCATATGAATCATTATTACCCCTGCTTTCCCTGCCAATAAGGCAATATACTGAGAATTAAAGACTACACCTATGTACATGCACAAGTACACCTCAATTATGACACTGAGAGATATTACGGGCACTCACACATGTGCATCCAGTGCTTGGGTGGTTTGGGGCAATAAAGGGAGTATAGGCAGGGCGGTTTGGGGCGGTACAGGGAACAGAAGGTTGATATTGATGACTTTGTTGTGTCATTCAACTAGCAGTCACTGTCAAGTCACCGTCATCACAAACCATGTGTTCATTTTGTAAATCGCAGTTGTGCATAAATAGAATCATACAGATCATATGCCAATAATCTGCATGTGGTAAATGCACCTCAGAACCATCTGTCGGGCACACTCCACATCAAAACCATATGCCGTCCACAATTTGAAATATTCCATATTGTCGCAACTGTACTCAATGCGGTTGCTTTTGCAGATGACTGATGTCAAAAAGAGACTCACAAATCCCTTGTTTGTCAAGACATTGATTGACTTTGTCTTTTGACAAGGAGGATATGATCTGCGCTACAACCAATTTGATTTCTTCTCCAAATGAGAGTTGCAGCCGTGGTTGTAGAAGCTACATTCTACAAGATAAATAAAATCCACTTAGTCGATTGATGGTTCTCGCCCTAACTTGCTCCTGTATTAGTCCCTTGAAATAAAAAGATGAATAATTTGGACCTACAATCCTGGCCCAATCATGCTGGGCCCCCAACCCCGCGGCCCCTGATCAATGTTGTCTCTCATTGCGCGGTGTGTGCTCCATCAGCTGGAGAGAACAACATTGACCAGGGGAGCGGGGAGTGGGTGACCGTGGGAGGCTAAGGTTATTTTCAGAGTCCCAACCATTTCGGCCGGGATTGTAGGCCAGTCAGGCTATCAAAATAAGAGACTAACCTTGGTCCAATCTGGAGTTGTCTTCGACCAACCGCCAACCGGCCGACAGGTCCAGGTGCTCAAAAGCCGCCGTCAACCGCTCGTCCAGCGTGGACATGTCCTCCTGCCACAGGTCAAAGCGTTCTGACTTGATGGACGAGGGGTTGGCCAGGGCCATCGGGTCGTAGACGCTGGAGGCCAGGAAGTGGGCCAGGTAGTACGTGGAGTTCTCGATGTAAGATAGGGCGCCCTCTGCCAGGAGGTCCACCGCTCCGTCTTGGGAGGTGTAGCAGGAGAGACGGACCGTCTCAAAACAGTCATGTCCTGAACCACGAAAAAGACAGAATATTTATAATATGAACCTATTCTATGGACTTCGTGGACAGATACCCCTCAAAAATTGTCAAAAAGCGCCATCCACTGTTCGCACACGGAGTCCATAGCAATTATCATAGAATGCACTCAGTAGGACTTGCAATTCTTAGATATTTGACTGTATACTGCACAGCCATCACAGATTTGTCCTTTGAATAAGTATGGGTAGAATAACAAGCAATTTTCAAATTTTCAAAATGGCTGCCATTGCTTGTTATTCTACCTATATTTTTTTTAAAGGACAAATGTGCGATGGCCCTATAGCCAAATATCTTTTTTAGGACATACATTTGTACTCTGACTACGAGCTTAATTCAATAACTTGTATCATAAAAGGCACAATCCCATCACTTATCTGCTGTACTGACAGATACATACATGTACATGTACAAAGACACAGGTTCCCTTGCACTCTAATGTGGGTTAATATTTCTTCTGTTTCATTTTTACTTTCATTTTAAATTCTGGGACTCAAAAAAAACCAACCACTTGACGAAAATGAAATAAATTTAGTTCCTCTTTGTTGACATACATGTACATATGTCTGTTTATTTGCATAGGGAGTATGCTTCTATTCTGTTTACACAAGTGACTTCAAGCACGCATTATGACTGCCACTCAAAAATATTTCTACCATACTGGTACATGTACATTGTACATTTACATGGCATTTTTTTAATTGCATACTATGGACTACAATTTGTTGTGTGGCAGAACAAGAATTTCTGTTAAATTAGGTTTTGCCCTTCACCGACGTTTAAACACTGTATACTCAGTGTGTTACCTCCCGAGTGAAAGATGGAAAAAATCACTCGGGTGGGACTCCAACCCACGACCTCCTGCCTTCTAAAAAAAAAATAATAATAATTCCATCTTATAATAGTTTATGCGGTACCCGCTGCTATGTACATCAGATTCGAACCAGCCAACCGATCCCGTTAGCTTGGTGGTCGAGTGGTAAGACATCTGCACTAGAAGGCAGGAGGTCGTGGGTTCGAGTCCCACCCGAGTGATTTTTTCCATCTTTCACACTGAGTATACTGTGTTTAAACGTCGGTGAAGGGCAAAACCTAATTTGATTTATATCACCCCGACGCAAAAAAAATACCATCTTATAATAAGAATTTCTGTGCAAATAATTCAAGATTCCAGGTGCTCATTTAAAGAGGTTAAGGTGTGGAGGACCAGTTGGGACCAGGGGCGGGGGAGGGAGGGGGCTGGGGGATTGGTCGATAGATCCCCAGTTGTTGGCATGATCAAGTAGGATACATACACATTGTTTATCACTCACATAAGGCTTTGGCGAATTGTAATTACTCTGTCTAAAACATTTCTGACACTACCGGTAAAATGGTCAATTTTTGTGAGGTTCACTACTGGTGCATTAAAATATTTAACACAGTTTTTTTTTAAATTCTGTCAGTTATCAGAACAGTACAATATACAATGACAAAAGACTTATTTCATTACGAATAAAAAAATTGAAAAGATAGCTTTGGAAATGCTTTTGGTTCCTCTAAATATAAAGTCAAGTTGGGTCAGCGAAACCAATCCTACTTCCTGCTTTCCAGACGACTATAAAAACATTCGACTGTTTCAAATGCAAATCACTCTATTCATGTAAAAGCTCTCAGCATATATCATGAAATAATTTGTGATGCATTTCAACTGCTTTCAGATGCTTTAATATACAGTTTTGTTTTGAGATTAAACTGGAAGCTCACTTTATAGTTGTCACTTGAAATAAACCTTAAAAAAAGTCGCACTTTTATAAATTTTCTGTGTGGAAAATTCATTTGTTAACCTGATTTTCAAGCTGATTTTAAGCTCTGGCATGAGCTTCTACATGTTACTTGGTGGTCGGTCCATCTGTCCCCGGAAAATTGACCAAAATAAGCCTCAGGCTAAGTTTCCCATAAAAATATAACTACATGTACCAAATTTTAAACAAAAGCAAACAAAATAAATTAAATACTTGAACAAAAATTGTTTGTAACTATTCGGAAAGATGTTTATGAAAAGTTTGTATTGGAGGCAAAACATGTGGAGTAATTTTATTGTCACATCATGGTATTTACAATGTATCACAAATCGCTATAAATCTAGGTATAAATCTAGAGTATGGTGTTCCATATGTTGCATTGGCATTGCATATTGGGGCGTCGCATTTTTAAGTTCCGGCAGGGATAATTTTGATAGATTTCATGCCAGACTTTCATGCCAGAGCTTATTGTGCACTCGCACTTATTTTTATTAGCCCTAACTCCCTACTTAGTTTTACATGTACTACGGGACTTAGAAGACCATGTCCATCAAAATCCATCAGTCACTCAGCTTCATATAATGCTTCAGGACCAAATCCATTAAAATCCACCACTGGTGCTGGTAGATTTTGATGGACTTGGCACACATAACATGGCTTATCTGCCAAAATCCCCCAAAATGGGGGGACGGGTTTTTATAGAGTCGGTAAGGTAAGTTAATGTACCATTTTACAACATTTGTGACAACTTTTAACAACTTAGATATTTTCGATCCTAAAAATGACTAGAATAAAGGCAACATTTGAATTCTTTTCAAAGAGATTCCAAAAGTGGGGGACACAAATCTCACAATATTGCAGTGTCATATGCAGCTTTCACTTTACAGATATTTGCATGCAGTTGTATCTTTTTCACACCAGGGGTGTAATTTTGGGAAAACAAAAATCCACGGAAAATATATTTTGCAGAGCCCCAGAGCAACTCAGATCTACATTCATGTATTTCTCTAAAAATGTGCCCCCAAAAACTGCCCGTTCCAATTCTTTCGAATTAACCTTTGACCAAACAAGAAAAAATACAGTGATGAAAATTTCTTAATTAGGCTTTTCTAAAATCTATAAATCTAAAAAAAATCTGGGAATATCCCACTCCTGTCACACAAGTCACATCACTACATGTAAGTCATGTGAGATGTTACTCGTACGGGGGTATAACCAAACTTTATAAAGAATGGTTTACTCAATCCACTGGCTTTTAGGCTTTGTTTTTACCTGGAATGATAGCCTTGAAGGAGTTATAATCCAGCCTGCGTGCCACGGTGACGTGCCTTGACTTGCTGCCCTCAAATACCAAGAAGATCTCCGCATCTTCGCTAAGAAGGTCACTGGTCTCGGAGAATACAACCCCAATCTGGCTGCCACCCTGCAAAGGAGAAATGAAAATATAATTAGGACTAACAAGTACCATTTGTGGCTGGGCCAGAAGGGAGGGCCTACTGAGTTCTGACTGAGTGACTCCCCGACTTGAGTGATTGAGTAACAGCCTGACCTAATGGCTGACTGAGTAACTGAGTGACAGAGTGATTGACTGAGTGACACACTGAATGACTGAGTAACTACGTGATTGAGTGGCAGCCTGACCAACTGACTGACTGACTGAATTACTGAGTGACAGCGTGATTGACTGAGTGACAGACTGATTGACTGAGTGACAGACTGAATGACTGAGTAACTAAGTGACTGAGTGGCAACCTGACCAACTGACTGACTGAGTAACTGAGTGATTGACTGAGTGACAGGCTGAATGACTGAGTAACTACGCGACTGAGTAACAGCCTAACCAACTGACTGACTGCATAACTGAGTGACAGCGTGATTGACTGAGTGACAGACTGAATGACTGAGTAACTAAGTGACTGAGTGGCAGCCTGACCAACTGACTGACTGAGTAACTGAGTGGCAGAGTGACTGACCGAGTGACAGAGTGACTGACCGAGTAACAGACTGAATGACTGAGTAACTGACTGTGTGAGTGACATACTGACAGACTAAATCACTGAGTGGCAGACTGAATGACTGAGTGACAGACTGAGGGATTGACAGACTGAATGACTGAGTCACTGATCGACCGACTGATTGAGTCACTGAGTAAATGACTGAGTCACTGAGTGAATGAATGAATCACTGAGTGAGTGACTGAGTGACAGTGTGATTGACTGAGTCACTGACCAACCGACTGACTGAGTCACCGAGTGAATGACTGACTGAATAGGAATAATGTCTTGAATGGAGGTTTTGGGGGCCAGCTCAACGCATAAAATGCAAACAACATTTCTCTGATCTTGGGTTTCTGTCGCAGAAATGTCTTGGTTATCATTTTGACACCCTGAAATCAATTTCCAACACCACAATTTGTCCCACAAATGAATCAAACTTTTCAAAATAAATTGAATACACTGTACCCAGTTTTCCATGTACTGACTAAAGCACTGAGTTTCAAGATCAAGTTGTTTATGTGGATCAGGAAATCAAATCACGTTTGAAAATTTCACCCGTGGGGGAAGGGTCTTTAATGATCTCTTATGAATCCTTGACATAAACATAAATAATATACAATTATATATTTAATGTTAATATACTTTTGAGATTGATGACAATTACAAATTGGGAATCGATTATAAACTCTCCTGTGCAATTGTGCATTACAACATATTATTTAATTTGGAATCTGAGAATGTTTGGCACGCTGAGGATGTCTCTGATACCGCAAACCATCTGGATAAGCTTCGGCCATGAAAATCAGGACGAGTAGGCCTACTGTCTGTGAACCACGTGGCAGTCGTCAAAACAAAACTCGTTCTCTCAAGTTCCTGTCATGAGAGAGACAGAGGGCTGGTGCACTTGTCCTCAACACAAGAAATAAACCAACGGGTAGGTTTCAAGGTTTCGGGATGTTATTTGGAAGGTATTTTAATTGCCCGATAAGTCTCCCCCACATTTGTCACAGTGCAACATAGGAGAAGGGGAAAGGGATAAGAAAGACGATTACAACAGGATGATGAAATACAGTAAATTAAAATTAACCACAACAAATTGTACAAAAACATGAAAAGAATAAAACACGCATTTTGTTACGGAGGGGTGAAAACCAGGGATAGTGTTTTCATTTGTTATTTTTTGGTAATTTTCTTAGTAATTTTTGGTAATTTTGGGTGGTTTTTTTTTTCATTTTAGAGGATTCTAAATTTTATGTTAGAGGGGTTAACAGTGTCTTTCTCAATTTTGTAAGTTGTACTCTGGTACCTCACAATGTTCATACATGTACAGCTTATTTTAATGGAATTCCCATGACAGAAGACCAAATAAACTGGACAGGAAACAAGCTGCAAGTTTGCTTTGTGCTACATGTTATTGCTGGGGTTCATGACATTCATGAGGAGTAAAACGATTGATGTTCGAAACAAAAAGATTTCTGTAGGAATAAAGAGGATTTTTTTTGGGGGGGGGTGCGTGGCAGGGGAGGGAGTGTTGTGGGGAGGGGCTCATTGAGATTACAAACAAAACACGACTAAAGAAAAAAAGAAACTGCTATTTTGTCTAATTAAACTTAAAAGTTTTAGGAAAAAGACATGTAAGCTACAAAAGGTTCCAAAACAATGATGAAAATAATAATTGTCTTCAAAAATTTGTTGAGACCTGAGACAGAAAAAAAAAATTCATTGTGCTCCTGTCCACTGACAATAATAAATACTTTCTTTCTATGACTGACATCATCTGCAGAATAAATTTGTCCACCCCTGCAAGAACGAACGCAAAGGCTTTGGACATCAGTACTTTCTTCGATACATTTCAGTTAACCTTCTTTAAAAGGCTTCAAGGCAGCTCTACCTCAATTCAAGATTGCAAACGGTCAACGTGAACTTTTCCACCCGGATGGCCTTTGCAGAAAACACCCGACGCGACATTTGGCGTAATCTTCGTCTGAGATATGACGCAGGCATGAAATGCATTAACAGGCATCATTCCCAACTGAACATGACAGAGCATGTGTGTTACAACTAATCCCCCCCCCCCCCCCGGAGTTCAGTGCCCTGACACTAACATTCTCGTACCAATTTTACCTTGCCAAAATGCACAAATACAAAAAGAGGAAAATGTAATGGGCATTAGTCTGCATGAAGTCGCCTCAATGTGCCCCTAACTGTAACCGACCGTACGGCCGAGAGAAAATTACCCACAGATAATTCCATTCATAAATGAAAAAGTTCTCATACAAATCATGCAGCTGATTGAAACTGAAGCGTAATGATGCTGAACATACAGTGAATTTGCAGAGATTAGGCTTGGGGAATTCACCATAGAAAATTACCCGGTAGTAATGAAAACACATACAATGTACACCACTATATCACAAATGTTTAAGTTAAATTGTCGAGTATACGAATGTAGATTGCTAAAAAATATTGTACATATATATACATACATTGTAACATTTAAAGGCACCTAGGAACATTATTTATTAGAAAAAAAGGAGCTTTCTCAAAGACAAAATGACTTGGGAACAGTAGCAAACAGGCAAGAGACACAAATTAATTAACACATTTTTATTAAATTTGTAAATATAAATGTTAGATTATGCCATGCCAGAAACAATTACTATTTGGCAGTTTGATTGATGGCCAATGCGTAATGATGAGTGCAACTCAAATAAAAGTCAATGCTCAGCATTTTTTTTCGTTGCTTTCTTTCGAGTCCGAATTTTATTTGTTGGAAATCTAACATGGAGTTTTTGAACATCGGAAGACTTTCAATTCGATTTTACAACTGAAGCTCAGATATGCCGTCTTATTGGAGCTCGACGGAAATACATTGTACTTGGTGGAATGAATACTGCATGTCGGACAGAAATCTGAAAAAAAACTCAGTGCAACCAACCAGACACAGAAGGAAGTCCTGAAAGAGATTGAATTACTTACATAAATTGGTGATTCCTGTGGTGAGAAAGCCATGTGGCAGTTTTCCCCTGTAAAAATCAATCAAACAAATAAACATTGCTTTAATTTCAGAAATTATAAATTTACATGTACATACTGAACATGTACATGTACAGTATGTTGCAATAAAACATATATATACCGGTATAGAACCAATCATGAAATTCTTTTATTAGTCGAACCAATTGTGCCCCATCAAATTTAAAGGTGAGACACAACATTTGCAAACATCTCAAAACGAAATGATCAAATTATCACAAAATACCTTACTGGATTGTTAGGGAATGACAGTCTAAAAGCATCCTGTAAAATCGTGGCTCCTGGTGTGCCAACATTTTCAAGAAAAATTGTATATTTCCAACGCTGGTCGGCCGACCAGCGATGGAGAAAACTGGCATTTTTCAAAAACTGCTTGCAAACTCTTTGCTGCAAAAACTGCAAAACTATTTGCAATTGATTACACACCTGTGAAGGGGTACAAGCCTGCTAGACTGATTCTCTGAACTTACAATTCCCCCAAAGTCTATAAATTCTCCGTTTCATCTTAAGTGGGGTCAGGGAACCAGACTACAAGAAAATGAATGATTTTCTTGGTTTTTCCAGCATATACAAGTCCAAAACGTGAAACAAGTCATTTTATCAATATTTGCTTTAACATACTAATCCTCCAAATCCATTTGTTTCTGAAAATTGAAGCAAAAGCAAATGTTGTACATTCCCTTTAACTGTACGCTGTACGTTTGAGCATGGAAGTAGTAAAACTCTTTTTTAACATGTTTGGCATGTACATGTACATGTATGAATATGTACATCTACATAAAAAAAAAATGACAAAAAATACCATCTGTTAGTTTACATACTGAAATTCAAAGGGTAGCGTAAAGTCAGGAAGACACATTGACACTTTTACTGCTGAAAATAAAACAAAAAACAGGAATGTTTACATTTATTCAGAGAATATGCGAGGTGTGTATGTTTATTCAAGCTATTTCAGTTATTTTCATGGAACCAAAATTTCTTGTTCGCCTTTTCTTGCTTTTCTTACAAATGAACTCGGCTGCACAGAACTGTGTGCACTCTAGGACCAGCTTCATACGCTTGCCTTGTTGTTGTTGTTTTCTATCAGCTGGACCACGGCTGGACCTTGCATATTTTTATCTTTTTTCAATACACACCGTGTTGTTTCATAGGTGGAGTCACCAATGTAGCCAATCTGTGGTGTAACTCAATATAACTGCCCAGATTGCTGTTACTTGGTTGCCATGGCAACAGGTCGCAAGTGGGTCAGCCTGGCAGGGGGAGTTATGCACCACGCCAAGGCCAGTAATATCAAGATACTGGCAAGATAATACAATGGTTACTACAGTAGCAAATGCAAATTGCACCTAAAGGTCATCAATTGTTTTTATGTCTTATAAAAAAAAAGAATTTGAATTGTACGGTACTTCGTCCAGTCTGGTGCTGTATGAGTACAAACATGATCCCTGCATTTGTTAAAATCTTGACAACTCAACAACTTTTTTATTTGGAACTAAAATCTGCATATGAGGCAATACCAAGCATTGCAATATTTTTATTTACATAAATACATACTGTACATGTACATCTATACTGTAAACTGTACATGAACATGTTGTTCTACAAGTATATCATCATACATGTACATGTACACTACATCTTACAGTACATTGTACATGTTTGTTTTTACGCAGTATGCATGTAAAATTTGCATCACTACCCATACATAAAGTGACCTACATGTACATGTACCAAATCAAAACAATTCATGTACATGTATGTAGTTTCCTTTGGTGTTTATTCCAGTGAACTACATGTACATGCAGTCCTGTTTTACCATTACATCTGAGGACAAGGCGTTGTCTTTCCCTTTGGTCCTATACAACACTCTCCCATAGACTAAGCACACACACTTGCATTCGAGGACAACAAAGAATCTGTTATTCTCTCTTATTTTTTGTTACTGTCCTCAGGATGTACCGGTATCTTGCTCTATGGTAAAAACAAGAGCAATACCTGTACTGCAAGTTGTATACATACGTACAGGGGTACACAATACATACATGTACATTGTACAAGATACAATGTACATGTACAATGTACAATACATGTATGCATGCACCACTATAAAAGACAACATCATTTTTTTCGTGTACATATAATGAACAATGTCCATTTGAACCCAACTATTGTAATGCACCCTGCCATGGCACAGAGCAGTGCATGAGTTCACATCATGCATAATGCACACATTTTCCCAGCCACTGAGCTGTTATTTGACTCTGCATGCACACCCACGGAGGAAAGGGGCCACCCTATTTGACATCTGCTGGTAACATGATGACGCTTCCCCATTGTGATACATGGGCCTGAATGCCAAACTGGTGGTAGCTCTATGGAAAGACCACAGACCAAATTTCAGCATTGAATGTGTACAGTACATGAATGATGTGTGTACTTGTACGTGTACAGAGTGTACATGTACCGGTACGATCCTATACTTTGGCCTAGAACTAGAACATTGTATTTTTACTGATAGCTGATTCTAACTCTAAGTAATGAATTTTTTTTCTCTCGAATACACAAGATTAGGCAAGCCTAGTAAAGCTGGTCCCAGAGTTCACAAAGTTGTAATCAATTGAAAACCTGTATCCTCTTTGAGTGATCCCCGTTTGCAGCATTGTTCATGTCGCTAGCATCGTGACTTTGGGAGTGATCCCTTGCTACATGGCATACATGTCATGCATGTACAAACGTGTATTATGGCTTCTGACTAGCGCCCCTTGAACAAAGAAATAAGACAAAATGGGGAACCACCAACATGTAGGCTGGATACATAATTGTATGTAGTTCAGTTGGTAGAGTACCAGACTGGCAATCCCGAGTCCGCAGGTTCAAACCCTGCTGGAGTGAATTTCGAAGTTCAGCTTTTAAAAATCTATTTCCCATGTGTGTCAGAACAACTTTTGTGCATAGTATGTAAATGTATCTGAAGTGCATTTGGCAGTTCAAAATTGGTTTTGCTTGGTTTATTTATGTCCAACCCTTTTGAGTAAATACACTGTATTTCACCCTCTGATATTTGGTACGCAAACATTATTTTTGTTTGACTACATTTACATGTAGAGGTGAAGGTTTTGACCCACAACCACTGACACACTCCACTCCAGCAAGTGGTCTGAACTGGTGCAAGTACGCGTAAGGGTGGCCTCAGGTCGACCTGCGATCTGCTTGCGCCGCGACGGAACCGTCGGCATCAAGCAGGAAAGTAACGCAATGCTCAGGTCACAAAACTGAGAAATCGTGTAATTCTCATAGAACAAGCAGCATTTCAACACAAAATAATCGCAACCATACTCATGTCACCCACAACGCCCATTCAATTTCAATCATTTTTACTGGATGTATAAGTTGTAAATATTGAACAGCAATATCCCTCTCTTTATTGATATTTACGAATTCAGGAAAATATCAAAGCTCATTACATGTACCTCGAAAATTCCCAATTCGTGGCCAGGCTATTGCCATTTTGCAATAGGCTGGTTGAGGGCAAACATTACCGTTGTGAGTTTGAATTGAAAAGGCGGGATTCGACCTATTGACGTCATGCATATAATTTACATACATTTACATTACACGGAATTCTGTGTAATGTATGGAAGATTCACCGCTAGTTACAGAACCCCATTTCAGAAGTCCGAAGGACAATGGGGTCAGGGAACAAGACTAACAAATTTCCCCTAAAATATTCCCTTTTGCAGTTCCCCTCACCTACGGCATGTACACATGTCACCTATATACAGGCCAAGTACATGACCTCCAAAATTAAGTAAACAGCCCTGTTATAGATTTCTCCAAAATATAAACAATGTTTTCTTCTTGCTCAACAAGGCTTGACAATGGCATACATGTAGCTTTTTTCAAGAATGGACTCAATTCATTCAGAGTTAATGAATCACAATGGAAAGAAGGCTAGTACTGTTTATCGAGCAGTTGCTTAAAGTAAACATTGGCTACACTCTTTTGGATTCCGATTTCGCTTTTTGACTTTTTATAAGGGTGCCACCTCGGAAGGCATTTTCCACCGTGAAGCGATGTTACGAAATGTACATTTTTATAATTTTCAAATCTGAACCAAGACGTTGACAAAATGAAAAACCACCAAACATACATGTAGGGCTGGATAGCTCAGTTGGTAGAGTACCGGAACAGCAATCCGGAGGTCCCAGGTTCAAACCCTGCTTCAGTCAACTGCTTTGTTCAACTTCCTAAAATTTTGAAAGGAATGCCTCCCATTATTTACATAATTAGCACTTTTTTGATACAGATGGGTCTTTCCATACATTTCCATGCTAAATCGTTTCGAACAATATCGGGCTCATCCATTTCTTGTAAACCTGGGGATTTTATTCCCTTTTTTTTTAACGGATTACAGCGCAATTTTGTTTGATGCAACGCCCATTCAAATGAACATTTTGTAATTCCAACTGCAGGAGAGAACCTCAACATGAAAACACCTCATGGCAACCTCAACACCTCTGGGTATTTTAAACCTCATGAGTTTAATTGAAAGATAAAAAATGAAGTACATTCGTGCCAACAAATAAGTCAGCAATAAAACTTCTTTCCCCACGCTCTCACAGGTTTTCAGTTTCATACACATGTACATTCTGCATTTTTATTTCAGAGCCATCAAACATTCATGTTCAGCTCTCAATGCCTTTGAACTCGACATCTGTTCTTGTTTAAAATACTCTCACCATAAGGGTCAATTGATAGACTGTGCACATAAAAAAGTCCAATACTATACAAAATATGTGCTGTGGGTGTGTAAGCCTATGTACATGTACTGATGTACTTCAATTACTCCCCCACATTTTGTCTCAGACAGGTTGCAAAAAGATTACATGTATGCATTAATACTACTAGACAACTTTGGGCCATGAAATCGGTCTGCAGATGATAACGAGTGGTCAGATATTTTAATGGACACAGTTGTACCCTGTTATTTTGTCGTCATTATAATCACAGTTGTAGGCATTACAACTACTAAAAGATCTTCGAAATAAAGTTTTCGCAAACTAACAAAACTTGATGCCAGGACTCTAGACCAACCTAAAGGCTTCAGTTCAATTCCTAAGGCCCAGCAAAAACAAAACAGTTTCTCATCCAGACTTTTTGAAAACTTTAACGAAGGAGACACATCATCCCTCCCCTCCCCCACATTATTAAGATGGTGGATTTTCTATGACAGATGGATTCTTCCATTTTCTCGACCCTTTTGCCGATACAAAATTGTGTCCGAAGGGGCCGTCACCCTTTCTCCACAGCTACAATTTTGTTGGAGACAAATTAACAGACAATATACCGGTAGAGACAAAATTTGAAAAATATATTACAGATCCTAACCCTGCTGAATCCAACAGGATCTAACTATATCAAAAACCCGTTGGAGCCTGTTGGACCATGAGCAGTAAACCCCTGGTACACATTCAGAGTCGGATTCCGTTGGGTACTGATAAACATCTCCAAGTTGGACTCTGTTGGATCCAGCAGACAACTAAACATTAGGCACAGTTGGATTCTGATGGATTCTGTTGGATTGAGCAGGAAGTAACCGTTGGACTCTGTTGGATTTAGCAGGGTAGTCCTGAGGAACCCTCAGCGGGTAAGGGTTAAAAAAAAAAAAGAAGAAGCAGAAGGTCGGAGGGAAAAAGGAAGCCGGCAGGGGCGGGAAACAGGTTTTTTTACTTGGCCTCTCAACAACCACTCACACAATTAAAAGTTGAAAAACACACAGATTTTTTTGACCGACCATATTATAAAATCTGACCGTTACACAAGCCCTATGCCACAATCAAGAGAGAGAACAAAACAGAAAAACAAAAATCCAAGAAATCTATACTACTGGTGCCGTCACAGTTTTGACCCATGCTGTGTCTATTATTACACTATTCAGCAGCCAGTCAAATATCAAGTTTGTCCTAAGAATACCCGTGTATTTATATCCCGCTTGTAACACCAGGGGATTAGGAATTTGGCGGCATTGTGTCGTGGGGTACTTCAAATATTTTTCTTTCTTTTTTAAAGCAACAATGGAAAGTGCTCTGTGGGTTTGGTTTTGGGTTCAGCTATCTCGGATCTGAAGACAACTTACATACAGTAACTTCTTAAACGTCCGTGGGCTTAAAACTTACAACGTTTAAATTGTGTACAGTAAAACTTTAATGAACTAATTTAAAAATAAACTAAAGCTGGACAGACTTTTTGAGGGACACTTTCATCTGGAACAAAATGTTAAAAAGTAGAATTGTATTTCCATGTCACACAACTATTCCTTGAAAACTTAAATTTTTATGCTTTTTATGTGATTATTACGTGAATTAATTTTGGGGTACAAAAATTTGATTCTAGGTCGTGCCCTAGTTGTCATTTAGGTTAGGCCAACAAAAATAATAGTTCTGCTTCCGGTTTTCCTTCCAACCCTTTTCTGACAGCCCCTACCCTAATTTATTTTAGGGTAAAAAATGAGAAAAACACCCAAAACCATCAATTTCTACATGTACCTTTTACCCTTGACTACACGCAGATGCCTCCATATGATCGTACACAAAAAAATTGCCAAAAAAACAAAATTCCCTACCTACGTGTACATACATGTACATTACCTACCCTATTTTTGAATGTCATGTAATCGGAAGCAGAACTTTTCTTTTTTTTTGCCTTGGGTTCATTTCTCAATCTTTACAATCGTAGCACAGCGAGTCGCAGGTGCCAAGATTGTGTGATCAAATAAGAAACAGCTAATTAACAGTTATCTTTCTAAATCATCCTTCAAAATGCAAAAAAATATAATATACAGCACGCTTTTATCTTCTCAGTCAAACACACACACACAAATTGCAAAAGTATGGGTAAATACATTTTTGAATGTTTTCGTCCTTCCATTCAATTGAATGTATATTCTGTTATAGCGGAAGGCAGACTATTCGTAATCTGATTTCCTGTTAAAAATGCCAGATGTCATGAAGGTGTCATCATAATTTATTTCAACAACAGTGTATACGTATATCATTACAAAGAATGCGAACTTTGTTCATGAATTTTACTTGTCAATAATCTACTTCTAATTTAATAATCTACTTCTAATTTTTTATTGCTGAGCACATACCTCAGCTGCATTTGCACGTGAGTGTCTAGCTGTGGCAACACCTTTCAGAATGTCATAAGCTTTCAGAACGCAATTTTTATATAAAAAAGGTCTTTTTTCCCTTTTTTGTTTCAGTACATTTCACCTACGAATATTCAAATTGTAAGATAGACATATTCAATAATCAATCGAATATTCAAATACTGGAATATTCCGCACAGCCCTCATTGCATGAGCTACATGTATGTGTGTAACAATATTGTACTTACCGGTACTAAAAAGAACAGTGCACTGATTTATCTTTCCTACTTGGAAACCTGATAATTTAACCCCAACTCCCTACTGACTTTTACTGAGAACAGACCAAGGATCACTGACTCTGCTTTACATAATGCTTCAGGACCATAACTGCCGAAATCAACTACAAATCCACCACAGCTATGGATGGATTTTGATGGACTTGGTACTTGGGCCAAAAGCAAAAAATTGTTCTGCTTCCGATTATATGGATTCGAAAATACATGTACATGTAGGGTACCGTAGGTACAATGTATGTACACACACATGTAGAGAATTTGTTTTTTTTGCCAATTTTGTTTGTGTACGATCATATGGAGGCGTCTGCATGTAGTCAAGGGTAAAAGGTAGAAATTGATGGTTTTGGGTGTTTTTCCCCCCTTTTTTTCCATTAAAAAAATTGGGTAGTGGCTAGGGTAGGTAGCAAAACCGGAAGCAGAACTTTTTTGGGGGGGGCCTCATGGCTTGCCTACCAGAATCTCACTAAATGGGAGATGGATTTTGACGGCAGAAGAGTTGGGAAGGTTAGGGCTATGTACATGTACATTTACATTTTTTATATTGTACCACAATTTATTTTTCTACATTCCAGACACCCTTACAGTTAATATTCAAAACGGGAAATACCATTGGAACGGGGACAAACATGAGCATAAAATGTCACCACACCCCCACACTCAACACTGAGTATACAACTTTTACAAGAACCTCAAGGCCATACACCTACAAATGTACATAACTGACGGCAATAAAATCAGCTGCTTTATTTTCCCTTTTATTGTCCATCTATTATTGAACCCCCGGAACCCATGAGTACAAAAGAGCCAACTTACATTGTTGATCTGTCCGTAGAGCAAGGAACTGTCCCACGATTTACATGGGGCAAACTTGTACATCATGTACACCTTCAATTATGCCATTGTTTAGATTTGTTTATAAAATACATTAGTCATTACACGTACTGGTACATGTACATGAGCAAGAATCTCAACAGATACCATCAAAGTTTATGTACCATACACGTTAACAAAAGGTTGGACCTCACGTGAAGCTTTGTGTATGAACTTTTCAGAGATCAAATGGTAATTTGGCGAGCCGCAGAGAATAAAACCCCAAAAGAGTTAAGAGTAGTCCTGTTAGAAACTTGATTTAGCTTTGAAGTAAACAAAAATGAAACCCCTTAATAGATTTAATGCAGACATGTAACAAACTGTACACGTCTATGCGTTATGTGAACTTTTCATTCATCACAATCAGCAAACCACATACGAACATGTAAAGTAAACCCCCCCCCCAAAAAAAAATTGATTGAGTTATAAAAAAACAGGCTGACAGGGAATTGCATAGGTCCATTCTTTTTATTACTGTTATGAAGATGCTTCATTTTTATGTCTTAAAAAAGTTCGTACCAGGAGCTCTGTGAAAGTTATTTACATGTACATGTAGGTAACATTTTTAAAAATGGATGGATTTGGGGTTAGTATTTTATAGCAAGTATTGTTACACTGACCTGTTTAAAGTTTTGTGTTCATAGATGCTGGAAAAACCACACACAAAAAACTGTTCTTGTAGTCTGGTTCCCTGACCCTATCAGACGAAACGGAATTGTCAGGTCGGGGAACCAGAATATCTGGTTTGCACCCGTTCACAGATCAATTGCAAACAAAAGGTCGAATGACTAAATTTGGTAAATTGGAGCAGTATTTGAAAAAAGTCAGGTTTTTTTCAGACGATGTTTGTATCTGCCTAAAGGCATCCCTTAAAATACACATTTCTGTTGTTCTACGTGAACATGTATAAAGAGTGAGTAAAAAAAACGAAACCCAAATGTCGGGCCATTGTTTTAGTGAATTTCTACATGTAGCACTTTCAAAATCTAGGATATGAAAGCTCAATTTACAAGCTTTCCTTTAGTACAAGAATCATTCAAATCACTTATGTGCTTTTCAAGTTACGGATTTTAAACACAACCACCGTTTTAAGGTTCTGTCCACGGATCACAACAAAGTTCAGTGTTGTTTCAGCAAATCGAAAACGAATCACATAAGGATGTGTGTGAATTGTTTTTGTTTTGCTGAAAGAACACACACCTTTTTGTGATCCGTGGACAGAGATTTACATTGTAAAAGGGTGGTTGTGTTTAAAACTCCCTAACTTGAAAAGTACATGAGTTATTTGAATGATTCTTGTACTAAAAGAAAGCTTATAAATTGGGCTTTCATATCCAGATATTGAAAGTGCTACATGCAGAACTTCGCTAAAGCAATGGTCCCGACATTTGGGTTTCGGTTTTTTTTAACTCACTCTGTATAAACCTTTGTGACAAATCTCAGGAATTCAAGATTTCAAAATTGATTTTTTTTTAAATCCTGATATTAGGATAAAATACTGACAACTCTTCCTCCTGCTTAGAATGTAAGCAAAATGAGATGTCCTGAAGACAAAAAGAAGGAAATCCAAGCTACCTTTGTTCCGCATGTTGGGGAGACTCCCTTCCGAGTAAACCGTATTATATTCCAATAATCCAGGAAGGACCGACAAAAAAAAGGAAAATTCAAGCGCGACGCTCCGCACCGCGTAGTCGGGACTTTGAACAGGAATTAACGACTCTCCGTGGTTTGTCCACTATTCTGAACATTTCCTTGCTAATGTATCTGTTTTTCCTGCGAAGGGCATCGGCCGAGTTTGACAAACAAATGAATCTCTGCGTGGGAAAAAAAGAAAGAAAGAAAAAAAATATCATTAATTCAGTTGTTCAATTTACATCTGTGTTTTTGTGTGGATCTTATCTCCCGAATCCTTGAAATGCATATCCCAGGGGTGAATAAGGGAAAAGGGGGGAAAATTATGAAACAAATCCTAAGACGGTATTAGGATCATTAATTATGGATCTGACGAACAGCCTTAGGGATGGCAAGATACATCTGATTTGTTTTGCGCGAATAACACAAAAAAGCAATGAATATTACATGTTTACCCGCGAAATATCGGGTACTTTTGGCATATATCCTTTAGGGGATGGGGTTTTCCACATATATATCAAGGGGATTTGGAGTGCCTTTAGTGTGGTATTTTTTTTTCAACACTTAAAAGTCAAACAACGCAAAAATTCATACAGATGTAGCCCTTCACTGTATAATTGGCTTGAACAAACAAAAAACAGTATCTGAAGAAAGTATTGCAACATAAAGTACCCAGTAACTGTAAAAATGTCACAGACAATTTATGCATCACTTGTGTGGGTGTATGGTGTATTCATTATTAACCATTTTTTTTTCACAACAAAATAAAACTGATGAACTTCGACACAGCATCTTTTACAAATCCACCCAGTGCATGTTTCTCTGTCTGTGTTTACCTGCCTAATAAAGTTTGTAATTTCAATATCATGAGTTTGCATTTAAACAGATGTAAAAAAAAACACATGGGTCATTCTGTTTATGTTGAGTCAAAAATGTGACATTTTTCCTGTCCCTGTTACCTTGGTACATATTAATTTGCCATTCACATATCATCAAGAATGACTTCAAATGATTTGTTCGGTACAGGAGCTAGTTTGCTTTTTGTAATTTAACTCTTGGAGGACGCTTGCATTAAGGAGTGCATGCATCAGAATTATAAAATCATAGATGTCAGATGGAACAGGGCGGGGAAAAAGTGGACCCCAAATTTATAGAATGGCCCACTAACATGTACATCTCAAGCGTCCAGTAAAACTAGTGAGTAATTACCAGTAAGGCCAAAAAAAAAAATGGGTCTCTGGTCAGACCGAAGTTCCGGAATTGATGCGGCGACGCGTTTTTTTTTTTTGTGATTTTTTTTTTTTTTTCAAGCTTCAATTGTACAGACAAGGTGAGTACTATTTTGCTTTTTTGTGTCCTCATTATACATTGGTGTCTTCCATCATTTGCCTTGGTGCCCTTTATCATTTGCCTTGGTGCAATTTCCCCATTCCTTGGTGCTCCTTGGTACAAAAATTTGAGGAGGTGCAGCAAAAGAGGGTGCTGTTGTAGCTTCCGTGTTAATTTGAAGAAAAAAAAAAGGTTGACGCGCATGATTAAAATCAACGCGCGCGCTGACCAGAGACCGAGAATTTTTTTTTTGGCCTAACTGTACACACACCTAACAATTGACACATGTACATGTACCAGTACATGCACAAAATGTAGCTGATGTCATTGTTTATTTCCTTGACATTTCTGTGGCACAGGTATCGGTACATGTACATTTTCCTGTTTTGTTCTGGAAATTCCCATACAGAAATACATATGGAACAAAAAGAACTAACAATACCGTAACATTTGAACAACATGAACAATGCATACATGTATGAGCCATGGGCTCTTACAATAAACTCTATTTATTGACCTGTGTACATGTACGCTGCAACAGTGCATAGTCTAATGGTGTGCATTTATTTACAGGTACATGTAGTACGGGAACCGAGACACCCGGATACCCGTAAAAGGAATCAACCCCTAAATTCAAATCCTGTTACATGTACATGTGCATGTAGTTGTTTGAATGGCATTATACATGTAGCTTTGCAGTGTAAACTGCAACTTTTGCAAGCATCACCTGTCGCGCATTAAAACACACATAAAGGTGAAATCTGTTTGGTTTTCCACGTAGTCTGGTTTCATTTTGAAAATTCCCCCACATATGGCATTCAAAACCTTTCTTTTTCATTGTCTGAGAATTTACTTTAGTAAATTGTAAAATTGGGTACAAGTACACGATCCAATAATCTGGAACCGGTTCCAGACATCAGCAGTCCAGTACTCGGGTACTCCAATGCACACCCCTAGCATAGCCTTACAAAAAAAATGCACACATACATTTTTCTTTTGAAGATTCTCCAATAGTTAACCAGTTCGCGCCGGGATTATTTTGACAGTGACCGGACCCAGGCGCGGGATTGTTTTTCACAGACCTCGATGCCAGACGGGTTCAGGCCGTCATCTGCGGGTAGCACACCCTGATATTTCCGGCCTCGCTCGCTGCGAGTGGGCCGCTGACAGATATTTCCGGCCTCTCTGCGTGTTTAATCTGTCATCCGTTCCGAATACCGCAAAACCTTTGCGCGCATACACGCCATCCGACGTGTACTGGTTATAAAGAGAATATATTATTTAAGTACTTACCGGTAAATACACAACGATAATTGGGGTGATTTGTAGGCGTGTAATTATGTGTATCATGTATCTTTAAACAATTCTGTGAGATCTTGATTGCTGTATCTTTAAGAGTGTTTGATTGTTTCAGTCATGTCCCACATGTTTACAGACCATACATAAATAAATTTACCATACTTATGGGTCAAAGATACATTTACTTGTATCTAAACACCACTTTATCTCTAATCCAAGTAACAATAAATCACAGGTCCGTCTGTAAATTTCTTTTCCATGTGCTGCATGCAGTACATCAAGCGGATAAAAAAAACAGACAATTTTCGTTTTCTATAAAACATATGTTCTCACACTGAAGCAGAACTGATTGATTTAACGTGCAGGAGAGCTCAACTAATGCAAGTACCGGGTATAAACCACCAACTGTATGACCGCAGTCAATTTATTTCAGCTTGTTCCCACAAAATGTCAGGCACAGATCCCATAACAATGGGTGTGGTGTGAAACTTGTGGTATTGATTTCAGTGAAGAAAGCCTACCCTTGAGATATTTTTAAACAGTGCCCAACCTTTGAGGATAAGGTTCATGAGTGATACTGGCTTGATGAAACATTCTGGATTTGAAACCTTTGTATTATTCCCACAGCTTTTCAAGTATGACTTGCTAGTACGTACTTGCTGGGACATCATGAAATACAATGTAAATATAACGAGTCTAATTTTAAATGAATGAACAGTTTACCGTATCGTGAAGGTCCATGTACTATGTACAGTATGTATGTTTGTTATGTTAAACTCACAATGGCAAATACATGTACTTCAGATTGTCTTGAACTGTAAGTTGCATTTCAAAAAACTTTGAGTGAGATACACCATGTTCTATAGATAAGGTGTCTTAAAACCCTAACCTTCCTCAATCCTCCAAAGTTCTCCAGGCGGTTTTGGAGGATTTTGGAGGATTGAGGCTGAAAGCAACATACAATTTGGAGGATTGTGGAGGATTGAGGGCACATGGACATTCAGTATTGGTTGATTTTGGAGGATTGAGGCTGAATGATGCTTGGAGAAGAGGATGATTTTGGAGGATTGAGGCTGAATGCATTTTGACAGGCGGGGCTGTTGGAGGATTTTGAAGGATTGAGGCAGTGGGCATCCTTCATTTGAACGTAAGTGCAACATTTTGGTTGATTTTGGATGGTTCCTAGCAACAAGGACCTGGGGGTTATGACCTCTAATTAGTGATGAACCATTATTCCAGCAGACTCTTTATAATGGAGGTTTCCCAAAATTTCACCAGGGATAACTGGAATCAATTCTGCATGGAATCGGACTCAGAATCGGACTCAATTCCAAAAGTCTCCCGAGCCTACGGTACACTCTTTTCAGTGAAACAAGGACATGCCTTTTCTGAGAGTTAGGGAAAGAAGTTCCATAAAACCAAATTGGAGAAAGCTGGTGGTTAATTGGTTTTATTAGCTGTAACTCTAGTCCTTCTGCCTTGGGACAAGCTACTCCTGCTGGGAATTGTGAGCGTTCGTTTTCACAACTCACACAATGGCCAAAGTCAAGAGTCAGACCCGAATTTCACAAAGCAACAACTTCTTGGTGGGCAGCAAAAGCTTTGTTCTTAGCAAAAATGAGTAACCAATCAACGTACATGTACACACGTATTGGCATGCACATCTGTTACTGCACCTACAATGTACATGTATGTAAATGCAAAGTTAAAGGTGCACATTCGGCCAGATTTCGGCCAGATTTTTTGGGGGGAGGGCCTTTTCTGAATGTATTTCAAGCATCAAACAAAAGAGTTGAGTCACAAGAAATGTATTCAATTCACTGTGAGATTCACTGTGAGTCATGTCCGATTCTAGCTTCAGAATTACATGTATACACAAAGCGATCATAGTGCATGCATCATTGCATGTTTGCGGAACGTTTTGAAAATAAAGTTGTGTGCCTGACATGATGACTAGAGCTCAAACGGCTTCAATTTTGAGGACCACAGTTTTTGTATCTCGAAATTCCTTCTCACGGTAATTACACGAAAACGGGAAATTTTCCAAGGAACAGTTTCACACGAGCATTCATATCTTTGCAACAAGTATCATTTGTGGTAAATGCGCTTGCGTGTCCCAATAGGGGTTTTTCTAGGAAAGTGCCCCTTTAAAGTAAATCTGTTCAGTGATATTCTTTACTCGATAGATCTCATTTCTCAGAGAATCGAGCCATGGCAGAACAGATGTTCTGTTGCGGCTAGAATTTGTGGTTTTTCCAGTTTGGAACCTTCAACCAATTATTCCCACAATTGAACCAGTGTTACAGCATGAGAGATGGATTACATACACTGGCAATCTACGACATGTATACCAGTAACTATGCCCTGTGACAAATGACATGGTATTCACAGTCATCTTTATACAGAGTGGCTATTATGGACAGTCCACTGTCTGGTTCCCTGACCTGACCATATCCAACGTAAGGACCTTTGGCTCTTGGAAGCAGACTATCAAAGAATCAACGGAATGGTTCTCGGTCTTTAAAAAAAAAATCCTCCAAAGCCACAAAGTCAAAGTTGATCAAAAAACTAGCTTGAAAAATCCAGCTCATTAAACTTGTGACAAGGGGAGATTTGCCAGTAGATTTGCTATAATGCTGGTGAGCTGGATATTTCAAGCTAAATTAAAAACATAAAAGTAAAAAAAAAACATTAGGGCCTAGTATAGGTATAAATAAAAAATTATAAATTAAAAATTCTTCGGCACATGTGGTAACGTTACTCGTTTCCAATGGTTAACTAATCGAGCTACCAAATCACTCTGGTTGGAAGGGCAGTTATAAACATGGGAAGATTCCCATATATCTGGCCATCACTTATTTTTCCCTTCAGTGACCTACATGTATCAGCCATCAGAAAGTCACATTTAGCAGAGACAATATTGAAGTATTTACTGAGAAAACACTTTCAGACCAGTCTGATAGGGTTTGTGCACAAAGTGACAAGTGATGGCCAGATATGGGAATCTTTCCAAATATCTATAACATAGGCCTTTCTGAGCTGCAGTGTCTGCATCATACATTAGTCATGTTAGCTTAGCCTACGGTGTAAATTTCCTCGACCCTCCATAATCTGCACAGTTAACGCTTGCAAATTGAAGGCGAATGCATGATCACGTAGCTTTAGGGGGTCCGACAATACATGCAATTAGAGGAATTGAAAAAATTTTACACAACCAGCAAACAGCCATGACAGTAGACCCGTGAACGTGGCTTGTAAATACAACACCACGTTCACGGGCCTACCATGACAGCAGCAGGACATGAAATATTGGCAATTAATTTTGACATGTTTGAGGGATTCTAAATTCACAACTCGTCACTACCAACATGACCAAGAATTGCGTACATAGCTTTTACTGGTGTTTATAATAATCATATTGAAAATGTTGATTTTGAAACGGTGAAAACATTTTTAAATCGTCTTCCAAATTTCCAAAACTCCCCCGGGCCGAGACTCAGCGTGTTCAGCGCCATTTGTCTTCTGCCTTAAACTTTAAAGGGAATATACATCATTTGCTTTTGCTGTAATTTTCAGAAATGGATGGAATTCGGGGGTTGGAAATATAAAGCAAATATAGTTACACTGACTTTTTGGAGGTTTTGGGTTCGAAAATGCTATAAAAACCAAGAAAAATGATCATTTTCCTGTAGTCTGGTTCCCTGACTCCATATAAGAAGAAACAGAGCAGTTTACATACATTGGGGAATTGTAAGGTCAGGGAACCAGTCTAGCTGGCTCGTACCCGTTCATAGGTTTGTAATCGATTGCAAACAAGTGCAATGGTCAATTGGGGCCAGTATTTGAAAAAAAAAAGCCAGTTGTTTCCAACGCTGATCGGCCGATCAGCGTTGGAAATTGATACAAAAATACCACTTTTCTTGAAAATGACAGTATACCAGGTGCCATAATTTTACAGGATGCTTTAGACTGTCATTTACCAACATCCTGTTAAGGTATTTCGCAAAAACTTGGTAGTTTTATTTTTCGATGTTTGCAAATGTTGTATATTCCCTTTAAAGTTGTTGCTGTTGGACAGTCTGTGGAGGAAGTTTAGGCCTATTATTATTAATGCAATATGTATGTGCTGTCTGTGTGGGACGCCGGACGATAACAAAAATTAAACGCAATTTGCAAAATAATAAAACAGAAAACTGCATTAAGTTGCAATTCATAACCTGGCTCTACAATAACTTACCCTTTCTCTCCTTTATCATATTTTTATAGCCTTCGTCAAATCAGAAAAGCTTAAATTTCCCCGAGTAAAAATACCACTGGTCATCACTCCGTGGAATGGAACTCTCTTCCGCCATAATGAGCTCACTTAACTAACTGGTTTCCTTCTACCACTTCACAGTTTGTTCAATTGCTCACAGGCGGAAACAATTGAATGGCTGGTGATTACCAGCTAAAAATATACCACCGACAGTCGACGTCACACAAACTTTATCACGTGACATAAATAAATGATTGGCGAAATTTTGCAGGACCTTCACGAGAGGGCGCACTTACTGAGCTGGTCGCCTAATTTGTTTTACACGTTGTGAATAAAAATTACGCGTACTGGTCCCACCGTAATAATTGTTCTGGATATAGGACTCAAACGTTTGGAAAATCGACGGGAACACTTGAAGAATAAATTTAATATGATTTAAAGAAAATTCAGTTTATTCATCGCGATAAATTCAATCCGAATTCGATTTACTTTTAAAAATCAACAAAAATAAAGTACTCTTTCTGGAGACGATTACTCAAGAAAAACACACTGCATTGAATTGAAAATACGTCCAATAATTGGTCAAGATAAGGAACACAATATTTGAAAATCGACGGGAACCATTGAAGAATAAATTGAATATGATTTAAGGAAATGCAGTGTACTAATCGCGAAAAATTCAATTCGAATTCGAGTCACTTTTAATGGAACAAAAAATAAAGCACTCTTTGTGGAGACGATAACTCCACAAAAACACATTGCACTGAATTGAAATTTTGTCCAATAATTGTTCTGGATATAGGACTCAAACGTTTTGAAAATCGACGAGAACACTTGAAGAATAAATTTAATATGATTTAAAGAAAATTCAGTTTATTCATCGCGATAAATTCAATCCGAATTTAATTTACTTTTAAAAATCAACAAAAATAAAGCACTCTTTCTGGAGACGATTACTCAAGAAAAACACACTGCATTGAATTGAAAATACGTCCAATAATTGGTCAAGATAAGGAACACAAATGTTTGAAAATCGACGGGAACCATTGAAAAATAAATTGAATATGATTTAAGGAAATGCAGTGTACTAATCGCGAAAAATTCAATTCGAATTCGAGTCACGTTTAATGGAACAAAAATAAAGCACTCTTTGTGGAGACGATAACTCCAGAAAAACACAGTGCACTGATTCGAAATTTGCCTCCCATAAACCGACTGTAATATCCGACACAATTAATTTAACATTCAACAGAAACCGTGGAAGAAAAAAAAATTAATACAACAAAAACAAAACGTACAGTGTGTAAGAGCACTCCCGAACATTTTACCAACATCCATTTCTTCCAAAAGAGGGCGCGCTACACAAATAACGGTCACACCGTAAGGACTTCTGTCAACGTGGATCACGATCTGCCCAAATTCAGTGAACAAAAATATAACACACGTTGTGGAGACGATAACTCAAGAACAACACAGTGCACTGAATTGAAATTTCGTTCAATAATTGTTCGGGATATAGGACACACATAGTTTGAAAATCAACGGGAACCCTTGAAGAATAAATTTAATATGATTGAAAGAACATACCGTTTATTAAAATTCAATCCGAATTCAAGTCACTTTTAATTGAACAAAAATAAAGCACTCTTTGTGGAGACGATAACTCAAGAAAAACACATTGCACTGAATTGAAATTTTGTCCAATAATTGTTCTGGATATAGAACTCAAACGTGTTGAAAATTGACGGGAACACTTGAAGAATAAATTTAATATGATTTAAAGAAAATTCAGTTTATCCATGGCGAAAAATTCAATTCGAATTCGAGTCACTTTTAATGGAACAAAAATAAAGCACTCTTTGTGGAGACGATAACTCAAGAAAAACACATTGCGCTGAAATGAAATTTTGTCCAATAATTGTTCTGGATATAGGACTCAAACGTTTTGAAAATCGACGGGAACACTTGAAGAATAAATTGAATATGATTTAAAGAAAATTCAGTTTATTCATCGCGATATATATTCAATCCGAATTCAATTTACCTTTAAAAATCAACAAAAATAAAGCACTCTTTCTGGAGACGATTACTCAAGAAAAACACACTGCATTGAATTGAAAATATGTCCAATAATTGGTCAAGATCGACGGGAACCATTGAAGAATAAATTGAATATGATTTAAGGAAATGCAGTGTTCTAATCGCCAAAAAATTCTATTCGAATTCGAGTCACTTTTAATGGAACACAAATACACAAATAAAGCACTCTTTGTGGAGACGATAACTCCAGAAAAACTCATTGCACTGATTTGAAATTTGCCTCCCATAACCGACTGTAAAATCTGACCCAATAATTTAAAATTCAACAGAAACCGTTGAAGAAAAAAATTAATACAACAAAAACAAAAAGTAAGCCTACAGTGTGTAAGAACACTCCCGAACATTTTACCAACATCAATTTCTTCCAAAAGAGGGCGCGCTACACAAATAACGGTCACACCGTAAAGACTTCTGTCAACGTGGATCACGATCTGCCCAAATTAAGTGAACAAAAATATAACACACGTTGTGGAGACGATAACTCTAGAACAACACAGTGCACTGAGTTGAAATTTCGTTCAATAATTGTTCGGGATATAGGACACACATAGTTTGAAAATCAACGGGAACCCTTCAAGAATAAATTTAATATGATTTAAAGAACATACAGTTTATTAAAATTCAATCCGAATTCAAGTCACTTTTAATTGAACAAAAATAAAGCACTCTGTGCAGACGATAATTCAAGAACAACACATTGCACTGAATTGAAATTTTGTCCAATAATTGTTCTGGATATAGGACTCAAACGTTTTGAAAATCGACGGGAACATTTGAAGAATAAATTTAATATGATTTAAAGAAAATTCAGTTCATCCATGGGCTCGTATGCTCCATGACTACGCTGATGAAATTGCACCCATTCTAACCCACATCTTCCAGCAGTCTTACTCTACTGGTGAGCTACCATCTGATTGGCGTAAGGCTCGTGTTGTAGGTATCTACAAGAAGGGCAGTAAGAGTGATCCAGCAAATTATCGCCCTGTTTCCTTGACATGCATATGTTGTAAAATCATGGAGCACATAGTCCTGAGCCACATGGCTAAGTACCTTGCTGCAAATAAAATCATCATCGACAACCAACATGGTTTCCGTGAGAAATTGTCGTGCGAAACACAACTCATACAAGCCGTTGATGACTGGGCCTTTAATATCAACAACAACCATCAGACGGACGTCTTGTTTCTAGACTTTAGCAAGGCCTTTGACAGAGTGGCTCATCGCAAGTTGTTGCACAAGCTTGAATACTACGGCATCATAGGCAGAACCAAAGCATGGATCCAAGGTTTCTTGAGTGGTAGGACCCAGCAAGTTGCAGTCAATGGTACCCTGTCTGCACCTGCAGATGTCATATCTGGAGTCCCCCAAGGCTCTGTACTTGGCCCAGCCCTGTTTCTTTTGTACATCAATGACATCAGTGAAGGTGTTCTGTCAACAATGAGGCTTTTTGCTGATGATAGTGCAATCTACAGGTGCATCAAGTCTCGTAGAGATCTTGAGACTCTCCAAGCGGATCTCCAGGCGGTCATTGAATGGGCTCAGAGATGGGACATGAGTTTCAACATCACAAAATGTTGCCACCTCTGCATCACCCTGAAGAAGAAAAAGCTTGAACACACCTTTACAATCTCTGGCCAGGCCATCCCGCATGAGAAGAAATGCAAATACCTTGGAGTCACCATCGCTGATAACCTAAGCTGGAACACTCAGGCAGAAACAGTCAGAGCCAAGGCTTCAAGATCGCTTGGGCTGATCAGACGCACCCTTGGAAAATGCAGCAGGGAGGTCAAGGAGACAGCATATAACACTCTAGTAAGACCACAACTTGAATGTGCCACAAGTGCATGGAACCCATACACAATCCGCAACATCAGAATAGTTGAGAGTGTCCAACGCCAAGCGGCACGTTTTGTCATGAAGGACTACCACCGGGAAAGCTACGGCGACGCGCGCGCATACCAGAAACCGGAGACTTTTGTTTTTGGGCCTAAGGGACACAAATAGTTTGAAAATCGACGGGAACCATAATTTACTTGTATACCCACCCCGCAATCTTTTTGACAAACTATTTTGCGGCATACAAAATTGTATCCAAAGGAGCCGTTACCCTAGCTTTCTACATAACTTCAATTTTGTTGGAGACAAATAAAAAGACAATATATTGACAATATAATGTGCAAAATATATTGCAAATGAATTAAAAAAAACAAAAACAATGAGGCAGCTAGGGGAAAAAAAAGAAAGGGGGGGGGGGGACACGAGAAACTGTGTTTTCCCTAAATTGGCCTAAATGCTTGCTCATGTGGTTGAAATAAATACGTTCAACTCCACACCCCTCCCTTTTGTGTTGTGGAAACAAAGTTTTTCACAAGTCTGCAACAAAAGGCCGACTACAGGGAGACTATTAATAGACCACAATTCTGGTACCAATGACGTATGTTCCACTTCAATCGCATTAAATTGGAAAGGGATCTAGACATAAGATAAACTTCAAAAACAAAGGTTGAAAACTTAATGCAGCACCTTTTGATAAACCAATTTTAAACATCTCAATAAGGGAAAATGGTAAAAAGGTATTAACCAAAAAAAAAATGAAAAGAATACATCACACATACAATTGGGTCTTTCCATGGTCTTCCACACTATCTAAAATCTCTGTGTTCGACCCGGATCCTACATTGGCTTCTTCACGGGTCTGTCCCTTTGCAACCAAGTAAATAAATTCCCATAGACACCAGCGTTAAATCCCTCATACTTCAAAATTCTTTTAAAAATACTCAAAACTCTCGCAGGTGTTCAGGCTGCACAGAAAAATGATGATCAACATGTCGTCTTTCATTTTCTTTTCAATTTTTGGTGGTTGACCGATGACTTTTTGGAGAAATTCTCCTCCCCAAGAAGGCCAACCCTATAAATAAAACAAATATTGCCCAACTTTGGCTTGTTTACTTGGTTGCACCCCTACAGGTAAAATCCAAAAATCTGCAGCCCGAGTGTTCAATGGAACACGGTTCTGCATAAATTAATGTTAATTTCAACATGGGTTGGCGAGACAATAGTGCGAAAAGGCCCAATGATGTGACTAGCTTGATTTTGTTATTAAAATGCTACATTTTTTAGAACGATTTTAATTAAAAACTGCACACTGTAAATTAAAACGGTCCCTAATTATACATCAAATCACAGTAAATTTACACTATTTACACATCCCTGAAAAATCACTTAATTGGCTGTGCCATTTTCAAATGAGGGAAATATTTTTTTGTTTGGATGGTTTCACTGATCAATGAAATTGGCAGCGTTAATCTTGTACAAACTTTTAAAAAAGGTTGAAAATTAACCATAATTGATCAAAACAAACTACAATATCTGAAATCGTATGGAACAGTTCGATAAAAAACACATGTATTAATTTGTAATTACTTGATCATGTAAAATCCATTTTCCAATAATGTATATATTTTTTTTTGGCATAAGAAAAATTCAAGGTGGGTTTGGCAACAATATTACGACAATTTGTGTGCAACATTTTTGGAAAAATATCACACAATGGTGGAAGACTAATTTGCTTGTTTTCGTCCAATATGATGCTGTTAATTTTTTTTTTTGAACAATTTAGTATTTAATTGCTAGAACTTACAGTTGATCCAATATTGGAATATTCGAAGACTGTCATTGAGGTAACTTTTTTTTATGAATACCATGTTTGTAACAATGGATAGTTTTTGGAGATAGCTTGACTAGGTGATATTTGGCAGATTTAAAAGATGCATATTAGGGCTAATACTCCTTATGGAAGCTCTCAGCTTGTACATGGAAAGTGGTAGCTGTCCACACAAATTTGGCACTTGACAAACAATAAACCAATACAATTTTACAGACTTTTTTGGTTATTTTCGCGAGATTTTTTTTTGCAATTTAAAAAATATTCCGTTAATATATTCGGTGGATATATTTGGTGAATATATTTGGTTTGGATAATCAAATATTTGTATATTTCGTCAGTGACACCACAAAGTAACACCCAAGTGGACTTGAGTACTCGCTACACGCGCGTATTTTACAGAACCGAGCGATTTTCGTTTTCACGAAGTAACACTCATGTGCACTGTGCACTGAATCGGTCATTTTGGTTTTTACGAAGTAACACTGGTCTTTATTTCACCAGTTTTGAAGGCTTTTTATTAAAATATCTGTAATCGTACAAGAAAAGGTATTAATTACATTCCTGTCAAATGTTTTAAAACGCTTTAATCTTAAAAGTATTTCCGTAACAGTGTGAAAACAAAAATCGTTCGCGCCAGTGTCCGATGTGCTTGCACACACTTGAGTGTTACTTTGTGAAATCAACATTTGTCATTTTGCGGTTTTCACGAAGTAACAATGAAGTGGACTTTGGTGTTACTTCGTGGTGTCGGTGACAATTTGGTTTATTTGGAACAGCCCTACTGTAAAAATGTTAATTCTTTTTAAAGCTTTTTTTTTGTTCTTAAAATCATACTCTTTGGACAATTGCAACTGTAAACAAATCACCTTTGTTCAAAAGCCCAATGGGTTATGAAACTCAAACCCAAGAAAGAGCTTTTCAAGTACAAATATTTTATATATCACAATAAAAATTTAGAAAACCTCCTTCAAAGGATTCATTATAAAATCAGAATCCATAAAATATCAACACAGTAAGTATCTCAACTATTTTTATTTCATTAAAATTATTCTTTGGGAAGGAACAGTTCTTCAGTCTCTACGGTATCAATTTTATTCATCTTTGTTTTTTGAGGCTTTGCCATTGGCTACCGAGTAGCATCGCCATGCCAACAGCTGCGGTACAACCAATAGCGTTAGGTTTATGATCAGGAAGACTGTCTGGCCTTCTTCGGGGACCCGGTAGATGTAGGGTGTGTTGGAGTGGAGGGAGCCGCCGATGTGAGAAATCTGAGCCTATGAAATAAAAAAAATTAAAAATACACAAAAAAAAATTAAAATACACGACAGTCAAATAAACCACAAAAGGAAACAGACTAAGTGCATTATTATAATATTATCAAAATTGAATAAAAAAATTGACTGGATCGGGGTTCGCAACTGCGACCTGCAGATTGCAGTTCTGGTGCTCTACCAACTGAGCTATCCAGCCCTATGTTGGCAGTTTTTCCAATTGGTCAATATGTTTGTTCAAAAGCACTAGTAAGTGGCCATAAATGCATATATACCATTTAGCCAGGGATCACACCCAAAGTCACCACGCTAGCAACCTAGCAATGCTCAGAGTTGTAATGGCTCAAGCCAATGACGCGACTCGAGTCCGAATTGAGTCACAATTTTTGATGACTCGATTCAACTCGAGTCCCCAGGGGTAACTGACTCGACTTGACTTGAGTCACTGCGAGCAAATGACTCGACTCGAGTCCCTCATCAGAAAATATTTTTTGCGGTGACATACTGTACGAAGTTATTAACTAATGTTCGCGCGCGTACTACACGTACAAATATCTGCTTTATCACAGACTCTTTCGTGCCACCTCGTGGTTTTATAATGTAGCGCACAAACTACAAGTACTATCCTGGAACCGCTTTAAATGCATTCCCAAATTCTTCTTTCAGCATTGGCTTCGGGCGATTTCTTAAGCCCTTGATGGAACTCTGGCTAAATATATGTCCCGTTTTCAAAAACTAGTTAGATATTTTCTATATAACCAGAAACAGTTTTGTATGTTGCAATTTGGTTTTGATTATCAGTGTAAAAATCTATTCAAAGCCCAAAGCCAAATCGGAGATAAATCCGAAGTTTCACTTCTTGTTAAGTGTTAGTAGATCTTTGGTAGAAACGTCCAGCAGAAGCTGTGTATTGGGTACCACACAGCATATTTTAAGTCTTTGGATCTTCATAATAAACTGGTGCCTTATGTTCCTTCATCCATTCTGTAATTTATTAGATGGTGTTCAAATGTCAGTGACTCGAATTGGCTCAAGCATAATTTTGACTCAACTTGACTCAACTTGACTCAACTCGACTCGACTCGACCACACACTGCGACTCGACTTGACCTTCCTCACCCAATGACTTGACTCAACTCGAGTCACTACCTGGAAATGACTCGACTCGACTCAATTCACAAAATTAATAAATTGTTACAACTCTGGCAATGCTGCAAACCTGGGAATTAGCAAACTGGGGATCCCTCAGAGAAGATACGGCTTATTTCCTACAAATCCCGTTCCAGTTAATTTCCTTGTTTGACTGTAAGTGAATAATACATGTAGTCCCAAGGATCCTGTGAAATCATGGCACCTGGTGTGCTGTCATTTTCAAGTGAAGTGGAATGTTTGCATCAATTTCCATTGACGGTAGGCCGACCATCGTTGGGAAAAAACTGACTTGTTCCAAATACTGCCCCAATTTACCAAATTTGGTTAGTCAACATTTTGTTTGCAATTGTTACACATCCATGAATGAACGCAAGCCAGCTAGTCTGATTCCCTGACCTGACAATTCCCTGACATCCATAAATTGCCGTGTTTTGTCTAGGGTCAAGGAAACAGACTACAAGAACAGCAATTCTTTTCTTGGTTTTTCCAGCATCTATGAACACAAAACTTTAAGGTCAGGGTAACAATATTTGCTACAAAATACTGAACCCCAAATCCTTCCATCTCTAAAAATAATGGCAAAAGCAAATGTTGTATATTCGACTTCAACACTGACTATACCTACAGTATTTCAAGTATCGAAATTACCTGAGCTGATGCCCCTGCGTGTATTAGCGCCCAGTCTGACACCCAGGATGCCCCAGGGTACAGCAGGGCCCAGATGGTGGCAGCGTAGTACGGAACGTAGTAAAACCAGAAGACTAGCATCTGTGATGAATTGAACAAGCCCAATTTCAAATTTGAATAAATTCTGTCTTTGTTAAGGTGGCTTTTCCTATCAGCTGAGTTTTCCTTTTACATCTTGACTGGCACCTTCACAAAAGGGAACAAATGGTTTGGGACAAAAAGCCACATCTGCATCTCGTTTAGAGCAGAGATGCCACAGGGTCTGCTTGAAAAAAACGGAACTGGGTCTGCTTGAAAAAAACGGAACGGCTGCTTGAAAAAACGGAACTTTTTTGTGTGTGAAAAAGCCACTCCGTGTCCGACACAAAGTCCCCATTGTCATCTTTATCTTGTAGCCAAGCCAAGTTCTGTTTGTTTTTTAATTTTGCTTCTATGGCCTTTAAAGCTGTCGGTTCGTTCAATCACTTTGACTTTTTCCATATTCCTAATATTTATTCTGCCTACCCGAATTTCCAACGTAATACTCAACACGAAACGTGCATGATTCCACATTACTGCTGTCGGTGTACATGATACTTGCACTACGCGATGCGCTCAACGAAAACATGGTTGGTACCCGCATTTTTTGTATTCACATATATCACTGCGATCGGAAATCACCGATAGCTGAAATGATAGACTTGATTTCCAGGCTGAATGCTACGTGTGCTTAGCACACAACACGCCCGCACGCGGTGAAGCACGCGCGAGGCGCCGTTGTATACTGCGTGCAAGTACGTTGGCCGCTTGTATCGCATGCAGGCTCAGCAACAACATATACAAAGACTGTTTTTAAGACTACTTCAACGAACAACGTTGCGCCTAAATGTACTAAATCGAGGTAAAAATCAACGCATTTCCACAGAGATTTTTTTTAAAAACCGGAATTCCGCTTAAAACTGGAATAGTGGCATCTCTGTTAGAGGTAGCATCTACGGCTTCGGCTATTTTCAACTAAGTAGGAACAAGCTTACAGTAGACCTAGCCGTAGCTCTGGGAGCTCGTTTTGGATGCTGCCAAAGTCTGAATAGGCTTGTTTATCCAAGACACATGTGCTTGGACATTATTATATTTATGTTGCGTTCCATTCACTATGTGTTTTTTGTGCAACAAACTTGAATTATCTGTTGTGCATGTGCTAGACAGGGTAACTTGTGTTCATGTTAAGTGGAGGTTAACATATTAAGTTCACAAAGGATGAAAATGATTTGGTAACATCGTAAATTGAACATGAGAAATATGGTTAGACTGGAAACTGGAAAGCAGTTTTTAGTCTACTCCCCTTTCCCTCCCGTCCCCTCCCAATCCCCAATAAGAAAAGGAAAAACAAACACCTGGCTATGCATTACAAAGAGGCCAGGCTAATGTCCCTCTTCTGTTCAAGACTTCAAGTAATCTTTGTTTCTATCTTTCTTTACCTGCAGTTTGGGATAAGCCACTGGGTCATGTAGGTAGGGCTCATATTCCTTCAGGTACATCTGTGCCAACGGAAAGGGGCTATCCAGAGCAGCCTGTAAAACAATGTATACAATTTAAAAACATAAACAAATTTGAACTCCTACAAATTTAACCTTTCAAGTGACCTCGCTCAAGGGCGTAACAAGACCGATTGAATGGGGAGGGTGTTAAACAACAAATATGCGGACATACCACTCTGTGCTCCGGATTGCTGTACCGGTGCTCTACCAACTGAGCTATCCAGCCCTCTGTTGGCAGTTCCCCAAATTGCCAATATCTTTGTCCCAGATACTGACCAATTTTGGGGCTTCCAACAAAGATAAAAAAGGGGGTGGGGGCTTTTGGTTTAGCTGGGATATTTGCAAAGAATAAAAGGGAAGAAACTGAGACTTTCTGGTTAACATCTTGACGGGGATAATTGTAATTACACAAGGTTGAAAGATATCCTGCACATTATTGGGAAATAACATGTACAACAACAGGAAGATATAAAAGGAGACCCCTCCCCAAAGGGACAGGGCTCCCCCCCTAAAAAAAAGAGAGGTAAAATAGCGTTAACATTTAGCACACGCCCACTTTTTCCCTCTTGACAGCCCCCCCCCCCAGCCAACCCTTGATCTGTTCCCGGAGTCACACAGAGATGTTGCAAGCAAAAGAAGAGTGATTTTATTAAAGCAGAGGGCATTTTAGTTTGTCAAATTCCATATCATCTGATATTTACCGAACATTTGTCACCAGCGTGACGAGCCTATATCATAAATGTGATCTTGCACCACAAATTGTGAAGTGAGTAACTGCCATTTTGCAGTACAATGGGACAAAGCCAAAATTTAAAGGGGTGGGCATTTTTTTTGTTTAGGCAAACCTCAACCTGTAGTCCTGTTTTACACTGTACCTTTCTCCAATTATTATGTTTCGTTTAACATCTTTAAAGGGAATATACATCATTTGCTTTTGCTGTAATTTTCAGAAATGGATGGAATTGGGGGGTTGGAAATATATAGCAAATATAGTTACACTGACTTTTTTGAGGTTTTGGGTTCGAAAATGCTATAAAAACCAAGAAAAACAATCATTTTCCTGTAGTCTGGTTCCCTGACTCCATATAAGAAGAAACAGAGCAGTTTACATACAGTGGGGAATTGTAAGGTCAGGGAACCAGTCTAGCTGGCTCGTACCCGTTCATAGGTTTGTAATCGATTGCAAACAAGTGCGATGGTCAATTGGGGCCAGTATTTGAAAAAAAAGCCAGTTGTTTCCAACGCTGATCGGCTGATCAGAGTTGGAAATTGATACAAAAATACCACTTTTCTTGAAAATGACAGTATACCAGGTGCCATGATTTTACAGGATGCTTTACACTGTCATTCACTAACAGTCCAGCAAGGTATTTCAAAATGATTTGGTAGCTTTATTTTTTGATGTTTGCAAATGTCGTATTTTCCCTTTAATACTGTTTAATATCTTTCATCCCATTTTATTATATGTTGATGTTCATTCACTGTAACACAACTGCAGGATTCTTAAATGCCATTTTCTCAAGAATTAGATATACCACTTAAAGTGCTGTAAGTTGGTGGTCTAGTGAACTTAGCACCCCTAAATGTTATATACCATTGGAAAGCTCTTGTTCTGCTGAATCCAGATAAATAAATATCTCAATTATTAATAAGTCAGACTTTAAGCTCATTTTGTGATGAACAGGTCACAAATAACAGGCAACTTTCCTGTTTCAACTTGGCAATTATAGACTTGTGCTGCGATCGCTATTTCTTGGGGAGAACTTCACTGAACATAAACAGTATACTGTCAGGCATCATAAATAGCCAATCGGGCAGAAAGCCGTCCATGTCAAATGCAGCCAGCTTTGAGAGTTCCGTAGAATTTTAATTGATTGGGTGGTGCTTAATTGAGGGTGTCCTCTGTGAACATCAACTTACCATGAATCGGATGAAGGCTAGTAATGTTGCAGCTACGAGGTAGAACACAAAGAAGAGATCTATCGGTCGAGAGAAGATACTGCTGGGCTTGACCGACCCCTGGAAATAAAGTGACAAATTCTAGGTGAAATACTGACAAACAATCAGTACTAAGGAGGCAGTTAAAATATAAGAGTGAGGGTCGTGCCTCCCTTAACCACTTGACAACGGGATTATTTTTGGTAAAAAAAAAATACAAGTTTTTAAATGGACAACATGTATTTTAAAATCAAGTCCAACACCACAAAAATGGACTCTTGAGAGTCAGTTGTACAATATTTGTATGATATTTCTAATTTTGCAACAATCCAAGGTCCCGCCATGGAGCTACATTTGCCTTGATGACAGGCTGTGTACAGTGGCCAAGTTCAAGTTCAACACACAGTGTGCACAAAACCAATGGGAACCACTGACGTGTATACACGTCAACCGCCAGAGACTTGGGGAAAGCTTGACGATTTAACTCGTCACCTGCCACTGCGAATATTCATTGCCAGATCGTGTTTACACGTCCCCTGGCATTTACTGGTTAAAGTTTAAGGCATCTTCCCGAAAATTATCAACAATAAGTTTCTTACTTTTTTTTCTCAAAAATTTAAAACAACTTTTAAAGTCCTAATTTATGGATATTAGGTCACTGGAATGAATTAACTCCTCCCCCCCCCAATTTTTTTTTCTCTCTATTTTTAACCAAATCAAGAATGTCACGCCTTTTACACTTTCCAAAGTCTCTGTGTTGGCCAGGTAATTCAAACGTGGCTTTAGGTTGTTTTTTAAGGACACATACCTTTGTTGGTTTCCTCTCATGTAGGAACCGGTACCCGGCATACACCGGTAGGAAGACATACGGTACGTTGAGGAAGTAAGACGATCGGACCTCGGTGCCGTACTTGCCCAGGACGTTACCGGGCATGAAGACAACGATACTGTTCATGATGGAGCCTACCCAATATAGTCCAACCTCGCGGTAATTTTCACTAAAAGGGAAAAAAAAAAAGAATTATTAAATCCTCCTTCTCTAGCTGGCAAATTCCACAAAGCCATCCCAGCAGTCAAAACCAATCAATTTTTAACAGTTAAGAGCCCCCAGCCTACATAAAGCAGGATTGACTGCCTGTGACTGTTTATGTAACTTGATACAGCTGTGCTTTGACTGTAGGAGACCGATAAGGCCAAAAAAAATAAAGTCTCCGGTTTCTGGTATGCGCGCGCGTCGCCGTAGCCATGCGCGTCGGCAAAATGAAAAAGTTTTTTTTTTAATGAAAGATGATGTCCCAAAACCGCCAAACTCACTGGTTTGACTGGAATACTGCTGCTGCACAATTTTAACGTGTTTTTAGATTGGGTTATGGTTAATAAGCTTTATGTGGCCTCTCTGGACTCCCATATATGTGCACTAAGTTTAGTCGGACACCATTTGCAGTCATCAGCACACATTTGAAGCAAAAAAGTCAGGTAAAAAAAATTAAAAAGCCGCGTCGCCGCATCACTTTTTGGGCAAGCTCCATACCAGAAACCGGAGACTTTTTTTTTTGGCCTAAGCCAGCTGTACTACCAGTTACTTGCTAAAATTGTCTGTTCATGGAATTTGACTAGTCGTAGCATTTACAAGCATTGTTGGTGACTAGCCTGTGTATAAAGGCATGGCGGGAGAACAGGATTGATTGTTTTTAATTGTCTATGATTGTTAAGAAATCAGGAGGGTTAAAATCACAAGTTCCCTGCATTCAACCTAAAGTTGTATTTCCCTTCTTTTTTTTTTACTTTAAGAATTGTTCAAATACAAAAATGTTACATTGATCTCAATTTAAAATTGTTCATGTCTAACTGATCTCAATCTGTAGGAATATGTCAAATAAATGTTTTTTTAAATGTTACGTTTGATCAATCTTTAGAGATGTACATTAGATTCAAAGGAGATCAATAACTCAATTTGCATGCTGATTTTGTTAATCAAAAGAAAATATATCGGTATTTAATTTGATTCGACAGACTTTGAAAGCTCATTCGCAACTACTTTTCTTAATTCTTTTTTATGTGATTCCTGCGTATATATTCATTTGCAAAATGGCTAAATGATTGCCAAAGTATAGACGAATCTGGCCACATGCTCATTGTACACGCACTAGGCCCCCTGCAATGGAGAAACCATTGTGCACACTATTTAGTACAAAGCTACTGCCCTGTGACATAATCATCTGAACAATAGCTAGCACAATGCTTTCGCCATTGAAGGGGGCCTGCATTGATAGAATTGATAGCATGCCTGGATTGGTATATAGATGCAATTAAAGAATTTTGAATCAATGTCTATATTTATTTAATTTTAACATGCAGTGACATCTTAACCAAAATAGTAGCTTACAAAATTAATTGATTAGCTTGAAACATAAATTAAATATTGATGTTTAATAAGGCCAGCTGAATCTACAGTAGGAACACTTGAAATCAATAATTCCAAACAATTTGCGATGAATTCATTGGAGTATATTAAACCAAACAAGCCACAATATGATAAATTTCATCAAACCATATGGCTGTCATTATGCAAATAACTATGAGGTTTTTTTATTGCTTTCAATAACTGCTTATGAAGACATTATTAAAACAGAGATGCCACAGGGTCTAATTGAAAAAAAACCCCAGAACTTGGTCTGTTTGAAAAGACAGAGCAGCTGCTTGAAAAAAACAGAACTTATTTTGTGTGTGAAAAAGCCACCCTGACACAAAGTCCCCGTTGTCATATTGTCACCAAGCCTGGTTCCATTTATGTTTTCTTTTTGCTTCAATGTTCTTTAAGCTGTAGGTTTGTTGAATTTTTCCATATTTCTATTATTGATTCTGCCTACCCGAATTTCCAACGTAATATTCGACTCGAAACATGCACGATTCCACAACACTGTTGGTGTACATAACCTTTGCACTACACAATGCGCGCGAGGACCAAAGTTCCGGAATTGATGCGGCGACGCATTTTTTTTTTTTTGGTGGCTTTTTTTTTTCAAGCTTGTATTGTACAGACAAGGTGGGTACTATTTTGCTTTTTTGTGTCCTCATTATACATTGGTGTCCTCCATCATCTGCCTTGGTGCCCTTTATCATTTGCCTTGGTGCAATTTCCCCATTCTGTTGTAGCTTCCGTGTTAATTTGAAAAAAAAGAAGGTTGACGCGCAGGATTAAAATCGACGCGCGCGCTGACCAGAGATTGAGTATTTTTTTTTTTGGCCTTACTGCAATAGGAAACCACCGATAACTGAAATGATAGACTTATTTCCAGGCTGAATGCTACATGTGCTTAGCACGGTGAAGCACGCACGAGGCGCCGTTGTATACTGCGTGCAAGTACATTGGCGCCTGTGTCGCATGCAGGCAGCGCAACAACAAAGACTTGTTTTTAAGACTACTTCAACAAACAACATTGTGCCGAGCGTACATGCGCCTAAAATGTACTAAACTTGAGAGTGCTAATGAGGTAAAAAATCAACGCATTTTCACAGTTATTTCTTCTCTTTTTTCAGTTTATTTTGACGGCCGGAAAAACCGTAATTTTTGTGAGATTTTTTTTAAAAACGGAAAAAGCCAGGGGGATAACAAAGGAATGACCTTCACATCTGCACACGTTTAAACAACAATAGGATCCGTTCAACTGAACCAAATACAAATAGCCCTTTCACGAATATTCCAAATGAGCGAGCAAGAAATTAATTCCAAGTTTATCCTTTACAATCGTGAATTTGAGAATGACAAAAACAAGGTTTGCGGTAACACCATTTGAATTACATGTATATCTCTTATGAGTTGTGTGGTTCTCAGAAGAACCAGTCGACTCGAGTTAAACCAACTGGTTCTTCTCAGAACCACACAACTCACAAAGAGATATTATTCACATGGTGTTAGTGCAAACCTCCCATTCATTGAACATGTCCACCGTGCAAACCTTTATCTCATCTGACAAACAAAACAAAACAAGGCAAGTGTGGTATTAAAAGCTGGTCCAAGAGCTCAAAATATTCTGTAAAATCGATTCAGGATGGCTATTCAATAGATGTTGTACACACAATGGGCTGGATTTACGGGGTAATCCTATACAATAGCACTGCCCAGCACACATCACCAGACAACAACTAGGCCAAGTCACAAGTGACAGTCAGTCAGTCAGTTAGGTATAAAGAGGACACTAGGCTGGCCCTCTGGGACCAGCCAAAAAATCACAACTGTGCTCGGATGGGACTCGAACCCACAACCGTCTGCCAAGTGTAGATGTTTAAACCACGCTACCACCAAGCTTTCCGTGATAGACTGACCAGTTCTAATATATATATATATACAACAAAATGTGAATTTTAAAATTCACATCTCACCGACTTCTGAAATTCTATCAAAATCCCCTTGTGACTTACTTCCAGACGATAGCGGTGATCATCATGATGTACATGAAGTAGTGACCGGACCCATCCCAGTAGTTGATCATCAGGCCATAGGCTGTGTTCAGGTATGGCTCTCCCTGCAAAACGGAATGAACAATTTCATAAGATAAAGGCATTTTTGTATCATCTACCTCTCCCTGTGTTGAAATCAACATACCCACTGTAAGTGAACCGGGTCCCATGGAACACAGGTAGGCAAGGCGTACTGTTCACACTTATAAAGGTGTGTACATGGGTTGGCTGTACACAGGGAGTGTGGCCTAGTGGTTAGGGTTCGTGACTCATGATCAGAGTGTCTGGGGTTCGAATCCAGCTGCTGGCCGTGTGTTGTGTCCTTAGGCAAGGCAGTTAACCCTGACTTGCCTCTCTCCACCCAGGAGTATAAATGGGTACCGGCATTAGCTGGGGAGTAACCTGCAATGGACTAGCATCCCATCCAGGGGAGTAGAAATATCCTCAGTCGTTTCATGCTACTGAAACCGGAGATAAACGCCGGCCTGATGGGCCACATTGGCTTGTGACAGACTTGACTTGACTTGACACGGGTCGGCTGTAGATTTAGCTTTTCTACCTGGGTACAGCCTCTCAAACCAGGTTTTTGCAAAATAATTCCTGTTTCCAGCAAGGCCGAGAAAAAAATTATATGCTTAAAAAATTATAGTAAAATTTTCCAGGTACTGCATGTAGGAAAATAATTGTATTTTGTCATTTGTTTGTTTGTCCATCTTCATGGATTTTGATTTTCTACCCGGTACAGCCTCTCAAACTAGGTGTTTGCAAAAAAAGTTCCCATTTCCAGTAAGGCCCAGAAAAAAATTACATGTTTCAAAAAATTATGTGTTTAAAAATTTTCCAGGTACTGGAAAATAATTTTATTTTTTCATTTGTTTGTCTGTCCATCTTTGCATATCTACTTTGTTTACTCTTAGGGTACCTGTAACAGTATTCTGTTTATCTAACCTATTTAATAACACAAACAAAATAGCAATTGACCTCAGGACTACTTCTACAGGTGATCTTGTTTTGAGGAAAAGAAATAACCCACACGTCATTTAATTCCCTTGTAAAAATTAAACAGAACACTATGCAGGGTAAATGAGGCTTGTTTTGATATTTTTTTTTAGAACCTTGAAGAGTTGTGGGTATTTTCCCCTGATTTTTGGAATTGAGGGTATAAGTTACCGTTAGTTTCTACGGCAATTTATAACACTGGTCTGTAGGTTGTGCCAAATCTACCAAACATAAAAAATATTCGATCATCCAGCGACTTCAATTCTTTGATAATGTGAGTGGTCTAAAGAAAAAGGGGGAAAAAAATCTATTATTTAAATCTGATAAGTTGTACGGAGTTATTGTTTGTCAAAAGCCACATTTTTGCTGGTGGTCACTTTACACACATGATTCGGGCGCTTCTGTGCGAGGAATGTTTGCTTGAAAAAACATGTATAATGTATAACATGTATTTGACATCGATAATTTGATACACATGATGTGCTTAAGATTTTATTGACCTTTTTTACGACAGGTGCACACACAAATCCGATCAGCGGCCTATTTCATTCCTGATCAGGGTAAGCTAGCTTAAATCAGTGTGTAATTTCATGCAGTTTCGAACCCGAACGTACAATTCCCAACTGGCGCACACAGTTTAGCCCTGCACATGTCAAACGTGATCAGCCTGTTTCAAATGCATATACTCGATCGAATCCAAGTTCAAACAATCAAATACTAAATTATTGAAAGGGATACTACAACCTGAAATCCCCCAAAATTTATGTTTTCGATTGTTTACTTATCCTATTTTAAAGGTCTGGTTGAAAGGAAACTAACCTTATATGTATGTATAAACACCATTCCCAAGAAAAAAGAAGAAGGTTGTTTACATCGGACATGACAGACATTTTGTGGTATATACGCGTACGTACATGTATTTCCAGCTGTGTCAATTCAATGTATGGTACACATTATCTGTGTGATGGTGCGACACATAATACACACAGCACCAATACACAAATGTTGTTTCTTACACATCCACAGAATGCGAACTACTGTACGGCAGGTTCACAAGTAGCATCAACAGCTCGATTTTTGAGAGTCAAGATTTTGACCCCTGAAATTTGTTCTCGCGAGAATAACACAAAAATGCTCAGTTTTTAAAGGATGGTTGTGTGGACGTTTATATAAATGCTCTTTCCAATTAAAGGGAAAGTACATCATTGGTTATTGCTGTATTTTTCAGAGATGAACTATTTGACGGGTTAGTAAAATAGATCAAATATTGTTACTCTGACGTGTTGGGAGTTAGTGTGTTCGAAAATGCTGGAAAAACAAAGAAAAACAAAAATGTTCAAGTAGTCTGGTTCTCTGACTCCACTAAAGATGAAATGGATCAATTTTAATATAGATACCAGAAAATTGTAAGGTATAGGGAATCAGTCTAGCTGGCCTACACCCGTCCATGAACATGTAACCAATGGCAAACCAAATTTGGACTGAAAAAAAAAGGTAAATTTGGAGCAGTAGTTGAAAAATAGTTGGGTTTTTCCAACGGTGGTCAGCCGACCACCGTTGGAAATTTATACATGTACAAAAATACAACTCTTCTTAAAAGTGACTTAACACCAGGCGCCATAATTTTACAGGATGCTTTAGACTGTCATTTGCCAACATCCTAGTAAGGTATTTCGTATAAATTTGTTAGTTTTGGTTTTCGATGTATGCAAATGTTGTATATTCCCTTTAACATCATTTCGTATAAAACATGTTTTGTAGCCCAATTGGGCGTATTCCAGGACTTAACGTCCGTTTAAAAATGCTCAGCACGACTGGTCTGCGGTGTGCACACCTACATGCAGCAGTCATTTTATCCCTCCTTCCGGCTTGGTTTACACCCCAACCACTGAACTAGGATCACTGCCAAGCACTCACAATCAAGTAGCGTGTAATTTTAGAACACACAATAGCCAAACCCTTCTCTGTTGTTAATAATTAATGCCTGGGAACAGCCCAGATTGTATAAACAAATACGAGCTACAGGTTGCAGGGCTGATAACCTGATAGCGCTATCATGTGGAGTGTGGTTTGCTGGCAATTCAAAAACCATTCCAAAGCAAATCTGGTACATGTAACTTATTCAGCTGCAAAAGTACATGTTTACTTAATTTGAAAAACAACACATTGTAAATCTGGTAAATTGATACTGGTTGTGTTTGATTCGTGGAAAATGATTTTTTCTTAGAGTCAGTAGAAATTTCTGAAATTCAGGGAGTGGTGGGTTCGGTTGAAGAAGTGCGTATTGTGCAACAATTGTTGAGGTGTATTGTGTAATGTTTACTGTGTGTTGACATACTGATTAAAGGTGCACACAGGAGAGCTTAATGTTACAAAGAGAATGAAACAATATGCATCAAGCAATGTGTGAGCATCAGCAATATTATCACTGCATCAAGAAACACACACGTGACGTATACATACAGAGTGGTTGTGCAAAAAAAATGTATTGGTTGAATTGTGTTTGATTAGGTTAGGCTGATTAGATCGGGTGGTAGGGTTGGGTTGGGCTGGGTTGAGTTGGAATGAGTTGGATGTGTACTTTGGGTTGGGGTGGGTTGGGTTGGGTTGGGTTGGGATGGGATGGGTTGGGTTGAGTGGAATGGGATGGGATGGCTTGGGTGGGGTCACGTTGGGTTGGGTTGGGCTGGGTAGGGTTGGGTTGGGTTGAGTTGGGTTGGTACCGGTTGGGTGGGTTGTGTTGGGTGGGATGCGATGGGATGGAATGGTTGGGTTGGGTTAGGTTGGTAGGGTTGGGTTGGTTGTGTTGGGTGGGATGGGATGGAATGGGATGGTCACGTTGGGTTGGGTTGGGTTGGGTTGGGTTGGATTGGTTAGGTTGGGTTGGGTTGGCTTGGCTTGGCTTGGGTTGGGTAGGGTTGGGTAGGGTTGGGTAGGGTTAGGTTGGTTTTGGTTACATTGGGTTTGGCTGGGTTGGGTTGCTTTGAGTTCCAAGGTTAGGTTAGGTTAAAGTAGGTTAAGTATACGACAATTAGGGAAAAAACTTACAAAATATGTGGAAATGAATAGCCCTTTAAACAGTAAAATAACTCATCCAATTAATAAATCATTTAATTTCTTGAAAAAAAATTCTGCTTTTGTTTCTGTTTTACCTCCTTGAGGTAGAATTCAATAAAGTTGGCGATGATCCCGTCAGCAGACAAGGCAAGAATGAGATCAATCACACTGGTCCAGGCAAACAGGGAAAACACTGAGGGGGGGAAATTGGAAGACCAGTTTAAATATCATGAAGTTATTCACGTTGGAAATTCACCCTTTCAGGCATCATGATCAGGGCTTTATTTACTTTCAGGACCCCTCTATTTTTTCGCTGCTGCTATTTTTACGAGAGTTGACCATTGCGTTTTAGGGTGCTGTTTCAGTGAGTTCAAAACAAAGAGGAGTCCTAAAAGTACACAAAATAAATTGTGGTTTAATGAATGAATTAATTAAAGCACAAAACAGACTGACCTTCAAATAAATTGATGAATGCTGAATTTGTTAGTTCAAACTATTTCATTACTTATGAATTTTACGGATGTTGTGCCCAAAATAGTCAGGTAAATTAGCCTCATTCATTTGCAAGATGAGCTGTTCTAGAAGCAAAAAAAAACAGCACCATGAGCAAAACATCTGGAAAGATGGACATCAATAATTTTTCCGTGCAGCGACCGGAAAAAATTCCATACTGGGCCACCACTCAGAGCTCCTGCACAAAGTCTATGGGCCATAACGGAACATTTAAATTTTAAAAGTATTATCAAAGAATTTTTGCACTCCGGTTTTATAAACAGTGTTTCTTCATCAGATTTACAACTTTTGGTACTTTTCAGGTCATAATAAGGAATACGCTTGGTGGCCCAGTACGGAACTTTTTCCCTGGTAGCTAGCTTACTGTAGAAGAACCAATCTTTGGGCTTGGCCGAGCGGCTGATGAGGTACGCCAACATCACGATGATGGGCAGTATCAGGCAGCCTACGGCGAACACCGCCCGGTGATCATCCGAGAACGACTGCACGGTGTTCAGCGTGTAAGTCACGGGAATGGCCGTCAGAGACAGCAGGAAAATGCCAGTTGCCGTCGCCATTCTTGAGGTATGAGGAGTCTATTAGGTGTTTGAGCTCGTTGTTAAGAGAAGAAAAAAACCTGAACAGTCTTCAATTTGCATTGCAAGAAAAAGAGACACCGTCCGAAGTAAATTGGGTGGGAAGATCGCTATCGCCTTAGCACATGTTTTGCAAGTATTCTGGGAACACGACTGGCGTATACCATTACACGTTCTACATTCCTTCAGGGATTCACCAGACTATCGAGTAATTTCACCGTTCGGCTGAGTGAGCGCCCTCTGTATGTCCATATGCACCCCCCCCCCCCCCCATAAAAAGGGGGGGGGGTTCAGGCTAGGCGCGGATCCGGGGGGGGGGGGGTTTGTGGGTAAAAAAAAACCAAACAGATCTGTCAGAAAAAAAAATTCCCATAGAAATTCTAGGAACAAAAATGCAAACCCCCCCCCCCTCCTCTGACACCGATATTTTTTTACTGGTAATAATGTCCGCCTTTGCACAAAATACGGATAGAGCCAGCTTGGTTAGGGGGTAAATGTACACTTTTCTGTGATATAGTGTTAATAATCGTCGGATTTGAACAGCACCCCCATTGAAGTGTGGTGCGAGCCCATGTTTTTTTTTTTCGGAGGCCAAGCGTCCTGAGAAAAAAATGTCTACATTTCAATTTTTGGCCGATGAACCCCTCCCTCCCTCCCTGCGAAAATCCGTGGATCCGCCCCTGATGGTTATAATACCCGGCTACTTAGTAACCTGAAAACGCTGACTACATCCTTTCTACTTTTCCATTTGTTTGAGCGGTTTTGTGTGTGTGTGGTTTACCTCCATGGTAAATCGGGCTATCTGGCATTTCATCATAGCACTTAGCAGTGGATTTGAATTTGGTAGTACATTATGAAATACGAACACCGATATCTAGAAACGACCGATAAAAGCTCTTCTAAAAGTGAGCATCTGTAACGAAACAAAAACATTATGGGCTCTAATACAGTACGCCGCCAGCATGTGCGATTGCTTCTGCATGCAGAAATACCAAGCTGGTGTGCCTGTGTAGAATGTTCTTGAAATGGAAGTCAGGTTGGCGTGGGGAGTCAGGTTGGGCTGGGCCTAGCGGTACTTTCATTGCCTTCCACCGCTGTGATCCGGGTTCGAATCCCGTCTGGGCTAATATGTGGATTGGGTTTTCAGTCCTTGCCTGATTTCCGCAGGATATTCGTCTGTGTTTTTCCTCCCACCTCTACAGCTGTAATTTCTTCTCATTCACTTCTCTCTACAGGTTCTTCAGGCTTTCGAGCTTACAGTGCCCAAAACGCTATTTGGGGAAACAGTACCAGTCGTAAAAAATAATATAAATATAAAAAAATGCAATAAAGAAATTGACTGGAGTGGGGTTTGAACCTGCGATTTCATTATTACAATTCCGGTGCTCTACCATTGCCCATTGGGGCATAGGGCTTCCCCATTTTATCAATGTTTTTGTTCAAGGGGTACTTTGAAAAATTAATGAATGCATAGCTCTATGTCTATGACTTATGAACACAACAAGTGGCCACTGCTTGTGATTGACTCAACTAAAAGTCTGCTCCTCAAATTCAGTAAGGGTAAAAACCTTGGAAGTGAGGTAAATGTATCAAGTAGGGCCTCATGTACGGTATACATGACATAAACAAGGCTACATCAAGACGAAATGGCTAATTATAGACTGTTGCGGGACCCGTGTTTGTCAACAACCATTCAGTTAGCTCCATGTAGGTTTGCAGCATTGTGATGGATGATCAGATCTAGACAACTCTTATTATGTACATAATCACACGCGGACGTGCGGACAATAGTTTGGTGGGACAGAACACAAGAAGGCCGTCCGTTCTCCTTGCATTAGCCGCCCGCCTCTAGATGATTTCATTGATCCTACCTATGCACAGAGGAGGTCTTGTAATAAACCTCTCTCGCCTCCTCGGCAGAAAACATCCCGTTAGTGGTAACAAAAGGTTCGGGACAGAAGGGGCTGGCAGCCTTCTATGCATCATTATGCAGCCGTACAAATACATGTAAATGAGACGACGTGCCAGACTGGACATGATTTGGGTACTAGGTGTAGGCCTATACAGCTGTATAAGCTCAACCCTCGAGCAAAGATGTCCTCAAGAATAGAATTAGGCCTTGCACAACATTATGATGACAACACTTGATGATCTGTATTACTTATAGAAGAGAAGGTTGCTCGAAGTCTGGAAGCAGTTCATGCATGCACTAACATCTCCACCCATCCCCTCTCATCCTCTCATCCTCCCTCCTCCCTCCCCCCTTCTGAAAAAAGCACGATCTTGTGTAACATGAAACGATCAACACTCATAATCCCATGGAGGAAGATTTTCTTCCTCCAAGATTATCCCAAGTCTTGCGAATTTTGCGTGGATGGTTTTCTGGACAATGAGTCTCGATTGTGTTCCGGTTCATTTCGATAAATTTCGACGATTAGCGTCTCTATTTTAATCTCGTTAATTAATGAGGAAAGACCATCATGATTTATGTCTAGTATTAAGATTTCATGAGTGTGGAAAGGATGAAGTTCTCGGGTGAAGCATGGGTGAACTTACATTTGGGGAGCCTCTAGTAGTTGTAATGTTTTTTTCTTCGCGTGGATCTGATTTTTGGCAAGGGTGGTCATGTTGGAAATATACGGTTTCACCATAGGTGAATTTGGAATGCATGTCATCACACTTACAAAATGATATTTTTGATGTAATTTGAAAAAAACCCTGAAATGCATAATTTATACACCCTTTTGTTTCGTATCTCTGTCGTCATGGTCGTGGCTAACATTGATGTGATAAAGCCAGCCTTATCATGTCAATGATTCCCCCCCCCCCCCCCCCGTCCGGGAGAATTGGATGGAATGTCTGTGTGCTGCCCCTTTTATTATCTCGAAATCTCAACAATCTGGTGGTGCCAGCGAGGGACCCCCACTTTTTTTGGCTTTTCTTATTATTACTTCAGGGCCATTGAAACACGACACGAGGTGTGGCGCCCCATGGTCGTGATTGGTCCAGGACGGGCCCGGTGCGATACGAACGTGATGTGTACATGTACATGTACATGTATAGATCCTCAGGCGGCGGTGGGCGAGCGGTATAATCAGCACGCGTGAGTTGCGGCCTTCCGCAGTGTAGCTCCCGGGGTACAGGTTTTAAAAAGCAGCTAACCTAACTGCAAACAAGTTAGTCCAGTTCGGTGTTGCAAGGGGTTGGTGTCGATGTGTGTGTGTACAGTCAGCCAAGCTAGCTACCCGCTGCTCGCAGTGACAAGACTTTGCTAAAAGTCGGTCAGGCGAGCTCTGAGCGCTGTGAGATAGCCAATCCTTTTGCAGCTGTGGTTCCCTCGTGTAACTCAGCGGTTAGCTCTTTTTGACTTCATTGCCAGCTCCAGGATTGACTTTTTGACAAGCGTTAAGTGTGAAAGTTTTATGCCGGTACTCGGTAGAGGTTGCGGCGTCTATATAGCTCTTGTCGTAAACTTTCTGCGGCGGCAACGCTTGTCCGTGCAACCTGTGCAGCCGAACTTTCTTTGGAAAGGAGGTACACGCTGACTGTGGTAAGTTGATTATTAAAGCCTACTTAGATGTGTGGTAAACAAATTCAGCAAATTGATTGCTATACATGCTATACCTCAGTGTACGGTGCGGCTAGATATTTACATTTTCCCCGAATTAGAGAAAATGATGAACTCCATATATTTGCCTCAATGATCTGGTTGATCACGTTGATGCTGCAAATATTGGCCTGATGTGTCTAACGACATGAACGAGTTATCTTTACATGCTTTAGTTACATGTATCTTAATTTCAGACGATAACCCACATTCCATAAATGCTACATGCAATTAATATGTTAACACGATCGCCACACGATCATCTGATGTACAAACATGATCACTGTACAAGGTACAAGAACATGATCTATGATGTACATGTATATCGCATGCATACGTACATGACGAAGGACCCTGGATTACCGTGCGGATCTTGCCATTTCATAGTCGAGTTTGGAATGTTCGGTCTCTACTGTCTTCGTTGATTTTCTACTTTCAGGATTTTTGTCGTGCAACAGATAACTCCATCTATACAGGTTCCGAGAAGAGACTCATTGAAAATAATTTAGTGACCACAGACAGATAGAGACATAGATAGACATGATTGATACTTGATACTGATAGAGTACTTCTAAGTTCTACCAGTACTAGTCATGCCAGTAGTAATCAAGGGGTAACCATCTCTGAGTTGCCTGAGAACTTCAGGATTTGGTTGTCTCCAAGAGAAGATTACAAACAAGTGTTGTCTGGTCGTAGATGGGTACACAGGTCCTATAGGTACGGTGTGGTCACATGATATCGAGAAGGTTTGGACTTTCCATCACAGGGGTTGATTTCTTTACTGTTGACTAACTAAGCTTGGTCGTTAGCTCTAGCTCTATAGACAGTGTCTTAATCTGAAAGTATAACAAAACGCTAAAACTTTGTTGGTCTCATCATGGAGCTATCCTCCATGGTCTCATCATTGCTCTATGTCTCATGTAATACAAGTCAATCCATTCTTATACAGTGGTGATTTATCGTAATTAATCAAGAAGGAGTTTTCTCCTGTGCCCCCCCCCCCCTATGGTTTTATTTACGCATGGTTGCTGTTTCAACAAGTGGTACACCTGGGGTGGATCAAGCCACCAAAGTGGTTTTTCTGTCAACAATCTTGTAAAGACTAAAGTGTTACGTAATTCCGCATTGGTTGGAACTGATAATAATAATAGCTGGCGGACTGCACTGATCAAATGATCAAATAGAGCTGGAGTGACTGGCGATGTTTTGGAAAAATTATCCCACTCCCCCAAAAAGTAAATATTTGTTCTTGCTGTGGCCAGTACTGACTGTGATTAGGATCAGGGTATTTGGGTTTCAAATTAGCAAATTAACAGTGTTTTGGACGGCTATGGGCATGTTGAATGACCATGCCATAGCGTCTTCAGTCGTCCATCGTAATACTCTTTCTAGTTCGCATCTCTCCTTAATAACATCCCGGAACAAATTTTAAATTTTTGAAAGGCTATCCTCACTTATTCCATGGAGAAATCGATCAGCTTCTTGATCTTTTCGACGGGTGCTTTACCTATCTCTCAGTGACCTCAAACTTCACCAAAAGTTGGTCCGGAATATTTCTTTCAGCGTGCGCCGGATCGACCGCGTGGAGTCAACGCGGTCAAGCGTGTAGCCATCTGGCCCATGCATGTGTTTCCCGGAGATTATTCTGCCATCTCCAGTTACGATAACTTTGGAGTGCGCTGGGGTACCCGCCCAGGGCCTGTAGCTGTACCCGCCTTCATCTCTCCAAGTTCAACACAAACGATTTTGTCACGCTTTATTTTTTATTACTCCCTACCCCCCTCTAGCTTTCCCTACCACTAAATTTCCGTGGATGTTTTTGCAATCACAGCACTTGTAAACATCACTTCCTGGATGATTATTTTGGTTGCTTGATCCGAGCAGAGAAAAGTACATCGCGATTGTGTGCCTCCATCGGTACGGTACATCCATGGTACCTCACATAATTATGGGTCCGGGTGGGCAGTGGGTGTAATATAATACATCTCACAAAAGAGAAGTGATTTCTGTTGAGTTCCTCTGAACTAAAACTAATTTAGCCTTAGGCTTATCTCTTGCTAAACACCTGTTGGCTCTTTAGAATGAAGCCCAATATGTTTTAGGCCGTAGCTAACATCATAACATTATATACGGCTCAGGAGAAAGTACAATCATTGTTTACATTGCATAGGCTAGTTGACCGCCGAAATTTACTTGCGATGTTCGATACAAAATATTATAATTTATATATAAAGTTAGCCAGTTGATTTAGGGTTTGGTGTATGATGGCTTTTATCTTGAAAGTTGGTTCATTTGGTCGACATTATCATTTCTGTGTAAACCCATGGAGCTGTTTAATAGCTCCACGGTAAAATATTGTGGTCGCATGAAGTATTGTATATGGTTGTGCACTGTGTGTACTGTGACGAGGATCACAATTTTGAATTTTCACGCATCTAAAAATAAGCCGTGGAATGGAAATGGAAAGTATTTTGCTCAGAGGTCCCAGAGAGTAAGGCTATAGTCATCTTTGTACCTATTAACTCACTGGTTGACTGTCACTTATGGCTTTAAACTGGTTACCAGTTTCACTGACTGACTCACTTGTGTGGGAGAAGCTTTATTGGCAATTGCCTATTCTGTTTTAATGTGTGTGACGTAGTACTAGCACCCTACACCACAGTCATGTGCAGGGAGTGCAGTCCTGCCACCGTTACCACATTACACCACAACATCCTACAGGGTCCACTGTACTTATTCAAGCCCCATTGAAAACAGTGTAAAATCAACAAAGTTCAGGGCCAAATAACATGCAAGCCAAAATCACTGGGGTTTCTCAAACAAAAATTAAATTATTGTCTTGTCTTTCATCTTTTCATTTCTTTTCAATTTTAGGTACATTAGCCAATTACATTTTTAAATTTCACACCCAAATAAAATCACCTCCCGAGAAGTGATAGTTCCCAAGCCTGCATGTAGCCATTTTACAAGTGGTATCCTTCCACTTTCACAGGCAAATAGGACCCATTTTTCATCCGTGATTTTATCAAGCCTGCCCTCAGATGGAAGCCCCAAAACCAGGGAGTTGGTCCTTGGGTATATTTACACAATTCCACCGTTTTTAAAGCCAAACAGTCTCCGTTTTCAAAGGAAATTGTCGGGGCACTTTTTATGCTAATGACTTGCGTAGAAATTCTCACTTGAATTAGTTCAGTGCACCCTACACAGCAGCTAGAATTGTGGGCTCTGGGACCAGCCTAACCAGGCTTGTCCTGTATTATTGTTTGACATTTGTTTCTACCCAGGTGCAAAATGTTAGTGTGCCAGTTTACCCATAGTCACACATTATCCTCATCATGTCTATGCTATACATGTATACCAGGAAGTGTGCATGTTATTTTGCTGAATGTGCAGACACGGAACGCTGCGGGGGGTGGCCAATTTCCCAATTTATTTCCCAGGTCAGTTCGAACGGCCCATGCTGAACACACACGGCAGCTGTCGACAGAAAAGAGGTCACATATCGGACATTTTGTAATGTTTTGCCCATTGTTTCACGCAAAACACATTTATATATACCGAATTGTTTCATTATCATTGTCTCTACGTCTCTATAGACTGAAGTGAAATGTCAGTCTGTAGACGCAATTCAAGTCGCAGAAGAATTCGCTACATGTATTTGCAATTGATTGATGTTGCCTTGAGGTTCCTTTTTTTGGTAATGGTGTTGCCCTTTAAGTTTAATGAAGACACCGGAACTCATTAAAGCTGTGGAGGAAGTTCGCTGACTTATCTTTAATGAACAGGTGTCGGTAGTAATTGGCCTATTAAATAACTGCATGACCGTTACTTGTAATTGTTTTTGTGTTGTCGTATAATCCAACATAATACACGGTTGTTTTGTTTACAGATTAACAATCAGGTGAGCATCTGGTACTTCAACTGTCTGAACAGGATTTCCTTTGTATATCCAAACTGCATTCAGTGCAGTCAGTTCGTGAACTTCCACACGGCATGTACATAATCGTCGCAGACTACAGACTTGCAAATGAAGTGCTACAGACCTTCTATCACGAATACCCTCACTGTGCATCTTCCACTAATCAATGGAAAATAAAACTCTCCAGAGTGGTCATGATTTAACATTAACTCAATTAAGCTTGGTTTACCATATTTCGTCTCTCTTCGTTCTCTTCGTATTTGAAGAAGTATGCCTATTGTGTTGACGGCTGGGCGATAGGTCTACTTCCCTCCAAAATTGTGGTCATAAGCGGTCGTTAAAAAACTATATCAAAGGACCAAGAGATGAAATTTATGCTCATGTCAGAGCTAGAAGTTTCATTTAAAACGAAACCTGGAGTATATATGGCCGAAAAATCCCTATTTCAAAGAGTAAATTGAAGGGCACGCAGTTGAATTTGGTTGACATAAAATTGTAATACATGTATTGAGTCAATTTAGTTTCGACCCGAACGTGCAACTGTGTAAAGGTCGTCGTTGCGGGCAGCAAACAAAACACAGTAAATCGTGACGTAGTAAACAGGACTCGTGTATGCTACTGTGCATCGGGAGTCCTGTTTATTACGTCACGATTTACTGTGTTTTGTTTGCTGCCCGCAACGACGACTTTTACACAGTTGCACGTTCGGGTCGAAACTGGACCTGAAAAACAGCTCTCAAAAGTACCTTTTGTACTCATTTCATGACAGAAACAATAGTCGTTTTTATTTTATCACACCTTAGGCTACATATACCCGAAAAATGACGGAAATGTCTTCGAGCATTCCACAACCTCTTTAACCCTTTTCCCCACGACATTGCATCGTATACTCCCAAAATGGATTTTATCCCTACACAAATGAGAGCACCCATAACTTTTTGTTTTACCAAGCTGCCACTTTGCCAGACGATTTAATGGTTAGCCTCGTTTTAAAAAAAAATGCACCTGGGTCAATACAATTTGGGTGAAAATCATCAAGCATAACAACATTTATTTAACATGTATTTAATCAACTTTAAGTTCTCAAAAAAAAAATAACATTTCGGATCTGTCATGATTGTGCCATATGGTCGTGTTCATTCGTTTTCATTCACTACTGCATACTTTGTAAAGCAAAGGAGCTCCATGGTAAAGCTCACATCGGTGCAAAATTGTCTAGACGTGTTTTTGCTGATTAGTTCTTGTTGTTACGTCCTCGCCCCGGGATAGTTTCTGGTACTGACAAATGTTTCGCGTATAATTGTAAACAAGTTGTTGGCTGACATTTCAATTTGCGCTTTGGTATTCTTCTGGATGGGCTGTAAAATGCCAGCAAATCAGACTTGTCTAAACATGTGCGTCTCAGACGTTTGATGGGACAGATAATTATTGACTAATGCTGAAAATAATGGTCGGGCTTTTAAGAAGAAATAGCCTTGAATTATTTTGATAGAACAGCCAAACTTTAGTTTAGGCGTACCTAGCTCTATGGGCGTACCCTTTTGGTTGCTCGAGGTTAGTTGTTGCATTTTTGCTAGTCCCAGAGGGCCAGCCTAATGTCCTCTTTGTACCATCTGAATAATGACTGACTCATTGACTGTCTCTAGTGAGCCGGGCAGTACAATCATATAGGATACCAAAAATACAATATCCACACTGAATCGACAGAATACAGATTTGTGCGCTCTCATTCAGCCTTATTACTGCCTGGTCTTGTTTGCAAGTGAACAAAAAAGACCGAAGGCGCGATTTTGAAATCTGCGCCAGAACATGCATTGAAATGGATTACCGAGCTGCCTGGAATGTATAGGCCTACTCATCTGGAAAACTAGGGGCGTTGGAGGGAAAAGCCACAGTAGGCCTAATTGTTTTTAATGTGTCCGTTTATTATTTAAACCTTGGTACAAGGATATGTGGCTCTATCCTCGGGTATTCCGTTATACCATGGTTATACAATAATTGATTTCGGACTGACGACTGTTGCCCATTGGGCTACCTAGGTTGTACACTAATACTCAAATGACAGAAGTAAGTGTGGGGAGGAATAATTACCGAACTGTGCATTTAAATTCTTATAACATTTGAGAAAAGACCAAGTGCCTCACCTTACTTTGATGTATGTAAGCACCATCCTTTTTTTACAAATGGTTCGCTCTAAAATACCCGGAATTCTTGTAGGCGTCAAGACACACATCATGTTAAAGCTTGCGAATATCCCCTTTCACATTCTGTTCAATGCAACTAAGTAACCTACAACCTTAAAGTTGCACGGGCCTAGTCTGTGGTCTAGGTATAACTTCCAATCTCTCTAATGCAAAATGTATTTCATTTCAAAAAAATCTTCCAGGCTGAGAACCAGCAAAGTCTTGTGTAACGCCCGGAATGGAGGCGGTACGAAGAGTTCTGGTGAGGCTGGCGTGTCTATGCCTGGTGGTACTGACGACGGGGGCCCTGGCTCAAGAGCAACTCCCACCTCCTGGGGCACCACTCGGCCAAGGGCCGGAGGAGCCGATCCCGCAAGTGGCCCAAGGCGGCCAGTACAGAGTCATCAGTGGGTAAGATCAGATAAAACACCTTAAAAAAAATCTCTCACGAGAATGGGTACCTTCTCAACGCTTGGTGGCGCTAGACTCGCTTCAACCTCGTGCCCCGGCGTTTGAAAGAGGACGCTGCCACAAAACGGGGACTAAGGTTGAAAGAAGACACTGGCAAGGGGTTGACTAAAGTTATTACCTTTCCATGATCTTATTGTATTAGTTAGATAAAAATTACCTAAATGAACCCAAAGGGTGCTGATAATGTGCCAATTTTATAGTGCTTCCGCGGTTGTGTTGTCACAACCCTTTTTGCAAGCTCCAAATACATACCGTGCTTGTATTTATTTATTGATATTGATCTGTTTTTAAGCTGAACGTGTGTATATGTGAACATCTCCAGCCTGGCTTGTGTCAAATTTTCACTTAAGAATCAACCACAGAGCTTTGGGTTTTCAACACGATATTAGGCCTATTCTGTTTGTTAAGAGACATGAGAGAACCTTTAACTTGATTTCTTCACTGTGCACAAAGCGTCGCCTACATGAGATACTCTCAGCGTATGATGCAGTGAGGGTTAAATTAAGATACAATGAAAGCCCACGATACAATGTACTTAATGCGAAATACATCTGAAAACAAATTTGGTTGCTCTGTTTTCTATTGGTATTACATGTGACGCCGGCTTGGATGGATAACCATGATGGAACGAGACACCCAACTTGGCAAAGTGGAAAATAAAGGAACGACTTTCAAACAACCTTCACTAAGCCAAGGTCTCACTATAATTCTTGCAAATCATTTACCATGCTACATGTACATGTGTACACAGAAGACGAATTGTTCGTTTCCTATCTGAAAACGCCTGAGAAAGCCATTTCCGCCGGCGATGGTAGCGTCACGCGACATTACAATTAATATAACCGGGCCATGGGCACAACCTCTGAGCCTTATCACGCCAATAATACTGCCTGGGAATATATCACTCGGTGGTGCCTGGGGTGCTATACTGCAAAATGCATGAGAAGTACGATGTGTTGTGGGTAACATTTTGCTCAAACTATTGGTCAGGTCGTCCTTCTTCAAGGCCGTTGAACATGAGAGTGTCACATTTAGCAAAGAGCAACCACTCACACGGACCGGTATTACTTAATTAACTACCAAAGACCCCTACTGTTCCCTTCTTTCGCTCCAATAGAGCGTGTAAGTTGACCTAAAAAATCTGCGAGATTTTACGGGGATGCATGGACATCCGGGTACCATGTATAGGATCTACAACGTGTGTAACGTCCTATTTTCTTTTGGATTTATTTTGTGTCCTGACTTGGTTTATCCAGTCAATGGCAGTATAATGGCCTCTTCGAAAGGACATATAAATCATTACAATCTACAACATGTTGCGACTAAAATTTTGATCCAAATTGAGGTTGTAACTAACTTGCAACAGAGACGAAAGTCTTGTCCAAAGTGACCGTGAATGACACGTGCTGATTGTCAGCCCGTATAGAACCATTGAAATGTCCGAAGCTGGACATTGCAGAATTTTCAACCCGATCCTGCAAAATGGCGCCAACACTGTGAATCACGTAACACACTGCGTGTATCTTTCTAGAAGGGGAATATGCAAAATATTGATAAAAGTCAGAAAAATGGACTCGTAACACATCGCAAAACCGGAGGTAAATTGGTTGCAAACATAATTACATGTATGTCCTTATATAATGCAAATTATTACAAGATATTCCAACCGCAAGAAGCCTTTTGGACAAGTGAGAACAACGTTTTTGCGTGACAAAAGCCGTATAATAGGCCTCGGTTATGTGCTGCGTAACCGCAATGGTATTGGTAGCTTGGTGCCTCTTCAATATTTAGGCCAGAGCTATGGCAAAGGATGGTTAACCTTCAGGATTAAACTACTCCTCGGTCCACTACCAATGTTCAGATGTCAACGCCGGTTTTATGTCTCTCTTTTTATTAGTGTAAATTATATGGAGGTCCTTGTTACATGCATGTGAGCATGTAAATATTCGTTGTTAAATAGCTTAGAGATTACAGGGAGCTAGACCTTATTCAGTTACATATCGTCAAACAGAAGTCCAACAAGCTTATAACAGTACAGCATTAGATCTAGCCCTTTGTTTCGAGAGTGCACTCAATTCCCAAGGCGTTATCCACGGAGTCAGTGTATATTTGTTGTGCTTAAGGATAGCAAATTTACAACAAATCCACGTCAATAAACACGGGCCTTGCAAACCCCTGAGACGGAAATTTAAGCTCATGCTGTCGTTACTGGACACCCATAAATCTTGCTGTCTGCATATAAAATCGAGTGTTATTAATTCCTGAAACTCCGGACGTGGTGCCATACCGTGAAATGTACGATTTGCTGGTACGGAATTTATGTATGCGATCTGGCGCGGAAAGATCGCATTCCTCTGGTTCAAGCTGAAGGCCTGTTCGTGTATTCACCGAAAGTATAATGTATCCTGGTCTTTTGTCGCTGGACACAAACCGTGAAATTACCCCAAGTTCCCTGTGTTTACTAACACCAACTGTTTTTCTGATGGGCGGCCATTACCGCGGCTGGGGTGGGAAATTACGCACCTACCGCTTTTGTTGGTCGGCAGCTGCGACCCCCGCAAGTCTAACCAGATGAACAAACTGTAATTCACACTCTCTCTTGACTAAATTGCATTTTTCCCCCTGTAAACTTCTGCGGGACATGACGGGGCGAACAACGGCCAAGTGAATTGGAAAATCTGCTATTGAACTAGAACACACTGCGAACCCCGCGTGGAAGTATTTATATGGAAGGCCAGTTCATGTTTGTGTTTTTCCATGTCATACAAAATAGGTCAAAAGGGCGAATTCAGAACAACAGGTATATTGCTCCCCCCTCCCTGGGACGGTACATGAAGATAATGTTAAGTTTTACTTTTGTGTATTTGGTCAAGATTACTTCTACTTGAAAGAATGAATGTCTTTCAGTACTTGAGCGGATTGGCCGATGTGTTGAAAGTCCCAATCATGAAAGGGTTTGAAGTGATATGAACCGCATGTGTAAATGTTTATGTGAACACAAAAGGTGGCGTTCTACAGGTTTATGCAGGCATGAATTAACACTCGTAAAACTTGCGCTAAACTGGGGTTTTTGACAGGTAGTTGGTGATGAAGTCACGTAAAGAAGTGCAATAACAACAACTCTCGCACAATAAGAAGTGCAATAAAATTCACGTAAGTCGTTAACACTGGCCTGTGCTTTGAAGTACTACCATTGAGGACTGCTGCATGTCTTCTTTTTCCAAGCAGGCGCGATATGGCTTTAGGACGTGCAGAAAAAGAGTATTTTGTTAAACCAAAGAAACACGGGATTTTCTGCATTTCACTATAAAAATTGATTAAGGAAAAATAGCTCACAAAGAGGATCATGTCTAAGAATTAACTTGTCTGAGTTTGGGTTAAGAAGATGAGACTTCTACAAGCTGACATGCTTTTCTGCATAAATTTACCTTGTCACGTCTACCATGTTTATAGCTCACCCTTCAGACTGTTAGTTAGAGCCGGATATAAAATGACAGTCAACTTGTCAAGGCCGAACCAGACACAGCTTGTCATTCACGCATACCAGCTATCACTGTCCCCATTACAGGTTTTTATCTATGGCGCCGAATCTGGGGATGAGTTTGGTTAAACTTGCTTGCAATCGGGTGCATGTCAAACTCACAAATATGGGTGTGCTAGTGTACAAGCATCACTTTCACTGTGTGGACTTCCGAACAAAAGATGTCCACATAAACCAGGTAGCAGCGACGTTGAGTGGACTTGCCCACGTCCACACAAGGTTTTCCTCTCTCTGGAAAACAAGTTAAAAGGCATGGGGGGGGGGGGGGTTAGGTGTATCTGTGGCAAAATGAAGAAAAACACTAAAATAAAGGGAATCATAGAAACAAATTTGGGTTGAAAGAGTTTTCACAGTTTGAGTACTGGCTAGGCTATACCTAGACCACTTTAACAAATTAGTCTGGGACAAGTACTAGGCTTGCCGTGTCTATTTTGTTAGGTCAATCATCGCTAGCCAAATATTTTTGTACAAAAGACTCGTGTTGCCGATTTTGTGCACTGACATTTTCTATAGACTTGAATAACAAGGGTGGGGTGCTTCTGGTACTTTTGAAAATGTTCCATGATTAGATAAATATTGTGCCTTTACATAATAAGGCCCGTCCCTGACCTGAATTAGACTTACTTGACTGCAGTATTCTCTTGTATCATTGTATTAATGTTTTGGAGGTTAGTTGGGTCACAAACCAAACAAACCGCACACCGTAAGCTTTTCTGTTGGACACCAAACACTGTGGAGGCTTATGTTAGTATCGTGGGGGAGATGTCAAATTAAGAACAATAATTCGCTCAGTGGTTTAGTTTTACCCTTAATATAGCTCTATGGTTTTAACCAACTGAAATTGACAGTCTCCCGCGCTGAAGTTTTGCGCGTAGTTGATCCCATTTTCGTCCGAACTCCGAAGTGAATTATTTATAAATCGCCCTGTAATTGAAGCAAGTACCATTTTTCCTGAGGTATATATTTCCGTCGCTTTTGTAAGCAACAGTACTCAGCAAGCCTGGTGTAACGCAGGCCCCTGCAAAGGGCACACAACTCTATTCAAGTGATTGAATTGATTCAGAATGACTATTCACTGGAAGTCTGTTCATGGACCTGGTCTACACAATGGGCCGGATCTAGCTCATTCCTTAGCATTATGGGGGTAATCCTGAACGATAGCACTGCTCGTCTGTTATAGTCGGTAAGTCAGTCTGTCAGTGAGGTTGGTACAATGAGGACACTATAGGCTGATCCCCTGGGACCAGCTCAAATAGGCTTGGCGATTGATAATAACAACTGCACCATATTGGAGACTTTTCAAAATGTAATAATACCACAACAAGTAATATATCTCAACACTAAAATAATATTCATAAATACCTCAGACAGTTTAGCTATTCCTATTGGTCGAGAGCCCGTCACGTGGCCGGTATTAAACGGATGATAAAGACATGGATAGCTGGTCTTAAACACTTTTCCAGTGTCACAATAAAATGTGGACTCCTAAAAATCCAGTTCCTCTTACCGTTTCATTGGTTGAACGTTCACAATCCTCACGTAGGCATGCGCAACACTACAAGCGAGTCAGAATTTTATAGTTCTAAACTCAAAACGCAACGCCCCAGGTGCGTTCTGCGTGACATCGCGCAGAACATGTTACGCGCGCGTCAATCTCCATAAAAGGGTTGTTTACATCTTACTCGCCAGCTGAACACTCCATTATTTTGCTAGAGGGATGTTTCAAAAAGGATGAAGTGAACTTGTTGAACAAAATCGGGATTTTTTGAACGAATTATTTGAAAAATTTTTACGGATAAGGCATTTATGAATGGGAATAAATATGTGCTCGGTCGGTATTTATCACTCGTTTAATACCGCTTAGAGTCTGGGTGCTGATAATTACCCTCGCCTCCGGCTCGGGTAATTATCAGCACCCAGACTCTAAGCGGTATTAAACGAGTGATAAAAACCTCCGGAGCACACATTTATTCCCTTAGTAAAGGTACGTTCACGAAGGACCTTCAATCATTCACCCATTCAGACAATAGGGTTTTTGGATATTTATTGGGACATTCTCCACATTTTCAGCATACCGCGGACTTCGTCTGGCAACCCATGCAGTTCAGTCGAAGGACACATCTGTAAATCGCTGCAAATTCCCTTTTGCTACGTTGACTATGAGCACAATGGTTGCTGTTTGTTTAAGTGCAGTTAAATTTCACATTTTTTTTTTAACGATTGATGACTATTGCCCGAATTCCAACACGTTCTTTCAAAGCAAATTGTAATCTGTATCATGACAGGTTTAACCACCAGATTGCTTTGCAGATTTTGATGGGATTTATTTCGATACAATGTATATCATTCTGATTGATAGGTATATACAGCAGGACAGTGCTGGTGGCATTGAAAGCCTTTTGATGTCTAGACATTTTCCGTTTCAAATTCATGAATTACTTTATAGGTTGGCATTCGCCCAAAGCATGCGTGTTTATTATGTTACAGTTCCGGGACTAAATGTAGCTTAAACGTTATTTGACATTCCGACACGGATGTCATAATGTCCCCTATATCCATGTAGGATTTTCCGAGTGCACTTTCATTGGACTTGATCTTAGATTTATGTATTTTGTTAAAGTCTTTTTTGTTTCCCCTTGTTCTACTTTCATCTGCAATTTATCGTCAATTCAGAGGCAAAAGCCTTATCGTCAGCCCGCCATTCAGAAAATGCCCGTGGGCAAGAACTGTGATAACTTATCAATTTGACAGTTTGTCAGTCACAGCATGCAACAGTTAAATTATTCCACTTTGGAATGTGACAGGTGGCTTCAGTTCCCCTGTGGTATATTGCATTATGCTATTGATGGTTTTACTATTGACCATAATGAAATATTTGTAGAGCGGCGATAAAGTTACAAATATGGAAAGCTTCTGCGTGCCTCAATCATTCGCTTTGTAGGCCTATTATGTCTATAAAAGTTCATGACAACTAGTAATAGTTTGGTTCCAGTGGGGAAAGATTTTGTCAGCGAGATGTCAATAAAAAAGAGAAAGTATCTGGCGGCTTCAGAAAAAAGGAAAGTTCACTTTTAATAATAGGCAGCAGATTTTCTGAAGGATCGGGTTTTACTATCGAAATAATTAATGGTAGAATTCGCAAAATTTTGGGGTCATCAAGATAAGAATATAAGTTTACACGCGGCCAAAAAAATACGCGACTGGAATTCTGGAAGACTTTTTTTTTCAAAACTGTATCGAATCATGATCGAATTGTTTATGTGGTTTTGAATTTGGGGGTTTATAAAGACTTATTTTTCTCACATCCCATCACGAATAACAAAACAACCTGTTCGGAGATAGTCTGATTGCAGCTGTCAAGATAACTGAGGTATTTGCCTTGAAGCGTGGAAAGGCGTGTAATAATAAGAAAGACATTATTGCACGAGTCTATCTTACGGTGGCATCCCTGGGGAGGTCCTCAGCAACGCATGCCGACCATTTTCGCCTGCTTGAAAAATTCCAATATAAATCCGCCTGTGTATTTTTCAGATAAGATTAAGACAGTGATAATTAAGGGGTTGTATTCACATAATAATAAAGTTGATTTGAGGTTTTTTGGTGATGGAATTAAGTCGCGCTATATTGTTATATTGAGGTCACATACAGGCCCTGATATTATCTTGCAAAAACACTTTTGATGCAACCCCCCCCCCACCACCAAAAACACCCTTTAAAAAAAAGAAATGGCCCACGCAATGTAATGTTTTAATGTAATCCTTGAAAATGACCCTTGGTGTCCCATTTAACCTTAATTTCAATTTTTTGTTGGGGGGGGGGGGTCATGTTTAAGGGTATTTTGGTGCCTTTTTGATTTTTATGCTGATGAAATTTTTCATATTCATGAGCAAAAAGTGTGACGTCATTTCATGCAGAAAACTCAATGTTACATTCATTTCAGCACCAAAAGTTGCCAGAATTTTGGTTATTTTGCTGTCGTAAATTGTCTCTTCGACGTGATTTGTTGTGTTAGTTCATGGCTGCAAGCCAATGAGCAAACCTTTCTAACACTACAGACGTTTTCAATGAGCATTTTGGGGCTCACACTTTGAACAGAAACCCCCTAAACTGAACAGTGTCTTCCTAAAATGACACCCCTATTGTCCAGAAAAGCGGGGAATTTAAACAAAATGTATAAAGGAGAGCACTGTTTAATCAAATTAACCAAAAAGGGATGTGAAATAGCTTTTATACATTTAAGAGGAGTAGAAAGTTGCACAAAACATGTTCCAACAAAGACCCTTTAAGTTTAACCACTCTGATGTTGGCCTAATCATGGGATGCATTCCAAAAACTACATAAAATCTGTGTTGATCATGATGTCTTTTTGCTGATCCCAGAGAGTCAGTCTGGTGTGCTCTTTGTACCTATATCTCACTGACTTGCTTTCTGACTGGCTGACTCACTTTTGAGCCGGGCAGTGCAATCATAAAGGATTACACCATAACACCAATGAGTAGGCTAAATCCAGCCCATTTTGGAGACTAGATAATGGATGAAAAGACTTCATAGCCATTGAATCAATGGAATACAATTTTGGGAGCTCTTGGACTGGCTGTACTAGGCTTGCTTATTCTGTGTGTGTGTGGTTTTTTTAAGTGATTTATCATTTTCTCCTCCATTTTCTTGCAGTCCCAACGTCTGTGGACGTAGGTTATACGCATATTGCTGTCCAGGTTGGCAACTACATCCCGGTTTACAGCAGTGCACAAAGCGTAAGTTTTAAATTTCAGCTGGACTGTTATGTAATTTGTAAACCAGCATTTTTTTCTTGGACATTTTTCTGCCTCAATGATTTCATCGACTTAAAGAAGTTGGTCTGCTCTGAAGAAAGACAATGATCTGGCAATTCGACCTCTGTTTGTTTTTGTGCGAAGTGATTTCAATATTTTCCACTAACCCTCTCCTCATCAATATTTATTGGTCAATTCTAGGCGCATTCTTGGAAAGAGGATGTCAGGACAGAAAGGATGACCGGAAGACAAAAGTAGTAGCCCTTCCAAATTAGGACTTATGCATAACCTGAGCATACATTTTTTTTTGCTGACCATCTTCTATTCGAATTCCACCAGATCTTAGAAAATTGGTTTTCTGAACTATGAAACATTCCTCAAATTTGCAGCTTGCCTGAGCAAGATATATGTAACCGGTGGTGTTTTTAAATCTGAGTTTTGACAACATTTTTATGAGGCATTGATGGATTTAAAAACAAACAAATCTATATTTTCTTTCCAAAAATCTGTGCAGCCATCTGCAGTCGGGTATGCTCGTCAGGCTATTGCCGCACCCCAAATACGTGTCTAGGGCAAGGCTGTCCATACGGAGGGATAAACTGTGATGGGGTTGGTGCTGACCGTAAGTTATGATATGTCACTCTTCTTGTACTAACATAAATCGTTTTTTTTTTACTAAAACTGTTAATGTTAATGTGAAAATGTAATGAAAAAAAAAGCATGTTAATTTATATTCTGATGATATCCTATGAAATTTAGATATAAGGTTTTTGAAAATAGTGTTTGGAACTTCCTTCGCAGTTTTGGTAAGTCGCTAGTTTTAATAGCCAGTGAATACTAGTTTTGTGTATAACTGTAGAATTTTGTAAACTAAAAAAGGGGAAACCCCCCCAAAAAAGATCTTAAGAAAACTTTAATCCATACAGTGAATTAAATTTTTCTTTAGATCAAGTTTACTTAACACTCACCTCCATTTTTCAGCAGATATTTTCTGTAACCTCACTCCTTGTCAAAGTTCATCAACCTGTCTCACTTGTTATACGTACAGTAGATTATATTTTTCCTTTCTTTTTCAGTTGCACCACCTGTGACTTTTTGACAATTAAGCCGAGTTAAAAAAGAAACAGTTTCTTGCCCAGGCTTTATGTCTTAAACAGGGGTGTGAAATGTCAGCTTTAAAGCTGATTTCAGCTTTTTTTTCGTTTTGGATTCCAGCTTTTTTCCCTCACTTGCTGTGTACAAAAGTATAGGAGATTTCCAAGGTTCAGCTTTTTTACACCTTTTCAGCTGTTTTCAGCTATTTTATCGGTGGTCACTTACACCCCTGTTTAAAAGAAGGAGACGGTAGAGTTGTACCTTCTGAGTACCTGGTACCCGCTTAAAAACTACCAGATATTAAGATGGTTTGGTATAGATAAAGCTGCATAATACAGACATTGCACAGTAAATACTTAGCCTACCAAAAGAAATTAAAGATTTGGACATTCAGAATCTTGTGTGAAAAGCTTTTAAGACAAAGCATTCGGAAAGTACTCGCTGAGTGCTTTTCAAGTACTTTTAGAGTACTTTTATCCCAAAAGTCTAATTGAAAAGTATTTTTATGTATCCAAAGTCCCAAGTTGAATTTTTTCCTCTAACACTTCCTTCGTTTGCTGTCTATACTCTCAATGTTTCTCTTGGGTTGTTCACAACAAACAGCTCGATATTCAGTAGTAAACAAAGTACTCAGAAAGTGCTCAAATAGTACCAGACTACAACTCTGGTCCGAGGCACCCCCCTTTCCCCTCCCCCTCCCCTCAAGATAACAGATTTTTCAAGATGGCAGATGGCTTCTTCCATTTTCTTGACGCTTTTGCTGATACCAAATTGTATCCAAAAGAGCTGTCACTCTCTCAAAATAGCTACAGTTTTGTTGGAAACAAATAAAAAGACAGGTGTTGACCATTTTCTTTGCAAAATATATTGCAAATGTATGAAGAAAAAAAGAAGAATAAGAAAAAAGTGGGTGAGAAAACAGGAAGCGGGCATGGATGAGAAACTGATTTGTTTCTTAACTTTCTTTACTTGACCTTGATTCTGTGAATATTTTGGTGTGAGTTCACATTAACCTTGTAAGTTTCATACCTGAAAGTGACAAGTTTTTCTTAAAGTGCATGGAGTTTGTCCAAGTATTGCTGCATGCGTTTGCCTCCATGTATTTTTCTCTTCTCTTGCACCCTGTTTCTCTAACCCCCATTCCTATCAAGCGTTGGGTGTAGGGGATGAAATTGTTGACTATGGTGGCGTAGGTGGTGATTACGGGCTCCCGCAGCTGCCGGGGCAGCCGCCATTTTGTGGCGATACCGGGTGTGTGGAGTGCCCACAAGGTTTCACTGGTCCCAACTGTGACGTGCGGCTGGATGGCCAATACCCGGGGCCGGGGCCCTTGCCTGGTCCTGGCCCTTTCGATCGTAAGTTGTCTTTTCTCAAAGTTGAGTGTTCACCATTCGAGACGTTTTTTTAGTATTTTGGTAGGGGAATTCATGAAGTCAAAAATATAAGCTCTTTGTACCATATACAAAACATTTTTTTCTGTGTCGCAGTGAAAACAAATATTAAAAAGACGTCAAAGATTTAGTTCTTACAATCTTTTCATAAGATGATTTTTTTTTGCGTCAGGGTGATGTAAATCAATGTTGGGTGAAGGGCAAAATCTAACATCGGTCTTACAATCTTCTAAGAAGTGGCGGGGGGGGGGTGGAATCTAAAAGATTGAGCTTGAAATTTCTTTGTCAACTTGCCTGTTTAGAGAATGTAGTTATGCGAGTGCAGTGGAAGTAATCACAAGCATACATTTATAACATTTCTTTTTCTTATTAATCAATTTTCCAACAATGATTTGATTTTACTAATTTGTGGGTGGCACTGTGAGAACTGAATGTAACAGATGTTTGCTTACTTGGGAGTGTTTTAACCCTTTTAGAAAAATTGCACTTTTCTATTTATTTTGTAGTTAAATGTATTTTTTTTTCTTAATCGCATGATGGATTGGTTTACTAAAAATTCATAATTTTGCACAAAGCATATATATCTTGCACAGAAATTTCACGTAGGCACTGTGCACTTGTGTAAAACTATTTTTCTGACTTTTCAACTGTTTCCTATCATACAAGAGCATTTGAAATGTGGATTAGATTTATTTGTTATTTGAATTTATCCTACGTTCTACAAAGGTTAGTATGTAAAACTTTGCACCAATCACCAGCATCCTGTCACAAATGGTCAGGAAAGGATGAATTACATGTAGGTGCAGGTCTGTCACCAAGGGGGGGGGGGGCTGGTGGGGCCGGTGGGGCCGGGCCCCCCTTGGTGATCAATTGGCCCCCATTGGCAAAAGCCATATATGTGTATTGCTGTATTTTTTTTATGGTAGTGGGCCCACCTAGTTGGTACTATGGCCCCCCCCCCAGCTCAGGGCTGGTGACGGGCCTGTGTATGTGGTAAAAACAGACCATTTTTGGACTACTGAGCTGTTGTTTTACTGTGTGAACAACTTTTGAGAAATCCAGTTTTAATTATAATTGAAATCTTCCTATAGGTTTGATTGGTTTGGATTTGGTTAACAATTTCCTATGAAATCTCTTTAGGAAGAAGATTATACAGGGTGACCCCCCCCCCAAAAAAAACCCCTTAAACATTTGCCTTAAAAAAAGGATTGTTGGATTTTATGTTTTGTGTATCAGATTAAAGGTGAGAGCTTTTTCATCCAAATACTGGACAAATCATGGAAATAACACTTTGGGTTGCTGAGAAAATTATATTATATAAAAGTAGTCATTTCTATCCTGTACAGAAAAAAATTACAACAGTAAAGGATTTTCACTGTACCTATTTTTGCACGTCCTAATCTTTACAAAACAACATGGCACATAATATGACAAGAGTACAAATGAATTTGATGGAAATACTTTTTTCCCCCTGAACAGGTATTTTATCCTTTTTAGTCCTATTTGAAACCCTTTCAGCGTAAATATGACGAAATAATAAAGAAATTGCACAAATGAAGGATAATTGCACAGTAGGCTTACAGTAAGCTAAGTAGGCTTACTTTTACATACATGTAATTGGCATTTTCTCAGCAACCCAAAGTGTTATTTTTATGATTTTTTTTCAGTAACTGAAAGAAAAAAGCTCTCAGCATACTTTTCCTCTTTAGTCAGGCACTTCTCAGATGAAGTAAACATCCTCTTACTTCAAGAAAAAAAATCAAATTGTAAAAAAAAAAAAATGCGAATAATTTCTCAGCCACCTGTAGAAAGTGAGCATGCATGCACCACCAGTGTGAATAGTGTGAGCATTGTTTGGATACAACCCATCATATACGGGAGGTGAAATATACAGGGGGTAATCCAGTGGGGTCATGGGGTGAGATATCCGAAACCCTCCAAAGTCAATTTTACAGATGTGATTTCCATGTGAAAATTTGTTCCCAGTCAGGACTTCAGTTCCGATTTTCGGCGGTGGGGATCACCGTAATTTATAGGGGTCGCGGTTGGAGTTGGCTCTGTGTCAGTTCAGTCAGGTTTTGTTTGGGTGTTTTGCTTCCTACTACTCTGTTTATACGTGTACTACTTTGGGAGAGATCATAAGGACCCTTAGTCATTGTACTCATGTATTCACAGTTCATTACATGACCCAATCACTCCAATTGATGATAAATGGCTTCATTGCAAGATCCTCTTGGCATCATAAGTGCTTTCTACTGGGTATGGTGTAGTTGGATTGGCAAAACCTGAAGATCAAAACTTCTAAAAAAAAAACAACCAAAAGTCATGAAATAAACTCTGTTTCAGCTCTAAAATAAACTCCTGACTGTTAGCTGAAATAAAATGTACAATGAAAGTAAATTCTTCAAATTCCCAGCGTTTTGAACTTCTGCCAGTCAGCTTGGAAGTATTCCATTATCTACACTTATCTTAAAAACACAGTCATCACTTTATGCCTTCATTGTAATCCTAAATGAGACAAGGTATTATCCCTTGAGAATACTAGAATTGTCTATGGGAAGATGTCCGTTCTCACGATTATCATTCGATATCGTTCTTTTCATATTGGCTAACCTTGGGCCTTTAATTGGGACAACCTACTTCTCAATATGTTGAAAACCTTTGAATAGCAAGTTTAAAAGAAAGTTTCCAAACATTGCTACGTCTTTGATTACAATTTGCCCACAGGTGTCAAAAGAGACTCTCTCAACTCAGATCAACTTGTTATGTAATTCTGCATGTTAATGTTTTTTATGGCTGTGTTGACTGTTGTCTTGACCAGTGAAGTTATTTGAATGTTTGGAAGTTAGTACTAGGGTGGTAACAAATCAGTGTAAAAAAGTTTGTTTTTATGATGACCAAATATCAAGGGTTCTGAATGATTTTGAAAACACTTTGAGCAGAATTCTAAGGCAGGGACTTACAAATGAAACTCGAAATGGACTTCTTTAAAAACAGCATATATAACTGGCATGGTTTGGGTTCTTTTCAGTGAAGAAATGACATTTCATCCTCACTAGACATCTGTGAAAGATGTGAACTTGAAAGATGTAAACCCCAGGAAATTTGTTTGACCTTCTATTTGGTAGGGGCAAGGCCGGGGAGTTCGTAAGGTAGCAGGTCCACGCTTCAATCTGTGTGAAAGGGATCATATTGGACAAAAATCAGATGTGCTTATGACAAGGCTATGTCTGTTTTTAATTTTGTGTTTTGGCCACTATTGGCACTTTGCCAAAAAAAAAAAAGGCCAAATATTTGTTTTCGTATCAAATCAAATATGGTTAAGGCATTGAGGATTTAGTTTGGAATGTATTGGGTTGCGTGAGAAAAACTCAGTGGCTCTCAGAAAAGATGAAGTGGCTTTTCTTTCTCAGTAGTAGGCCATGTACGTAGTTTTGACTTTGGGTTTAAAAAAAAATTAATTGGAAACTTCAAACAAATCAGGTATTGTCATTACAGTTTCCACATGATACTTTGATAGGCCAAAACACAAACCACATTTGTCATGGTGAGAATGAATGAAATCAGCAGGCATGAGACAAGTAACCTTGAGTTTGGTGCACTGTGTCAGAAGGGGCATGAATATATTCTTGTGGTTTTGGCAGACCTTGCAATATTATGCCGCTCTTGAAAGAAAAGATAATCCCGAAGCAGCCAAAGAAAGGATGGATTACACAAAAGATGTACATGTATGCTGTTTTATACTTATGTAGTCCTAGCCTTATTTTGCTTGATAGTGGAATTGAGTGCGTGGAACTGTCTGTCGGTATTACTATTAGGAGGAAATATCTTTGAGGAAGTTGAACAGCCCCCCCATGAAACCTTGTCGCCCCCCCCAGTCACCCCCCCCCCCCCAGTGAGATTTTGAGTTTCTAAAAAAATTATCACTGATCTACATGACGCCCCCATGAAATTTTCCAGCCCCCCCCCAGCGCCGCCCCCCCCCCCCCCCCCCCCCCACTGAAAAATTCCTGGCTACTCCACTGCTTCTTGGGTCAAATTGTTTACAGATGTGAAAAGTTTCTTTGTGATGAACAAATCTGCTGACTTCAATTTCAATTGTATTGTATAGGAAAAAAAAGAAAGAAATAATAAGAACAAAAACAAAGGCTTTTCCTCAGTATTTGCAGAAACGTAAAATAAAAAAAAACCCAAAAAAAAAAAAAAAGTATCAGTTTCTTTGTCAGCTTGAAATTTCCTAGCTTTATTTTCCAGCCAATAACTGCGGAGTTGTCTGTCTATGGAAAGTAGACTTGGGCAGTCCTTGAGCTGTCTGTTGAGTTATTATTTGATGAACATGTGGGGGAAATACCATGATTAAAATGCGATGTTGATCTTGATGTCTTTTTTTTTTCTTGTCCCCCACAGCAATTTGTAACCCTGAGTGCCTGAATGGTGGCAGGTGTATCAGTGGCAACAGGTGTTCTTGTCCCATCGGATTCATGGGAACCAGGTGTGAAACTGGTAAGAATGCATGGCGTTCCCTACATTTCGGTTTATTTGTTAATGCTGAAGTTGCTTCACGGAGCATTAATTTATAGACGTCTGGGAATTGTCAGGTCAAGTAACCAGACTAGGTGTATTGCACCCATTCATGGATATGTAACCGATTGCAAACAAAATGTGGACTAACTACATTTGGTAAATTGAGGCAGTAAGTGAAAAAGTCAGTTTATGGATTCTAAATGCTCTGTGGTGCGATCTGAGGCAATTTCTGACCACTTTAACCAATATTTTCTTAGCAAAAGATACATTGTAGTACATAATAGGGCCCTGTAAAAAAGTGGGGGGGGGGGACATGTCCCCCTGTCCCCCCAGGATTGACGCCCATGCCCCAGCAGTATGTGTTCAGAATGTGAATCAATTAGTTCTCCTCCCTTGTGTTACGATCCGAAAATCTCTGAGCTGTTATTGAATTTAGCTCACTAGAAAAACTTGGGTATTCTCAGATGTAACAAAGAAATCAAACAAGACTTACACACAAAATGTACCAGAACAAAGTGAACAAGATGATTTAAAATAATGAAACTCTGAAACCAATCTAAAGGTACAATGGTTCCACAACTAGGAAACTTCAAGTTCAAGAAATTCCAAGATCTTCGAATATAAATTCATAGTAATTGTATAAAACAAAGTTTCTTACTTTCCCAGTCATAAACACATACAGGGCAAGTGCAAGAAAAAGTGCCATTTTTTGTCCCGTGGGGAACGCCATGTTTTTTGTTTTTAAATTACATAATCATTGCAAAGACTACATTCTTATGGCTATTCTCCTTGCAGATGCCCAACATTAGGAAAAACCCACTGAAATCCATGAATATTTAAAAAAAGAAAAAACTTTTGATTAAAAGTTAATGGGACTTGCTGGCTGTGCAAATTCTTGGACTTGCCCTACATTTATGGCTGTAAAGGTCAAGGTTCACACGCAGTGCGTTCTGCATATGATTGAATATGTCTGTTCTACCATAGAGCAAGGAACAGACGCACTGAAACTTTAGGATTCACAAAACTTTCAGTTCCTTTCTCTACATGTACTTATAAATTATTGTAGGCCCTACATATCCCACACTTGTGGAAGTTGGCAAAGTCAGCGACTTCTATAATGTATGTCATATTTTTGCCCTCGGTGAGGCCTGCAGACATTCCTTCATGTAATATAAATAAATCACATTCAGGCTTTACAAGGGCACCCGGTTGAACATTTGCCGAACCAATAAAAACAATGGCATGTCCCACTGGCTTTCATAGCTGGCGAACCGCATTGGGCATGTTGCCTTTTTTTGGCCTGCGTGCCCTATTTGAAATTCAGGTTGAAAGTTGAACAGGTGGGAGTAAGACAGATATCAGATGTGTCCTTTTCAAGGTTCAGTCTAGGGGTATGGCACATTAATCACTGCCTAGTTACAGTCTTGACCCCTGACTCTCTGTTTCGCTGAAGCTTGTTCGCTGTGTTATTATTTACTTTTCAACAAATGGCTGCACACCAATAAACCCACTTCACCTGAACTTTTGACAGTTTCACACTTTAAGGTGAATGTAACAAATTTGGAACGTGTCGGAACTGAACTCAACCAAAACCAAAAACAGGGTTTTTAAACCAAAACCCAGTTTATTGTCGTTTTGCAACAGCACAATTGCACCGTGTGAAATCTTTGCAGGGTTGTGCCTTTACGGTTAGTATGGGAACCGGGCACCCAATTGTAAAAACTAAACATAGGTACCCAGGTACCCGTTAAACGAACCAATGGCCCCCCTTGGCGAGCAATTGGCCCCCCAACGGCAAAATATTTTTATGGTTTAGGGCAACCCTAGTTGGTACTATGGCCCCCCTGACACTCAGGGCTGGCGACGGGACTGTGTAATTGTCTTTCCGGTTCTATGCATGACAGTTTCAGCGAGCTGCACTTCGACAGCATTTTTTACCCATGTTTTTCCTGCACCAATGGATGCAAAACATCGGATAGATTTATTAAACGATGTCTGCTTTATATTACTAACCCTTGAATCTGTCCATTTCCTGAAAGTACGACAAATGCAAATGGTATACACTCCTTTTTAAGTGTGATCTTCTTTTGTAATTTGAGATTTTCATGCCTCTAATGCTCTGCAGACTTCCGTACCGGACCGTGTTATGCTCAGTTCAACCTGGGCGTCTGCACGGGGGAAATCTCCGGGCTGCAGTGCACCAAGGCCCTGTGCTGCTCCACCATTGGCCAAGGCTGGGGTTCGAATCCCTGCGAGGCTTGCCTCACTTTTGAGAGCCCTTGTGAGAGGGGATTTGTCATTGATGCGCGGACTGGCCAGTGCACAGGTAAATAAAAACATTCAACCTTTGTCCAAGATCAGGGCTGTCTCACCAATTCAGGCGATTTACAATGCAGTGCACCACCAAGAGTTTGCCATGGAGAGTCCAATTTTCAACTGTATGGTCGACAAAGCATGGCCCATTTGAATGTGTGTCAGAAGACAACTTGAGCTAATTTGTTATAGATTAGGGCATAGCGTTCTGTCGCCTTACAAAAAACCCACCATATTGATGAAAAGAAACAAAAAGGGCAAATATATACTCGAATCGTACGTTTACAAAACTGTACTGAACGGAAAAACAATTTCAAATGTCCCGCACTGTGAATTTGTCGACTATCTCCCACAGTGCATTGGGAAAAAGAACTCTCCATGGCAAACTCTTGGTAGCGCACTGTATTGTCAATCACCCAAATCGGAGGTGGGTTAAGAAACCCACTTGTTGAAAACCACTTTTTGCCAGTTGGCATTCCCCCTTCTACTAGAAACATGTCGGAGTGCCATTCACTCGCCTGACTACGAAAAACCTGGTGATTTCATGCACGGATCCTTAACCAACCAGTCCAGACAAAAACATCGCTATTCCCTTTTATCTGACTTCTCCTACTATCCCTGATACCACTGCAGATTCCAATGAGTGCCACGTTATACCGGGACTATGCCAGGGTGGCACTTGCACCAACACCATCGGGTCCTACATCTGCGAATGTCCGCAAGGCTTTGCCCTCAACCTACTCACGCAAGGATGCGAAGGTACAAATCAATCTTGTGAGAATAGTAAAAAGTACAAGTGATTGAAAATCAATTATAAAAGAAATCAAGAATTATAGTGGTGATGGAGATAGATATGACAGAGACTTGCTGGCTGAAATTGGGGTCTGTTTTGGCAGTGTTTTATCATCGCATGAAAGTCTTGATTACTCTTCATTAACTCTTTCAGTGCCCGCGAAATTTGAAAAAGTTTAACCCTAAAGTGCCCAACTTTAAGCGTTTTTGTTAATTGTTCGAAATTCTGTAGAAAAAAAAGTAAATAACTTTTACTCACTAAATTTGTTGTTGATGCTCTCTGGTATATCCTTGATATATTGGAAAGTCAAAAGTAGTCACAAACATAGTGATACACCCTGAAACACTGGCCTGAACACAGGGGAATTCCGCACTTTTTGCAGAAAATACGAGATTTAGTGCTGCGCCCCTCGCAAGAACTCGAATGAAAAAATAAATACAGGTCGTACATGCATGAAAATGGTACCATTAGAAAGAGCGAGAGCACCCCCTTTTGATAACATAGTTACTCTACCTCGTACATGTACGAGGTTTGGCAATTTTAAGTACGAACATTTATGAACATTACCTCGTACAAGAGGTTGGTGCTTTTGTACTAACAAATATACCTCGTACATGTACGAGTTTGGCACTGAAAGAGTTAATACAAAAAAAAAATATCACAATTTCTGTCTTTATAGACATTGATGAGTGTGTTACTATCAGCAACATCTGTTACGGTGGAGATTGTCGCAACACCCAGGGAGGGTTCCAGTGTGTCTGCAGACCAGGCTTCACACTGAGCCAAGACGGGACAAGCTGTTACATATCTGGAGGAGGCGGTGAGAAAGACTCCTCAATATTGTGAAGAATTTCCTCTTATCTTAGATTCGTATGTAGGGCTCTCTCACTGACCCACTTGACCTGCAGCCGATTTTACAAAACCTTTTCGCGACTTGCGCAATAAATTATGGCGTAACTTGCGCAATCATTTTAGGTGGCGTAAGTTGCGGTGTAGCACTGAAAATGGCATATTTTACCAGCAAATCGGGACTGTCATGGAGCCCATTATTGCGCAACTTATCAAGATTGATACAATAGGCTCACAGCTTTATGTTCAAAGTAATTGAATTTCTATTTTACTCGTTACATAGATTTTTGGAGTTGCCGAATGATTCCGAAGAAAGTTGGACAAAATTATTTTCAAAATGGCATGCTGAGGTGACCCAACGCGAACAAACAAAATTCACACACAAACAGCTGTTATCAGTGTTTTTATCCTCGTCCAAGATGTTTAAATTATTTACAACGTAGGGCAGATATGCCAAGTTTCGTGAAATAGATCGTAAGTTTATTGCGCAGCTGCACAACAAATTTGTTGCGTAAGTCTTATGCATGGCGCAAGCTATGCACTTTTTCGTGAAATCGGCTGCTGGCCTACATTCGGGTACTGGAAAGTCAGCGTTGCCATTAACGTAGGAAAAGATATTGTATAGCACCACGTGCAGTAGGTAGTAGGCAAGCCTGCAGAGCTGTGATGGATGGCAACAAGTGTGAGAAAAACATAGAGCCAATACCCAGTGCTGGGTCGATCGGCATGATTATGACAACTGTACACAGCACAGTGACCATTATGCCATTTGATAAAGAATTTGCAGTTATTTTACATGAAAGTAAGCCCTACTGTCTACTTTATAATGCACGACGTGGTTGCTAACCAAATGCTTGCCGACTGCAATGGTGGCTGATCACTGGGACACCAGATGGTCACGTGGTACTTTGACGTCATACGATCAGAACCTACTGTCTGTATTGTCCTGGTTACAGTCATACTTGTTTTAAGCAACATCGGCTGCACCCGATCACTGTTAAGTTTGGATCGTCTTGGAGTTGGCGTTCTTCATCTAGGAATTTTTCTTTAAGAGTTTGGATTTCAAGAATTGGTCTTTCAATGATACCCAGTGCTTATTTGTAGTTTTCGAAAGAAACTTGAGACTGAATGACGGCACGTTTTGTTTACATGTGCACTTTCTTTTAGGGGAGTGTGGTCTAGTGGTTAATGTTTGTGACTCGTAATCAGAGGGTCAGGGGTTCGAATCCACCTGCTGGCTATATGTTGGGTCCCTGGGCTAGCCACTTCGCCCCCACTTGCCTCTCTCCACCCAGGAGTATAAATTGGTACAAGAATTAGCTGTGGAGTAACCTGCAATGGACTGGCATCCCATCCAGGGGGCTTGACAACTCCCGTCCCCACCTGGCTCCCATAAGGAAGCTCACATGTAAACAAGGAATGACGTCATTGTATCTCAATGCTATTGTTTTTGTTGTACATTTTCTTCTGGGCCTGTACTCACAAACAAATTTAAACTCTCTAAAATAAATTTTTCAGAAATAACTATCTTTTGTTAAACTATTGTTAAATCTCATAAGAATCGTGACGGACATAAAAACTTATGCTAACGATGCGTCCATTTGTCGCCCTCGCACAGACATTAACGAGTGCCTGACCGTCCCAAACATCTGCGCTAATGGGCAGTGCCGGGACACTCGTGAAGGTTACCAGTGTATCTGTCCGGCTGGCTACACTCTGAGCCAAGACGGAATGAGGTGTAACAGAGGAACTGGACCAGTCCGTAAGAAAAAAATCCAAATTGTCCATTTTATGGACCCTATACAAAAAGTAATAATAATAATATATTCTTATATAGCGCATTACATCATCGGAAAAATCTCTTTGTAAATTAATTGTAACAAAACTGTCATTAAAATACATTTTAAAAACTCATTTAAAAATACCAGTACATCAAAAAGTTCATTAAAATACACAGTAAGACTTTCTGGATAGGCCATCTTTTGTGCTTTTATGAAATTCTTGTGGTTATCTTGACAGAAAAAAAACCCCTTAACAATGTTTCCATTTTTTTGTCCGTAAAAGCAATTAATGAGTGCGTCACCATCCCCAACATCTGTTCTGGTGGAGAGTGCCGTGACACCCAAGAAGGCTTTCTGTGTATCTGCCGCCCCGGCTACACTCTCAGCCAAGATGGGATGAGCTGCTATAGACAAACTGGACCAGTTGGTAAGAATGTATCTTCAATTCCGCCAGTAATTTTAGCCAAGTTTCTGAATGGCATTGCGTGCTCAATTGGGTGGCATCACCTTTGTTCTCGTGGTATTTGGATGCTCTGGATATTAGGAAAATGGGATTGAGAAATGAAGCAGGATAATAATATCAAGATGTTTGTCCTCAGTTTTTTCCCAATGTACATGTACTTCCCACCGCATTGTGGAGGATTGTGCTCACCAAGAATTTAAGACTTTGCAGGCAGATTTTACAAGATATACATCCTCAGGATGTTACAGAAAGTTTGTTGATATTGATAGGAATATATCTTACTTGTTTCATTTCTTTTGCCTCGCGAGTTCAACATGAGCTACGTGCTGAGTTAAAAAATTACCTAGCCAATGAAATCATGTACTCTGAACACATGATTTGAAGATATTTTTGTGGAAATCTTCTAAAGCCTGCTGGCCTTTGTCCCCATCATTTAAATCACACCACTGACAAACAAGAATACTGTGCTTTCATTGGTTAGTTAATCTTTTTAGCTCAGCACGTTGCTCAGGTTGACCGCACACAGTGAGTTTTTTACCTCGCGATGCTGAAGAAATCAAACAGGATAGATATTTGCCTCATGGCTTCGCGAGGAAGAAAACTCCGCCAAAATTCACCTCACACGGTGAACTTGCGTGCTGAGCAAACTACCCTTGAATGACTTTTTGATCAGCACGTAGCTCTCGTGTGCGGCGGGCTTACAACTTGTTACCATAGGTTTGCCAATAGCGAGTTGGATTTTCATGATGGAAATAAACATCACTGTTACCCTACCACACAAGAATGATAATCACTGCTTGCATTTCATGCGCTTGTATTCTTGTCTGAATTCAATGTGCAAATTGATTTTTAGGACCTCTGCCCAGAAACTAGCATTGTCAACTAATTTCTGTTAGATTTGCAATATCATTTATGATTGTGTGAAAAGCTTGCAATAATCTGGACCAATAAATATATATGCATCTTTTCTTTTTGTTGTTGTTAAAGACATCAACGAGTGTATTACAATCCCCAACATCTGTTCCGGTGGACAGTGCCGCGACACGCAAGCAGGCTACCAGTGTATCTGCCCAGGGGGCTACATCATGACCCGAAACGGAATGATATGTAACCCGGGAAGTGGAGGAGGCGGTGAGAAAAACATCTTCATTTGAAGCGCCCCCCCCCCCCCCCCCCCCCCCCGGAAAAGCATAAAAAAAAAAAAAAAGGGAAAAGAGGCGCGAGGTCATAGTGGTGTAAATTTAATGGGTGGGGGGGGGTGCAAAATGTCCCTGCCCCCCTCAAAAACTGATAAATCAAGAATACGTCGAGAAATACAAGATTTTTTTTGGAAAAATATGTTTTTCCCCCCTCTAGAAAAAATCCTGGCAACGCTTATGATTGTGAAGATTTTTGTTTTGTCTGTTGATGAAAATTGAGTGTGAATGCTGTGTTGGTGAGAACGTTTTTGCTCCCATCAATTTGGGGGTGCAATGGATGATTGGTGTTGCCAGGATTTTTTCTTTTTGGGGGGGGGGGGGCAAAGCACATTTCTTTCCCCAACATCCTTGTAATTTCTCTAGCATATTCTCAATTAATCATTTTTTGAGGGTGGGCAGGGGACATTCACCCACTGCACCCCCATTGACACCCCTGCAGACGCCCATTTTGTTACATGTGTATTGAATTGATATCAAATATGACTTCACACTTTTCTTTTCTTCTTTTCTTTTTGTTTATTTATTTATTTTTTTTGGGTTGCTTTTCCTGACGACGCCCATGATTGTGAATTTATATATTTGGTCCTCTTTCCTTTGACTTGTGTTTTGAAGAGTGCTTCTATACAATTCCAAGCGCATGATAATTGCTGTACACATCGCACATGCCCCCATCAATGGAGAAACCACTGTGTATATTATTGTATTTTATTTTATTATTATTATCGCAACTAACCAAATTGAACCTTATCTCTTTGTAGACATTGATGAGTGCGTTACCATCCCCAACCTATGCTCTGGTGGAGTGTGTCAAAACACCTACCAAGGATTCCAGTGTATCTGCCCAGCCGGCTACACTGTAAGCCAAGATGGCATGACCTGTTCTTCTGGAGAAGGCGGTAAGAACAAATCTTGAGTTTCTATGTCAAATTCCAGCTTGGTCGAATTGAATCGTCCTTTTGATTGTTCTCATAGGAAAGAATTTGAATTTGGAGATTCCTTCCATAATAGAATGAAAATCTGTTCTTCCTGCTTAAAATATAGAGAATTGCAGGGGTGAGATTTTTTAAAGGATTTTTTCCAGGTTCATCGATTTTTTAAATACCTCAATGAGGCTTGTTTGTCACTGTGTTTTTTAATTGGGTTGAAAGATTTATAGAAAAGAATTGCAATGTGCAGTTTTCAGGAGTGCTTTTTGAAGCAAATACATAAGTGGACCGTAGATAGACCCTGTATGGATCTGGGGGCTCTGCTAATCATTTTTTGTAGATTTAAACAAAATTCCCCCCTAAATCTCATGATTGGAATTGTCGTGCCCCATTTCTGTCATGCTGGTCCACTCCACTCCTTTCAATTAAAGAGTAACAAACAGTAGTAATTGGACAGAAACCGAGTAGACACAATTGGGCCAGCACCATCATTTTTGAGGTAATGCTCTTCGAATGCTCTTTACGTTTCTTTGGACCAGCATGGCTAGTAGTCAGTAAATGTCAGTTTCATTCGAACCCTCCCCCCCCCCAAACTCCCCCAGCGTATGGGCCTGTCATATCGTCACCGACACCACGAAGTAACACTCCACGTGTTAGGCCCCCCAAAAAATTACTCGGTCTCTGGTCAGCGCGCGCGTCGATTTTAATCATGCGCTTTAAACTTTTTTCTTCAAATTAACACGGAAGCTACAACAGTGCCCTCTATTGCCGCACCTCCTCAAATTTTTGTACCAAGGAGCACCAAGGAATGGGGAAATTGCACCAAGGCAAATGATAAAGGGCACCAAGGCAAATTATGGAGGACACCAATGTATAATGATGACACAAACTAGCAAAATAGTACCCACCTTGTCTGTACAATTCAAGCTTGAAAAAAAAAAAAAAAAGCCACCAAAAAACCCCCCCAAAAAACGCGTCGCTGCATCAATTCCGGAACTTTGGTCTGACCAGAGACCGACTATTTTTTTTTTGGCCTTAAACCATATTTTTTTTTTTTTGGTTTTCAGGTTTTTTTTTACATATTTTAACATTATTCATCAAGGCTTGCCATTGCACAAAGTTTCAAAGCTTCGAGAGCTTTACTTTAATAATTGCGCTAATAATCCATGACAACTTTGCGCGAAAGTGACAATTTTTGTTTTCACGAAGTAGCACTCAAGTTCCATTTACCATTGTAATACATGGCGCGCACTGTGCTCAAATGCGAGCAAAAACGTTTTCACAAAGTAACACTCTCCTTGTTTGAGCGCGCGCGTGCTGACCTCCGTTTCCACGAAGTAACACTCACCTAGTGTTGTAATTCATTGAAGTGTACTACTTCGTGAAAACAAAAATTTATAGTTTCGCAGCTTTTTTGGTTTCACGAACTAGCACTCACCATTTTTCTCTGATTTAATATACAAACGGGTGAAAAACAGCAAATTTAATAAATTCAATACATCAACTGTCCACAAGAGAAACCCAACTGAAAATACTCTGCAGTTTTGACGCAAAGTGTTGTTCTAGAAGGCGTGAACTTTATATGCCGTTTTCTCTGATTGCTAGTTTTTACTGGTATGTACATGAGTGTTTAATACTTCGTGGTGTCATTGACGATATAATTGGACTTGTGATGGACTCGACAACAACACCGAAACCCATGGGACCTTAAGACTTTTTGTCATATTGGAATTCAATTAATGTTTTTCTTTCAATTTCCTTTTCCCCATACTAGTGCCCGCTCGGGGTCTCTGCTTTATAAATTACGACCAGTCCAGCGGGAAGTGTTCGTCTGAGCTGACTCGCATCATGTCGCTCAAAGACTGCTGCTGTTCACTGAGTGTGGCCCAGGGTTACGGCTCCAACAGGGAATCATGTCAGGCTTGCCCGAGAAGAGGAACAAGTAAGTATCACATCTGAGCCCAAAATAAGAGCCAAAAAAGACAAAAAGAACGATTTAAGGGTGAAAATAAAGTTCTAATTTTTGAAGATTAATTTTGGTTAGTCTGGACAAGGGTTTTTGTTAACCTTGCCCATCAAGTAATAAGCTCATCAGTAATTCCCAGTGAAATGTCCTTTGAAACATTTAATGGAAACAATAAGCCATTTGTGAGTAAAAACCTATACCCTTTTGGGATTTACATTTGAAAAGCATCTGGTACACTGACTTGCTCAGAATGCTTGGCACACTTTAACTAATTCTCCAGACCAAAGACACTGTTGCTAATAACATGATTCGGGGCAAGCTCTTGCATAGTTACGTAGGAGACGCTCAGCACCAATACATTGTTCACAATGGGTGAGAATGGCACAAAGACACCAGACCATGCCGGAGCTGACGGTTGCTAGCATAAAGGCTTGCCCCGAATCACATGATATAGTAACAGTCTCTTTGGTCGGTAGAATGCAAACTTAAAACGCGCAAAGCATTGGATTAAGTCAGCGTTCCAGATTTCATTCAAATTTAACTCGCATATTGTGTGCCTTGCTCGTTTGCAGCTACCCACAGGACCCTGTGCTTCACCCCGTCCAACATCACCAACTTCTGCAGTCTGAATCCCAACATCTGCACCAACAGCAACTGCGTGTCGCTCGGGGACACCCGCTACCGCTGCGATTGCAAAGAAGGGTTCCGCCGACAGACGCAGAATATCTGCATTGGTGAGTGGACAATGCTTTTGTTCTTTTGTTCTGCATAAACCTTTACACAGGCATGCAAGTTTTCCTTGAATCAGCTGATCTCCGCTTTTTTAAATTCTCATTTCTGTCATTCAAAATAGAAAAACACTGTACAAAGTCTTCTGAATTTTGGAGTTTCCTCTTTTTTTTTGCGAATGAACAGTTGCATGCCTGTTTACGGTTAATGGCACCTTAATGGTAAAATCTCAATTTTTTATTTCTGAAATCCAGAAAAAATATCCTGACAAATCTCAACCTTGTTATATGGATCCATAAATGTTCGAGGGGGATGACCCATACCTTTTCCCCCACCCATTCCTGCTGTCTATGATACAAAAAACACCTTAGTTACATCCCATCTATCGGTATTTCAAGGGGTGCCGTTTTGGCAAAGTTTTACAAACATATACTATAGACCAGCAGTTTAGCTGGGGGGGGGGGGGAGAACACATGCCCCCCCCCATAAAAAAGGGTCCCTCCCCACTGGAAATTTGGCAGTCTGAAAACATGGCTGTTATTTTAACTGTTTAAGACCGGTTGGAGTCTGGATGCTGATATTCGACTCAGGTAATTATCAGCATCCAGACTCCAACTGGTCTTAAACAGAGTGTTTAGTACCGGCCAAGCACATATACATTCCCTTTCATAAATACCTCTTCGGTTAAAAAAATATCAAAACTTTTCGTTCCGGAAATTCCCAATGATTTTTTTCAACAATTTTACTTGATGTTTTTCGAAACACCACTGTAGCTATATTATGGCAGTGTCCATTTCGTAAGCAACTCCTTATATGGAGATTGGCACGCCTGTCACGCGTAATGCGCGATGCCGCGTTGTGAACATTCAACCAGGTTATTAGTCGATTTTTTTATTGTCATTAGATATTAACGAGTGTTCTGAATCCGGACGATGTGTCAATGGTGAATGCCAAAACGTCCAGGGATCCTACTACTGCGACTGTAACCCTGGATTTGAGCTTGCTGACGATAGGATATCGTGCGTTGGTAGGTGTTTCTTGAATTTTTTTCAAAAGATCTTGCTTTTGGCATAAAATTTGGGGCAAATAAATATATACACATATAGAGCTGGACATTGCGTAGCTGCGATCGGCTGAAGGAGAACGTGTCCCAGACGCTGATTCCGGGCGCAGTTCAAAACATGATTCAGGCGGCAACTTTCGAATTGAAATTGAGATCCTAGAATATTGTTTTTATGAATATATGCAACATTCACTGAGCTTAAGCTTCATCAGGTTAGTTGCTAAGCACCCGTTTTTAGATTTTGAGCACTTTTTTGTTGATTCATTAAAAAAAAAATACTAATGATAAATGACCTACCCTACCTTTAACACACAGCCCAGAATCCCACCTAACTTACATACTTGTACATTTCGTTTATGTGGCCCTAATTGTCCTGTGCCCTGTTCTAAAAACAGTTAACTTCTTCCTGAAGTAGGAAATATCCAAGACAAACTGTCTTCTCTCTATCATACTTCTTATGTAATATTTATGTCCCGAAATGTCAGGATTTCCCTTTATCGTAAAGTTGTCAAGACCAAATGGGTTGTTTTATCATCATTATTAGTTTCCTTGGTGAGCAATTAAACAATCTTTTTTATCTTCCATTATCAAATGTCTTGTCCCAACTTTGTTGGTTTAAAGGTACATTGTGAAATGGAAAGTCATACTTGACATATGCCTCTTTTGTGCATGAACTACAGGACATTTAAATTTAAAGAATTTTTATTAAAGGGGCACATCGTCCTGAACTCGCCGACATTTAAATGTTTAAGATTGTTAACTTTTCCTATTTCAAAGGTCTGGTTGAAAGGAAACTAACCTAATGCCACACTGTTCCAGAGAAAAGACGAAAAAAAATAATTGCTTTATAATTTGCTATTTTTTTTTAAGAATCAAAATTTAGAATTATAAAAGTTATTCACTTTTGAATGTAACATTGACCAACAAAAATCCACCCAAGTTTGGTCGTGGAATAAATTTAATATTATTTGTGGCCGTCGCCCGACAATAATTGAGTTCTCAAGGGGCACCCTTGTAGAGGCAGGGCAGATGTGTGTTTGTGCAATATCAACCCAAAATAAAATCTTTCAGTTATTTTCAGATGGTTGTAGACATCCAAAATAGATAAAATTATTTTTTTTTTCATTCAAATAAAAATACTCAAAGGTCAGAAGTTGTTAGGAGAAAAAAAAAGCACCTCTTTAAAGCACTGATAAAAAAAAGAAGTATTGTCATGTACCGTCTACAGACATTTGCACAAAAGTGTTCCCCCCAAAAATAGTTTTGGTTGATTCTATTAACCAATTGTAGGTCATCATTTTGACAATGCCAAATGTTGAAACTGGGTCACCCTACTGTAAATGAAACGACAAGGACATTAATGGGTTGTTTTCATTTGGAAATATCAAAAAAGTTTAGGAATGCACACCCATCCGTCTGGCAACCGAAACTAGCACAACTCATGATGTGTGTTGCCTCTGGTTGCAAATTATGGGCAGCCTCGCTTCAAATCGGTCCAGTGGTTATGTTATCGCTAACATGTGTAGCAACAGGATGACAATCAATTTAGAAAACTCCAAACATCCAGTTTCAGACGTCCCCCCTCCCTCCTCAGGAAGCTGTTGAACAATAACAGAGACCAGCTGTTTTGATAAAAAAAAAAAACTTCCGGAAGGATAGCACGCTTCCTGTTTGCTGTTCATGCGTTCCCTTACCGGGTCAGGGTAACTGTTTGACCCTGTGCGTTGAGGGAGATGGAAATCGGAAACCTTAAAAAGAAAAATCAAAAAAAAAAAATAACATGTTTACAAAAATTAAATGATAAACCTTACTTGATACTCATCATTGGTTAAATTTGTTAGTCTTAAAAAAAAATCAAACCCCAAAACTTACATGATGCCTTTTAATGGGTAAAAGCTGAAATATTCTTGCCAGCTTCCGTGAAATAGAACCGACTTACATGTTGTTGAGATCTTAAATACTTGGGACAAATTTAACAACGTTTTAAATGTTCACAACTGTTCTGTGTAAAGTGTGAACCTTATTCATTTGTTAGATGTAAAAGTCAAGGTCATATGTGAAAAGGGAATGAATGGTGTGCATGGCACTCCATACCTTAAATTGCTCATAGAATGAAGACTTCTCAGTGAAGTAGTTTTTCTCAAAATTTTGTAATGGTAACACTATGAATAAATTACACTATTACAATGATATGCTTGTATAATTGAGGTATGGGTGGCAAAACATACTAACAATGCCATCTATGTGAAAAGCAGTGAAGATATCTGTATTGAGGTTGTTCTGTGAGTGGTTTCCTGGTTGACAAAAGTTGCCTATGGTAAAGGTGGGGGGGGGATTCTTAAAGTCGCCCATGGTAAGGAAAGTTGTTCGTATTCTGGTCAATTTGATTGGAAAGAGCAGACTTAAATATTTGCGACAACTTCTCTGAACAGCTGTTTTTGTAATTTTGATAGCTGTACTTATTAAGTTTAAGAAACATCCGAAGATACAAAAGATTTACCTTCTCTCGTCCGAGAACCTAGAAATGATGATATATGTTACCCTGACCTATTTCTAAGGCACCAACTGCAAAGCTCATCATGTAATAATGTTGTTGTGGGAGGGTGGATGTGCCCTTTTCCCCGAGTTTTTGAGGCAGTAATATAAATGTTTGCTTTTTAAATGGAACTCACTTGAGCACTTTTGCAGATTTGCTGTTCATGGCCATTAAAGGTTCTCTTGAAAAACGATTAGAAAATGGTTGCCGTTTATGACTTGGTAACATACATTTTAATTCCCTTGATGATAGACTTGTCATGTTCACTGTAATGTTGAAGGAAAAACAAGTTGCACCCACAAAACCCCTAGCTTAAGAAGACTAACATGTGTGTGAGTAAGATTTGAGGCTTTGCATGGTGGAGATACTAAATAATGAAAGGTTTGCGGAAACACCATGTGCGAATAATTTCTCAACTAAGAGAATGGTTCTGAAAAGAACCAGAGGTATAAACTCGACTTTCCGGTCAGTATGCTCTGACCATTCTCCTGAAGATGTGGTCAGAGCACACTGACCGGAACGTCGACTTTATACCTCTGGTTCTTTTCAGAACCATTCTCTTAGTTGAGAAATTATTTGCACATGTTGTTTCTGCAAACCTTTCATTATTTAACATGTGTGTGATTGTGGTTCTGTGGTTTACCAGTGGAATCAACTTGTGGCCACTAATAAGCATCACTGAATTGGCCACTGAACCAATTTGGCAGCCCATGCAGCGATAATTTACTCTTAAATGTAGGTTTTGTGGTTTGCACCTCCGGGGACTTTGTGGTCAAATGAGACCATTACATGCTCATCAATTTTTTAGGAGTTGAATTTTTTTTGGGGTGGGGGATGGTGGGGAGGGGGAGAGTTGTGGAGACAGTAAATGTCATACTCCAAAGAACTGTTGCTGTGATGTCATTTCAGGAAGACACGGTTCAATTTGAAGGGTTTTTTGTACAAATTTTCAACCCAAACATTTGAGAAAAGCTTGCTCATTATGTTATTGTCATGTACTGACACAGCACAAATTTAAGACACCATTGAAAAGAAAATCCATAACAGCAAAAGATCAATAATTCTGGCTAGATTTGGGTGTTGAAAAGATGTGACATTGAGGTTTCTGCCGGAAGTGACATCACAATTGTACTCATGAATATAAAAATTTGTATAAAAAAAAAAAAAAACAAAATAGGCACCCAAATGCCCTTGAAAAAAATGGCAAATGGAAAATTGGAAAAAGGTCCAATGGCACACAAAGGTACTTTTTCGGAGATAACATTGAAAGAATATACATTGCATGGGCCCTTTATAAACAATTGAAACACAACTTTGTGCAGTAAATTTGCCATCTGGAGTTTGCTTTCGTTGAGTATCGTTTAAAGTTAAAGCCAAGAGCTATTTAAGGTTTGCAAAGACACATTTTTTTTTGGGGGGGGGGGGGGGTGCAATAAAAATGTTGGTCCCCCAAAAAGTGGGTCCAACATTTTTTTTTTTTATTCTAGATGCTTTGAAGTGCAATCTGAGGCAATTTCTGACCACTTTGACAATTTTTTTTTTGAGGAAAAGATGGCGGTGTACACAGTGCCTGCCTTTATTGCGACGTACTTAAAAAAAAATATTGGGTTCGGGTTTTTTTTTTGGGGGGGGCCATGGCCCCCATTGCCCCCCCCCCCTGGATCCGCTCTTAAAGGTAGGGGATACAAACCAGAACCAAAAAAAAAACGAAAAGAAGTCATGGTGACTGGACTTATATGTATCTGTTCACATTTCTTTGGAATTGTGACAGATTGTAGAAAGACAGGAAACAAGATTTTTTAATGTAGGAAATTTTATAACTTCTAATTCATTTTTTGGGGGTTCTTCAGATATCAACGAGTGCGGTCTGGACCCAAATGTCTGTCTTCACGGAACGTGCCAGAACAGAGTGGGCTCCTATGAATGCCTGTGCTTCCCTGGCTACAAGCTCTCTGTGGACTCTAAATACTGCGTTGGTATGTAGATTAATGTCTAAATTAAGCAGACAGTGGAGACTTACTTGTAAGGGCATAAATCGGGGGGGGGGGGGGGGATGCGGAGGATATATCCCCCCTCCAACTTTCGGAGGGAGGGGGGGATGGGCTATCAGATGACCCCCCCCCAAAAAAAAAAAAAAAAGTGTGGTGAGAAACAAAGAAATGGCTAATTTCAGGTTATATTGTAACTGTCCAATAGTCCAATGAAATGAAAATCAGAGAATTCAATTCAATGAATTAATAGAACCAGAAGTGTACAAGACATATGACGTCTCTTCAGCAATGGTTTCTGTTTGATTTGGTTGAGCAGACATCAATGAGTGCAGTAGCCGTGGCATATGCATCAATGGGGAGTGTGAGAACCTCGGTGGCAGCTATCGATGTGTGTGTAGAGACGGCTTCAGGGAATCCTCACAGCCTGGGCAGTGTATCGGTAAGTACCAAACCCTGCTTTCTGAGACCGAAGATTGAAATTGATCCAGTTGGGGACGGTATTTGCTCAAATTGAAGTTAATGGTCGTGTATGATTATAATGTTCAGTTTTGTTATGTGACTTTTTGCTGGTCTCCAGAGAGCCAGACCAATCCGGGCACGCTACCACTTCTATCACGGAGGCCCCCTTCAATGGCGAAAAGCATTGTGCTAGCTATTGATCAGATCAGTCATAGCTTGCACAATGCTTTCACCATTGAAGTGGCTGGCGTTGGGCCTTGTGTGTGTGCAGTGATTACGTGCCCGTATTCCTCTATGGTTCTCTTTGTACCTCACAAACTCACTTACTGACTCACCGACTGTCACTTGTGTGATGGGCAGTGCTGTTGTACAGGGTGGATAAAAAAACCAAAACCGAGATATAATCGCTAATTGGCACAGAAGTAGGGCACATGTGAATCAAAGGGAGATATCCTCTGTTAGGGTTGAATCTCCTCTTTAAAATGACACCCTGATCATGTCCTTACATTCATGGTTGACTGAGCAGTGACCTATCTTATGAAAGGGTCTATTGAGAGACTTGCGCCACTTTTCATGGTGAAATCCTTTTTTTTTTTTCCACCTGCCTTAAAAGTGAAAATTGAAAAGTGGCGCAATTCTCTAAATAGACCCTTTCGTTAAATTGGTCACTGCTCAGTTAACCGTGAATGTAATGACATGATCTGATCAGGGTGTCATTTTAAAGAGGAGATTCAACACTAACAGAGGATATCTCCCTTTGATTCACTTGTGCCCTACTTCTGTTCCAATTAGCAATAATATCTCGGTTTCAGATTTTTTTAATCCACCCTGTATAGAATACCCTGTAAGGCCAACCACTGGGCTAAATCCAGCCCATTGTGGAGAAGAGTTTCAGTGAATAGAGAAGAGTTTCAGTGAATAGCCATTCTGAATCAATTCAATATAATTTTTTTGTGCTATAAGATCAGCTTCACTAGGCTTATCTTGGCCCAATTTCATAGAGCTGCTTAAGCAGAAAATTTGCTTAAGCATGAAAAAAACATTGCTTCATAAAATTAGGTTACCGGCCAAAACTCCATGTGATATACATTGCTTGTGAATGGTACTTAGCTGTTGTTTACTTAGCATAACAATCGCTTGGAGTTTTGGCCGGTAACCTGATTTTATTAAGCAAGACTTTTTTGTGCTTAAGCAAATTTTGTGCTTAAGCAGCTCTATGAAATTGGCCCCTTGTCTTGTTTTTCAGACAATTTTGGTAATTCCTGTGAATCAGTATGCATGTCCTGAACAAATCCTCGGGCTGATTTTTCACAAATTTCTCCCTCTTGTTTTCCAACAAAACAATGGCAGTGGTTTTATTTAATTGACAAAAGGGCTGTTACAGGAATCTCCAAAATGAACATTTGCATAACAAATACGCCAAGATAAATAAGGCTAATATTGTTGGCTATGGAATTTGCTTATAAATGATTATTGATGAAAATAAATAAATAAATGAGAATATATATTGCCATTGTCTTTAAAGGGAATGTACAACATTTGCTTTTGCTTCAATTTTCAGAAAGAAATGGATTTGGAGGATTAGTATGTTGTAGCAAATATTGTTAAAATGACTTGTTTCACGTTTTGGGCTTGTAGATGCTGGAAAAACCAAGAAAATATTTCGTTTTCTTGTAGTCTGGTTCCCTGACCCCACTTAAGATGAAACGGAGAATTTATAGACTTTGGGGGAATTGTAAGTTCAGAGAATTAGTCTAGCAGGCTTGTTCCCCTTCACAGGTGTGTAATCAATTCCAAATAGTTTTTGCAGTTTTTCCAGCAAAGAGTTTGCAAGCAGTTTTTTTAAAAAGCCAGTTTTCTCCAACGCTGGTCGGCCGACCAGTGTTGGAAAAATACAATTTTTCTTGAAAATGTTGGCACACCAGGAGCCACAATTTTACAGGATGCTTTTAGACTGTCATTCCCCAACAATCCAGTAGGGTATTTTGTGATAATTTGATCATTTCGTTTTGAGATGTTTGCAAATGTTGTATCTTCCCTTTAAGCTAAAGATCTTGTTTTTGTCCCCTCCCAGACATCAACGAGTGTGAAGAGGGTCAGCTGGAACCTTGCGGCAGGATGGGAGATTGCGTCAACACCCAAGGAAGCTACCGCTGCCATTGCCCGATGGGTTACACTATGGGCAGCGGTGGATGCGAAGGTGATAACAAGACTCCAAAAAGAGTAGCTTTTGTTCGCCCTAAAATTATACTTCATATCAGGGATGTAGTCAAGTCAGGGATGTTGTAATCAACACGCTTTCGCTATTCTTAAAGAAGTCACACTACTATCTATGCCGTAGAATCGTCATTGCGTCGTGGATGACATGAGTATGGTTGTGATTATTTTGCATCGAGATGCTGCTTGTTCTACGAGAATTACACGATTTCTCAGTTTTGTGACCTTAGCATCACTTTCATGCTTGATGCCAACAACAGATCGCATGTCGACCTGAGGCCGGCTATAGTTAAAAAGTGCTATACAAGAATCCGTTAAAATTATTGTTATAAAGGCTTGCTTCTGTTGGTATTCCTCCCCTGTTACTTGTGGTTTGATACGTGATTGGCTTAAAATTGTGGCTCGTGACAGTGGCAGTTATGATCAAATGTGTCAACATGTCTGTGATCATGGTGCAGCTTTGCACGGGAAGGGGAGTAGGGTATTCCCATGCCTGGTTTGGGATGCACTTACGACTTATTTGTGATGGACACAACTGTAACTCCATTATTATTATTATGTTACCTTTTGCAGAGAGCCGTCACGCCTACTGCTCCCTGCACAGCCGGGAGGGCCAGTGCACCGTCCGATCCACCATCCAGGTCACCATCTCCCAGTGTTGCTGCAACGTCGTCACCATGGAGAACTCGGCAGGCTGGGGGCCAACCTGTCAGCCCTGCCCATCCCAGGGAACCATGCAGTGGGAGAAGATGTGCTCCCAGGGGCCGGGACGAGATAGTCTGGGCGTCAGTAAGTTCCAACAGCACTGCAATAAAGTGACAAATGTAGTTTAGAAACAGCTGTTATATAGTGTGAGTCAAAAAAACCCAAAATCCAAATGTCGGGACCATTGTTTTATTGAAGTTCTGCATGTAGCACTTTCAAAATGTAGGATATGAAAGCCCAATTCATAAGCTTTCTTTTATTACAAGGATCATTTAAATCCTCATGTACTTTTCAAGTTACGGAGTTTTAACACAACCACAGTTTTAAAGTTCTGTCCACGGATCACAAAAAATGTGTGCATTCTTTCAGCAAAATGAAACAATTCACACACATCCTTATGTGATTTGTTTTCGTTTTGCTGAAAGAACACTGAACTTTTTGTGATACGTGGACAGAACCTTAAAACAGTGGTTGTGTATAAAACTCTGTGACTTGAAAAGTACATGAGTGATTTGAATGATTCTTGTACTAAAAGAAAGCTTATGAATTGGGCTTTCATATCCTAGATTCTGAAAGGGCTACATGCAGAACTTCACTAAAACAATGGTCCCGGCATTTGGTTTCGTTTTTTTTACTCACCCTGTACTGTGCATGTTCAATAAGATTTCAAAACGATGCAAACTTTTTACTTATTCCAAATGGATATATCGTATTTTCTCAAAATAGAGTCTTGAAGTGAAGAAAGTACTTGTATCTCTAAAAAAGTGATCCTATTTCCAGTTTCCCAGGTTTGCAGTGTTGCAGCATTGTTAACTGCCAACGAATCAATTTGGTTTCCAGTTTTATTCTAATGTGGGGTGCTGTGGTCCAATGGTTACGGTGTTCGACTCGTGTGCTGTGGTACACGGGTTCGAATCCTGACCGTGGGAACATGGTGCTTGTGCTCTTGAACAAGGCACTTTACCACTATTGCTTCCTCCTTCGGATGGGACGTAAAGCCGTAGGTCCCGTGTGTTGTGTTATGCACGTTAAAGAACCCAGTAACACTTGTCGCTAAGAGAAGGGGTTCGCCCCAGTGTTTCTGGCAGTGGCCGCAGCACCTTGTAAACCCTGGTGCCACATAATGGGTCTCATATCTCTCATGTACTTCATTCATCTAACAATAGACATAACTCCCAGTGCCTTGAGTACCTCAGTACTCCGTTGTGCTAATGCCTGAATAGGTTTCTGCAACGTAGCCATACAGATACAAATACATGCACTACAGTGATCCGTCGTTACTGTTTAAAATTCACTCTGAAATTCCAATTTCCCTAATCTATCTCATTTCCTTCTCCTTCAAGAATTATTCTAAAAACATCGCTTTTTTGGGGAAAAAAACAACAAATTTGAATATTGAGTTGGATTCGAATACCGACTTTTGTAATTTGATAATTTACCAGATATCAACGAATGCATGCTGTTCAGTGACCTGTGTGCCAATGGTATGTGTGAGGACCTGGTTGGTAACTACCACTGCCGCTGCAACGCTGGTTTCGAGCCTGATGTAACGGCGAAAGATTGCAATGGTGAGTGCTCAAGAGAAAGAAAATACTCCGAGATGATACTGATTGTATTTCTATTTGATTGATTTTGATTTGAAGAACAGTTTTTTTTCCTATTTTGGGTGTAAGTTTATCATTATAACCCATACAATATTTGTTTACACAATGTTGCAGTGCAAACGATCTGTTGAAAACAGAGCTTGCATATAAGATTTTTGTAAATACTTGAAATTTGAGAGAAAGTTTGCTCTTTGTTCTACCCTATATTAAATATTTGTCTCTTGAAATAATCATGATTCTCTTGAAATTAATTATCTTGATAAAAGATTCTAAAACCTTACTCAATGCAGACAAATTGATTTTGTGGTGTGCTTCTAATGTTTCAGTCAAATGTAACATCTGAACTGTTGAACATTGTTAGAAAATAAGCTACATTTCAGTAAAATACAGCTAATAAGCTTCAAAGTGATATACACTTCATTTGTGGCATTTGGATTTTTTTAAAGATTTGGTATTGAGGTTTATATATAGTGGCCCATTATCCAAGCACAGGGTCTGTAGAAACCAACACCAAATTGACATTATATGATTGTCATCTGCCTGGTAGATATCAATGAGTGTTCCATCAACCGACTGCTGTGCAGCGGCGGCGCCTGCCGTAACTCCCCAGGAAGTTACACCTGCGAGTGCCCCGAGGGCTACGAGTTTGACATCGCCAGCATCCAGTGCAGAGGTACTTACTCATAATGCAAAAACACCTTAGGTTTTGTAATTGTGAGCGTGGGAAACATTATGCCATTTGATCTCTGCTCTGATGTGATTTATGACATATTATTGCCATCCTTCTGCTGTCCTAGAGGGACAGACTGTAGTCCTTTTTGTACCGGTGTCATATGAAAATCGGACTCGTATGAAAATCGGACTCTTTTTCCCGTTTATTGGTTAAACCCACTCACGTGACCAGTCCCTCTCCTAATTATCTATGCATGAGCATGTGCAATACCACCAATGAGTCCGTATTTCATAAATCCTAAAAAACACCGGACTAACTCCCCGACTGAGAGACTGACTGACTGACTGGCTGACTGACCAGTCGCTGCTGAACATGACTCACTGTCACTTGTGAGCTGGGCAGTGCCATTGTATAGGATTACCTGTAATCACAGTGAATGGGCTAACTCATCTCATTGTGTAGACCAGATGCATGAAAAGACTTCCAGTGAATAGCCATTCTTAATCCATTGAATAGAATTCTGTGCACCCTGGGACCAGCTCTACTAGGCTGGCCTTGTCTTTTTTTAATTTTATTTAACTAAGATTGTGAGAATCATAGAAGAATGTAGTTGGACGATAAAGTAAACAATAATGGGGAATTTTCGGGTATGAATGATTTTGTATTGGTTTAACTGATGTGTGACGTTATTCTGGAGTCGCCTGCTTCTGATTAGAGTTGCATGTTAAAAGCAATGGGTTGTATCGGTAGACAGTAGCTGTCTGTCATTGGCAAGCCTAGGCTTATTATGGCTATTAACTGACTGGTTTTGAACTGGCTTAACTGGTTCAAAACCAGTTTTACCAGTTTGTACCAGTTGGTACCAGTTCTAAATCAGCCACCTGTTTTAAGTTGAACTGGTACCAGTGGAAACAAGTTGAACCACTTTCAACTGAAATGTCCACCTGGGCATTACCTTGAATTTCAGAAATTTCACTCAAATCATCAAGTACATCATTCTTTGGCTTATGTTTGCATGGACTGAAATGTTGAATTAAATTGAAATTGGATCAAACTGCATGTGAAGTAATGTACTACATCTTCAAAAAAAAAAAAACTGAAGTAAGTGTCCCAATGTCTGAAATTTTATGTTGTTATCCTCCTCCAACCTCTAGACATCAACGAGTGCTTGCGTGACAGCCAGTGCCTCAACGGCCGATGTCAGAACACTCCGGGCAGCTACCGCTGTGAGTGCGTCATATCTGGCACCTCCCTGGATGAGTCCGGCAGATCCTGCATCGGTAAGAAAATCTACATGTTGGCCTTTGGATCTGTCCAATCTTCCATCAGTCTTAACATTTTGCTGCTGTAAGATTAATTCTAGTTGTTGGATTTTATGCAAATCAAGTTTGGACTGATATGCAGAGGATGCAAAAGAAAACTTGTGACTGATCATCATCTCCAGTTTTGCATCAGGACGTTTTCTCGGGCTGAAACACCTCCAGTCATGCTGTCACAGGCAGGGATGTAGTCTAGTCCATCACAAGTCCCTGCAAGTCCATCACAAATCCTCCAGTCCCATTTGAACTCACAAGCTATGCAATCGAGGTTTTGCAAAAGGCATTCCTTTGTTCTTGTTAATACACTGTTACTTGTGAACGGATTTGTGATTTATTTGTGACTGGACTTGTAATGGACTTGTGATGGACTTGAGGAATGCGCAGGGTAAAACAAGCTGGATATGATCTTGGAAGCTGCGGCCTCCCAACGAGTTTGTGTTGCACTTTGCGTTGAATGTGTACGGCAGAGCGGGCATGCTGCTATTATTCCCACGGATTATCACCTTTCATTGAGCTGCGGCTGCACAGAACGTTTGTTACTAATTAACTAACAGAGAGACACGACAACTTGTTGAGTTGCTATCCGAAGCTAAATATTCCAATGAATTTAAATATTTCAAGATTTTGAACGCGAGTCTTAGTGTAATTGCATATATCTCTCCTAATGACAGACAACCGCCTGGGCACCTGCTGGACTGAGATCCGGTCAGGCCGCTGCGAGTCGGACATCATGGGCCTGATGAGGAAGTCTGAGTGCTGCGCCACCTTTGGCCAGGCCTGGGGAAGCCCCTGCGATGCCTGCCCAATGTCCCTGGGTGATTGCCAGAGGGGATACACCTTGAAGAACGGCAAATGCGAAGGTGAAACATTTTTAAAAAATTTATTCAGTTCATTGACATTTAACCTGATCAGCAACTGTTTAAGATGTTTTATAGGCCTGCTAGATAGTTTCTTCAAAATGTATTATAAGGATGATCATTTGTTAACACAGGCTTTCAGAGTTCCTACTTTTCCTACTTTTTCCTATTTTTTTTTACCTTGCTACTGCTTTTCCTACTTTTTTTCTTGAAATTCTTGCTGTTTCCTACTTTTTCCTACTTTTTGGTCCCACAACTCCGAAAATGAAATCTCATGGAATAGTTTCAAAACAGTTTTACACATTGTCATATGTAAATCAAACAATGAAGGGCTTGGGTGCAGGAGTACTGCAACTGTACTTCCAAAGGCTTAGTTAAGGATGGAGCACAAGTGTTGTGAATACGGACATGTCAAACGAGGCTTATGATGCTGTGGGCATGGGGGAGTATCAACAAAAACTACTCCTGAAAGCCCGCTGAAATCCTATTTTTATCCTGATTTTGTCCTCCAAAGTCCTGCTTTTGTCCTGCTTTTCCACCTGGGTCTGCTTGAAAGCCTGTTTACATCGTACATTTAGATACACAGATCTTGGTACAAAACAGAAAATGTATTGTTAACATTTAATTTTTTTTGTCAGACATAAATGAATGTGAGCTGAACCAGATGGTGTGCCAGAACAGTGAATGCCAGAACACCGTAGGCTCCTTCAGGTGTGTCTGTGAACAAGGCCTCTCATTGGACACCACCGGAAGAAATTGCATTGGTAAGAATCAAATCATCCAATCAGAGAATAGGGAAAAAAATGCACTTTTTGAAATTGCCAAAAGAAGCAATAAATCAACCAATAAGAGCTTGGGTGTCTGTGAACAAGGCCTCTTATTGGACACCACCAGAAGGATTTGCATCGGTAAGAATCAAATAAGCCAATCAGAGAACAGAAAAAATTGCACTTTTTGAAATTGCCAAAAGAAGCAATAAATCAACCAATGAGAGCTGATGTTTCTGTGAACAAGGCCTCTCATTGGACACCATCTGAAGAAATTGCATCGGTAAGAATCAAATCATCCAATCACAGAATAGGAAAAAGATGCACTTTTTGAAATTGCCAAAAGAGCAATAAACAACCAATAAGAGCTGGCGTTTCTGTGAACAAGGCCTCTCATTGGACACCACCGGAAGAAATTGCATCGGTAAGAATCAAATTAGCCAATCAGAGAACAGAAAAAATTGCACTTTTTGAAATTGCCAAAAGAAGCAATAAACAACCAATAAGAGCTGGCGTTTCTGTGAACAAGGCCTCTCATTGGACACCACCGGAAGAAATTGCATCGGTAAGAATGAAATCATCCAATCAGAGAATAGGAAAAAAATGTACTTTTTGAAATTGCCAAAAGAAGCAATAAATCAACCAATAAGAGCTGGTGTTTCTGTGAACAAGGCCTTTCACTGGGCCCCATCAGAAGAAATTGCATTGGTAAGAATCAAATCATCCAATCAGAGGATAAGGAAAAAAATGCACTTTTTGAAATTGCCAAAAGAAGCAATAAATCAACCAATAAGAGCTGGTGTTTCTGTGAACAAGGCCTCTCATTGGACCCCATCGGAAGAAATTGCGTCGGTAAGAATCAAATCATTCAATCACAGAACAGAAAAAAATGATCTTTTTGAAATTGCCAAGAGAAGTAGTGTATAAACAAATAAGATAGCATGTCCGTGAAAAAGGCCTTTTATAGGACACCCCTGGAAGCAGTTAGGTGGGTACAAATAAAATTATCCAAATCAAAATAAATCTCCTTAGCAAATTTCAAAATACTTGCTCTTATTGGACAAAACCAGAAATACTTGCATCAGAAAGAATCAGAACAACGAATAGAATTGAATAGCTAAGAACCAACTTTACAAATCACAGTTGAAATAATATCTGTTAAATAAATCAAGGCCCTCCTCGTTTTTCCTTTGCCCTCCCCCTCCCTGGAGCAGAAACCTCAGTGTTACAGCTATTACAACACCAAAAGTTGCCAGAATTTTTGATGTTTTGCTGTCGTAAATTTTCTGGTTTTTTTGGTGATTCCTTGTTCTTTCAATGCATGACAGCAGACAGTGTGTTAGAGAGCAAACTTTTCTCACAACTTTTTTTCAATGAGCAAATGTTTGGGTTCACAATTTCAAGAGAAATCCCTAAACTGAAGAGTGTGTTCCTAAAATGACATCACAGCAAGGGCGCCCTCCGTTGTCGGGAAAAGCATTGAACATTTAAAATGTTTAAAGACATGCACTTTTCTAAAAATTAATTTAAAAAGGATGTCAAATAGTTTGTATACATTTAAGAGGAATTGAAATTTGCACAAAATATGTTCCAAAGTAAAATTCTTGGCATGTTCCCTTTAAGTCCTTTGTGTGATGACTGAGGATGCTTTATATACACCCGTAATTGTTCAACTCACGCTCAAAATTTGGAATTAAGATACTTCAACAACAAAAATTCTGCCCTCTTGCCCTCCCCCCTTACCGTCTTGGAGAGTCTGATGCTGCTCAAGGCAAAAATCAGTAGCTCAAGTGATGATATGATTTTGCTTTTGTCATATTTTTAACTCCAGACCTGAGGAGTTACCAGTGTTTCCTGGACTACTCGGAGGGCCAGTGCCACGATCCCATCCAGGGACTGTACCGCAACGCCGTCTGCTGCTGCTCCATGGGCAAATCTTGGGGTAGCCAAGGCCAGTGCTACGGCTGCCCGCTACCAGGCACAGGTCAGGAACTGTCCATTTCTAGGGGTCTTTCACTTCATTATTACAATTAATATTTCATGATTTTGAAATTAGAAACTAACAGGTCAAAGTTCTGCTGAACGCCTTGCCACTATGACAAAGAAAAATTTGAAAAATGTTTGTATTTTACTCTTTTTACCTCTTATTGACCTCTTTTTTAACTTTGGAGGTTTGCATTTGATGTACTAGCACAACACTTTGGAGATGTGTTTTTTCAGATGGGAAGATTTTTGTTTAAATAATAATTAATCTTTTCTTAATATCCTTAACACTTACATACTTTCTAAAGCACTACATGAAAACTACTACGTATTATAATTAAAGTAAAATTCATAATAAAAAAGTGCTTCAAATGCATCTTAAACGGTTTCTAGCTGCTCATGGTTTTCTTAGTATTATGAGTACTTACAATTTTCTACTCTTTACTCTTGAAAATGTACTAGACTGTCACACTTTATGCACACGTAAAGGTTCTAAGTAGAAAGGAAACTTTAATAGTACATCTGTCTAAATTTGGATTCAAATTGTAAGTAATTCTTGATCTTTTGTAATATTTGTTTTTGTTTTAGCTGAGTACAATTTACTGTGCCCAAGAGGTCCCGGCTATGCTGACACCAGGCCATCCCCAGAACTAGTGGATGGATCCACCGTGACTATCGGTAAAGATGAAAGCATATAGCAAGCTTTGTAGCAATGTTTGAAACAGGTTACATTCCATTTGTGCAGCACAGTGCTCTTAACAAATTGTCACATAATTGGGCAAAACTAATCAGTAGAATGGTAGTATATGATATTACCAGAAAGAAACATTCGGCAAAAACGGGTGCTTATGATAGAAGATAACATTCTTAGTTATTTACTTCCAAAATTACAATGCAAACAAGCAGAAAACAATTTGCTCAATTCATTGACACACTTCAACAGAAAATGTTACCTGTTTCCAAACAACTCTTTTATTACTGAAAAGTAAGTCTAAAAACTGTTAGAAATGGGGGCTTGATACATTATCTTTGGGTTTAGGAGTGGCACACTCTAGTGTCTAGTAACTTGTACAGGGTTGAGATTAGACTTGACCCAAGATGGAATTGCCTTAAGTCAGTATCTTAAAAAAAAAAATTAAAAAAAAAAAATCAAATAAATCACTTAGTTTTACATCTTTTCAAAAGCACAACAATGTAAACTTCAGCAAGCGATCCACTTCGATGCCGTATAATAATGCCCGCACACTGTATGTACATTTTACAACATGCGTATTATTGACATTGTGTGTGCATGTATAGCAGAGCATTATGGTATGGCGTGTACAGTGTATACATAGGTACGGATGAGCTATTAGATACAGACCAAGCGCAACCCAGACTTGGCTAAGTCTAGGTTGAGATGTGCCATGATATGGACTCCGTGTACAAGTGCCCCCTCAACAGTTACAAAGGGAGAGTTGGGGGAGACCACTGGGAGGGACATTCAAACACATTGCTAATGACGTCCGATGCTCATGGCTTGACGTTATGGTTTTTTTGCACATTGAGAATAAAATATGTCGTGCTAATTATTCTGCATCACACGTGCACGAACCAGTACGCAAGGGCGGATCCAGAACACAATTTTGGGGGGGCCAAAAAAAATTTGGTCCCCCAAAAAAGTTGGTCAAAAAAATCACGGCGTGGGGATTGGGGCCCGCTTAAGGGCCCCGAAAATTTTTTGGATTCTAGATGCTCTGTGGTGCGATCTGAGGCAATTTCTGACCACTTTAACCAATGTTTTTTTGAGGAAAAGGTGGTGGTGTACTCATTGCCTGCCTTTATTGCGATGTCACATAAAAAAAAAAATTGGTTTCGTTTTGGGGGGGGGGGGGCCATGGCCCCCTTTGGCCCCCCCCCCTGGATCCGCCCTTGCCAGTACGCCCATGTGGTGTGTTCCACTGGGCTCTCAAAACTGTTCGCAAAATGCCACCTGCTGTTTATGATCGGAGCCCATAGCTTACAGTTTGTCGTATTTTGCCATTTTCCCATGCCAGATATCAACGAGTGTAATACCTTCCCTGACGTCTGCCGCAATGGTATCTGCCGTAACATGATTGGCAGCTTTGGCTGTGAGTGCGACATGGGATACGCCCTGGACCAGTACAACTACCACTGTGTGGGTGAGTAGTCACTTCAGAGTCCAACTTGAACTGCCTCTCCATGAATTAATTTTCAGCACCTTGATTTTCATCGTCTTGCAATTCATTTTTACAAAACACGTTGTTGGACGCACTGTAGGTGTATTTATAGTACAACATGATGACTGACAAAAAGCCACGTAACATTGATCAAACTATTCACCGCCCCTTTTGGTGTCTACCTTTTTCCCCAGACATCGATGAGTGCCGTATTGCATTTGGTGCCTGTGGCAACGGAACCTGCGAGAACCGTCCTGGTGGCTTCATGTGCAACTGCAACTCTGGTTTTGAGACATCCATGATGATGCAGATGTGTATAGGTGAGTGCAGCGTCAGTTTACTTTAAACCTTCTCAGCTGAATGCTCACACACTAAATTATTTTCATACCTTTTTTGTAAATTTTAAGCGTTATCCTTAATTTTTTTTTTATTAATTTGTATTTACACCAGATTGATTGATATCTTTTGTGTTAGTTTCACATCCTGTATTTTTCAATTAATTGTTTTTGACAAAAGGATCTAAATAGGTTCAGCAGCATAACGAAAACTTCTTTTTTAAACTTGGGTTGGAAGTGACAAAATAGAGGCGCACAGAAATGAGAACTTAAAAGGGAACACCGTGATGCCAAAAAAAAAACATCATTCATGAAATATAGAGAACCATGATTATTTGTTGTCATTACTTCATACTGATATGCATTATAAACATTAGAAACAGAAAAATACATGTAGGATACAAAACAAACAAAGTATAATTGATGCACAAGTCACAAAATTGTTGCTAGTTATGTTCAAAGTTGTGTCCCAAGGTCCTTCTTTCCTAATACCACCAGAAAATCAAAGAACTATTGACAAAAAATATTGAAAATTTCATTGCACAATAATTTATCCATTATAAAAGCCAGTAAGGTAAAAAGGTAACAAAGCATATCACGCAAGAGACACATCCCATAGTCAAATACAGCCCGTCATTTTTCCTAGACAGACCCCTTGCCACATCGCAAAATACAGTGCTAAAACATTTGACTGTAGGCATTGACTAATTTAGAGACTGCAAACATATGGCTCCCTATCTCAGTTGGTAGAGTACGCATTATGATATTCAGGAGGTCACAGTTTCTTACCATTTTGTTTGTTCAGCCTAATATTCACTTGTTTTTTTCCCTTCAGATATTGATGAGTGTTCTGTCGTGGCCGGCATCTGTCGTGGTGGTCAGTGCATCAACATGGTGGGCTCATTCCAGTGCCTGTGTCCTCCAGGCCAGGAGCTCTCAGAGGATGGACGCATTTGCAAAGGTATGCAGCAAACTTGGAGAGAGAGACTCTTCAGAGAGTTTCTAGTGGTGGTGGAAATCGGCAATTTCGAAATTCGTTTAACCAGATTGTTTTTAAACCAAAGAACGGTTACCCGGAATCTCAGCGGAGGCTCCCATTAAGCTCAAAGAGGTGCTGTAGGCAATGCCCTCTATGATGACTGGGTAAAATTTGCAGGATTCAATTACCACTGGGCCTTTACAAATACACACCAAAGCTGAAAAAAAATGGGTGGGAAATCTCTGATCAGTCGAATGGGCAGGTTCTTCATGAACCAAGAAGCCCACTAGCGAGTGAATGCAGTTACAATCAGAGACCATGGGGCTAATTGGGGGATGTTCCAGTTGTCACAAAAAATGGAAAGCTTCATTTTTTTTAAAGGTTGTTTTCAAATATCCGGTTTCCAACTTCCAAACCGAACAGTGGAATTCAAACCAAATTTATAAAAATCCAGATTTTAATCAGACCACTAGAAGTTTCAGAAATTTGAGTGAAGTTAATAAAAATTAAAACAACCCATTAGTCCAAATATGCACCATGTACTTTAATGCCCCAAGTACCAGGTGCTTATAGTGGTGTGCATTTATGGGTAGTACGTGAACCGGGTACCCTATTGAAGTAAAACACTGGTACCTGGGTATCCATAAAATAAAACCCACCCCAAAATTAAAATTCTGGAAGTTGTCTAAAGGGCTTTATAGCTTTGCGGTTTAAACTGCTATTTTCGCGAGCGTCATCTGTTGCACGTTAAAATGCACATAAACGTAAAATCTGTTTTGATTTTCAATTTAGCCTGGTTTTCATTTTAAAAATTCCCTTAAATGACATTCAAAACCTTTCTTTTTCATTGTCTGAGAAGTGACATAAGTAATTTGTAAAGTTGGGTAGGGATTTCCGATTCCATAATCTGGAACTGGTGCGTGACTTAAAGCGGTCGGGTACCCAGGTATCCGGTTTACACGATGAACACCTCTAAATAATACCATGTGTTCTTCATCAAATCCTGAATGCAGGGTCTGATATAAAACCATAAGTCAAGTACTCTGAGTACTCTGAGTACTGGATTAAAAAAATGTCATTACTGTGTGATGAATTCAAAAGCAACAAAGGATAGTTCCATGTAGTGTTAAATACGAATTGTATGTCCTATCGTGGTATTTAACTATATCAAAGTTATAAACAAGCTAGCAATGCTCTCTTTTGTTTTCATTGGAAAACTGCATCCAAAAGCTGCGTATGCTGTTTGGCTGTTTTCGCTGTTTGGCAAAAGGAATGATTTTAAAGGATTGTTATATTTAAATCTCAGAAATTATTTAAAAGTAAGCTACAATTTTTGCAGAATTTTATGGAAATACCTACATCACTATAACCTTTTGTTTGTTTTATTTGTTGGGGTCCACTGTTAAGATATCGACGAGTGCTCTCGAGGTAACGATGTTTGCTCCAACGGTCACTGCATGAACATGGTGGGTGGCTTCCGATGCATGTGTAATCAAGGCTTCAGACCCAGCATGAACTTCAAGTCCTGTGAAGGTAGGTAGTTTGGTCTGATGGTGTTCAATTGAATATCCCCCCCCCCATAAAAAAAATAATCCCAAAAAACAAAAAAACGTGGTGCAGTTTCAAAAAAGTTACCCTAACTTTGTGTAAGCCAACCTGATACATCAACTCATTGTCAATTGCGAACTGAATTTATCCGGTTCTTATTATTTATTCTTAATTGTTTCTGGTAATGAAATGAAAGATTCCTCAAAAGCACCCTAGGCACTGTAGCTCACAAACCTGAAGAAACCTGTAGAGAGAAGACACTGAGAAGAAATTACAGTTTTAGAGGTGGTAGAAAAAACCCACGGAATCAGGCAGGGACTGAAAACCCAATCCACATGTGGCCAGGGCAGGAATCGAACCCGGGCCACAGCGGTGGAAGGCGAGGAAAGAACCGCTGCGCCAACCTGACTCCCAAGTTCAATAATGCCTTTAACTTTCTAAGTCAGAGTGTTAGGTAAGAATAGCTTTGAGTGATGAAATCGCTCTTTAGATTAGACATTTACTGAGAAATATTTATAAAATATGTTTAAATATATAGCAGTTTTGTTTATCGGCTATTTCGTTTTTGATATAATTTTTAAACTTTGACCTAGATCTTGTGGATGTATGAATGAAAATGGTATGGAGTAAAAGGCCTCCAGTATAACAAACACTGCTTTACCAAGCATTTGGTTAGGAACATATCTGTCATCAGCTCCCAAATTCTATGAACAACTATATTTTTTGTAATGCGCAGAAGAGTATATCCATATAGGTTTTGCGCAAATTAAATGTCCTTTATTATTATTATTATTAAAGACCATCGACGGCTAAAAATCGTTAATAACGAACCACTACTAATTGAGCAGTCTTTTGTGGACCCAGTGCTTTTCGTTACGGTGAATTTCTAATGAACCTGATTTGTTTTATGTCAAGTGACAGTAAAAAGTGCATTGAAATACTTCTGTTCTTTCCTTGTTCATTGATAATGACTAGACATGGATGAGTGTAGTATGGATAACGGTGGCTGCGAGCAGACCTGCGTCAACACGCCTGGCAGCTATCAGTGTGTCTGTGACATAGGCTACGGTCTGATGCACGGACAGAGGCACTGCAGGGGTAAGATAGAGTTTAAAAAAACGGAAAAAAATAGAATAGTGGAATACTAAATTGTTTGAAAAACGCAGAGCACTAGATTTTAAACAAAAGAAGTAGTGTTCTATGCATTTGTTCTTCAGGTATTTAACAATTTTTCAAACATTTGCCTTTGAAGAAGGTCTTGCTTAAAGGCTGAAATATTTAATTTTTTTAGTTTTTCAACAGACAACTAGTGGCTTGTAAATGTCAATTCACTGTTTTCTGAACTAGTAAAGTGTTTTTTGTACGTATTTTCTTCTCAGATATCGATGAGTGTTCAGAGAGCGTTGACATCTGTGGTGGAGGCATCTGTGAGAACAGCCTAGGCTCTTACAGCTGTACCTGCCTGGAAGGCTTCCGAATCTCCCCTGACTACTCCAGTTGTCTGGGTAAGACAAAACAACTAAGAAGATTAACTCATCGTATATTCCGATACCTTTCAATAGGTCATATTCGTGGTCGATTGAGGGCACACTTTCGACGCCATTTTCTTTTTTCAACAGTAGAGAAATTTATCAAAGCAGTTCAGTAATTTTACTTAAACTATGTAATTGTGAACTTTTAAAAAATACAAGCTGATGTGAACTGCTATCCTGGAATGATCTTGAAAAGAATTTAGGAGCACAATTTCTAACTGATGTTTCAACCAGTGTGAAACTCTCTTGGAAGATTCTAAGTAAGGCCATGTCCGAATTACTTGGCTACGGCTTGAAGTTACACACAAGTCTTTGGAAAGCTGCTTCCATAGACACATGCGTAATTTCCAGCTGTAGTCAATAATTTGGACTCAGCCTTAGACTTGATGAAGGTTTGCATGTTGGCAAGTCAGAAGATGGAAGGTCTGTGGTAGCACCATGTATTCAAATATCTTTTGTGACTACGTTTGGTTCAGAAAATAACAGGTGTAAGACGACGCTTCGCACAGTATGCTCAGTCCCTCTTCAGGAGACTCCCGGACTGTTGGGGGATGCTGAGCTTAAGAGAGATTTTGTAAACATGGAAAAATCATTTGGAAACTTGTTAGCCTCTTCAGTGGAAATAAGTATCTGAGAAACTTTTTGACAAAACTTTTCATTGTGGTTTATATTCATTTGTGCACAGATATTGATGAGTGCACGATGGCGGACGACATATGCGGAGCGGGTACTTGCATCAACACCCAGGGATCATACAACTGCCGCTGTGATGAAGGCTATGCTATCCAAGGCTCATTCCTCAGCTGTCTGGGTAAGATGGCAGTGCACACAATAATTTGCTAGAGTTGGATGGTGGGAGGGTTAAACCCACTTCGAAACTGCATGCGCCTTCCGTGATTTCGCGGCGCCCGACTAAAATCCAAACTATGGACAAATTCACCTCTCGGTATAGGATTTTACACACGCCCAAACTGTTCCATTAAAAAAAATATGAAGTTATTTTTCGATTGTAAAAAAAATCCCTTGTGTACTTGATATGATTGTGAGTAAAAAAAGCCTTTTTAAACTCAAAAATTTGTGTTCTGTATGTAAATGAATGTGCTGTACTAAGCGCGTATCTGCATTGAACGCGCATCGCGCGGTTACGTGCACTGTCAACAAGCGTTTTGCCCATACTTTTTCAAATCACTGTTATACGCGCACGACTGGCGGTCTATGCGTTTATATGTTTGTGGTTAACCCCCCCCCCCAACTCATTTGTCGTTTTTGTCAGTAAAATCTTACTTCGTGTTGTTTAAAGTGGTGTAACTGTTGGCAAAGGAGGCTTCGACGAATAGCGCCCCCTGGTATGAGATGGTGTCTATTCCTGTTTGCATTGAACAGTGCCCACTTTTCAAACCTGTTATGCACTGTTATCTGTCAGCAATATTGTGACTACACCCCATCCATTCAAATTGGTCTGATACTTCTACATAAATCTAGAAGCGGTGTACGTTCGAGACAAAAAAGAATTGCTAAATGAAAAAGGTTTTTGAAAACTGCCAAGTTGATAACTGGCAATAGATGCTGTTCTACACAAAGGAAAGTCTTGAAGGAGTAGGTTGGGGAGGGGCTGAATTTAGTCAGGAGTTTTTATGTGGAAATACTGTGAGCAATTTTCATACCAAACTTTTAGATTACTTAATTGAAAAGTTTTCAAGGCAAGAATCTTTCTTACACATTTCCTCGGTTCTACCTCAACTTTGGAACATGCAAAATTAATCTCTGGTTAAAAGACTGTAGCCCTGGATTCCGACTTTGATGATTGAAGACTGGACAGATTGGCATCTACCCTTCTCACGTAAAATCTTCATTTTTTACCATCCACATTTTTCTTTGCAGATATTGACGAGTGCACCATGGGTGTCCACAACTGCGCCATGCACTCTCAGTGTGTCAACTCCCGCGGCTCCTTCCGTTGCCAATGCAATGCCGGATTCTTCCCGAACTTTGATGCTTGCATTGGTAAAAAAAAAACCTGCTCTCTTACCTTTGGATTTTGTTTTCTAAGAAATTTTCACGGATGGTATTACTTAAGCTTGAACGCCAATTCATACTTGGCATGAAAGCAAACATGAATTCAAATATGTGACATTTGTGACAAAGTAGTCCCGCTGGGAATGTGGCTGAACTGATTTCGTTGCTTGTGAATTTCACCGAGCTATGTCTTGTGATATTAAAGTGGCTTCGCATTTGTATTTGTGTGAAATATGAACTGGCTGTCACTTTGAAGACTTGTATTTGCTGGTCCCAGAGGGCCTAGTGTCCTCTTTGTACCTATCTCACTGACTGACACACTATCACTTGTGACTTTAGCCTGGTTGTTGGTTGGTGAAGAGGGCCGGGCAGTGCTGTTGTATAGGATTACCCTGTGATGGGCTAAATCCAGTCAATTCGGGCAATTCACAATGCAGTGCGCCACCAAGAGTTTGCCATGTAGAGTCCATTTTTAAAGTTTACGGTCGACAAAACATGGCCCATTTGAATGAGTGTCAGTAGGAAACTTGAGCTTATTCGTTATAGATTGGGGCATTTACGTTCTGGCACCTTACCAAAAAACACCATATTGATAACAAGAAAAGAAAAGGGCAAACAGATCCTCAAATCATACGCTTACGAATCTACTGACTGGAAAAATGAACAATTTCAAATGTCCCGCGCTGCGAATTTGTCAACCATCTCCCACAATGCACTGGGAAAAATGAACTCTTCGTGGCAAACTCTTGGTGGCGTATTGCATTGTGAATTGCCCGAATTGTGTACACCAGATGCATGAAAAATTTCCAGTGAAAAGCCATTCTGAATCAATTGAATAAAACATTTGTTCACTCTGGGACAGGCTTGGCTTTTCTTGTTTTGACAAAAGGCAGTTCAATTTAAAAAGTGTTAGTACTGATATTTTGAAGTTAACAAGAGTCAATATTGAGGTGTTGTTTCGGTTACAGATATTGATGAGTGTGCCACGCAGATCCATGAATGCGACCGCGAGAATGCTGTCTGTATGAACACGGAGGGATCCTATGAGTGCATCTGTAATGAAGGCTTTGCAGGCGATGGACTGGCATGCAGTGGTAAGTAGATACTATGAAGATCCTCAGATCAAATATTTAAATGTTACAAAATTGGTCATATGTGAATCACATTAAAAAAATGTACTACCATTACAGAAACATTATGTGCATTCACAGGCTTGCTCAGGTGGGACTTGAACCCGACACCACCTCCTACATGGTGGACGAGTGCATGAGAACCTTTGATTATTGAAAATGCTTATAGTTGGTAAAGCCCTGGTTGGGTATTCTGGACGTTGCAGGTTCAAATCCTCCTTCAGTCAGTAATTTCTGTTTAAAATAATGGATTGAATGTATTTGGTGTGAATCACACTCAAAGATTGCAGATGTGGATGAGTGCGTGAGAACTTTTGACACAAGTGCTTATTTTTGTTAAACCTTGGTTGGATATTCTGGAGGTTGCAGGTTCGATTCTTACCTCAGTCTGTTTTGAAAGAATTGTTTTGGTTTAAATTGCATTTATACTTCAAAGATGTTGGAAAGTGCATGAGACCCTTTGATATAAACTGCTTTGTAAAGCTCTGGTTTGGTATACTGAAGATAGCAGGTTTGATTCTCACCACCGTCAGTAGAGTCTGTTTGAAATAATTGATTGAATGTATTTGGTTTGAATGTCCCTTTCTTACATTGCAGATGTGGATGAGTGCACAAAAAACCCAGACCTGTGCCCCAACGGTCAGTGTCTGAACACCCCGGGATCCTACGAGTGTGACTGTGACATGGGATTCCTACCAACAGATAACAGGGATGATTGCGAGGGTGAGTAAGGGAACCAAACCAACCTCATCCACTTTTGTCGAAATCTTGGTTTGTGTTCGGCTCTTGATTCAGGCCAAAGCTCCGGCTTCATCAGTGGGACACTGGCTCAATGTAGATCTCTGTTCTAGTTTCAGAAACATCAAGTTCCTATTCTTAAAGCTAAAGTTTTGGACTTTTTTTTATTTGAATCGCACATTAAAAACTTTCCCATGTAAATGCGAAGTGTTGGTACCCTGCACATCAGGCTGAAGCTGATTTCACAAAATTGACAGTAACAGTTAACCTTTGAAAATTAATTTTATGGGATGACTCGGTATACAATGCAAGTGGCAACCCTCATGGAAATTCTGTGCAGCAGTTTATTAAGACCATGATAACATTTGACGCGAAAGGCTGTGATTTATTAATAGTGTCATGATATTATTTGATACTATTGTGACTAACTTGCATTTATATTTTTGTAAGTGCAAATGGACCATAGTACAAATTCGCAGGTACTTTTTCATTTTCAAACAATTCCAGTTTAAAATGGAAACAACTTGAACAGACGATTTTGAGAGTCATCGTCTTTTATCGTGTCCTAGTTTAAAATGATCATGGTTAAAAGTCCGTTAATTTTCTTTGCAGATATTGACGAGTGCACCATCTCCTTCATTTGTGTCTTTGGCAACTGCATCAACGTGCCGGGCACATTCCGCTGTGAATGCATGGAAGGATACCAGCTGGATGCTGGAGGCGCCAACTGCACAGGTAAGGACTCTGCAACCAGTGTACCAACTAACGGCCCCGAATAATGGTATCGCAGTGCGTGTTATGCGAAATGTTTACGTTGTATTAAAAACAAACTTGCACAAAATGGAACCATGTATCCTTTTTGCATGTCTTAAAATCTGCATTGTGTTAAGGGAATAAATATGTGCTTGGCCGGTTTTAAGCAAGTACGTTTAAAACCTGCTAGGGGCCAGGGCCCAATTTCATAGAGCTGCTTGAGCAGAAAATTTGCTTAAGCAAGAAAAAACATTGCTAAGTAAAATTAGGTTACCGGCCAAAACTCCATGTGATGTACATTGCTTGTGACTGGTATTTAGCTGTTGTTTACTTAGCATAACAATCGCATGAAGTTTTGGCCAGTAACCTGATTTTATTAAGCAAGACGTTTTTGTGCTTAAGCAAATTTTGTGCTTAAGCAGCTCTATGAAATTGGCCCCTGGACGTGGATAATTTTGCTCGGGCCATTATCCTCTACCAGGCCCCCAGCCAGTTTTAAACGTACTTGTTTAATACCGGAAAACTTATGCATAACTTCATGAATTGTTTGTGAATATTTGTAAGGTATAGTAAAACAAATAGAACATGGTTTAGTTCGGTTGGATAGTTTACAAATATTGAGTGGCTCAGCGTGGAATGGGAGGAATATTAACGCAAGGTAAAATCTGGACTTTTCCGTTTCACGAGGCCAAGCCGAGTGAACTGGAAAAGTCCAGATTTTACCGAGCGATAATATTCCTCCCATTTCACAATTTAAAGCCACTCAATATTTGTTTTATATAACTGACATATAGATCCTTGTCATTTGATATATTTGAACTTTTATTTCAATAAAAACTGGAAGAAAATGTATTTCTCTCTTCCAAACCACCCCTTCAAGAAAATATTTGAACCCAATGCTGTAGCGTTGGCTCTTTGGAACAATAGGCGCTACGCACAATGCTGAACGCGCACACCAGCATACATTTGCACACAAATACCGCGTCATGGAGCAAGAATGATCCTAGCTGTTCAATAGTATTTCCCATTCCCCATGGGCGGATAGTACTTTTTTAGCCGCGGCGTGAATGGGAGCAATAATGAATGTCACGTGATGTGAGTTCCACCAATCAAATGACAAGGATCTGTATGTCGGTTATTTAATCGATATTAGCCCCCCTCGGTATTGGAAGTTGACGGACTAGTTCGCCTCTGGAACTAGTCTGTCAACTTCCAATACCTTGGAGAGCCATACTTTGGAGAGCTAATATTATTTGTATATTCCATTCTGTTCCAACTGATTTTTTTTCTTCGGTTTGTTCCTTTAATAGATTTGGATGAGTGTCAGCAGCCAGATACGTACTGCGTCAGTGGCCAATGCACCAACAGCATCGGCAGCTACACCTGTGATTGCCCAAGGGACTACACCCTCACCCCTGATGGCTCTGTCTGCTTGGGTGAGTCTTGGGGAAAAAACCTTTATCATTGCAATCATGTAACACTATGGGCCATATTCACGAGTCGGCCATATTGGATTGAGAGTGAGGTTAAGTCTTGATTTTTGGAACTTACGTGTCGAGAAATGAAACCAAGTTAATTTCTAATTATATCCAGTTTGCTTCAATGAATAGTTTAACATTTGTAATTAAACATTTTCTCATGTTTAAGGATAGATTTTTTTTAAAATGACAGTAAATAAGGCTGCTATGTGCCTGCGTAAATAGTCTGGCGCCATCCCATTCAACATTAACAATTAATGAAATACATTCAGGGAACTCGACAAAAATGGCCAACTCGTGAATAAGGCCCATAGACTCCATGCTTTAGCAATAGATGGTGCATCATTACCACTTGTTAGAGTTCTGTTTGAGTGACACACCGCATCCGAATATTGGTTAACACACTTGGTGCGATGTGTCCTTCCAAAGGAGCTCTTGAAAGTCGAAACAAAATGCCATCAAAAATTCATTTCCATAGGTATTTATTATGGTGTGCACGCATGATGTCCTGCACACTGGAGCTCTCTTTGAGTGTGCCACATAATGCTTTCTACCGTTCCAGCACCGAGTCCATAATAATGAATCCAGTGTGGTATTTTTGTTTTTAGTCACGGGAAGTGCGCTTGTAATTTCAGTGCAGATTTTTGTGGTATTAAAGGGCTCATGACATGAATTTGACTGGGAAACAAAATTTGTCCAACTTTCTACTCCTCTTAAATGTGTGAAAATTATTTGGCATTATTTTTTGGGTTAATCTTAGCGAAAAGTGCACTTCTTTAAACATTAATTTTTTTCCATGTTTTCCTGACAATGGAGGGCGCTTTGCTGTGATATCATTTCAGGGAGGCATAGTTCAGTTTAGGTGCCTTTTCTGTTCACATTGTGAAACCAAATTTTGCTCATTGAAAATCTTTGTACAAAAACTTTGCGCATTGGCCCACTGTCATGTACTGATTGTCTGAAGCAAAAATGAATCACCCAAGAAAAGAAAATGTACGACTGCACAAAATCTAAAATCTTGGCAACTTTTGGTGCTGAAATAGCTGTAACATTGAGGTTTCTGCCTGAAATGACATCACACTTTGCTCATGAATGTGGACATTTCCATCAGCATAAAAACAAAAAAATCACCAAAATACCCTTGAAAATGGCAAAATAACAATTGAAAATAAGGTTTAATGGGACACAAAGGTGCATTTCCTAGGATTGCATTAAAAGAATTGATTGATCATTTGCAAAGAATTTAGTGGTATTTAGCAGGGCCATGAATTGGGTCCAGGTGAGTTGATACATTTGGTGTTGTTCCTTTACCAGATGAGAGGCGCGGCCTGTGCTATGCCAACAGCCCTGACCGCGGTGACCTGGCCGGGTCGACTTGCACCACCATCCTAGGCCGTGACATCACCCACTACGAGTGCTGTTGCACCCTGGGAACTGGATGGGGCGATCCCTGCGAACCGTGTCCAGCTACAAACTCCAGTGAGTGTATAAGCGTGAAAGTTCATCTGTGTTGGTAGTTAGATATTATTTAGAGGTAAAGATTTGATCACAACTTTAGAATATTTTGTATCTGTAATTTTCGACCAACACTCCGGTCTTCATCAGCAGGATGACCTGGATGTTGTATCCTTGACCTTACGGACACATGATCCCAACACCACATCATAGACTCCTGGGAGTTTGTACCGTCCCCGTCCCGCACTGGATCAGAGCCTACAAACCTTCTACAAACCTTCTCTAAACTGGGACAGGGGGCGGTACAAACTCGCGGGAGTTTATGACGCGGTGTTGGGATCACTTGTCCATAAGGTCAAGGATACAACATCTTAGTCATCCTGCTGATGAAGACCGGAGTTTCTGTCGAAAATTACAGGTACGAAATATTCTAGTGTTTTGATCAAAAGTTTACCTCTAAATAATATCCAGTGAGTGTAATTGATCATCTATTTTGTTATTTGATTAATGATTTGTTTCCTATTTTTGTGAGCTTTTTTTTTTAAATGGCTAAAGTTATCTTCCTGTCAAGATGGTGAGTACGTTGCACATAGCAAGGATGCATTATGTTAGCAGTAAAGTTATATTAATATTAAAGTCAAAAGAAGGTTCAAATCTTCCAGATCAGTCTCGGCACATTTGTTCTGTAAACCCACGGTGAATCTCCCACGTTTGTTTATGGTGTAGATTGAGGATTTTCTTTATTTCCTCTTCCCTTTTCCTTTGTTTGTACTTACACATTTTCGCAACAGCTCTCATTGGTTTTGTACCCGTATTCGAATCGAGGTCGTCCTCGATTCGGTTTCTGTCCTCGATTCACCGATGGTGTTGCACGTGTGCATCTGCAATTTACACCATAAACAAATGCACAGTATTGGCTAAAGGAAAACAAATGTTGCAACCTGACACCACTTCCGCGATTGTGTACAAAGTCTATGGAGAGTCAAGAAAAATTTTCAAGAAAGTATTTCGTAACAAAATTGGAAACGTTTCTTAGTCCCAGAGTCATGTCTTAATTATCATCATTTTTACAATGAATAACTTCATTGAGATGATATATGATGAAAAAAAGTGGCGTCAGGTTGCAACACTTTTTCTGGCTAAAGTTTGTAAAGTTTGTCAAGAGCCAATGTGGCCCATCTGGCCAGCATTTTATTTTATCTCCGGTTTCAGTAGCTTGAAACAACTGAGAATATGTCTGTTCTCCCTGGACGGGATGCTAGTCCATTGCATGTTACTCCCAGCTAATGCCGATACCCATTTATACTCCTGGGTGGAGAGAGGCAAGTGGGGGTGAAGTGCTTACCCAAGGACACAACATATGGCCAGCAGCTGGCTTCGAACCCCTGACACTCTGATCATGAGTCACAAACCCTGACCACTAGTTTGTGCCAGGTGTAATTCCAAGTAACCATCATAGAGTTATCAATTTGTACATTTATCACTTAACACCACCGATGACTCTGTGCTGTATTGAAAGAGAATCAAAGTTTTTTTAAAGTTATTTGGAATACATTTTGAAAATTGACAAAAAGATGACTAGTAGTCTTTATCAATCAGCAGTAGTGTATAGTTATGCATTAACGTTTATTCAAGAGACTTTCCATTTCATTTTTTTGATTTGTTCGTCAGTCAGCCATCTTTCCTTCGTTAACTCTTTGCTTATGCTGAGTCAATATATCGTCTCAAACTTTGAAACAGGCTAGAGACGACTCAACTAATATATCAAAGTTTAATTACCACAATTCATTCAGTTCACAAAGAGTCTAAATCTAGCTATTTTCCCTTTTTCAAATCTGCAGCTGAAGGACAACTGCTGTGCCCCACCGGTCCCGGCTTCAAACCCGTTCCCAAGCCTGACGGACCGGACGGTCCCGATGGCCCTGGAGGTCCTGACGGTCCAGATGGCCCAGGGGCTACTGTCAGCCCAGGAGGTCCCGATGGTCCTATAATTCCCCCTGATTTATCCGATGGTAAGCAGCTTTAGACTGTTTTTTTTTTAATTCATTTAATCATGAGAGTTTTAATCAAGCCATCTCAAGTCTTAAGCTGTTCAGATGAATCGTGGGGATGACACAGTTCCTTGCAACTTTTCATCACATTTTTAATAGCTTGTGACCTGTCTTAGGATTTGGCTTGAGGTTGACTCGTGAAATTAGGTTGCATGATTAAATTTTGTCATTGGAGTTGATATTTCAAGGGGAAAAGGTTGCCAAAGGTATGGGAGGCCCATAGGCTGACTAGGATGGGGAAAGTGAGTTGTCATTTGCAGTGTTCGAGACCTGGAAGTCCGAGACTGAGTCCAGGAGGTCCGAGACCGAGACCAATAAGGTTCGAGACCAAAACAGAAACCTGATGGTCCGAGACTGAGTCCTCGCTCTTTTTCTACATGTTAGTCACGCAGCCGTCGATTCCGATCCCATCCCGGATCGTCGCGAACACCAACGACTGCACGCATGAAGCGATGCATAATAATCATTACGACCAGTATGTGGTATCAAAGTTTTTTCGTTTTGTATTGATATTTTCGAGGTCTTGACCGAGACCAGGAAAAATATCGAGACCACACATATCCAAGACTGAGACTGAGACAGAGACCATTGGGTCTCGAGACCGAGACCACCAAAAACTGGTCTCGAGACCACCGAAAACTGACCTTGAGGCCGGTCTCAAATCCCTGCACAATTCGGGAGATTCACAATGCAGTGCGCCACCAAGAGTTTGCCACAGAGAGTTCATTTTTCCCCATGCATTGTGGGAGATGGTCGACAAATTTGCATCGCGGGACATTTGAAATTGGTTGTTTTTCCGGTCAATTATTTCTTAAGCGTATGATTTATAATCTGTTTGCCCCCTTTCTTTTCATTTTATCAATATGGTGTTTTTTGTAAGGTGGCAGAATGCTATGCCCCAATCTATGACAAAGTAGCTCAAGTTGTCTACTGACACTCATTTAAATGGGCCATGTTTTGTCAACCGTAAACTTAAAAAAAATGGATCTGCGGCAAACTCTTGGTGGCGCACTACTCTGTGAATCGCCCGAATTGTTTTGTGTGGTATTAGCTCAGGGCAAGCAGGCAGATACGGTCACACTTCATTGCTCTCCACAGTGCTGTTTTCTTGTGCAGTGTCTCTCTGTGTGACACAATTACTTCATATCCCTTCATCTGAAACTAAATTTCAGGGTTCTAAAGGGTTTCGCATATTACTCAGAATACTGACTTACCACTCGGAGGGTTAATCTTACTATTTTAAGTCTCCCAGCATTTTCTCCTGTTTGGTTTTCAGATATCGACGAGTGTATGATCTTCTCGTTCCTGTGCGGTGGAGGACGGTGCGTCAACACCCTAGGAAGCTACGTGTGTGTCTGTCCCCTGGGCTACACTCTGGACGAGGACACCAGATCCTGCAGGGGTGAGTGGAAATGAACAGGCTAAGCTCATACGGTGCATAGTTGCCACTTCTTTGGTGATGAGAAATGTCGCCTCCTGTTGAAACATTTGCATTTAACAGTACCAATTTAAAACAAGTTCTACTTTTATCCTGATTTTGTCCTTCAAAGTCCTACTTTTGTCTTATATTTTTGAAAATTTTGATCCTTCTGTTCTACTTTTTCACCTGGGTCTGCTTGAAAGCCTGCTTTAGGCATTCATTGTACAGTGTAGAGATTTTCTGTATTAACCCTAACTCCCCAGCATAATTTACTAGGAATCGTACCCATTCAGGCAAATTCCACCACCCACATGGGAAATCGTACACACACACTGCTGGACTTAGTTTCTGGCGGTATGCCAAACCCAATGTAAAAGACCAGCTGTTTAGGGGTACTGTACCTATCCCAACAGATTTAAACAAAACCTGCTGTTGAACTTTGATGGGTTGAGTTCGGTTAGGGTTAATTATGATCATAATTAGATTCAGTTCAGTTCATTTCAAATTGTATGCGTATCATTTGCTCATGGTGTCGTGATCTTGCACAATTTTGTAAAAACAAATTCTTAATTTATCTTGTTTTTACGAAGTCAATTAAATGAGACAAACTGCGTGAATCACTGTCATAAATGAAGTGACTTTGAAGGTTTAGTTTCAGTACGTGCTTATTTATCTGCAAGCAAAGTTGAATCCTTGATCCTGATTAGTCCATCCATGGCAACAACAGCGTGGTATTATCCCGTATATTACAGCCCATATTGCATTCCACGTATCACGCTTTTCTAAGATGTGTATGCCATTTCTGCACGCACATCTTGCAAAGTTTGTGTGCAGTTTGCGTCAAGTTTTGCTTGAAGATAAATTTGTTATCCCGATCGCACTCGTGCAACACGGGAAATGTAGTGTGTCCGTGTTCCATATGCCACTTGGTGTTCAGCCTCGTGGCAAATGGGACACAGACAAACTACGTTATTCCGTGTCCAACTCACATTTGTGGGATAACTAAAAATATTTTTTACTGTGATTTTATTTTATGTCTGTTGTTATGTTATTTGATGTCTTCCCTTTCAGACATCAATGAGTGTGAACTGAGCCCCTACATCTGCGGCGCAGGTACCTGCATGAATACCATTGGGAACTATACCTGTATGTGCCCGCCCGGATTCATGCTGATGGATATGTTCAATGGACGCAATTGCATGGGTGAGTACCACACGTTCGGCCCCCCAAATCTCATTTTGAAGCTTCTTTTGGAGCGCTGTGGTCCGATGGGTACGGTGTCTCACGTGCCATGGTACGTGAGTTCGAACCCTGACAGGGAAACATGGTGCTTGTGTTCTTGGGCAAGACACTTTACTACAATTGCCTGTCTCCTCCCAGGAGTATAAATGGGTACCTGTGAGGGTAGAGACCTGTGATCTCGAGCTGCTGCAGAAAAATTGTCTCATTCCTGATGAACAGGGATAATAATTGTAAAGCGCTTTGAAACCTCTAAAATATAAAGCGCTATATAAGCGGCACATGATTATTATTAGTATCAGTATATTATTGAAATATTGTTTATTTCTAACAATGTTCAACTGTTCAGCAGTTACTTTTAACTAAAAAATGAGTAAGTACACACAAATAATCTATTTGTCTGTGTGAGTGCCTCTGACAACACGCGTTTTTAGCCGAATTCTACTACAGCTTAACAATTGGATGATGTTGAATAATTTATTTCTTAAATCACTGTGCAAACTATGTAATACGTTTTATCAAGATCAACATCCAATTTGTGGGAGGGGGATTTGATTATAACTTTTGTTATGCACACTGTTGAATAAGGGAATAAATGTGTGCTCGAGAGGTTTTTATCACTCTGTTTAAGACCACTTAGAGTCTGGGTGCTGATAATTACCCGAGTCGGTTCGGGTAATTATCAGCACCCAGACTCTAAGCGGTCTTAAACAGAGTGATAAATACCGACCGAGCACATATTTATTCCCATTCATAAATACCTTTTCGGTTAAAAAATATCAAATAATTCGTTCAAAAAATCCCAATTTTGTTCAACAAGTTCACTTCATGCTTTGAAACATCCCTCTGGCAAATTAATGGAGTGTTCAGCTGGCGAGTAAGATGTAAACAACCCTTTTATGGCGATTGACGCGCGCGTGGCATGATCTGCGCGATGTCGCGCAGAACGCACCTGGGGCGTTGCATTTGGAATTTTGAACTATAAAATTCTGACTCACTGGTAGTGTTGCGCATGCCTACGTGAGGATTGTGAACGTTCAACCAATGAAACGGTAAGAGGCACTGGATTTTTAGGAGTCCACATTTTATTGTGACACTGGAAAAGTGTTTAAGACCAGCTAGCCATGTCTTTATCATCCGTTTAAGACCGGCCACGTGACGGGCTCTTGACTGTCTGAGGTATTTATGAATTGTCCATAATGTACCTCTGACACCATGGACCTACCCTGGATGAAATAGCGCTCTAGTGATTAAATACAGTTCTATGATTACTTTCTGAATGGCTTTTTTGCAGACATGCGTCAGTTGCCCTGCTACCATGATTACAATGACACTGCCCAGCCTCAGTGCAGTTCCTCCTACGGCATGAACCTGACCCAGAAGATGTGCTGCTGCAGCGGGCTGCAGGGAGCAGCCTGGGGGGTCTCGCCTTGCTCCAAATGCCCAGATATGTTCACAGGTAAGTCCTACCCGATGGGTAGATCCTTGTGAAGTGACCACTTGCCAATCACTAGTCATCCAGTCTCAAGTCAAGTCAGAAGCTAAACAAATATATTTTGACAGAGGAATTTTGTGAGGACCAATTCACTTTGAATTTTAAACATTGCATATTTATAATTTAGCATCGGAAATCTGATTTTTATACCTGGCTCAGTGTGACAAATTTCGCTGATTCAAGCATTTTGATTTCAAAAAGACATTATTGCTTTGTTTTGTTGTTTTTCTGTTTCTGTTAAGCACTTTTCACCGAACAGGTTTTACAGTTCTGATCTGCATTTTAATGAAACATGGATTTTCATAATTTGGTTATGGAAAAGTCATAGAAAAGACATGGAAGTTTATTGTCCTAAAGGTGTAGGAACCCTGGTATTCATCCCCTGGTACTTTTGACTTGTGGTTCAACTTGTAATTAGCTTGTGATTCACCGGATTCACTGTATCTTTGGGCCCGCTCCTTCAGAAAATTGTGAGATTCAGAGGCTTTTTTCAGCATTCTTGGGCATATTTTAAGAGAATTTAGAGACTGTTTATCCCCTTGGATGTGTAGCTAATATGAAGATTGTATTTCAAGCCAGTGTGTTGGCGCAATCACATAGGTGAGGGAGCGTTATGCCAGCAAGTGAAAGCTCTTTTTTAGTTTAACGTCACTTTCTACTGGTCATTTCATATTATTATTGAGTTCTCCAGACTCATGAAATGTTGAGATTGGAGAACATATAAAACTGGGAACTCATTTGAGGCAATGTAAGAAGTTCCTGGATGTCTGTCCTTCATGCAGAAGTCTTTTAATCAACCCAAAACACAGTCAGTGGCGCACCCAGGATTTGGCTTTGGGGAGGGGGCTCACAATTTTTTTTTTTCAAATGTTTGTGAATTTTTGGCCGCAGAACAATATTGGGTTTTTTTTTGGGGGGGGGGGGAGACGATTATGATGTATGTGGCGCCACTTACACCCCTATTATACTACTCAAAAATAGGCCACATACATAACACCAAGGTCAAATCGTGGGACTAAAATAATAAAATACAGTGGGTGCGCCACTGAACACAGTATTTATGATGCACATATATGATGGAAAGACGTGACATTCTTGTGTTTATTTTGAACAGAGGAGTTCCGTATCATGTGTGGCATTGCACCTGGATTCTTCATCGATCCATTCACTGGACTTCCAAAAGGTGAGATGATATTACAGTGAAACTTTTAGGGCGTAAAGTCTTCATCGGATGATGTAGGCCTATCTGGGCACGCTATCTCTTCCATCAGGAAGGCCAATTCAATGGCTAAAGCACTGTGCTAGCTATTGTTTAGATAATCCGTCACAAGGCAGCTTTGTACAATAGCAGTTACAATGGTTTCTCCATTGAAGGGGGCCCTGTGAGTGTACAGTGATCACATGCCCGGATTCAGAGGTACTTATGTAATACCAATACTTAAAAACTTTTGTTGATTCCTTTTTCCCGCTGCTTCTTGTGCCCCTAGTCACAGATATTTTGCGTCACTTGTGCTTCAGTCAACCTTTGTTGTTAATGTTAACTCCCAAAAAAGTCAGTTCAATTTCATAAAAATTGTCACCCTGATTACATTAAACGAGCGACAAACTGTGGTGGACTTTCGTTGGTTTCGGGTTTCGTTTCTCGAAATTTCTGTTTGAAACTTACAGCAGTAAGATGGAAACGTTTGAGAAGCGGGCCTTAAAGAGTATCATAATCATCAGCATGTTCGGGGGGCAACCGTGAATACACGTCGAGTGCTTTACCTTGTAATAAGGCGCTTAGGTTTATGGCCCAGTCATCGTGATTCTATATTTTCTTTTTCTTCATTCCTTTTAATGTTTTTAGATATCAATGAGTGTGAGGTGTCCGACCTGTGTCTGAACGGAGCTTGTATTAACCTGGAGGGGACGTTCAGATGCGATTGTCGACTTGGCTATCGGTACGATCCCATCAAGTACCAATGTGTTGGTAAGTACAGATCAAAATGGAATTAATTTTTTTTACTTTGGGCTTCGGTTAATAAAGTTTTTTAGAAGTGCGATATTTTCAAAGGATTACACTTGAAGGTTTAGCAAATATTGTGTTGGTTTGAATACAAAGTAACTGCATGTGGACATATGTTGCCAACTCTTGTCCAAAAATATATCATGGTTTCTATTGCAATATAATGCACACAAAAATTGATGTGAACATTTCTCATTGGAAAAAAAAAATAGGAAGTACTTTTTTAGCCTTTTAGCATTTCAGATTCCGGGCATGATATTGCGTATGTCATCTAGAAAAGATTTCCTTGTGGAATCTTGAAGTACAACACGGCTTTTAAATGATTTCAGAGTTTAGGTCAGTTTATGCTTCACACGTGTGTGATCTGATACACCGTGCCCTCTGGAGACATGCACACAGTAGGGAATAAAAGATTGTATACGTCTCCACAGGGCAATTTCTATAGATGAATACATCTCCACAAGGTTTTCACGAAATAGATATATGGATTTTACTCACAAACTAGGAATTTTCAAGGTATGTTGACCTGTCGCAAATGCTAGAGTTCTGGAAAAGGGATATTAAGTCCGAATTTCAGCCAAGGAAATTAATTCTGGTTAAAATAAGAGCATTTTGAAACTGGACTTTCAAACTCAAAAACTTAAGTACACGAGAACAAAGAAATGTCTCCACAAGGATACAAATTTCAGTATGTGTGAATGCGAAGTAAACTTGATGTCAAAGACGTATTCCAGTGGAATTTGCAGGAGTTGGAATGTGTTCAACTTTTGCAAATTTGAAGCGCAACTTACTTGTCGTGAAGTTACAATTTTGCATTCGCGTTTGCTTTTGCGCAGAGTAAAACCATCCTTATTTTCATCTGTGGTCATCTGAAAGTACTTGATTAGATCTGTAATTGTTGGGGAAAAATGTGCTCGTAGCATTGTTATGCGTTTAAATTTCTCTTGTTTTGTTTCCCCTCCAATCTGTTGCCATACATATTACTCAATTGACTTTTTTTCCCTTTAAGATATTGACGAATGCAATGAGGGCATGTCCTTCTGTCGAAGCAATGCCATCTGCAGGAACACCATCGGCAGCCACGTGTGTGAGTGCAGGGCAGGCTACACTTTAGCCTCCAACAACGTGGCATGCATCAGTGAGTACCGAACGCTGTTATTTTGTTTTTCCAAATTAATACAACAACTGTGGAACATATTCGTTGGATTTCATTCCACTTCGTTTTGTCTACCTTATCCCCCAACCTGGTCATTATGGCAGTGAAGACTCGCTCCTCACACTGTTATTCCCATTTATAAATTGGAGCTGAAATTTCGTTTACATATTCCTTGTGTCCAGAATTACAGAGATGCTCGGTTTAGAAAAAGTAAATATGTCTGCGGGCAAAGCGTTTGCAGAAAATAAATCGCAGATTGATCCATGCTTTCGTTGTAAACATCCACAGTACTACAGTACAAGCATGTCGTTTGGCAACTTCCTTATGAGCACGTAGCCACACATAGCACCTATGTTGCGTACGCGTGCGTTATTCTTCGCACGCTGTGGGTGAGCACATGTGTACTGCTGTATTGTTATAAGCTACCGTAGGACTGTTGTAAATTTGGCCAATCATTTGGCTTAAATGATGCTGGATCAGGGGCCATTTATTCCCTTGTTCTTGAAGCTGGTCTTTATATCACAAATTAATACACCCCCACGTGATCGAGTCTCGACCAATCAGAAGCTATCTACTCTCCAAGGTATTTATTAATCATTAATAACAAGAACAAATTCCATTAACCTGACTTACTTTTGATCATAATCTCGTTCACTTGTTGATTGTTATTTTCAACAGACATCAATGAGTGCCAGGACTCTCCAAACATCTGCGGACGGAACGGCCGCTGCGTGGACACCATGGGATCCTATCGCTGCGATTGTAACATCGGCTTCGCTGCTTCGTTTGACGGCAAGTCATGCGACGGTGAGTGGAAGAGAATTTATGTTGTTTTTCAATCACCTAATAAAGCACACTTTTTTTGGTATAATATGCAAGTGTTTATTAACGTGGTGCAGAGAATGCACTGCAGCATTAATACCCCTGCTCATCGGGCCTATGATTCCAGCTCAGTGGAAAAACTCTACATTTTGAGAAAACAGAAAAAAGAATGTGCACACTTTTGGGGGGTCTTGTATTTGGGCACGCTATCTTGAAACCACCTCCAATGGTAGTTTGTTCCAAACAACACCATTTCAAGCAGAAAAGTTCACAGGGTATTTGATACCATTCCTATCTTCAGTAGGTATCTCTCATCAAATTGGTATTTTTCAAGGTAATTGTAAATGATCCTACATGGCTTTAGGCAACAGTTTTCTTTTAGCTCATAATCGTGTAAATTGAAAATGATATTTCTGGTATCGGTTGTTTGTTCTAGATATTGACGAGTGTCAACAGCGTATTGGCAACATTGGAGTGTGCGGCAACGGCACCTGTCGTAACACGTTCGGCTCCTATGAGTGCGAGTGCTTCGGTGGCTACGAGCTGGGACAGAATAAGGACTGCGTCGGTGAGAGAAAATCTTTCAATTAATTTTTTTTTCTTTTCTCAAACTCAATAAGTTTGAGCATTCTCTTCAGCATAAATTTGAGTGATCCTTTCTTATTCTTTGATTTGATAAATGCGTATTCCTGGAAATATTCATGAGGATTTCCTCATCGGTGCAAGAATTTTAGAAATGATATGATTACCATAATTTCTTATCAAATTCCAAAGTAATCTGTATGGGCTCCGTGCACAAGTACCACATCAAAAGTAGGGAAGGGATAGTTAGGCGAAGACAATGTGGATTTGTGCACATTCATATGCACCAATAATGCACTTAAAACATGATGTACCTTTGTACAAAATTAATTCAAGACGGCTATCAATTAGTCATATTTAAAATAAAAAAAATTGAAACTATTTATTTTTTGGGAGCGCAGGAGAAGCGTCATGTGATAAATGCCCACTGCATAAATTAGGACATTTTCTTGTTGTAAAACATATTTGTTTCCACCCCTAGATATCAATGAGTGTATCACCGGTGTTGGGGCGTGTTTCAACGGCCGGTGTGTCAACATCCCTGGGGGTTTCTACTGCGATTGCTACACTGGATTTGAGCCGTCTTTCACCGGCGAGACCTGCGAAGGTTTGCAAACCTAATGTTATTACCCCCGTCCTTTTTTACAATATCTCCCCCCCCCTTTTGTTCTCTCATTTATTAAGTGGAGGCTTATATTCCCATTTCAAAGATACATTATGATCAGCAGTTTTTTATTTTCATTTTTTTTTTTGGGGGGGGGGAAGATTTTTGTAAAAGACAATTTGCATGAACTGTGGTCAAGTAAAATGGTTATACCTCTGTCTTGAATACTGTATTTTCATTGGCCTACAACGATTATGTGTTGAGTGTATAAAAAGTCATGGCACACTCCCTGTGGGATATCATGTACGTGATATCCCACAGGGAGTGTGCTCTGACTCTGTATGTACGTACGGTACTTACGGTGTGAAAAACTTATATCGTTGGTACCCACGCTATTTTCACCATGTTTTCACACATGAGTGGGAGTAGCAAACTAGCAGACAATCAGCTGTTTCGAGCAGGCGACATGCATGTGAGTTGGCGTTTGATTGTCATGATTGTTGTGTTTACTGCTGTTTGTTTTCGTGATTTTTACATCAAAACCCAAAGAATCCAAGACATTCGCCTCGGCTGCTATGCGCCCCTCGGGTGTTCAAAACGCCATATCCCACATCACAGCGGTCAACAATTGTTAAATAGTACACAGTCAATTTTCATTTGTCACCTCAAGAGTGCAAAATTCCTTTGTTACAGTACAAAATTAAACCGAGCAAATCTATATTCTTTGGAAATATGTGGTAAACAGCTTGAAGATGTCCTACCAACTTTTCACCATCTGGCGTAAGATGAGAGCATGCTGGTTGTAACCATCCTCAACTTTATTGGATTTTTCTCATTACACTATGTTTTTTCCCTCTATTAGACATTAACGAGTGCGTGAAGCAGCCGTTCCTGTGCCCCGGCGGCCGATGCCAGAATCTGATTGGCTCCTTCCAGTGTGTCTGTAACGACGGTTATCTCTTGGCACCCAACGGACAAGAATGCCTGGGTAAGCTCTTTAAATCTGGGGAGCAAAATTGAGAAGCCAGTACTCGGGTGGAACCCCGCTCGCAGGCATGTCGCACACGTTTATCAATCAAGGCACGCATGCATTTGGGTTACCCTGTGGACCGATTCTCTTAGCTCCATTCCCATGATGCCTTGACCAATTACAGCCTAGATTGATGTACAGGTTGAGTAAAAAAGAAAATGACGGATTAAAAAAGCGTATTTTTTAAAAATATGTAGCTCACTTCATTTCATAAAGTGCATATTATTGACTAGTAACTATGAATATTTTGATTTATGAACATTTTGGAAACTCACGTTTTTTGTTTTTTGTTTATTTTTATTTTCAAGTTATCAATAAAAAAGTTGAGCTTTCCTATGTGAAAAGAGTACGTAGGAATTAACCCCTCTCCTAAGAAACACCGAACCCAGTACCTACCAGTTTTGGCTAGATATCGTAATAAATGGCTGGCTTGGCTGAATTTAGTACGATTGTAGTCAGTATGTACATTTGACAAAATCATTTTTGCGACTGACCAGCATATTGTTGTCCTTGTCGTGGTGTGTGCTGCAGATATTGATGAGTGCGCCACCTTGACCAACCCTTGCCTGGACGGCATCTGCAGGAACACCCAGGGAAGTTTCATCTGTGAGTGCCAGCCTGGCTACATGCCCACCAGCGACGGTTTGACATGTCTGGGTGAGTATGTAGTACCATCCAACCCTTGAAATAAAGGAGAGGTTTCGCATCCATATGGATGTGCGATCTGATACACCGTTCCCTCTGGAGACGTGCACACAATAGGGAACAATTTCTATAGATGAATATGTCTCCACAGGGTTTTCACGAAATAGATATATGGATTTTACTCAAAAACTAGGAATTTCCAAGGTGGGTTGATCCGTCGCAAATGGAAGAGTTTTAGAAAAGGGATAATAAGTCCAAATTTCAGCCAAGGAAATTAATTCTGGTTAAAATACGAGCACTTTGAAACTTCACTTTCAAACTTGAAAACTTTACTACACGAGAACAAAGAAATGTCTCGATAAAGATACAAATTTCAGTATGTGTGAACGCATACGTTCAGCTATCCGGAATCATTGTCGACTATTCCGGTGTGTTGACTGAAAGTATACGCATATGCATACACTGAGTTATCAGAACCGTTACCAATAAAAGCAATAATCCAAAATGGCAGCCTCTTATGGAAGATAGGTATCTGCGGCTCATCCCGCTGCAAAATGCAGACAAATGCCGCATGTTTGTGTAAACATTTCATCCACTTTCAGTCAAATCAGCTTTAAATAACAATCTAAAGAGGGAAAAATTGCCAAATCTGAGCATATTGTTGGGAAAAAATATTTTTCAAAATAAAGTGCTCTAGAAGTTGTATAATTCTGAGTATTAAATTTACTTTTTCAAGCTCAAAAACGGACCTTAGATTGTCCGCCAGAAATGACTAGACTGCTGTAAGGACCTTTTAGTACTGAACCAACAATATATGTATCAGTGTTTTTAATTTTGATTTGCCCTTCTTTTGCCCTCCTCCATTGTAGACATGCGTGAATTGTCCTGCTTCACCGGCTTTGAGCGAGGCCAGTGCATCGACCCGCTGATGGGCAATCACACCCTGACGGCTTGCTGCTGCAGTATGGGCTTCGGCTGGGGTAATCCCTGCGAGATCTGCCCTCTACCTCAGTCTGGTAAGACCACGGGGGAATTTGAACGTATCACTACGGTTTCTCCAGACAAGGGGGTGGGGGGGGGGGGGGAAGGGGTGACAGCCCCATTTTACTATGAACATCTTTATCACTTAGAATTCATTAAGATACCGGTTTGCCGTGACTTTTTTTGAATGCTTTATTTCAGGGATTTTTCAATCGCGTTAGGAGAGATCGGTAATCGGTGAAATGCCCCATAGACACTATATTTGTTGAGCAGTCATTAAAAATCATAAGTCATTAAAAATATGTTAAAATTCCTTGTAGGATTAGTCCTACATGTATAAGCCCATGGTAAATATCATAATTACTAAATTTATTACTTAAATCATAAAAACTATTGAGCTTGCATCCCTTGTAACACCCGACCTTCAGCCGTTCAGAACACAGGGTGCAGACAAACTGCATTCTTCCTTGCTCCTCCTACGTACACACTCACACAAATAAACTTGTATCTTTTCCCATTTGCCAGGGGCCTACGCGGACTTGTGCAAGAAGGGCCCTGGCTACGCCCCGGTCATCTTCCCGGACATCTTTGAGGATATCAACGAGTGCAAGCAGTTCCCCGACATCTGCAGCAACGGCTACTGCGTCAACATGGATGGCTCCTTCCGCTGCGAGTGTGACCTGGGTTTCGTCTTGGATGCGACCGGCCACGCCTGCATTGGTAAGAATCGTCGACATGGAGAAGTTTTAATCAATGACCATAATAATAATGATGTGAGAGGTCGTCTTGAGCCGATGCCTTCTCGGGAACCTCTGATGGTCACCTTCCATGCATCCCGGTCCAGCATCAGCGTCCTCAGCTCAGCGGTATCTTGTTGCGCTGCGTCCCTCTTCAGTTGGTCGACGTACGAGAGTCCCCTCCTGCTCCTGCATGACTATGCAGAAGCTATTGCATGATTCAAGGCCTATCTTGGGCCTTCTCACTGTAATTAGTGTACAAACATTACTTGTCAAATGAAAGTCAAATGTCGTCCCCAAATCTGCCCCTCTGGCTCCCTGCTCTTTAATTAAAGATACGGGCAACTATAACCAGCAACCCGACCTATCTCAGTAGACTGGTCCCAAGCAGTTTTTTAACCTCATTATAGATAATAAAATTATAGATAAATTAAATTGTATGATTAAAACTTAGTGATAATATTTCAATGTGCTGATTTCATTTAAACAAACCTAAAACTTGATTGAAGAGCGTTGTTGTAAAATGATCATTTTATGAGATCTGTGTCGTTGTTTTGTTCCACCACTTTGAATATTTCAATGTTTTTCCCGTTATTTGTGTTTAGACGTGGACGAATGCGACAACACACTGAGTGCCTGCGGTTACAATTCCACCTGCGTCAACACGGCCGGTTCCTACGAGTGCATATGCGGTGAAGGATTCCAGCAGGGACGCAACGGAAAATGCCACGGTAAGAACGGAATGGGAATCATGGAGGGTCGTTTTGCGAAAAAAACTATTTCATGTTACGGTACATTAACAGTGGCGACAGAATGTGTCTAGTTCTGCCGCATTACGAAGTGACATCATCACATAGTGGTGCAGCAACTATCCATGATACATCTCTGCTACTTCCAGAACTGTAAGGTTTTTTTTACAAACCTTACAGAAAGACCAATTGAACTTGCAGGAGCAGAAAATTCTCAATTTTTTCAAACCTCCAAACTCTCCTGTCAGGAAATGTTCGGCATCAATATTTCACAAGTATTATCTTGATGTGGATAGGTTCCTCTAGGGTAAATTGAAATCCCTCAAATGTGAAACAGAGTGAAATTTACCAGAATTTTGTTCTACCAGGATCACAGGAGTCTTACACTCGGCCGTCTGTCATCGTTTGTCATCGACTGAGGGCGCTTTAATTCTCTTGATCAACTACAGTGCAGCTTTCATTCCGAGAGTGTTTCCGTGCCTCGCGTGATGAAACAAAATTAGCCACACTGTAGTTGGTCAAGTCACAATGAAAGCGCCCTAAGTCGACAGCAAATGATGAGAGACAGCCGAATGCGAGACTCCTGTGATCCTGGCGAACGAAATTCTGGTATTAAATTTCACATTTTTGTTTGACATTTGAGGGATTTCAACCCACCCTAGAGGAACCTATCCACACCAAGATAATACTTGTGAAATATTGAGGCCAAACATTTCGTGACAGTAGAGTTTTGAGGTTTGAAAAAATTGAGAATTTTCTGCTACAGCACGTTCAATTGGTCTGTCTGTAAGGTTTGTAAAAAAACCTTACAGTTCTGGAAGTACGTCTCTGCATGGTGCATGTTGTACATGTATCTACATGTGTTCTTCCCAGATCAAATTCTATTTCTCAATAGTAGGGGTCTCAAGACATTTAAAGAAATGTTTGAAAAAGTTAGTCAGCAGTGAACATTTGGTTGTACTGCATATCACATGCACTACATTTATGTATGTATGTACATTTCTGTAGCCCATTTTTTTCAACGGGGATTCTCAACTTAGAGTTGGGAAAAATCAATGATTTTGAAAATCAGGGGGAACAAATGTCCCCATTAATCTTAGACCTTTGAGTACAGAATCAATTGCCTTAATTATATGGAATTAAACAATGCGCTATGACATTCAAGCCGATATATCACCTAGCTGACTCTAGGGGGCACCATTTTGAGCTCATATATCGGCATGCCTCACACAAAGGGTTAATGCACTGTCTTTTTGTTTTCCCAGTTTAATGAGACTTCTTTCCTCTACTCACAGATATCGATGAGTGCCGTCGGGACCGTGACTACTGCGCCTTCCGCTGCCAGAACCTCCCTGGGTCCTTCCGCTGCATCTGCCCCCACGGATTCGTCATCACCGATGATGGTAGACACTGCAGAGGTAGGTAGATCCAAAACGTTAGGGGGAGATATTCAAGAGGTTATGTTATGACTTTTTTGCAAGAATGTCTAAAAACCGTGTTGAGTCTTGGATGCACATGTGAAGCCACAAAACTATGTATTGGCAACACACGTACAACTGCTGGCTTGCAGTACGCAACACCAACCAAGTGATTTTGGCATTCCTTGTAACATGAAGGAAGGATGGTAAAAACCTTCAATGTTAAAGATTGATGAAAGAGTTTAATCAGAGGTCACATAATCTGCTGTCGTAATCAATAGACTTGAGAACATTTCTCATTGTTTTTAAAAAGATTCACGAATGCGGATTCTATAAAATCTCTGTTTAAATTTTATTTCGTGTACACAATCAGGAATTTGAAGTTTCCAGTGTGCGTTGCTGTACGTGTTCAATAAAACACTTAACCCTTTATAGTCACTAGCGCTCGAAACTACCCTACCTATTACTTCCTGTAGTGCCCCAAACTGCCTGAGCACTCTATGTTTTCATTGATTCTTCAGTGAATAAACACAATGTTATACAATGTAGTACAGCCACTAATGGGTTAACCTTTATATTCTCTTGCTAGATTAAGTATTGACTCTCACCCTGGATAGCATAGTTGGTAGAGCACCGGAATGGCAATCCGGAGGTGACAGGTTCAAACCCCGCTCCAGTCAATTTCTTTGCTCAACTTTGAAATTTCTAAATTTCTCAGTTCCCCTTTTTGCAAAAAAATTCCTATTTTTCCCCATCTATCATTTTAATTTGACAGTATCTAAAGGTTTGTCAATATCCAGAAATGTTGACATCCCTTTTTCTTCTTTGTCAATTCCCCGATTAGTCAACATTCCAATTTCGTAGTTTGTCAATTCTCTCTTTGTGATTTTTCTCAGATTTTCCATTTTTTCATTATTTTTCTTTGACTAGATTTGGACGAGTGTCAGACCTCGGCCAACAACTGCCGCTACATGTGCAAGAACCTGATTGGCAAGTTTATGTGCACGTGCCCGGAGGGCTACACAGTCATGGGCGGCAATGGAAACATGTGCAAAGGTGTGTTGGATCTGGACCACACAAATAAAACTAACTTACAATTTCTGTGAATTTGATTCAAGAATTTGATTCTGTGAATTGAAAATGTCTGTATTTCTCTGTCTAGGCAGGTTTTACAGAGATTGCAAAGTATAGGTTTTCCCGGCCACTTGCCTAAAATGTTCATTCACTTCTGAAAATTGGTCATTCATTTTCGTCTGAATATGAATACATGTCTTTAAGCCCATTTCAATTTCGTTTTCATTGTCCGTGCAGTCGGTTTTGAGAAACAGACGGCCAATTCCGTTACCTGTGCATTCATTTACGCAAGCGTACCTTTTCGCACAGAGTTCTGGAATACAATTTTGTGAATGTGCAATCAAAAGTACGTTTATCTCATTAAAAATAGCAGATTACATCACATAACGTTAAACTAAAAGTGAAATATACGTAGAATGATCAATGTTTGAAATCGCCCACTAAAAGCGAAAAAGAAGTCTTGTAAATGAATCTCAATGAAGATAAATGAAAGGTGCTGCTCCATCACTTAATTGATTGAACTGAAATGGAATCGAATGCTCTGGTAGCGAAAACTGAAACATGTGTTCAGAGCGATTCTCAAATTCAGATGAAAACGAATGACCAATTTTCAGAAGTGAATGAACATTTTAGGAAATTGGCCAGGAAAACCTATAATATATCAGTGCACTTTGTATTATATTGGTGCACTGAGAAAAATTGTATTTTTGCCTTTCATTGATGTAAGTTCATACTCACTGTACACTTGGTGCTGTTCATAAAGCTTGCAAGAAATAATCCACAGGCTTGCTCTGGTGGTACTCGAACCCACAACCTCTTGCTTCCTCGTGCAGATGTCTGTACCGCTAAGGTTGAACCATGTAAGGAGAATGACTGAGTGGTTTTCTTACTTTGTTTGACAGATGTCGACGAATGCTTGGACAACCCGTGCAGAAATGGTCGGTGTATCAACATGGAAGGAACCTACAGGTGTGACTGTAACACAGGATACATCCCAAGCATTGATGGCAAGCAATGCAGAGGTTTGTACAAAAAAATACGTCCAAATGCAAAAAATTGTTTTTACTAACTCTGGCAGAAATTCTGCACCGCACATTACACTGCTGTAATCGTCGAGACCGAGACCTGGGGCCAATTTCATAGAGCTGCTTAAGCACAAAATTTGCTTAAGCACAAAAACGTCTTGCTTAATAAAATCAGGTTACCGGCCAAAATTCCATGCGATTGTTATGCTAAGTAAACAACAGCTAAATACCAGTCACAAGCAATGTACATCACATGGAGTTTTGGCCGGTAACCTAATTTTACTAAGCAATTTTTTTTCGTGCTTAAGCAAATTTTCTGCTTAAGCAGCTCTATGAAATTGGGCCCAGAAGGTCTCGAGACCTACAACACTGGTAATTAATATATAAAATTTAATACAGTTTAATCTGTGAAGTAAATGTACGGTACTTTTCTTTGCTTTTCTTTACTTGAGTTTTATTTGGTGGGGGTTGTTTTTTTTCTCCAGTAAATTGTAAATTGCATTTATGTCTGTCACTGTGTTTTTTTAATTGTTGTCTTTTACCAAAAGTTTGTGGGCAAGATAAAATTTAAGCGTTGTCAAAGAATTGATAAAACAACAGCTCAACTTGTTCAGAAATAGGAATTGATGATAATTCCATTGATTATTGAATCATAGATTGAAAAAATCCAAAATTTGGTTATTTGTTCTCTTTTAAAAAGTGCAACAAAAAAATTGATATACTGTAAACTCTGATATCTTCTTGTATACTCCAGTTCTCCTGTTTTTTCTACTTTACTTTTTTTTCCAATTTCTCTCATTTGCCGTGTGCACAGTTTCTAACAGAACAGGCTGCAACTTGGGTCAACACTTCTTTTTTTTTTTTTTTTAGTGACTCCTCTATAATCACATCCTCCATTTTGATTTAGAAATCTAATTGGTCCATTGCCCTATTTCAAACAGATCAGCGTACCGGCGTATGCTATGCCACCACAGAGGGAACCTGCACTGCACCAGCTAACACGGTACCGGTCGCCCGGGACTCGTGCTGCTGCAGCGGTGGGCTGGCCTGGGGCCCCCGGTGTGAGGAGTGCCCCTACTTTGCCACTCGTATGTATTCAGTTTATTCCTTGAGTCATTGAATCTAGCAGTATTTGCAAACTTTGAAAAGATGTGACCAGTCACCACAAAATAAGCACAAAAGTCAGACTTTTTTGAAGAATTGAGAACAAGAACTTTCTAATGGTATTCAAATATGGAGTGGCTCAGAGTCGAATGGGAGGAATATCATCGTAAGGTAAAATCGGGACTTTTCTATTTCACGAGGCGAAGCCAAGTAAAATGGAAAAGTCTAGATTTTACCGAGCGATAACATTCCTCCCATTTCACAATTTAAAGCCACTCAATATTTGTTTTGTAGAACTGATATTATAGATCCTTGTCATTTGATCTACAGTTAAAATGAACTTCTATTTCAATACAAAATTGGTGAAAAATGCATTTCTCTCTTCCAAATCACCCCTTCAGGAAATGTTTGAACCCAACTCTGTACCTACTGGGTCTTGGGACAATACGCGCAATGCTCAACGCGCACATCAGCATGTATTTGCACACAAATACCGCGCCATGGAACAAGGATGATCCTAACTGTTAAATAGTAAAATCCCATTCACCATGGGACTTTTTGAGTGAATGGGAGCAATAATGAATGTCACGTGATGTGAGTTCCACCAATCAAGTGACAAGGACCTGTATTTGGGGGTACTCAGTTCAATAATGGGGGTCATTTTTAGGCAGTGGCGTAGCCACGGGGGAGGGGGGGGGGCGTCCCCCACTGAGATTTTGAGTTTCAAAAAAAATTATCATTGATATACATGACGCCCCCCCCCCCCCCCCCATGAAATGTTCCAGCGCCCCTCCACTGAAAAATTCCTGGCTACGCCACTGTTTTTAGGAATGGACCATTTTGGATTTTTGCCTTTGTGTACATTTCTCACAGTGCTTGCGACCAAGTTTAACCAAGGTAGCATGGTCACCTGACCCAACGTCGGCATCTGATTGGTTTAATAACGGGCATTGTTTGATTGACAGGAAGAAAGGCTTCATTGCTCACTGCTGTCGCCCTGACTTGTTATTCATTCTTTCCCCTTTGTTTTTCATATAGCTGCATTCAACGAGCTGTGCCGAGATTCAGGCACCCCGATCATGGACCCCTGCACCACCATCATTGGCCTGTGTGCCAACGGCCAGTGTATCTCAGCCCAGGGTGGCTTCATCTGTCAGTGTCATACCGGCTATGTGCTGACACCTGATGGATCGCGCTGCGTCGGTGAGTAAAGGTGTCTAGCAACATCGGTAACTAGGCCTGGACACAGACCAATCGATTTAATGAGAAAAACTTTGCTCAAAGTGGAGAAAAGGCTGGTGGCCCATTCATCTCTGTATTGCCCTAAACATTGCTGCCTGCTACTCCCTGTACTGCCCAAAACCGTCCTGCCTGTTACTCCCTGTACCGCCTAAAACCATCCTGACTGTTACTCCCTGTACCACCCCAAACCACCCTGCCTGTTACTCCCTGTACCACCCCAAACCACCCTGCCTGTTACTCCCTGTACTGCCCCAAACCACCCTGCCTGTTACTCCCTGTACTGCCCCAAACCGCCCTGCCTGGTACTCCCTGTACCACCCAAAACCATCCTGTTTGCTTCTCCCTGTACCACTCCAAACCACCCTGCCTGTTTCTCTCTCTACCGCCCAAAATGTCCTGCCTGCTACTCCCTGTACCCACCCAAAACCACCCTGCGTGCCACTCCCTATGTACCGCCTCAAACCATTCTGAATGCTCTTTGTTTAATTGATACACAAGTTAATATGTAAACTGTGATACAATGTAGTATAGATGCTAATATTCCTTGATCACTGGAGTTTAAAAGCCCTCAATTTCACCCATTTTTTTCCACAACATCCATAATGTTTTAGCAATAAGACAGTGCCCACAACAAGCATTTTAATATATGGCAATCAACTGTGGCACATCAATGGCATGACGTAAGCCGTTGCCCTACAGGGATGCAGCCTGACATGAAGATAATTACATTTCCCCATTTGTTTGCTTTTGTGTTTTAAGATGACGATGAGTGTAGCCGCGACATCAATCCCTGCCCCTTCAGCTGCAAGAACACAGTAGGAAGCTACACTTGCGGCTGCCAAGATGGATTCACTCGAGGCTTTGATGGGGTTACCTGCGTAGGTGAGCCAAAAACACAAGTCCCTTCTTAACGCTGGTTGAAGAGACTTGGTTGAAGAGAACATGGTGCTTGTGTCCTTGGGCAAGACATTTTACTATAATTGCCTCTCCCACCCAGGAGTATAAATTATTATTTGTTTCTGCTAATGAAACCAAAGATTCCTCAAAAGTGCCCAAGGCACTGTAGTTCATAAGCCTGAAGAAACATGTAGAGAGAAGTTAATGAGAAGAAATTACAGTTTCAGATGTTGGAGGAAAAACCCAGCAGAATATTCTGTGGAAAATCCACGGAATCCGGTAGGGACTGAAAACCCAATCGACATATTGGCCCAGGCGGGATTCGAACCTGGGTCACAGCGGTGGAAGGCAAGGAAAGTACCGCTACGCCAACCTGACCCCCTATAATCTATACCTGTGAGGGTAGAGACCAGGGGCCAATTTCGCGGCGCTGGTAAGCACAACATTTTGCTTAACACAAAAAAGTCTGGCTTATAAAAGCAGGTTACCAGCCAAAACTCCTCGTGATTTTTATTGCTCGTGATTAGTATTCAGCTGTTGTTTGCTTGGCATGAAAATCACATGGAGTTTTGGCTGATAACCTGCTTTTATAAGCCTGACTTTTTTGTGCTAAGCAAATTTTTGTGCTTAGCAGCGCCGTGTAATTGGGCCCTGATCTTGTCCGCAGGAAATTAAGCTGATGGCCTGTTGACGCGCTTTGAGACCTGTCTTTGATGGAAAGTGCTGTATAAGCACCACACATTATTAATGAATATTATTATTATTGACTTGTGTTTTCTTATTATGATCAGATATCAATGAGTGTGTGGTGGGAACTCACGATTGCCAGTTTGATTGCTTCAATACCGTGGGTGGATACGAGTGCCGATGCCCTGACGGTATGGCACCCAAGGAGGGCTCCTGTGTCCGTAAGTGTTCGATTATTTGCCTCAGCTCCTGCCATTTTATTGATTTAAAGTCACTGCTTCGTGTTGTGGCAGTTTGGGATAAGATAGCTTCAGGTATAGGTCTTTGTGAAGCGACCTTTATAAACCGGCCGTTATGAACTGCCCTTTACCAGGGGAATAACCGTCAGTGGACTGCCAACCCATTCATAAGGGGTATCAGAAATATTTCAAGATTCCCTTTATTTTATGCCAAGTAAACCTGAGACTAACATGGGCTTGATGAGCCATAATTATTCACTTGTGACAGATGTAGTAGTAGCAACATTTATTCAATGATGTCATTCATTACAATTATGTACAGTCATGTATGAATTAGAAAAAGTCAGTAGTATAATATTTGATAGTTATGTACACAGTGATTAATAATAAAGTGTGCAATTAAATGACAACAGTTGGGTATAAGGTTAAGCAGAACGCTTTTGTGCCCTCACCTATGGACAAACATACAACCAAAGTCCTGTAATAGGGGACAAACAAAACACTACGTGAGACAGACAGGACAAGTGTGTGAGACGAGGCCTAAGTATTAATGCACAGAATAATGACATTTCAATTTATGAATATGATTTGAGAAAGTGAGTTTTTAAATTTTTGACAAAGACAGATAGTGAGGGTAACAGTTTAAGAGAATCATCTAAACTATTCCAGTACAAGGTGCCTCGATGAATAACACTATTTTTTGACATTGACGTTCTGTTAAATTGGACGAACAAATTTCCCCTATCACTACTTCGAGTGTTATATACATGAATGCTAGATGCTAAGGTAAAACAAGAATTAGGATGTTACCATCTCTTTGCTTGTATTCACTGCAGACGTCGACGTGTGCGCCGTCTCCCCTGAAGTCTGCGGACCCTACGGTACCTGCCGCACCACGGCAGATGGCTACACCTGCGATTGTCAGCGTTTCTTCACCCTGGACCCCACGGGCAAGAGATGCGTGGGTAAGTTGTATTCTCTTATGTAAGAGGCTAGTTTTAAATTTTGTTTCCCGTTCTTTGAAATGAAGTGGAAGAAAGTCTTTTTTTGGGGGGGGGAGGGGGGCAATTACAGCGTTATGAAAGGAAGTGTAATGTCCGTGACAGAGCCAATTAACCATATCTAATTAATGATTCAGAAAAATGATCCAAAACTCCTAGTCTGTAATCTCCTTGAGTATTACTAGATGACCGATGTATAAGATTTGAATAATACATTTTCAGGTTTACTCAGTGAGTTCTTGAAAGCTCTGTTATGGATGGAATTGCTCTAATTTTGACTAACAATGATCACTGTCTCTGAGAAATTTTGCGCGGGTCTGGGTGTGCCATTCTGCACTGAAAATTTGTTGGGGGATATTACCAAAGTGTTGAACTCAATACTTTTTTTGAGGAACTGACTGAGAGAAAATGTTACGAAATGTTTCTTAATATCAAATTTTTAAATATATTTGAAAAATTGAATTACTGATCTCATTTGGATAATCTTATTGTACTAAAATCTCAAGAAATATTTTTAACAGATAAAAAGGCAAATAATTTTTTTTATACTAGGCGTTCTTGAAGAAGGGTTTTTCGAAAAAGGGTTTTTCAGGGGAGTGGTTGGGAGGGGTTGGTGTGATTGTTTTGGGAACCAAGTTTAGATTCTGTCTGTGTCTTAACTTACTGGTTGTTGTTTGCTGACAGATATTGACGAGTGCCAGACCCAACCTAACCGATGCCAGTACGGCTGTCGTAACACCGTCGGCGGATACCGCTGCAACTGCCCTGATGGTTTCTCCCAGCACTACTACTGGAATCGCTGCGTTGGTAAGAAAAGGCTTACCATGATCAGTGGTTAGAACCATATAGTTGTCTGCTGTAACGTGGTCCTTAATGTTTTTGTAACCAAATAGCACTTGACCCTAAAAGGGTCGGGGGGAGGGGGGAGGAAGAGGGTGGAATCCGCCCTCCTTGCATTTTTTTTGCAACATTTCGCCAAATGCGCATTTGTCTCTGTGAGCTTTCATGACTATTTAACTTCAAATCTGGCGCACGTATGATACCAAATTTGTGAAAATTGACCTTAGGGGCACCGCGCTGCATGACATTATTTGAGGCTGTGCACCACATTAATCGCATTTCCCCATATGCACTAAATGAGTAGTACAGTTTGCAGTACTATCTGTATGTAAACCACATGCATGAAAATGCTTCCAGTGAATAGCCATTCTTAATTCTTAAAAAGGCAATAAGGATGTAATATATTTAGACAAAAAATATTGTTATACCTCTGTCTTGAATACTGTATTTTCATTGGCCTAGAAGGATCACGTGTTCAGTTTATAAAAAGTCATGGCACACTGAGTGTGCTATGACTTTGTGCGTACGATACGTACGCATACGTACGCGTTTCACACGTACATTGTGTATGTAAAACGCAGCCAACTTGCAGACGATCAGCTGTTTTGAGCATAGCACGGGACATGCATTGAGTTTACCTCATGTCATGATTGTTGTGTTACCTACTGTTTTTTTCGTGATTTTTACATCAACTTAATCCAAAGAAATTAAGACATAGGTATAACAAAACAATTTTTGACTGGTGTGATGTGGGATATGACGTTTTGAACACCCTCGGGGGGCATAGCACCCTCGGTTTCGCCTCGGGTGCTATGCGCCTCTCAGGTGCTCAAAACGTCATATCCCAGTATCCCACATCACACCAGTCAACAATTGTTAAGTCTTGTATTGCTGGAGAAACTTTTTGCCATGATCAATTGCATCTATATGAGTGTAGGTAAACAACAATTTGTTTCCTCTGTTCTCTAGATGACAATGAGTGTAACCAGCCCGGTATGTGCGGCCAGGCCAATTGCTATAACACTGAGGGCTCCTACCGCTGTGGATGTGCTGGCGGCTACAACTTTGACCAACAGAACATGGCCTGCTCAGGTTTGTTATTATATCTGTACCTGATTTCATGAAACTTACGATGCGTCGCAGCTCTGCGACGCATCATATCCGTACGACGCGTCATAGCTGCGACGCGTCCTGCGAATCATTTCACAAAACTTGTCGTAAGTGCGACGTACGTTTCGTACCTGTATTTATAGTACAACACAGTAACCGTTGCGCAGTAAATAGTTGTCTTGTATTCAGCAAAGAGTCATTGGATCTCGTCTCAAATCTGGGCACGCTGTCAATTCTATCATGAAGGGCCCCCTTCAATGGCGAAAGCATTATACTAGCTATTGTTAAGATAGTCACAGGGTAGTTGCTTTGTACAAAGCAGGGGTATGAAATATCGGCTTTAAAGCTGATTTCAGCTATTTTCGTTTTGGATTTCAGCTTTTTTTCCTCACTTGCTGTGTACAAAAGTATAGGAAATTTCCAAAGTTCAGCTTTTTTTACACCTTTTTTCAGCTGTTTTCAGCTATATTTATCAGTGGTCACTCACACCCCTGACAAAGCTTACACAATGGTTTATCCATTGAAGGAGGCCTCATGGTAATCCCATGTCTGGATTTGTCTATACTCAAATGCAAATGAATTTGCCATCATCACTAAACATTTGCGACAGAATTTGTACTTTTACTACACCACTCAAAGGGTCAATATTTGTAAAATAGATACCTGTGGAGGAGATTACTTTTAAGAAAGGTTGAGGTTTAGAAGTTGGAAGAAAATCATGGAAAACTAATTGGTGGAAGCCCATGAAATCAGGTAGGGCCTGAAAATGCAATCCACATGCTGGCGTGGGTGGGATTCGAACCCGGGCCATGATGCGAAGACAAAAGGGCACCAACTTGGTGGTGCTTCTTACCACACAGACAGGCCTAGCACTGACAACTATCACTTATCATATAACACCTGATCAAAGGCCTACCAATCAGACGACTATTAAAGATATCCCAGTCGTCTGATTAGTAGGCCTTTGATCACGTGTCATTAAATTATGCGTCCAAATGCACGGCGCTGCTGCACCGCAAAGACAGAAGTTCCATTCTAAGGTATTTAGAACTTCCAATGCCATCGCACGGTCACACATCGGTTGCGCTATAACACAGCTCTGATGCTGTACTTTCATAGAACCAGTTTACAAGTTACCAATCAGAATAATTACGAGGATTAATTCAGACAATGTATAAAACAAATAATGAATGTTTCACATTTTGTGCAATGGAAAGAATAATTTCTTTCGGTGACAGATGGAATGTCGCCGAGTAGAATGGAACATTCCATCTATCACCTCATGAAATTATTCTTACCATTGCACTCATAAACATTCATTATTTGTATAGCAGCCAAACTTGGAGGTGTTCTCTATTGCCTATTACTGAACCTCTGCTAATCTATGGTTAATTATTCTTACCATTGCACTCATAAACATTCATTATTTGTATAGCAGCCAAACTTGGAGGTGTTCTCTATTGCCTACTACTGTACCTCGGCTAATCTATGGTCTCTGTGATGGCCCTCAAGCCAAGTTGTAATACGGTACTTCTAATTCTTTTATCCTGTTTGTCATTACATCAGATGTCAATGAGTGTTCCACTGGGTTCGGCGGTGGCTACCAGCCCTGCTCTTATGGATGTCAGAACATACCCGGGAGCTTCACGTGTGGCTGTCCCCCAGGCTATGTGACTGTGGCGCAGGGGTAAGCATTAAAGGGAATATACATCATTTGCTTTTGCTGTAATTTTCAGAAATGGATGGAATTGGGGGGTTGGAAATATATAGCAAATATAGTTACACTGACTCTTTTGAGGTTTTGGGTTCGAAAATGCTATAAAAACTAAGAAAAACAATCATTTTCCTGTAGTCTGGATCCCTGACTCCATATAAGAAGAAACAGAGCAGTTTACATACATTGGGGAATTGTAAGGTCAGGGAAACAGTCTAGCTGGCTTGTACCCGTTCGTAGGTGTGTAATCGATTGCAAACAAGTGCGATGGTCAATTGGGGCCAGTAGTTGAAAAAAAGCCAGTTGTTTCCAACGCTGATCGGCCGACCAGCGTTGGAAATTGATACAAAAATACCACTTTTCTTGAAAATGACAGTATACCAGGTGCCATGATTTTACAGGATGCTTTACACTGTCATTCACTAACAGTCCAGCAAGGTATTTCAAAATGATTTGGTAGTTTTATTTTTTGATGTTTGCAAATGTTGTATTTTCCCTTTAACTGAATATCTCTTGTGTTCAGATTCATTTATTCACATAAGGAGTCTGAAAACAGGTTGGGGGGGGGGGGGCACTGCTGCATTCTTGTAAATTGTGACCTCTACAGTGTCGACTTGTTTTAATATCCACATGTGCAGCAAACTGCAGTGTGTTCTGCAATGTATTCATACTTGTGAACAGCCAAAAAATTCAAAGTTGCTGATAGTCTTCACATGTAAATATAATATGAGCTCGCGTATCTAGCTTATTATATATACTGATTTGAACACTGCATCAATTTCCACTACAGGGTGAGTAAAAAAAACTGAAACCCAAATGTTGGGAACATTGTTTTAGTGAAATTCTGCATGTAGCACTATCAAAATCTAGGATATGAAAGCCCAATTCATAAGCTTTCTTTTAGTACCAGAATTATTCAAATCACTCATGTACTTTTCAAGTTACAGAGTTTTAAACACAACCACTGTTTTAAAGTTCTGTCCACGGATTACAAAAAAGGTGTGCGTTCTTTCAGCAAAACGAAAACAATTCACACACATCCTTATGTGATTTGTTTTCGTTTTGCTGAAAAAAAACACTGAACTTGAAAAGTACATGAGTGATTTGGAATTATTCTTGTACTAAAAGAAAGCTTATGAATTAGGCTTTTATGTCCTAGATTTTGAAAGTGCTACATGCAGAACTTCACTAAAACAATGGTCCCGATATTTGGGTTTCATATTTTTTTACTCACCCTGTATTGTGTTGGAGGCCTACATGCCCTTGAGCATTTCAGTGGATTCTTAAGTCAAAAAAAAAACCCATAAGGGATTAACATGAAAAATAAACTTGAGCAAATTGGGAAAGTGTGCTAAAATTTCTTTAACATGGGTCTAGGGGTTGATCCAGTTTGGCTTAAGAGAAGGGAGGGGGAGGGTAAGCTGTCAAAGAGGGAGGGGACATTAACAACCGCCTAGTATTGTAGTCTGGCAATTGTTCTTTTTTTTGGAAGGCCTAAGAGGGGAGTTTGAACCCCCTAAATCCTCCCGGTAGATCAGTCAATGAAGTCATATTTTGGATTATTTCAATGAGTTGTTATTCCTTAGTATTTTGTTATGATTTTTTTTAGTAGAAGTTGGAATCAACTCTTTGTTCAGACTCGTTCAATACACCAAGCTTGAACTAATAATTAGTGTATGAGATGATGTTAATAATAACAATTGTCCTTGTACCTTTCCTTCAGAGCCTGTGTATCTACCTACGGACAGGGTAGTTACGGTCAGTATGGGCAGACTCAACAGCAGACACCGTATGGACAGACCCGCTACGGCCAGGGTGGACAACAGACTGGTTACGGCCAGACTGGTTACCAGCAGCAGTACGGCCAACAACAATATGGCCAACAACAGTACGGCCAACAACAGTATGGCCAACAACAGCAACAACCACCCAGCCAACAAACGGGTGGGGTACAGAAGCCGTGCTACCACTGCCAGCGGAACAACGGCCGCAAGCGACGCGACGTGGACACCGCCTTGAACGAAATCCCCGGTGACGATGACATCGTTGCCACTGCACTGTTGGAGGAAGATCTGCGCAGTAACAACAGCACAGCCGAAGGTCCAACCAATAGCACAGAGACCGCCGAGAACTTCCAGGGAGTCCACGCTGCGCCGGGCAAGGTGGTCTATCTGAACGTCCCCATCAAGATGGCTCGCCGGCGGTTCCGCGTGGCCAAATTCGTCACAGGCTACTCCAAGGACATCGGCAGCATGCACTACACGCTGGTCAGCGGCAATGAGGACGGCTACTTCGTCATCCAGGACAAGAAGGAAGGTGTGGCCCTGATCCGCCTCCACAAGGCAATCAAAGAGCACGCCATCTTTAAGCTGGAGGTGGAAGGCATCTTGAAGCCCAAGACGGAGGAGATGGCCGAAGCGCTACCCGAGGAGCTAGAAAAGCCTGTCATGTTTGAAATTGAAGTGCACATCGTCACAGATTCAGAATGAAGTCTTGACAAAAAAACATGCAGCAACGTGTGATGTTATGGTGCTATTTAACATAGGTGCTGTATAGTGTTAAGCTATTGTTTCCCTTAGTACTGTCTTAACGTCTACAATTTCGATTTGATTTCTAGAGTCAGAAACATGTCCACGAGAATCACCCTCTGTCAATATTTTCCTGTAATTTTCCACCATGCCTTTACATTAGCTTAAACTTGTAGTCCATGATTTGTTTGTATCCCATTGTAGAATAAATGTATGCATTAATGTCTTACAGTAGTTTAGAAATATTTATATTTAACCAGAAACGCTGAATTTTTTTTTCAGAAATGGACGACGGTACCGTATTTTCCCCCCCCAAAAATTGTAAATAAGCTTTAAAACATTCATTATTTAGACTTTTGTATTGCTTCTTTTTAACTTTGTTATAAAAAAACAGGGTATCCCATATCTTGTTAGTTTTCTTGCATCAAGCATGTCTAGTCTATTTCTTTTTTTTATTATTGTTAATGCCTACTGATTTGGAAAACTTAATATTATATGTTATTTTAGTACAAAAGAAATTGTACTTCAATTCTCCAGTGTAGACACTGCCAATTCTGAATGTAAATGTAGAGAGGCTTCAAAATGTTGAGGAAATCCAAAATCTTTTTAGTGAGGGTATTCATTTAAAAGTACTGTTATTAAAAAGACATTCCTCTGAACACAAATCCATGTTTTTTTAGAATTTGGAGTGAGTTAAGCATGTGGTAAAAGGATTATTTAGCTGTCTATTTGTATTGTACTTTTTTTAAAGAATAACATGAGAAGGAGAATTTAAAAAAACAAACAGTAAAAAGCAATTGAATAGCCAGGGATACATAGAAAAAAACAATGAATAAAACGTTAACCTGTGAAGTTAAGTAAACCAGGGTATCGTGTGATTCAAGATTCACCAGGCCCAATTTCATGGCTCTGCTAACCACAGAATTTCGTGCTTACGATCACTATTTTGTGCTTAGTGCGCTACTGAGCAGAAAAATTCTGTGCTAACCCTGTAAGCACGGAATCCAACAGTTCCTTGCTAACCCGGGAAATACGCTTACCTTAAGCACGGAATTTTCTGCTACATTAAGCACTGTTTTTTCACAAACGTTAAGCAGAGCCATGAATTTGGGTGTTTTCTAGCTAGAATTCTTTCAAGTTTCAACACAAATGCTGCACTTTTTTTGTGTCATGATCTCTTTGTTGTTGAAATATCAGGAATAACCGATTCCTATACAAGAATAGCATTCTTTGTATTGTATTTGGATTTTGATGTGCCTTTTTCATATAATGGTTTGACCCAGAAAGGATCAACATATGCATTTACATACATGATGTACATGCCTTTCGCAAAACATCGTTTATATAGACTACGTGCATAAGTACCCCCTCAACGGTTACAAAGGGAGAGCTGGGGAGACCAGTGGGAGGGACATTCCAACGCATGACGCCATGATGCTCACACGGCGATTCTATTTGTTAATGCATATTGAGGTCCAAGGTGTTAAAGGAATCCATCAGAAAACGCTCCTTGGAAATACTTCCACATTTAGAAACATCAGCTGCAAGCAATATGCATTGCTGACATGTAATTATTTTGCTAAATGTAACACAACTGGATTTGCCAGTAAACCAAATCCATTCATCCATTTATTTCAAAAAGTAGATTCACTTTTCTCAATCTGAAGTAAACTAGACAATAGAAGTTTTTCATGTATTAACCAATTTTTTGAACAATGACAAAACAATAGAGCACCTTTGGTTCGTCAGGTGTTTGGTTATATGCATATTCAAGTGATGGATCCAAATAACTGAGTTTAGCTTGTCAGCTAACAATAATGTGTGTGTACAATTATGTAGTACTAATTTTTTTCTAATTGTTTATCCTGGTTAAATCTGAGAAATCAAAAAATAACTTTTGTAAAGAATGAGGTGTATTAAAGCAACCTTCGTATCACATCAAACACTGTCTGTTCATTTTCTGGAGTATTTGTTGAAGTTGTGTTGTTTTTACGTTTTACAAATTACCGGGGGTGAATTAGGGAGGGGGCGGGGATGCATCAAGTGTGCCTTTATCCACCCACCACCATTGGCGTATCCAGCTTTTGATGTCGGGTGGGGGGGGGGGGGGGCAACTGCACTCGCACATCCCCGCCGAAATGAAGACTTTTTTTTCTCTGGACACTTGGCCTCAAAAGGGAAAGGGGGGGGGGAGGAACCCATCTTCCTAATCGGGGCCGTTATTGATCGCCCCTAGAGGTACACGTACAGATGACCACCGAAACGCTCCTACCTCTGGGGGCGACCGTTATCGACCCTAGAGGTACAGAAAACCAAATAAACACTCGTACCTCTGGGGCGACCGTTATTGATCGCCCCTAGAGGTACAGATGACCACATAAACGCTCATACCTCTGGGGGCGACTGTTATCGCCCATAGAGGTACAGATAACCAAATAAACACTCGTACCTCTAGGGGCGACCGTTATTGATCCAAGGGCGGATCCAGAACACAATTTTTGGGGGGGCCAAACATTTTTTTGGACCCCCCAAAAAGTGGGTCAAAAAAATTACGGCGTAGGGTTCGGGGCCCGCTTAAGGGCCCCGAAATTTTTTTGGATTCTAGATGCTCTGTGGTGCGATCTGAGGCAATTTCTGACCACTTTAACCAATGTTTTTTTGAGGAAAAGATGGTGGTACGTGTACTCATTGCCTGCCTTTATTGCGATGTTACATAAAAAAAAAAATTGGTCTCGTTTTTTTTTTTGGGGGGGGGGGGGGGGCATGGCCCCCTTTGGCCCCCCCTGGATCCGCCCTTGTCTCCCCTAGAGGTACAGCCTCTAGGGGCGACCGTTATTGATCGCCCCTAGCGGTACAGATAACCTCTAGGGGCGACTGTTATTGATCGCCCCTAGAGGTACAGATGACCACAGAAATGCTCCTACCTCTGTGGCCGACCGTTATCGCCCCTAGAGGTACAGCCGCTAGGGGAGACCGTTATTGATCGCCCCTAGCGGTACAGATAACCTCTAGGGGCGACCGTTATTGATCGCCCCTAGAGGTACAGATGACCACAGAAATGCTCCTACTTCTGGGGGCGACCGTTATCGCCCCTAGAGGTACAACCGCCAGGGGCGACCGTTATTGATCTCCCCCTAGCGGTACAGCCTCTAGGGGCGACCGTTATTGATCGCCCCCAGAGGTACAGATGACCACAGAAACGCTCCTACCACTGGGGGCGACCGTTATCGCCCCTATAGAGGTACAGATAACCAAATAAACGGCCGTACCTCGGGGGGCTCGTATTTCTTGAGTTGTCGAAAACGAGAGTGTTTTTGTTCCATGAAAGTTGATAATTTGCATTTTTGCGCTATTAACACGCTACATTGTTTGGGTTATATTATTTGAATTGTTTCCTAATTTCTCGCGATATTCAAGAGATGTGTTTTATATAATATCAAATTCAATAAAACAGGCATTTCTTGAGTTGTCGTTCGGAAAGACGGTTGTTTTTGTTCCATCAAAGTTGACATCATAGAATTGCATTTTCGCGCTTTTAACATAGGCCTACTACATTGTTTTGGCTACTTTATTTGTATTATTTTCTAATTTCTCTCGATATTTAAGGAATTTGTATTATATATTACGATCAATCAATAGAAGAAATTTCAATTCAATAAAACAGGTATTTCGTGAGTTTGTCGTCCGGAAAGCGAGTGTGTTGTTTTTGTTACATGAATGTTGACGTTTTGCATTTTCGCGCTATTAACACACTACATTGTTTTCGGGTTATATTTCATGCAGCCTATTATTTGTATTGTTTAATGATTTGTCTCGATATTCAACAGATTTGTGTTATATATTACGACCAAATATAGAGGAAATTTCAATCCAACACAACTGGTATTGCTTGAGTTGTCGTCTGGAAAACGAGTGCATAGGTTTTGCGGTTCCATTCATGTTGACTTTAATCTTGTATTTTCTTTCAAAAGAGGGCGTGCTACACAATTAATAGTGGTCTGCACTTAACCAGCTAACTTGAAGTTCGCAGACAGCTCTAGACGTCCACACGACTTTAACTTTTCATATCGTGAACTCAGAACCCAGCCATACTAGTCTCCGTCCCCTAAATTATGAACAAGTCTGGGGTTGCAGACCAGTAAATAAACTGCCATATCACAGTCAAGTACGGGACGCAATTTCAAATCGGTGCAATGTGTTTTTCTGTAGTTATCGTCTCCACAAAGAGTGCTTTATTTTTGATCCATTAAAAGTGACTCGAATTCAAATTTAATTGTTCGCGATTAGTACACTTTATTTCCTATAATCATACTAAATTTATTCCTTATTGGTTTCCGTCGATTTTCAAACCATTTGTGTCCTAAATCCCGAACAATTATTGAACGAAATTTCAATTCAGTGCACTGTGTCGTTCTTAATCAATCGTCTCAACAAAGCGCGTTATATTTTTGTTCACTAATAATGCCGACTTCGTACATGTATGATCCACGTTCACCGAAGTCTTTACGGTGGTGACCAGTATTTGTGTAGCGCGCCCTCTTTTATAGGGAGAAATTGATGTTGGTAAAATGAACGGGAGTCGTTTTCATTATTGTTGTATTAATTTTTTTCCTTCAACGGTTTTTGTCAAATTTCTAATGTATTGAGTCGTATCACGGTCAATTATGGACGTAATTTCAAATCAGTGCAATGTGTTTTTCTCTGGAGTTATCTTCTCCACAAAGAGTGCTTTATTTTTGTTCCATTAATTCGAATTGAATTTTTCGTGATTAGTACACTGTATTTCCTGAAATCATATTAAATTTATTCTTCAATGGTTCACGTCAATTTTCAAACCATTTGTATCATATATCTTGAACAATTATTGAACGAAATTTCAACTCAGTGCACTGTGTCGTGTTCCGAGTTATTGTCTCCACTAAGTACGACTCGAATTAGAATTGAAATTTCCTTATTTCCTTAAATCATATTCAATTTATTCTGCAAGGGTTCTCTTCGATTAAATTTTGGAGATCTGGTCGACACAAAAGGAGGGCACTATTTGGTTTAGGTATTAGGTACATATGTACAATGTATACAGTGTTCACCCAAACCTAACACAAAATGTACATGTAGTACATGGTCCTCTCTCTCCCCCCCCCTTTTAAAAAGCCTATCCTTCCCCATGCCGAGAGAGAGAGAGAGAGAGAGAGGGGGGGGGGGGGGGGGGGGGGGGGAGTACGCGTGCTTCAGAGGTGCCATGGTCTCAACATGTTCAAATTTAGAAATCATGCAAAATGTCGAAAAGTATATGTCCCCGCTGGCAAAATAGCATCCACGTTGCGTATATGTCCCCGCTGGCAAAATAGCATCCACTTTGCCAAGCTGGAAATCAACTGAAGTTGGGGATGGGTGCTATCCTCAAAATGCTATAGTTGTCCTCATTCCATTACATGTACGCATGTTTTTGCTCTTGTTGGTTCACTATCATTTTGAGATAGATGATAAGGTTTAAAATATAATTTGTTTTACAAGCCCACACAGAAAGATTTCCATATACAAAGTTCACTCAACACCCTGTGTACCAAACCCTATGAGATTGAACTGAAAAATTCCAAGTGTTTTCTAAGAAAATGCTTGTAGTTTCTCACTGCTCAAATTGACTTTGATGACATGAAATTGCTATCTGGGGGCTTGTTAGTCAATACAGAGGAAAATTAGTGAACTTCGTATATGGAAATCTTTCCGCCCACACAAGTACAACAAACGAAGTTCATTTCCTTGCGATTTCACGACTAATCTCCTTCACCTCGTAGGTGGGGGATCCAATATTTGTTAGGCCAAAAAAGTAAAGCCTCATGAACCAAATGCATGAAAATGTACATGTACACATTTTCCAATACGGTCAACTGCAGCGCTAAACTTCAAAAGTGTATGTTCCATAATCTGTAGGCACGCGAACTCAGGAGCATGAAGACTTTACTCTCTCGCCACTTTGGACAAGATTTCCAAATAAAAACAACAAATCCCAAAATTTTCAATTTTACGTTTTAATGCACTTCCCCAATTTGTTACTCATTTTTAAGTGTCGTCAAATGTTATGTTTTTCATGTACATGTATATTAGTTGCCCAACAAGCTTCAATTAGAGTTGATTAATTGAGATGAAACTGCTTGGCTATAGGTTGGTTTGTCAAGTACATGTAATTTGTCTTTTGCCTTAGCATCCAGCGCAGTAGTCAAGTTAACACATCAAAAGCAAACGTCAGTTTTGCACTATTTTGTGATCTATGCGAAACATTATGAATAATAGTTTGCTTGTGGACACAATACGTTTTGTGAAGCAACCTAGATCCACTTAAAAGCGACTGGAATACCAAATTTGTTTTACATAGTTTTTACTCATCTATAGATCCTGAACAGTCCTGAATCCTCCAATTTCAATATGATTAGGCACACCCCCTAGGGAGTTAGGGTTAAAACTGTTGACTTGTTTAAAAGGATGTACCCATTTTCAAACACCCACTTCGCAATTCTGTTAATTCCATTTCTTTTTGTATGTCCAACAACATGATTTGTAAGATTGTTAAGGTGGTACATGTACTACATTTGCCTGGCCTTTAAACATTTTCTTTTCATTAGATGTCACATATAAGTGAAGTGTCACATTCACTCTACCAACAGAAGCTCATTAAACTGTCGGACATGCATGTCCGAATTTAAGAATTTGCCCTTCTGTATCTTGTTTATTTGTTTTTTTTTAACGACTGCACAAATTTTTTTTTTTAAGATGTGTTGTGTGGCTCAAAAGATCAAATTTTAAATCAAGTCTCCAAAGCATAATTCAATAATAAAGCTACTGATGTGTAACGCATGGCATGATTTACTGCCCTCCACGCAGACGGAGAACCAGGTGGAGGGTGGACTCTTTCTGGATATTGTAGTCAGACAGGGTGCGGCCATCTTCTAGCTGCTTTCCGGCGAAGATCAGACGCTGCTGGTCTGGTGGGATGCCCTCTTTGTCTTGGATCTTGGCCTTGACATTCTCGATGGTGTCACTGGGCTCGACCTCAAGGGTGATGGTTTTGCCAGTCAGGGTCTTGACGAAGATCTGCATACCACCACGCAGACGGAGAACCAAGTGGAGTGTGGACTCTTTCTGGATGTTGTAGTCAGACAGGGTGCGGCCATCTTCCAGCTGCTTTCCGGCGAAGATCAAACGCTGCTGGTCTGGTGGGATGCCCTCTTTGTCTTGGATCTTGGCCTTGACATTCTCAATGGTGTCACTGGGCTCAACCTCAAGGGTAATGGTCTTACCCGTCAAGGTCTTGACGAAGATTTGCATACCACCACGCAGACGGAGAACCAAGTGAAGTGTGGACTCTTTCTGGATGTTGTAGTCAGACAGGGTGCGGCCATCTTCCAGCTGCTTTCCGGCAAAGATCAGACGCTGCTGGTCTGGTGGGATGCCCTCTTTGTCTTGGATCTTGGCTTTGACATTCTCGATGGTGTCACTTGGCTCAACCTCAAGGGTAATGGTCTTACCCGTCAAGGTCTTGACGAAGATCTGCATACCACCACGCAGACGGAGAACCAAGTGAAGTGTGGACTCTTTCTGGATGTTGTAGTCAGACAGGGTGCGGCCATCTTCCAGCTGCTTTCCGGCGAAGATCAGACGCTGCTGGTCTGGTGGGATGCCCTCTTTGTCTTGGATCTTGGCTTTGACATTCTCGATGGTGTCACTGGGCTCGACCTCGAGAGTGATGGTCTTGCCTGTCAGGGTCTTGACGAAGATTTGCATACCACCACGCAGACGGAGAACCAAGTGGAGTGTGGACTCTTTCTGGATGTTGTAGTCAGACAGGGTGCGGCCATCTTCCAGCTGCTTTCCAGCGAAGATCAGACGCTGCTGGTCTGGTGGGATGCCCTCTTTGTCTTGAATCTTGGCCTTGACATTCTCGATGGTGTCACTGGGCTCAACCTCAAGAGTGATGGTTTTGCCTGTCAGGGTCTTGACGAAGATCTGCATACCACCACGCAGACGGAGAACCAGGTGGAGTGTGGACTCTTTCTGGATGTTGTAGTCAGACAGGGTGCGGCCATCTTCCAGCTGCTTTCCGGCAAAGATCAGACGCTGCTGGTCTGGTGGGATGCCCTCTTTGTCTTGGATCTTGGCTTTGACATTCTCGATGGTGTCACTTGGCTCAACCTCAAGGGTAATGGTCTTACCCGTCAAGGTCTTGACGAAGATCTGCATACCACCACGCAGACGGAGAACCAAGTGGAGTGTGGACTCTTTCTGGATGTTGTAGTCAGACAGGGTGCGGCCATCTTCCAGCTGCTTTCCGGCGAAGATCAGACGCTGCTGGTCTGGTGGGATGCCCTCTTTGTCTTGAATCTTGGCCTTGACATTCTCGATGGTGTCACTGGGCTCAACCTCAAGAGTGATGGTTTTGCCTGTCAGGGTCTTGACGAAGATCTGCATACCACCACGCAGACGGAGAACCAGGTGGAGTGTGGACTCTTTCTGGATGTTGTAGTCAGACAGGGTGCGGCCATCTTCCAGCTGCTTTCCGGCAAAGATCAGACGCTGCTGGTCTGGTGGGATGCCCTCTTTGTCTTGGATCTTGGCTTTGACATTCTCGATGGTGTCACTTGGCTCAACCTCAAGGGTAATGGTCTTACCCGTCAAGGTCTTGACGAAGATCTGCATACCACCACGCAGACGGAGAACCAAGTGGAGTGTGGACTCTTTCTGGATGTTATAGTCGGACAGAGTGCGGCCATCTTCCAGCTGCTTTCCGGCGAAGATCAGACGCTGCTGGTCTGGTGGGATGCCCTCTTTGTCTTGGATCTTGGCTTTGACATTCTCGATGGTGTCACTGGGCTCGACCTCGAGAGTGATGGTCTTGCCTGTCAGGGTCTTGACGAAGATTTGCATACCACCACGCAGACGGAGAACCAAGTGGAGTGTGGACTCTTTCTGGATGTTGTAGTCAGACAGGGTGCGGCCATCTTCCAGCTGCTTTCCGGCGAAGATCAAACGCTGCTGGTCTGGTGGGATGCCCTCTTTGTCTTGGATCTTGGCCTTGACATTTTCGATGGTGTCACTGGGCTCGACCTCGAGAGTGATGGTCTTGCCTGTCAGGGTCTTGACGAAGATCTGCATCTTGGTTTACTGCATAAATAGAAAAAGAAGCAAACAACTTTTTGAGTTAACATGCAACAAACACGCAATCAAAAAGTTGGACTTCAGCTGATATAGCATCCCTCATCTTTCTTGAAGTGTTTTTAAAGAGATATCAAATTAAAAAAAATTCAGAAATTAATATATTTTGCCTCTGAAATAGTCCTTTTTGGTTGAAATGTTAGGCCATCTATTTTTCGATTAATTATTCAAGCATTTATATAAAATGCTATTAAAAGTCAATTGAATCAGCCTACTTGATGGCTTCATTCTTTCTTTTGACAACACTGATTTTAACAAAATAATGAGTGATATTTTTTTTTAAAATGAAGGGGGAAAAATAAAAGAAAAACAAAACCCACGAACTCAAAAACCTGGACATGTGCAATACAGATTTTTCTTCAAGTAGATTTTTGCCTTTATCAGCCAAAGACATATTTTCCCAGTTGACATACTGGTGGACTATTTTGTTATGGTGACTTAGAGCAGAAATTTGAGGGTTGAAATTTCGGTGATGTTTCTTTTGAACACAAAAATATTAGCAAAAGAGTACAGAAAATGGAAGAATACATCTTGAAAAATCTGCCATCTTGCATTTTTTTTTTAAAAAGGGACACCTTGTAGTAAAAAAAAAAAAAAAAAAGTCCCGATGAGAATTTTTTTACTAGGCCTTACATTTATATTACTTTTTGTTAGTGGCTTTATTTTCAGTCATTCCATTTTTGTGCCGACATTTGAAGTATAAGGCGAAAAAACGAACAAAAAAACCCATATTTTGCTTCCCCGCCCGCATCCTTTTTGGAGGCTGCCTCTTTTTAAAATTTTAATTTTTAACAGTGACATCATTTTGGCCGCTTTTATCTTTTGCATGTAGCCCATATAAAGCTGTTCTTTTCCTGAGTACAATGTGGGCCATTTAAAAAACAACAAAACTGGCGGCCTTCTTGAAAAATAGCCCAGTCGGATCAGACGGCCATTTTGGAGAGGAAAAATGTTTTTAAAAAAAAAAGCCTCCTGCTTCCTTTTCTTCAAAAAGGCAGGACGCTTTGTTTTTTTTTATTTTGCCTAATAAGCACTTTTACTGTAATGAGCGCTATCTTGTTCACGGGGCAAAAAGAAAATGTGCTGCTAGACATGTGCGCATTTTGGAATGATCGCATGACGACTTGGAAGCGTAAAAGTTAACGATTGATGATGTGTACATAGCAACACATGTACATGTAAATTTGCCTCGTAATTTGCTTCAGCAAGATGGCGCATATTACCGTTAAAGTGCTTAATATTCACATTGTTCCACTGGTTTCACAAACTTCTCAGTGATGTTATTGTTCATTCGAATGAACCCTTCTCAAAAAATTTAATCATTCTCATATTCATCAGGCATGCAACTGGGAATTTAGAAACAACGAGGAAACCCCAAACCACACAAGACTTTGTAAAGTATTATTCAATTTGTACTGGCATTTATGAGAAGTAAAAAACGAGGATATCAGCCAATCCGATGAAAAGTTGCATGCCTGATTCATAGAGCAGCCAAAAAAAAAAAAAAAAAAACCTAAAGAATGCTTGAATCCATCAGTATTATTGATAAAAATTGTAAATAGAACTTTCCAATCCAAATTCCAATGGGGTTAGGAAAGTACTGCCAGCAACGTTTCAACAAAGAAACACTAAACACGTAGAACTCTTCTATTCTCAAGATTTATGTTGGTCAGGTCTTGGACAATAAATTATCTCTCTGATTAAACTTTTCTTACAAAAAAACAATGGGAAAAAAAACAATAATACACGAAAATTAATGGAGGGGCCCATTTCTACTTTATGGACATTTCTCGTCAAAAGCCTGCTTAGCAAAGGGCATTGCAAAAGATGGCATAATATTATGAATAATGGTGACTCATAAATTCTACGGAACTTCGAATCGAAGGGAGTGGACAAGACAACAGGAAACAAAAACTGCAAGTCATATTTTTTTCCGACATCGGCGGGCCGACATGGTGCCTGTGGACATGTTTTGGGGGCACTAGGCATGATAGGGCATGTAGGGGGCCTACTTTCTTTACTAATTAGTACACGAAGACTAGAAAGTGTCAAGGGACATGAGGGATCTTCTTTCCAAGTCATAAAATGACGGTATAGCCTAGGCCATCCATGGGCCTACTCAGTACTCTAATTTCAACCTGAACCACGAAGCTTTAGAAAAAAAACGAAAACTACGATGACAAAGAAGTGCGACACCCTTCGTATACGAATACCATTCATACAATTCTTTTCTAGACCAAACTGACTTCACTATCCAAATTATCTTTTTAGCTTTAACCGAATTCGAAGTAATTATACTTACGTTTTGAAGATAAATTGCAAAAACAGTCTTTTTTTTTGACGATGTAGCAAACGCTTCCAAAGGCGAACTAATAATTATTACGTGCTCAACGCGTCTGGCTGCCTTTATAGTAAGTCGTACAGTCATTCTATTGGTTATTTGGTCTCACGTGCTCAAAATTACAGTCTCTGATTGGAAAATATAAATAGGACCTGTCTCCAGGCGGAAGTAAATCTACCCCCTGGTTCCCAGCATACTTCCCAACGTTCCATTCGATTTCATCGCAAAGGTGTGCGGGTACCAGTATCATGACATCATGGTAATTTTTAACTTCACGTGACTCAGCTGCACGCAAGTACGTATGTGTACATGTAGTCGCAATATCAGTGTCGATAGTTCTCGAATCAAAGTTCATTCCAAGGTCCCATAAAGTGGGCGGGGAGTTGGGCCGGGCTGGGGGAGGGAAATTTGGGCCAAGTTGAAATCTGTCACAAACATCCTGTTAGAATTAATAAAAGATTACACTTGTAATCAAGTTTCTGCTCAGATCTGACTTAATGCACTAGTTCTTTCATTTCCCCTCATCAAAAATATAAATGTTAAACAAAGCCTGGAAAAACCATGGAGGAAGGAACAGTTCCCAGTCTTCAGTTTCGTTTCTTTTTTTCAAGTTACGAATTTTAAATTTATATATTTTATTTCAGGAGGAATAACACATTTTCATTGGAAAGGTCTCATACAATATACATGTAGACCTAATTGTCTGCAACCTTACAAAAGAATATTGGGTTTCAATTTTTTTCACATTAAAATTTAAATTGCTGGATTTTTTATTTTCCATAATTCCATTACTAATTTGGCGGATTTTTTTTCAATGACTAGTGCAATATAACTTTCAATTTGGTATTGCTAGAATTTTTTTATTAAAAAAAAAGAAGTCTATTTTGGTACTCCGAATATAGAACGGAGGGATCAACTTAAGTCCTGAGAGTGGCCTTTTTGGCAATGCCACGCAACAGGCGGCCTTCGATCGCGATCACGGCCGGCCAAACAATAAAAAAAAAGGCGGGATTGATTTGCGTCACGTTTGGATAAAGGTTCAGACTGATAAGATAGGAACGAAAAGTCCAACTAAGGTAATGCGGTGACAAAGTTTATGCATCGCCATGGACGTTTCTTACATCATGACGTGGTAAAAGTCAGCATGAACATAAAATGATAAATAAAATAAAACGCTTGTCTTATTTTCCAATCACCATTTTCATTTTCTTAATAAAATAAAAGTCATTTACTTTGGCTTTTTCTGACACTGTGACTTCAAAGGTTTTCAGTGTACTGATAGTATAAAAACTGCATGGGCCTGTTTTAAAATATTGTAACGGGCGTGAAATTACTAGTTCAAGTACTAAATGACAAGAGACTAGACAAGAATTCTGACTGGGGAGATCGTGCTGTTCTTCAAAAAATAATAACGGTTTTATTGGCACACACACCGTGCCCGATGCATATAATCTAATGTCTATTATGTGGATAACGATGAGGCGGAGCGCCAATGTGCATTGCAAATGATCGAACGTTGAGTACGACCCGCTCATTCTTCTGGGTGAATTTCCTCACCGGGCCAGAACCGGTCACGATCTGAACACCGAGCCCTAACTTAATTGGCTCGTCTTTTATAGCGTTTGGGCGCGTACATGGCGCAAGGAGCTATAGCTAGCGCATCATAACAAAATGTCTCTTGCAATGCTCTGATTGGTCATTCTACTGCGCCAAATATTATTCTTATTCATAATAATCATGGCGTCTTGACCTAGCCCAGGTTGGACGAAGTCTTCATTGCATAGGGAGGAAAGGGAGTCCACCTGGGCTACGTCAAAGCTTCGATGAATTAAACTTTCATTTAACAGTAATTCTATCATTACTTTATATGCCCTTTTATCAATACACAGTCAACTGTATTGGCATCAATTCTTCTCATTAAAATACAAGGTTATCATCCGTAAGTCCTATCAATTAAGTTTATGAAAGGAACCTGTATCTTAGCAGAGTGAAGAATAAAGTGTGCTTACTGGAAATTAATCATGACTTGCATTTTCGTTACAATTATGAATGCCATAAAAAGTAACTGAATCATTTGAAATATTGCAAATTGGCTTGGGCGCATTTTATAGCACCATGTTTATTTTCACGAATTGTTCCCGAGAAAATGTAACTGTTGTGTTCCCCCTTGATATTTTTTTTGTCTAACTCAAAAACTACTGGACACATCTTGGTCAAATTACGACTGATCAGTACAGAAACTACTTAGCAATCCAGCTATACTCTTTGTTTGGCCCAAAACAGTGATAATGTGTACAAAATTATGCAATTTATGACAAATGGTACCGGAAAAAAAGTTGCACCTTAAATTGGCTAATTTTGGCCGGCTGTGATGTAAGTACATATTAACCTGTAGGTCGATGACCCATAACAAGGCCACTTTGGCCAGTGTTGGGATTCTAGGAAGAATAAGGTGGGTGGTAGAGAACATATGTTGTGGTCAATAAATATTGAAGTTAAGGATGTGGTTTTACCCTCAAGAAGAGTTGGTAAACTTCTTCAAGGAGAAGATGTGGTCACACCTCCACTGAGGGTGGGGCTGACATCTAACAATGGTTTAGGGACATATAAAAAGTAAGGAAGGAAATTGAAATGGTTAATCTTGATTGAGGCACCAGAGAGCTTGTGTCGATTCACATGTGAGCAGCCATTGCGATCATGCTTTGTGCCTAGCGCCCTCTCGCGGCCAACTAAACTTTTTTTTAACAGCGCGCGCCGCCTAGAATTTTGCTTAACTATGCGATGGGCGTAGCGAGCATGCGAGTTTTGCATTCCACCGCGCTTTGTTTAAGAGAAATAGCCGACATTCCGGGCGTTTCGGTATATTTTTCTTGTAGGGCTAGGTCCAAAATAACTTTGATTTCGATCCAACATCTTGTTGCGAGCAGACCATCTTTTACGACATCTTACACTCTCCACTTTTATTGCAATTTTGAGAGAGGCTCCCTATAGCAGTAGACTAGTTTCATCTATTTTTTGCTGTTTCTACTTCGATTTTACCATCGGACACGGAGTAGGCATGAACGTAGATCCTCCCAAGTGATAATATCCTTGGAGCTACTTCATTAGCCTATTTCCCTATTTGACTGTCGTTTTTATAGACCCAACAAAGTTCGTTTTTATAGACCCAACAAAGTTCTGTTTTTATATACTTAACAAAGAGTCGGTTGATATACCCAAAGTTCATATAATCCCTATAATTCTTTTTGTAAATACTGTACCTGATCATTTGTATATATATTGTCTCTATTTGTACTGTAAATATTTCATATTTGTGAGACAACAGAAAACATTCGCTCTACCCATGGAGCTATATCATTTTTTAGTGGAACCCCTCGGACATAAGGAGAGTGCCACATTCATGATCGCAATGGCTGCTCACATGTGAATCGACACAAACACGCAATTACAAAAGTTATGAAATAATGCTGGAGTAAGGAACCAGTCGGGGAAAAGTAAGTACTGCAACCCGACCTGGTTACACAAGCTACTGGCTATTCCCCCTGTGAGTTATTGTATGGGAGAAAAGTAAGAGGCCCGTTAACATTGATCAGTGAGCAGTGGATTACTGACGATTAGGTGGCCCCAGATGTGGTTCAGTACATGATAGATATCAGACATAAGATGGACACTTTGATGAGTGAGGCCGCTGAAAATATGGCCAAATCCCAAAGCAAAATGAAGCCGGAGTACTATGATCGAAAATCTGCTCCCCGTACATTTGATCCAGGTGACAAAGTACTGCTCTTCCTACCTTTGGGTAACTCAAAACTTGATAGTAAATGGCAGGGCCCCTACGTTATTACACGTAGGATAAACTCTGTTAATTACGAAGTAACCTTGCCAAACAAGAGAAAGTCCAAACGGATAATCCATGTAAACATGATGAAGCTGTGGTATGATAAGGATCATGAGCAACGCATGGCAGAATGCCATTATGTTATTGCAGATGTAGACTCATTTTCCGTTAATGATAACAATGATGACATGGTCACTCCTGTCGAAAACATGGATGCAAACATAGATATAGGGTTGAATTATCATCAAACTCAGACTTGGGAAGATGTAGCAGTGTCCGATTCATTGACAAATGCCCAAAGTCAAGAGATGAGTATCTTGCTGTATTAATTCAGTGCGGTGTTTTCCGATGTGCCTGGGAGAACCCACTTAGTGAAGCATGAAATTAAGACGGAGGGAAAACAACCCATACGGCATAGGGCTTACCGTACTCCTCATGCTTTAAGACAGAAAGTTCAAGATGAACTACAGAGTATGCTAGACATGGGTATCATTGAACCTATTACAAGTTCATATGCATCGCCAATTATTGCTCTGCGCAAGTCTCATAACCAAATCAGAGTAGTTACTGATTTCAGAACTCTGAACAAAATTACGGAATTTGATCCGTATGTCATGCCTAGGATTGATGACATATTAGATGAGGTAGCAAAAGCTAAGTACATTTCTACCCTTGATCTGACTATAGGATTCTATCAGGTCCCTCTAGATCCACAGACCAAAGAAAAGTCAGCGTTCATTACGCCCTTTGGTCAATACTGCTACAATGTACTGCCCTTTGGCATGCAAAACAGCAGTAGTACATTTCAGAGCTTAATGGATGAAGTCCTAGATGGTTGTCATGGTTATGCTCAAGCATACATTGACGACATATGTATCTACAGTGAAACGTGGGCAGAGCACATGGTTCATGTGAAAGATGTATTGAGCAGACCAGCACGGGCAGGTTTAACAGCCAAGCCAATTAAGTGTAAAGTAGCCCATTCTCAGGTCTCATTCTTGGGTCATACTATTGGTGAAGGTGTGATACAACCAATGACAGATAAGCTGGAGGCAGTGGCAGACTTTCCGAGGCCCTTGACAAAAAAACAAGTCAGGGCATTTCTGGGCCTGTCTGGGTATTACAGAAAATGTGTACCCCATTATGCCACAATAGCAGCCCCATTGGTGGAACTCACAAAGAAGAGTGCTGCCAACACAGTTGTATGGAATGAGATGTGTGAAAGAGCATTTTGTGCCTTGAGGAAAAACTGACTAGCCCACCACTCCTGCGTGCACCAGACCTTTCCAAGCAATTTGTACTCCAAACAGATGCTTCTAATTATGGTTTGGGTGCGGGATACTCACTCAGTGCGATGACACGGATATTGAGTATCCCATTGCATATCTCAGTAGAAAAATGCTTGCAAGAGAACAGAATTATTCTGTGCCAGAGAAGGAGTGTTTGGCTATTGTTTGGGCCATTGCCAAGTTGAAGTACTACCTGTATGGCCAGCAGTTTACAGTGCTCACTGATCACAGAGCCCTGAAATGGCTAGACAGTTTCAGAACCAGTAACAACAGGTTACTTCGATGGTCGATGCTGTTACAGGAATACACATTCACTATGCAGTACAGAAAAGGCATTGCTAATGCCAATGCAGATGGTCTCAGTCGTGCATAAATTCAGATTAATTTGTAGAGAATAAGTAACCTTGAGTATCATAGTTCATAAGTTTGTTTTTAGAAATCACCATAGAAAATGATATGTTCTACAACTCAGTATATTTAATGTTTAACTTTAGATTTAATAAGTGCATGAGTGGAACTTTAATTTAGTTTAACTGTTTACCTGGAATTTTCAATGTAAGTGGAAATTCTATTTATTATCAATTTATACGTGAACGTGTATCTCACAAATCCTTGTTGGACGTTGTTTTATTTGTGCTTGAATAATAAGCATTTGGATGTGTTCTCATGTATTCCTTGCAACAATAACTTGCTGCACCCAATCCAGCTCAGTGTACTGCAGGATATAGGACTACCCTACTGACGTTGCATTGGATGTTGCTGAATGGACACTTTTGAATTATAATCAGTATTCTTAAAATGGCTTTTGACCACTCATAATTTTACTATTGATAACAAGTTTTTAATTGATGTATGTTTAGTTCTGTATTTTTCAACAGAGTAATTTTGCTTGATTGCAAGACTGACACAGTCTTCTCTAGGGGAGGGGGCATGTGATGTAAGTACATATTAACCTGTAGGTCGATAACCCATAGCAAGGCCACTTTGGCCAGTGTTGGGATTCTAGGAAGAATAAGGTGGGTGGTAGAGAACATATATTGTGGTCAATAAATATCCAAGTTAAGGATGTGGTTTTACCCTCAAGAAGAGTTGGTAAACTTCTTCAAGGAGAAGATGTGGTCACACCTCCACTGAGGGTGGGGCTGACATCTAACAATGGTTTAGGGACATATAAAAAGTAAGGAAGGAAATTGAAATGGTTAATCTTGATTGAGGCACCAGAGAGTGCACAACATTTTGTATAGCTCCAGAATATGAGAATGTAGCAATAAATAGATTAGCTCCAGTGTATAGCAAGAAGTTGTCCAGTGTGAGTTCCTGATGTAGAGAACTTTAAGTACAATGGATGTTCACCGAGGTGGACAACGTAACACCGGAATACAATTGAATTGCTTATTCGCCTATAATTTTGCCGATGGGAGGTACTTGGGAGAATTCTGTAAGGGCATCGGGACTCCAACCCGACCCAAATACGGCAGGGTGCGGGTTTGGCGTTGGGGGTCAAAGGCACGCAGATGGAGAACCAAGTGGAGGGTGAACTCTCTCTTGATGTTGTAGTCAGACGGAGTGCAGCCATCTTCCAGCTGCATTACGGCAAAGATCAGACGCTGCTGGTCTGCCCTCTTTGTCTTGGATCATGGCTTTGAAATTCTTGATGGTGTCACTTGGCTCGACCTCAAGGGTAATTGTCTTACCCGTCAAGGTCTTGACGAAGATCTGCATACCACCACGCAGAGCGAGAACCAAGTGGAGTGTAGACTCTTTCTGGATGTTGTAGTCAGACAGGGTGCGGCCATCTTCCAGCTGCTTTCCGGCAAAGATCAGACGCTGCATGTCTGATGGGAAGTCCTCTTTGTCTTGGATCTTGACTTTGACATTCTCAATGGTGTCACTTGGCTCGACCTCAAGGGTAATGATCTTACCATTCAAGGTCTTGACGAAGATCAGCATACCACCACGCAGACGGAGAACCAAGTGGAGGGTGGACTCTTTCTGGATGTTGTAGTCAGACAGGGTGCGGCCATCTTCCAGCTGCTTTCCGGCGAAGATCAAACGCTGCTGGTCTGGTGGGATGCCCTCTTTGTCTTGGATCTTGGCTTTGACATTCTCGATGGTGTCACTTGGCTCGACCTCAAGGGTAATGGTCTTACCCGTCAAGGTCTTGACGAAGATCTGCATACCACCACGCAGACGGAGAACCAAGTGGAGTGTAGACTCTTTCTGGATGTTGTAGTCAGACAGGGTGCGGCCATCTTCCAGCTGCTTGCCGGCGAAGATCAAACGCTGCTGGTCTGGTGGGATGCCCTCTTTGTCTTGGATCTTGGCTTTGACATTCTCGATGGTGTCACTTGGCTCGACCTCAAGGGTAATGGTCTTACCCGTCAAGGTCTTGACGAAGATCTGCATACCACCACGCAGACGGAGAACCAAGTGGAGTGTAGACTCTTTCTGGATGTTGTAGTCAGACAGGGTGCGGCCATCTTCCAGCTGCTTTCCGGCAAAGATCAGACGCTGCTGGTCTGGTGGGATGCCCTCTTTGTCTTGGATCTTGGCTTTGACATTCTCGATGGTGTCACTTGGCTCGACCTCAAGAGTGATGGTCTTGCCTGTCAGGGTCTTGACGAAGATCTGCATCTAGGTTTACTGCATAAATAGAAAGAAAGGAAACAATTTTTTGAGTTAACACGCAACAAACATGCAATCAATTCAGAGTGCAGTAGGCTGCACATATAGTCTTGCAATAAATGGTAGAAAACATGGACATTAACCTGTGGAATGAATGCTTGTACTGGACATAATTTCATGTTCACATGCATGCACTCAACTTGTACAGGACAAAATACACTGGATGATTGGCTGAATGGACTAAAGTCATTGCCGGGAATTGACAACTTAAAAGCAACAGTTGAACCAATATGGAGGCCTCCATACACGTGTATGCAGCACACTCACAAACTGTTTGTATTTGTAAGTCTACAGTTGTGCACTACCATATGCGTCTATATTCCTACATGGTGGGTATTCAATTTTTGGCTTGAAGACAATTTTATTTTGGCTTTGAGCATGTTAGTGTTCATGGTGTTAAGATGTGAAGTGTTAAACACATTCCTTCCTCCATGATTGAATTTTTGAATAAGCTGGATTTGGAATAATTGTTTTCAAACTGTGATGCCAATTGGCATAAAAGTGACAACTGGTTGCTTCAAAGATAATTCAAATTAAGCAGAAAATTGTTGCGTCACAGTTCTGGCCATAAGTGTTTTTATAAGCACGTCAATGTTGGACAAAGAGTGTCCCAATGTTTGTACACCAAAGAATGAGGCCGATGAAGTCTTAAACTAAAGAACAATTTTTTAATTTTATATATTTTGATCACAGTCCATGGGTCTATTAAATTCCAAAATGCTCTAATTATAAGTTATAATTTATACCATTACTTGTGTTATAAGTTATAACACAAGTAATGGTATAAATTGTGACATTGAAAATGTATGTCCATGTCACAATAGCAGTCATGATAGCATTCATAGCATGCACAAGCTATTACTATATAGCATTGATCATAGTATGCGAATGCTATTATCATAGCATGCAAATGCTATTCTCAAAGCATGTGAATGCTGTTATAGCATTCATGTACGCATGCCTAAATAGCATTCTCGCTAGCATGCGAATGCTACAGCTCAATTTACATAATTTGGGCTTCTAACATGCTATAAAATAGCCCCATAAATGTGGCCTATTTACTGGACTGCCTCTCGCTGCCTCCGTAAACATAGGCCACACATCCACATGTACAAAAAACGTGTCGACTTTGCCAAATTTTGATTTTCACATTTAGGCTTACTTTTTACGTTTTTTTTGCTTTAGAAGCATTCTCACCCTCTATATAGGCTAATCAGAAAGTGCTGCCTTTTTCAGATGTCCATTTTTCGTGAAATTTCCAGATACATTTACACACGTTTGCGTATCAAAATTTCAACATGAAATTTCACAAAAATTAAACATCTGAAAAAGGCAGCACTTTCTGATTAGCCTATATAGAGGGTGAGAATGCTTCTAAAGCAAAAAAAATCTACAAAGTAAGCCTAAATGTGAAAATCAAAATTTGGCAAAGTCGACACGTTTTTTGTACATGTGGATGTGTGGCCTATGTTTACGGAGGCAGTCCAGTAAATAGGACACATTTATGGGGCTAGCTATAAAACTGCTATCGGAATGCTATCCTCGAGGAATGCTATGAAAAATGCTTTAGGAATTATATACATGGCTTTTGTGAATGCTATCAAATGGCAGTTCTCATAGCATTCACATGTAAAATGCATGCTAAAGGAATGCTAAATGACTGCAGTCAAGTTTGGTAATGAGTTGGACTCAGGAAAGCTCTATTTTTGCAATAAAACTCTTACTTACTTTCCGCCCCATTTGACAATACGAATACCATTCATACAATTCTTTTCTAGATTAAACTGACTTCATTATCCAAATTATCTTTTCAGTTTTAATCGAATTTGAATTAATTATATACTTACGTTTTGAAGATAAGTTGAAAAAACAGTCTCTTTTTCGACGATGTAGCAAATGCTTCCAACGCTAACTAATAATTATTACATGCTCAACGCGTCTGGCTGCCTTTATAGTAAGCGTACGGTCATTCTATTGGTTATTTGGTCTCACGTGCTCAAAATGACGTGCTGAAAATATAAATAGGACTTGTCTCTAGGAAGTAAATCTATCCTGGTTCCCAGCATACTTTGCCAACATTCTATTCGATTTCATTGCAAAGGTGTGCGGGTACCAGTATCATGACATCATGGTATTTTTTAACGACACGTGACTCGGCTACACATTGATGTATTGGCGATATCAGCAGCATCGATAGTTCTCGAATCAAAGTTCATTCTGTTTCATGAAACAAAGGTCTGATAAAGTGAGCGGAAATTTGGGCCAAGTTGAAATCCGTCACAAACATCATGTTAGAATTCATAAAAGATTACACATGTAATCAAGTTTCTGCTCAGATCTGACCTAAATGCACTAGTTCTTAAAAAAAAGAAGTCTATTTTGGTACTCCAAATATAGAACGGAGGGATCAACTTTAGTCCTGAGAGTACATTGTGATACAATAGTACAGTAATGTCGCGCAACTAAACAAGCGGCCTTTGATCGCGCTCACGGCCGGCCAAACAAAAAAAGGCGGGACTGATTTGCGTCGCGTTTGGATAAAGGTTCAGACTGATTAGATAGGAACGAAGTCCAACTAAGGTAATGCGGTGACAAAGTTCATGCATGGCCATGAACGTTTCTTACATCAAGATGTGGTAAAAGTCAGCATGAAAACATGATAAATAAAATAAAACGCTTGTCTTATTTTCCAATCACCGTTTTTATTTTCTTAAAAAGATAAAATTCATTTACTTTCAGTGTTTTTCTGACACTGACTTTAAAGGTTTTCAGTGCACTGAGATAACTGAACATATAAAAACTGGGCCTGTTTTGATGAATGCCCTAAAAAGTACTGAACTAAATCATTTGAAATGTTGCAACATTTGAAATGATTCTGTATTCGTGAAGAATATTGATTTCAAATTTTTAATTACAAAAATATATCTAAATCAAAATTAGTAGAGTAATTAGTCAGTAAGCAACAATTTTATTCATTTTTAAAATCAGTGGATAATCTTCTACCTTATAAACCAATGTTAAAATATCCCTTCTATTCTAAATATCTCTTCACATTAAAATAGAGCTTTGTTAAATATTACGTAAACCTAAAATATTATAAATGGATTTTGTGGACAGAAAATTTATACAATTTTTTAAAGATGTTATTGGACGTTTCCTGTACTAAGTTCAACTTTAACTTATTGCAATTTGGCTTGTCCACATGAGATTATATTGCTTCTTTCACATCATTTATAGCACCATGTTTATTTTCATGAATTGTTCCTGAGAAAATGTAACTGATGTGTCCCCAACAAAGCATCTCTTTGGAATTTCTTTGTTCCTTAGTGTAAAATAACATCTTGACAAACTCATACAAGTGTGATTTGCCTGCAATCGGGACCCCCTATTTTCCCTCTTTTGTGTGTACTCTTTAATTTTTTAGAAAGACATATGTTTTGTACACATTGCCAAATTGGGGACCTTCGGAAATTGAGGACCCTGTAGATTATCATGCTTTCACCATTTTAGTCATGTTCCCTTTATCCAATTTCAGTACTGAATGATAATGTTTTTGTGCAAAAAAAGAACCAGACTATTTTTCCTTCCAGCCTCGCTTTTGGTTACATTGATCTGAATTGGGAAAAAAATCAAATGGCTGCAACATGATAATGGTCTATTGTCCTCTATTGTTCAACATCCCTAATGAATGCAGAAACAAACTCAATAAGGCTGGGTCCCCTGTTCTAAGGGACTGATCAAGGGGTTTGGACAAGGGAAGGGGGATTAGTGGAATTTGGAATGAATGAGCGCAAAATATGAGGGCACATTATGGCTTAGCCTGAGAACACATTTTGACTACACTCAACCAAGAAATAAAGTCCCCCCCCCCTTGCTACTTTTTTGTCTAACTCAAAAACTACTGGGCACATCTTGGTCAAATTAGGACTGATCTTTGGCCCAAAACAGTGATGTGTACAAAATTATGCAATTTATGACAAATGGTACCGAAAAAAAGTTGCACTTTTGTATACGTGCAAGGTGAGTGTGAACCACAACATGCACGTACATGTATACAAAGTGCAACTGTTTTCGGTGCCATTTGTCAAAATTCCACAAATTCGTACACATTATCACTGTTTTGGGCCAAATAAAGAGTATGGCTTGATTAATAAGGAATTTCTGTACTGATTAGTCGTTATTTGAGCGAGAGGTGCTCAGTAGTTTTTGAGTTAGAAAAGAGAGTATTGGAGGGGGGGGGGGGCTTTCTTTTTTAATTGAGTGTATGTAGAGAGCTTCAAATACTGTTTCAAAACACTTTACCTTTTGTAAAATCATAATGGAAATAAATGAAGGTGTGCGTGTGTGTGTGTGTGTGGGGGGGGGGGGGTGATGTTTCACAAGACCCCTTTAAAAAAAACACCCCTGGATCCTCCCCCGTTTTTCCAGCACACTTCATCTCTCAGCCACTTTTGAACCCGCTGCATGGTGATCCAGAGGATTCAAATTTGGTTTTGTCGTACACTTGAATAATTTCAGAAATAGTGCTGTCTGAGTACTAGCAAAACAAAATTCATAATCTTACTTATGTGGGACTCGAACCTATGACTTGCTTTCTTACTAGACCAGATGTCTGTACTGGCAAACAGGAGGTTGTGGGTTCAAATCCCAACTGAGTAAGCTTGTGAACCTTTTCTCCTCGGCCCTCAGACAGTACGTACGTGAAAGGCAAAAATCCAACATTGAATAAACATCTCTCGGAATCAGATTCACATGTGCCCTACTTCTGTTCCAATTAGCAATAATATCTCGTTTTTAAAAAATTTTTATCCACCCTGTATTACCCGTGTTTTATTCAATAGGGAAAACGGTTCTCGTACCACCAGTAAATGCACACCACTAATGTATATTGCTGTTGTCGGTTACTCTGCCAATTTTGCCAAGTGCAAAAATTTGCCAAGCAATATCTTTCGACTATGCTGCTCCAGGAAATTGGCCTCTGGTGCTCTACTAGATAGTTTAAATTTTTTTTTTTTTTTTAGTATGGCAGACATTTTCGCCGGAAAATATCTGGGCCGTACTCTTCATACTCCTGCTTCGTGATCCAGCAGGGGTCAAAGGTCGGAAGGGAGGCTATGACAGAACCACCAACCCAGTTGGAGAAGGCACGGTGCGGTGGTGCTTTTACATTTACCTGGAAAGGCGGGAGAACCACAGATACAAATCAAAAGTCTACATCGTGAAAAATGTGCTAATATATTACTGGATTAAACACACTGTTGTCCATTGCATCTAGGCAAACACAGAGAAAGAACTCTTAAGGGTGGGGTTCCTTAAGACTAGACTTGAAACCTTATAAACAGGGTAAGTGACTCGTAGATTTCACTGGTTTCAAGCTTGCAAGTACATGGCATCTGTACGTATTACGGGTACTTTTTGGGTACCACTATTGTACACCATTCTTCCCTACAATTGTTCTCCTCGTTTCAATTGAAATGTCTTACTCCATAGACTTTCACTTCACACATGTATGTATAAACACACCAGCACACAACACCAGTACACAGCGTCTGTGTCCCACATACCACTCGGCCGAATGTGTGGGACACAGACGCTATACTTTCCCCGTGTTGCACGAGTGCGAGCGTGATAACGAATTTAGCTTCAAGCAAACTTGACGTGCAGTAAAGCTGGAACTAGCCAATATAGCTCTTTGGAACTAGCACTCTTTACACGAACCTTTTAGTAGTTTAGCACACGCAGCTGGAATGTCGCTTGCATCTTAGAACAACGCAAAACGCATGGTGCGATATGGACCGTGCGGGGCGTGCGATACAGTATACAGTCGAGTCTCGTTAATACAAACTCATTCGGACCTAACCAAATTGTTTGTTATATCAGAATTTTGTATTAAGAGGAACATCAGTCCCATTCATTGTGCACATAAATGCACAGTCCGGACTAAGGCTTTATGTTTGTTATAACCAGAATTTTGTAATAACAGAGTTTGTACTAACGAGATTCGACTGTAATATCACACTGTTGTTGCCATGAATTGACCGATCAGGATCGAGGATACAAGTTTGCTTGAAGATAATGTCTGTTGTCAGCATGTGGCCAGAAAGTTGTAGTTATCAAAGACCTAGCCTAACAACTGCCAACTCTGGCAACAACTGACTCACTTTTTGTGACTGGTTCAATCATCTTATGTCATAAATACATGAAGTTGCATTTCTTACCGTCATAAACGGCTGGAACTTCATTTTGTCGACTTCTGTGGAAAGCCTTTCTTGCAAGCCCTTGAACATGGTGTTCCCTCCGGCTAGCAGGATATTCTTGAGATAGACTTCGTCCATCCAGTCCTCATCATCAGATAATTCAATGCTCTCCATCACGGCCTTGGCCAAACCTGCCATTGAGGAAGCAGAGAAAATTTAAAATTCGGTCAAGCTCACCTCAATTTTTGAAAGTTGTACTAATTGTCTGCAGAAAAAAAAGAAATTACAATCAATTTGAAAATTGTCAAAGTTACAAATTTGGGAAAATCCATAATATTTGCATCTTGCAAACTGTGCAGCTCCCTACATATAATACAAAATGTAATCATAAGTAGTGAAAAAAGTATATCTATTTTAGATTTTTGGATTAAGGCATGTTTAGCGTCCTGCCTTTTTGAAAAAAAGGAAGGAGGAGGCCCTTTTTTCCCCTCCAAAATGGCCCGCCCGACCAGGCTATTTTTCAAGATGGCTGCCAGCTTTTCTTTTAAATGGCCGCCCTTGGACTCAGGAAATGACATACCAGCTTTATTTGGGCTAGATGCAACAGACAAAGAGGCCAAAATGATGTCACTGTTTTAAATCTATAATTTTTTTCGTTAAAAAATAAATTAAAAAATGGAGGTGGCCTCTAAAAAGGAAGCAGGCGGGGACGCTAAACACTTTTTGTTACTTGGCCTAAAGTGAATTTTGACATATGCATCTTTTGTTTCCCAGATAAATAAAGACATTCCATCATCGACTGGAAATCTAATAGAAAGGCCTTTCAAAGGCAAATGACACATGGCTGATATTTACCCAATAAAAGAAAAATTATACAAATTGGAAGAAGTTTATGGATACACCAAATGCAATTGATAACTCTACAACTTCAAAACTCTCAGGATAACTTGATATTAATACTGTCATCATCTCCTGATGACAATCAGAGAAGACTAACTGAACTTCAAGTTAATGACGTACTTCTTTTTTTTTTCAGAACGAAAATTCTCTTTTAATAGAGTAGGTTACATCACACAATGCATTAGGCCAAACAAAGAAAATAGTGTGTTTACGGTAACCCGACCGACCTGGAATTTTTTCGGCCAAATTGCCGACCTCAAACTTTTTATTGCCATTTTGAAGGTTGATAATTGACAAATTTCAAACATTTCACGGTACTATTAATTATTTGCCAATAACAAAAACCATTTTCCACACTTGAATCTGACCATGATTTGACACAAACATACCTGTGTTAACATGCAAAAATCGCGACGATCTCAAAACTTGAATTCTCTACGAAGTACGATTTTTTGCTACCGATTATTTTTGCACAAACGCATCAGGGTGAACCGGTACGCCTGGCTGGCCGACGGACGGCATGATTCTTCCCACGATACGCTGACAAAAATGCCGATCACATTGTTTTAGCCCCTGATACGCACAATATAATTATCATACACGCCATTAAAATGTACAATTTGATCGTTACATACGCTATTATTTCATCTTGACATGCAAAATCTTGACCAAAATCCTGTTTTTCTGATGCATGTGTGATCAAAATGCACACGATGACGTGTTCTGTCGACCACCAGCAGCACCCAGCTAACATACAGCATGGTACACTGGTTCCCTTCCCCAGCTAACGGAATCAATGCTATGATGAAGGACCGGAACCAGTGACTACTGCCTCTCTCCGGTCCATACATCGTATCATTCCATACAGCATGATGATGTAGTGGGCCGAAGTTGGATCGTAAAAATATTACCAAACAAACATCGCTGGAGAAAGAGAATTTCTGCGAATTTATTCACAGAACGTGATCTTTATTTTCTGTGTATGTGTTTTCCATTAACCCTAACTGCCCATAACCAATCAAACTCCAACAGTAGGTTAGTGTTTAAATCTGTTGGGATAGGTACAGTTCCCCTAAACAGATGGTCTTTTACACTGGGGTTGGCATACCTCCAGAAACTAAGTCCAACAGTGTGTGTGTACAATTTCCCATGTGGGTGTTGGAATTTGCCTGAATGGGTATGGTTCCTAGTAAATTAGGCTGGGGAGTTAGGGTTAAAAATAATGACGAGATTGCAAAGCTCGAACTTGTGGCGAAACATCGTAGCGTGTTTCTGCAGTAGTGCAAGATTTTCGGCCACGTGGGCCGTGAGCACGGCGCGATGTTCGGCCAGCCAGGGGGAATGTTGGCGGTGCCAGCGGCTGTGATGTATGTTAAGCATAAAGTGGAATCACCGACCTCAAATATATTTTTAATTAGGTGAGGCAAGTTTTAATCACTTTTGATAGCCAGTCTTGATAATTTTCGTGGCGCAAATGAAAATAATCCAGGCACAAAATAAACATGATTCCTTGCTCTATGATTAGTACGAATGATGCTCCATTAATCAGCACCCCCAAAAAAATTGGCGAAATAATTTTCCGACCAACTGACACTATTTTGAAAGGCATGTAATCGGAAAGAAAAAGTTATTTTGTTCTCCACCTTAATTTCTTAATTTGAAACTTACATGTAAATGTAATTCATACTTTTTGTAGTTAGGAAGCAGTGAAACACAGGTTGTGAAATGTTAAAAAAAAATTTTAGTTAACAATTTTGATTTTTTCTTTAATTACAAAAAAATTAGTGACCTACAAGATCTCCTCTGAATTTCAAGGACAAATCTTAAGATAAGACCCCCAGATTTGCTCTAAAATACACCAGAGAGCTTCTAAAGTTCAAACATTTTCGGGTTGTTGAATCACAGCAAATCTTCCCCCACATGTTTGAAAAAATCCTGGGGAGAACCCTGGCCGACAAAACGAATTAATTTGGATTGAAATGTACCGATTGAATATCTTCAATGTTTGAATAGTGGTTTTGTACAATTTTTTGCGAAAGAACACGCATGGGCATGCAGAACTGAAATGAAAAAAAAGATTACAAAATAAAATTATTTCCCTACCTACCTACCTGGATTTTTTTCAGGCCGTTACCGTAAACACACCATTTTTTTTGTTTGGCCTTAAATGAAAAAAGAAATTGTATAAAGAAACGGCAAGAGAGCACTGTTCTGAGTTAGTGTTACTTCAGCCTCAGCTTACCAAAACAGGACAGACCCAAAACAGATGGGTCAAAAAGAGCCTCTCCAATCTTGGCACCTATTTCCCCTGCATCAACAGAATACGTCTTGCCCCTAATGTCCAATGCGACCATGTTGCGAGATGGTTTGCCTTCTCCCTGCATTCGGACATATCCATGTTCCTCCTTGAACTTTTCAGCTAGTTCAAAGTCTACCGTCTTGATGTCGAGACTGTACTGCTCCCTCAGGGATGCCGCAATGACTTCTTGGGTGTATTCGGTCATTTTGCGGCCCGCGTACATTAGCGGTACCCTTCCAAAGGTTGGCCGGTGCCCGTCGCGGGCCGTCATTACGTTTGTAAAACCGTGGCCAGATTGGATGACCAGTCCACTTGCCTGACCGATGGAGTACAGCGACAGCATTCCCTGGTTGGCAAGATGCAAGGCCGGCACCTTGAATCTCTCAAAGAAAACCTGGAGGCTCTTCTTGCGGGATTCGGAGAGGTTCCCGTCAGGCTCGCTGAGAAGCACAGAATGCTCCGAGGGATCAATCTTCATCTTCTCCTTGAAAATGTGGTCCCAAAGCACCTCCATGCTGTCCCAGTCTTCAATGTGCCCATTTTGAATGGGGCTGGGTGCTTCGCCGGCATCGGAGCTCTGAAATGGCTCACAGGTCTGGAACACAAAATCTGGGGCCCGTTTGGAGATCTCAGCAAACCCAGCTTTGCAGTTCAATGTTCCACAATCCAGCACGACCGGGGAAGCTCTGGCGCCGTTCATGATGAAGAAATATCACCAATATGAAGATGCACTAAAAATGTCCTGAAAAGCACGAAGATAAAAAACAAAAATCAAAAGCAGGCTGAAGCTTACACCATCCACAATTTGTTTTATCACAATTTATAGTCACTTTGTTTTATCACTGTCACTGTTTATCTTTACAGCTGTAAAAGTCTTTTGTAAAACTTTAATTCCCACGTATTAAGCCTACTCCAGCACACCGATTGTCACCCTTAAGTAGTTATCTTCTAAGCCTTTTTTTACTTTGGAGAAAAGTTGGCAATATTGTTCAATCTTGTTTTTTTATTAACTATACATAAGTCCTTTTGAATGTAATATACTCCGAGGCCACATCTTTTGTTCCCTGCAATCAAAGACCTTCATCAAGGGAACCTTTGAAGAATAGCTGTAAGCAAAGATAAATGGGGCAATCTCTGCTTTTTCCCTTCAAAGCTTTTGTCGTCTTCCATTATGCGCAATCAAGCATTAATTCCAACAGGCCACTGAACATATGTGTATTTTCTATTCAAGTCACAACTTTGCTTTGGGAGTACAGAAAAAGGTTGTATGCTTCAGGATTGCACAAAGCACCCTGGTTTCCTCAAAACAGCTTCACTTTATGTGAACTGGGAAAGATTTCCACATATGAAGTTCACTCAACACTCTGTGTACAAACCCTATTAGAGTGTACTGAAAAATTCTAAGTGTTTTTTAAGAAAATGCTTGTATTTTCTCACTGCTCAAATTGACTTTGATGACATGAAATTGCTATGTGGGGGCTTGTTAGTCAATACAGAGGAAAATTAGTGAACTTGGCATATGGTAATCTTGCCGTGAACTGTAATATGCAGGCCTGTGCACAGTATTTCAAGTACGTAGTCTCAAAATTTTAGGACCAACTAGTCTTAGGCCTACATCGTCTGCAAAATTAGAATTAAAAGCTGAATTTTTGGTGATGCAATGATCACAACAGCAACTTTGCGAGGCAGAAGTTTCGGGGAACATTGACGAAACTGTAGTGAGTAAGAAGCTTGCAAATTTGATTCACACTGGTTTTTATTATGCAGCACAAACTTTAGCACGATATGGATACCTTAAGTTTTGGGACTTTCATATGCAGTATTGAGAGTCTCAAAATTTTCAGACTACATCATCACAGTACACGTTTTTGTTCTTCAAGTACATGTAGTCTGAGTAATGCTACTTCGGTTCCTTTATTGCTACTCCATGTGTAGTTGGTGTGGTTTAGTTGAAATGGCATTACACTTAATGAACTGGAATAGCCGGGCCTTTAATACCTGAATCGCCCTTTTGTAACATTTGGACATGATCTAGCGAACGTTAGATGATTGTCGCCAGAACAGCGAGATCATGTCCAAATGTTAAAAAGTAGGCTAATGTGAATCACCCATGGCATAGTTACTTGCACTAGTAAATTAAAAACTGCCGACACCCCCCCTCCCCCCCCCCAATCTGATGTCTTGAATCTAGCCACATAAATGCCGCTCAAGTACGACTTCCTCCAGCTCCTTTTCAAATGCAGAGAGAGTCCAGTAATAATTGGTAATAATGCTCACCAGTCGATCCAGTCAGTCCTTTCTTTTCTCATTTCTTTGCTTATAACACCCCCCCCCCCCTCCCGCAAACAGGACGCTGGTATTGGAAGGGTTGATTTCTTTTAGTTTAAGCTCTCATTGGATACATTTTGCATGACCTGTGTCGTAGCATGCAGCGCTACTGCTGTTTATCATACGTATGTGATAGCTGCATGCGAAGATCTAGCTTTAGTAACTCCAGCTCTAATGCATATATGTGATAGGCATTAATGCCTATCATAAACATAATGCCTTTCGCATAAAGCGCGGCATTAGAGCTGGCTGGAGTTACTCAGGCTAGCGCAGATCCAGACTGGGACCGTGAGTGCATAAAAAGGTGCAAAATTACTACTGACGTTTTTTTTACTCACCATTAGGCTAATTAATGCCCACACAACACATACATCAAAATGATATAGTTGCAAGCATGTCACCTGCGAAATCTGAGACCTTAAATCCAATTTTAAGGCAAGTTTTTGGCAGTTCAAAAACTATCCACCTCAATCTCCATGCTCTGGAAATGTGTGTGTGATTCCCAATGTATTCTGGGTAGGTGTAGGTAGAGCCTTGCAGCTTACTTGTTTTTTAATCGATGGCCAAATGAACATAGCGCCCTCTGTTAAAAAATGAAACATTTTGCATTCACTCAGATCAACAAGAGGGCGCTGTTTTATCTACACGATGAAAATGTTATAGCTGAGGAGTCTTTTTGCATAATGCATTGCAGTACACATCAACGTGATGTCTCACGTACGGTATGAATTTCGATAACTCTCTGCAAAATTAGAATTAAAAGCTGAATTTTTGGTGATGCAATGTTCACAACAGCAACTTTGCGAGGCAAAAGTTTCGGGGATTAGGCCTATTGAAGAAACTGTAGTGAGTAAGAAGCTTGCAAATTTGATTCACACTGGTTTTATTATGCAGCACAAACATTTGCACGATATGGATACCTTAAGTTTTGGGACTCTCATACAGTATTGAGAGTCCCAAATTTTCGGACTAGCGCTGATCATAAATTAAAACATTTAAAGACCTATTCTTTGAAGCTGCATCAGCCCTTCCCAGCGCCCAGCTGTTTGCAGGGCAGAGCCGAGTATAATTATGATGAGCAAATATTTTCTTTAGCCTAACCCACTAAACGTTATAGCGCCCCCAACGTAATGAGATTTAGTCATTTACCTGACGTTTATAATTTTTAATACCACTTTACCAGTTTAAACAGCGACCCAAATAAGGCCTTAAATGTGGAAAATCATGATTAAGAACTGCACTCCAAGGTGCATTTAAATAAATATTATTTGGAAAATGTTGGGTCAATAATCCCCACCTACCTGCAGGCTGCATGAAACATAAAAGCACAATCAGTTTACTTGACCATCAACACTGCAGCGCACCTAGACGTATACTGGACCATGCATGTGTTGTGCCCATTCTTGAAAATCACGCATTCTCGAGAATGGGCATGCACATTCTCGAGAATGGGCGCGCATTCTTAAGAATGAGCGCCCATTCTTAAGAACGAGCACGCGTTCTTAAGAATGAGCGCTCATTCTTAAGATTGGGTGGGAATATCACGTGCACAATTTATGAATTTTGCCCAATCTTAACAAACATTGCACGACATAATTATGTTAAATGAATTGTATAGCGGTTTAAAGGGAAACAATTCATATAAAGAGGAAAGAAAATGTGCTATGCTTCTGTACTCGTATAACTACGATAATTTGAATCAAATTAAACCTGTTATTATTAAGGGAATAAATGTGTGCTCCGGAGGTTTTTATCACTCTGTTTAATACCACTTAGAGTCTGGGTGCTGATAATTACCCGAGCCGGAGGCGAGGGTAAATAATTATCAGCACCCAGACTCTAAGTGGTATTAAACAGAGTGATAAATACCGACGGAGTACATATTTATTCCCATTCATAAATACCTTTTCGGTAAAAAAAATCATATAATTCGTTCAAAACATCCCGATTTTGTTCAACAAATTCACTTTATGCTTTTTGAAACATCCCTCCTGCAAAATAATGGAGTGTTCAGCTGGCGAGTAAGATGAAAACAACCCTTTTATGGAGATTGACGCGCGCGTATCATGTTCTACGCGATGTCGCGCAGAACGCACCTGGCGCGTTGCGTTTTGAATTTAGAACTATAAAATTCTAACTCCCTGGTAGTGTTGCGCATGCCTACGTGAGGATTGTGAACGTTCAACCAATGAAACGATAAGAGGCACTGGATTTTTAGGAGTCCACATTTTATTGTGACACTGGAAAAGTGTTTAAGACCAGCTAGCCATGTCTTTATCATCCGTTTAATACCGGCCACGTGACGGGCTCTCGACCAATAGGAATGGCTAAACTGTCTGAGGTATTTATGAATGCTTTTTTCTGCCCACTATGGGAAGTTTTGTAATAACAGAGGACTGGGAACTAGTCTGGGAAGTGCTTTGTTTAGGCTAGACAAGTTACAAGTCCCTGCATGTATCATATGCGTGCCACGAAAAAAAAAACGATGTCCAGAAGCTGCCAAAATTGCTCTTTTGACTAGATAGAATCCAGCTCTGCGACGTTATGGTGGGATGTGAACAATAAATTGGTGGCAATTTAAATGGGAAATAGCATTAGCACTATGGGATGTCGCAGTATTCATTCTCATTCTTCACATTCTTCATTCTTACGTCCCCCCCCCTGCTTTTATTATCCCAAAAATCTGAATTCTTTGCACTAGTATTATTATGTCTCTTATATTTTCCCGGTCCCCCCCCCCCCCATATTAATACGCCTTTACTTATCATATCCACTCTACTTTTCAGCGCCTTGCGTTGCAACAGTATAATTATTGAGAATCAGTGAACGAGGATTCATATAAACTTGCCAAGCGCAGCCGGTGCTCGGCATCGACAAGACCGTTATCTTGTCGCGCATTCTCGAGAATGTGCGCTCAATCTGGAAGAGTTATTTTCTGCCAAGATTGAGCAAGGATCCAGTTGCACATTCTCAAGAATGTGCATGCCCATTCTCGAGAATGCGTGATTTTCAAGAATGGGCACAACACATGCATGATGGGGGCGCGCGCGCGCGAAAGGAATCATTACACGAACTCGTGCAGGACACGATTTCATTCAGAGTAAAATCGTTGGTAAAATGAATAGGGCCATTGCCATATCGTGACGAGGTGACGAGGTTGAATTGTCAGCGCGCATTGCGGCGATTTTACATAGAGCGTACGTATGATGAGAACGTACCCAATTTTGTAACGGCTGAACTTCATCGGCTTCTACTTGAAAACTGGTAAATTCCAGAAATTACGAAGTCTTACGATGTAGGTGACTAAGTTGCTGTTTATTCTCACAACTGGTTGTAAATAACAAATCTCTCAGCATATTCTAGATTATACAAGATCAGTCATGTCAAACGATAAGATCATGAAGATAGTCCAGCGTAGCATGCAGCATCAACAATGTACAAAAATAGGCAGTAGGCCCCTAGTGAGCAATGAACAGTGACTGTGTCGGCCAATAGTACATGCAATAGGCCTACTCAGATTAATTTATTATCTGCTTATAAAATATTATGTAAATATTCAACGGTATTGCCTTGATTTTCCACATCTTGAACGCAAATGAAAGAGAAGTGACCTGAATTACGTAAAGACTTTAAAAGAGCGTATTGTAAACAAAATAATTATGCGATGGGAAAGGTATGCGAATATTAATAATAATATGCGCGAATTATGATGGCGGCAGGATACATGTAGGCCTAACCCTTTCATCAATTCAATATCCTTGAATCCTCAGTAATTTATGCAGGTAACGCTTTGCGATGTGCACATTGCCAATACCATTTAAAGGTGAGTGCGTAGAGTCAGGCAAGGGGTCTGATGATACTTCATAAAATCATAGCGTCATACAAAGGGGCCTTCTCATCGTAGGTGCCCTAGCCACAATTTTGTTGGAAACAAATGAATAGACAATATAATACTATATAGGCTTGCAAAATAAAGGCCCCCCTCCCCCCCCCCATTGCAAATGTATAGATTAAAAAAAAAGCGGGGAAAAAAAGGAAGCAGTGAAAAAAAGGAAGCGGGCACGGATGAAAAACTGGCTGATTTTTTTTTAATTTTATAAGTTTCAGTTAGACATAAAGTCATTGGAGTCAGGAAGTGTCTTAATAATATTCCAAAATGAGTTTTGAAACCTAACAAAGCCGACAATCTTAATTATAATGACCCCAAACAAAATTAATTTGCGTGGTATTTTTTGGGGTAGAAAATGTAATTTGCTTACGCATTTTTTTACTGATGATTCTATGCTAATCAACAGGGTTTCGCACATTCACTATGTTCACGGTGCGTCGCAGTGATCGTCATCTTTACTTTTTTGTTAAATGTTGCCTTTTGTCCTTTTCACCCTCCTTTTAACAAAAAAAATTCCCTCAAATATTAAAATCCTGCCCTCTTAAATGTCCATGATACTCCTGATGGCTTTGAATTTTACTAACGTTAGTTTGGTAGGTCCAGTAAACCTAAAAGGTGATTTTTCTTCTCTTTAAGTTATAGGAACAGGGTCTGTAACTACATGACACCATCAAGATTCAAGCTCTCACTGAAGACCCCGACTCTACCAGGCTGCTCCATCGGCGGGGCCCTGAGGGTTAGGAGGCAGGCCTACTCAACTGATCTAATCTGCTTGGTCAGTGGGTGCGTCCATGAACGCTTTTACGGATAGATCTGAAGTGTGCAGTGAAGGTTATGTGCATATTGCATCCTGGGATAGTTCGCGCTAGGAAAGGGGATTTTGTGTAGCGAAAACTGTCCCATAATGCAGCGTAACATATACCTTCACTGTAGACCCAGTAACTGGGGCATTAGAACTCCTGTTTTGAAACTTTGGTTTGGATTGGCTTTACTAGTGCCCCAGGAAAACGTATGCAGTAAAACCCCAATTTCATAATTTGCCACACATCCAACTCAAAATGTTGCCAAAATGACAACAAAGACACGAAGAAATACCTTATAAATTGCCTGCTGGCTTCTCAAGGTGTCCAAGACAAACTGGGGATTCAGTGGTACACAAGATCATTTTTGCGCTTCAAATCAAGGGATTTAGGGCCAGTTTTCACCACCACCGTACACACGGTCAGTTCAAAACCGAACACTACCAGATTAAACATGCAGATTGCATCTAGGGGTCGATCATGTAACATCTGACGTGTTTTGCAAACAACCATGCATATCGGGATGCATCATTATCAATGATTACTATACCTCATACATATTCATGATCGAGAGCCGAGTTCTCACTGGTCCATTCACCATCACGTGTCGGCCGCTAGTTTAGCTGTTTACCAAGTGCGCACGCGAGGTTAAATACGCATGTGTAGTAGACTATCCCACCGGTTACCAGTACGCTAGTTGCGCTAGTCTACTACGCATGCGCTTTACAAAGCAATCGTGGAACTAGCGCATGGGGTAGAGAGCGCACGCACGAACATCACCCTAGTGCTATGCATGAAGCACACGCACAACAACATTTTGCCGAAAATCTGTGCATAACTTCATGAAATTTTTGTGAATATGTATGAGGTATTGTAAAACAAATAAAACATGATTTGAGGGTTGATAGTCGATATAAGCTCCCTGAGGTATTTGAAGTTGACAAACTAGTAATTCCCTCAGCTTCGCCTCAGGAACTAGTCTGTCAACTTCCAAAACCTTGGGGAGTTAATATCGACTATCAACCCATGTTTTAAATGTATACTGTTTTGTGACATGGCTGTGCGTACTAGTGCCTTTAGCCAAAGGGCAAGATTACCATATGCGAAGTTCACTAATTTTCCTCTGTATTGACTAACAAGCCCCTAGATAGCAATTTCATGTCACCAAAGTCAATTTGAGCAGTGAGAAAATACAAGCATTTTCTTAGAAAACACTTAGAATTTTTCAGTCCAATCTCATAGGGTTTGTACACAGGGTGTTGAGTGAACTTCGTATATGGAAATCTTTCCGTCACTACATGTTAGAGTTTTCCTCCGTAGAAATGTTTGACATAACCTGTGAAGGTATTTGGTATTTTGTCTTCGTGTCAGAAACACATGTAGGCAGCTCTAGATGTAGAACCCCACCACTGAAGGCATACAAAGTGCAGGGAGATTCAGAGAAAGTGCAGCTTGCCGATTCCCTATGAGCCAGAACGCCTCAATGGAGTGTGACTATGAGCAGTTCGGGGACACTGGTTACGAGGACAAAGTTTCGGTGTTCCAGTATACACAGAAGAGACAGATAGGCAAAACACCAAGGATTTCACGGAAGCTGGACTCCTTTGCGGCCAAGAAGTTACCATATCTTCTTAGGGAGAAGGAAATATCGCTCGGAACAACCAACAAAGTCTTTGCCTCGGAATGGCTGTCAGACAGACAGGTTGTCTTTGGAACCAAGTGCAATAAGGTAAAAAAGAGAGATAGTCCATTTAATAATAATAATAATAATGGAGTCTTATACAGTGCACGTATCTACCAACAATTAGGTACTCAAGGCGCTGGAAATTATGTCAATTATTAAAGAAAGGTAAATAAAGTTTATGAGAAATATGAGACTCATTATGTAGCATCTTATAATGGTTTACAAGGTGCTGCGGCGCACATTGCAGCCACTGCCAGAAACACCGGGGCAAACCCCTTCTCTCAGCGATAAGTGTTACTGGGTTCTTTAACGTGCATTACACAACACACGGGACCTACGGCTTTACGTCCCATCCGAAGGACGAAGCAATAATGGTAAAGTGCCTTGCTCAAGAGCACAAGCACCATGTTCCCACGGTCAGGATTCGAACCCATGCACCACGGCACACGAGTCAAACACCGTAACCATTGGACCACAGCGCCCCATTAAACCCTCCCCAATCCTCTAAAATCAACTAGGCGCTTTTTGGAGGATTTTGGCTGTATGTATTTGAAGTGCTGGTGGATTTTGGAGGATGCATTGAGCCAAGGTCTTAAGCTGTACCTTGCATTGTTTATGTTCAGCCATGCATAATTGAGGCCTACATTATACTGGATTTCATCTGCACTACTCCAACCTCTTAAAAGATTGTTGGAAGATTTTGAAGGATTGAGGCAGCATGCAGTTACCCCTCCAGTGACTTATGCAGCTCAGGAAAGGGTTACGGATCATATCAACAGTTTGTGCTGTTATTTGATTGGACTCCATAGAGCTACATTAAATTACTAGAGCGCTAACTCCTCATTCTTGTGCGCGGAGACGCTTTGAAGCCATCCTGGGCGCAGACATTTTGAATTCATGTGCGTGTTTGTAGAACATAATGAAATCGGATGGATTGAATTTTGAAAGTGTACTCTAAATGCAACGCGCAAGTAGAACATGCGCAAACAACTTAAGCAGGTCATGACAGTTCAAAAAACGTCACGGCAAAAAGCATCTGCAGTGAATACGCGCACGCGTTGCACTGTTTGCATAGAGCAAAATGACACGCTCATTTGCTGATCGTGCGTTTCGGTTTTGGGCGTATCGGCTTCGATAACGCACTGGTATGGAATACAAACGCAGATATGCAAATAGCCGTACAAAAGCCGTACAAAATTGCTAGTTCTCCATAGGTTTGTGTACAAACATGGATGCACCCGTCAGGCATTACTTTGTACATCGAGTTAGCGCTCTAGTAATTTAATATAGCTCTTTTTTGGACTCACTATCAGTAACATCCAGTATCATAACTGCTGTCCCATTTGCAGGGGAGCACTTGTAGGGGGCCACTTTTTTGGAGGGGGCACACAATACATTCTTGTGTACATTCATCATAGTGATTCTGAGTTTTTTTTTAACTACATGTTAGTGCTTATTTCATTTGTATCTGTGTTTGTTTTTGATGATTTAGTTGATTGTGCTAGATGTGTACACCGGTCAGCAGTGCAGGCTACCGGTTATCAAGAGTCGGACGGGCCGTATCTTTGAGAACGGTCTGTATACTCAGTCGCTGAGTTTCGGTGGCATCCACAGCATAGCCATCAACCCCAGCAAGACGCTGCTGGCCACCGGCGCGGACAATCCGGACAATGTCGCCCTCTACAAATTACCCTCGTTTGACCCCGTGTATCTCGGTGAGGTGAGTATGGAATGGGGTTGTGGTGGGGGGGGGGGGGAAGACCCGCTCCACAGAGCGCCCTCGTGGAGGAGAGGTTTTTGTTTTTTAAATTCAGTGACAATGAAGGTATAAAGTGTCTACTGGTGCCTATCACAGATGAGGAAATACTGCCTCGGTGAGGGCGCTCTATGCTGCGGGTCTGTTATTGCTCCTGAGACTGCACAAAGCCGACTGCTTTCACAGCTTTAAAGCTACAGTCCATCATTTGCAGCTATCCAAAAAGTAACTGACGTAATACTTGTTGAAAAACATACTTGGTTGAAAGATAGTAAAGGGGACCAATCTCCCTCTGAAATTGTTCTTTATGGCATGCTGTCATTTTGAAGAAATCAACAAAAGAAGGCCTTTCCAGTGGTGCGTCTTAAGACGCACCGTTGGAAATTTCTGTTAGTAGTTCCTTTTTTTTTTATTCGGCGAAGCGCGTACAAGCGTTGACACGACGCACAGGCGCGCCCGGTTGCTATAATTCATCGGATCAGTGCGCCACATCGCGTTGCTGCAATCGGCTCAGTGAGAACGTGTCTCGGACGCTGAATTCAGGCCCAATTCAAAACATGATTCAGCAACTTTTGATTTGAAATCGAGGTCCTAGATCGTTGTTTTTCTCGCAATATACAGCTGAAGCCGAGCTGAAACTTCATCAGGTTAGTTGTTCAGCACCCTTCTTTAGATTTTGAGCACTTTTGTTGCTTCAAACGAACAAAATGCACCAATCACAAATGATGGACTATACCTTTGTTAAGTTGATACTTCAGTGTCTTCCTACTAAGCCTCCAGATTAGATTGGCATTCTAGGATTGCAGTGAACCAAATTGTTCCAAAGACTTCAATTATTTTTTTGTTTTGCAACCTATCAATTGTAAAATATTGTGTAATTTGTTCCTTGCAGAACTGTCATGAAGATTGGATATTTTCCATCGCGTGGCTAGACGACCAGTATTTTGTAACAGGTAAGAATAATTATTAAAGAATATCAAAGCTTTTGGGAAACCTGTTTTTTGCTGGTCTTAGAGTTCCTTATGGCCCTCTTTGCACCTATCTCACTCACTGACTGACTGACTCACTCCCCGACTGTCACTTGTGAAAATAGCGTGGTTGTTGGCTAGTGTCGAAAGCTGGGCAGTGCTATTGTATGGGCTCCGTGCGCCAACGAAAGAGGGCGCCCTTTTACCTAGCAATGGGCGGGACATTTAGCTGGTTGACACGCACCGTTTCTTGTGTGTGACGCACGTACACCAGGGGATTTGTACTGTGTACATGCGCAGTGGTACGGCCGCCGGCGCATTGCGGCAAAATTGCAGTCAGGCAAGATGGTGTCGGTCGGTCACCCCCAACAGCACTTTCTTTGCCGGTGAGGGGGTACTTGTGAACGGAGCAGATAAGGATTTACCCGTAATGGGCAAAATTTTGCAGACCAGATGCATGAAACAACTTCCAGTGCCTTATATTCTGAATAGATGCAATATAATGTTTTGCGCCCTGGGACTAGCTATTGCTAGCCATGTCTTTTTGTTAATCTGCTTGCTCAGAGAATGTTTTGGATATGGGTTTGAGAAGAATCACTGGTCAATTCTACATTTGGCACATGCAGTAGGCTTTGATTGTCATTAGCAGCAGTGAGACTGCTGAAATATCCATGACATGTTCATTTTTCGTTAAATGGCCAAGGATGTAGTCCAGTCCATCACAAGTCCCTGCAAGTCCATCACAAGTCCTCCGGTCCCAGTTCAAATCACACGCTATTCAAATGAGCTTTGACAAAGGCATTCCTTTGTCATTTGTTCATCCCTTGTTTTTTGTGACTGGACTTGTGAATGGACTCGTAAAACAGTAAAGTCCAAATCGGCCGCTTTTACAAAATTGCAATGCCTCCATCGCCAGGTTCCAGAGATTCCAGTATAGCACTGTGGTCGATCAACGAAACGCAAAGCCCGGAAGACAAGCCGCTGTCCAAAAACGTCTACCTCTCTAAAGGAAGGTTTCGGGGGTCCTCGGTCCGCAACTACTCTGATGACGAGGAGTCCTGGTCGTCCTCTCCGGACAGGTTTGAATCCTACCACAGCGGGAGTGAGGATAGTGCGTACAGCTCAACCGAGGACGTGTCCAGCCACACCTGTCTGAAGGAACTTGCCCGCAAGTCTTGCCAGGACAAGGACAAAGTCAGGGCACTACAGGTGAACGAGTTTAAAAAGGTGAGGTCCACCCCCACCCCCCCCCAGAAGCTGCAAAGAGCAAGTTTGAGGACCATGGTTGGACTTGTGTATGATTTGTAACTAAACGTTGAATCTGTGTGTTAATATTAAAGTGCAACCATCTCTTCTTGATTGTCGTCAAAACTTTTAGGTCGTGGCACCCTGCTGCAAATTTAAATGTGTTCAGTGGTTTGTTACTGGTGATGCGGGCAACCGTTGCAGTTCTAAATAGTCGACTTGACTTTTCACTTGACTAGTACGCATTTCATCAGAGTGGTTTGAATCATCGTTGACCATTGCCTTTCATTGAACTTGCTCAAGTTAACTATCAAAAACACCCTCTTGTGTCCAACTTTGCAAAGTAAAGTGTAATTTTCACCGCACAGGTTTTTGTTTGTAGAGCAAAACTTGTCGACGAATGTTTTTAATGCCCTTCCTTTTATTGGTACATTTGAAGACTGGAAAGAAGGAATGTACACAAAAATCTCCAACAAGCTTTGCTGTAATGGTTTTTTTAATTGCTACGAGCATCAGAAAAATGAAAAGGAAATATATAAAACCCTGACGCTCTCACTGAAAAACACGTCAACTTTTGTAGGACCTTGCTGTGCTGACATCAAATGGATTCATCTACACCATCGACATGGAGTCATTTGATCAGAAGGACGTAGAGCATCTAACGTACTGTCAGGAGAATGTCTGCATCGCGCTGTCTCGGGACAACTCCCTCTACGCCGTGGGGTCGCAGTCCCACGTCACCTTCCTAGATCCCCGCACCCTGAAGTCCATCGCCTCCATCTGCTCCAAGGAACGGGGAAGTGGTACGCTGCATGCTTTCTTTCTTTTTGTTTTGCTTTTAGCTGAGGGATAGCAGTTCAACAAATCATCATGTCTCTCCGTTAGTCCGTTAGTTAGTTAGTTAGTTAGTTAGTTAGTTAGTTAGTTAGTTAGTCAGTTAGTAACTAAACATTGACATTGTCTATTGCTGCCACATATTTTGACCGATTTCAACCAGACTTTGTCAAAAGTATCAGTAGCTGAGCCCATCTTGTCACATGACCAAACTGGGGTCAAAGGTCATCATGGGGTAACTGGGGTCAAAAAGTGATTTTTTTTTTTAACACGAATTTGATGGTTTGCAGCTTCCGAGATTTTTTTCGATCGAACTTGTTTGAGTTGTAAGCCACTGCTAAACCAAAGACAGCCTTGCTTACGAATCATGAGCACAAGGACCAGTGCGAAGGGGCAAAATTCACAGAACAGGGGTTTGTTCCACTTACGCGAACAATGCTAGCGCTCACCGTCATTGGCAATATTTGTGCAAGTGGAACCGACTGTTTGCCACCAACGTTGGTAAACTTAAGCAACCAAGGCAAACGGTCTTCCCGCGTCGTTTGTTGAGTTTTCCAAAATGGCAGAAACACACCATGAACGTAGTGATCCTGTCGGGCAGAAATTTTCTGTTTTGGACCCTAGATTTATAGAATGACCCACGTGCCTTCATTATTCTGTGCTACATTCTGTCCTTGAAACACCTTACTAGCATGTTATCATTAACCCTAAGTCGATCGCCGGGTCCTCTGTCGGTAAACGCTAATCTCCACCCTCACTGTTTCCTGTGTTTAGGTGTTCGCTCCGTCAGCTTCAGGGAAGAAATTGTGACTATAGGAACTGGCAAGGGCACCTTACGCTTCTTTGATATCCGGAATCGTCGCTATCTGCCAGACGAGGCACGGCCAAAGAGAGAATGCATCCTGCAGACAGGGTCGGGGCACCTGGTAAGAAGAGACTAGCAGCCGGTTTCATGAAACTTGACGCATATGGCATAACTCCACTTACGCCACATTTTATTGTGATAAGTGTGCAGCATTTTGCGTCGCTTAATATTTCAGTTATGACACATTGGACCAAAGTGTCGCAGTGCATTAAGTCTCTGACCTACGCGCCAAATTATGGCGTAACTTATGCAGCAATTAATAGGCGGCGTAAGTTGTGGCGTAGTGGCTGAAAATGGACTATTTTTAACACTGTGTAATTGTGGTCATCGTGGAGCCTGTCATTGCTAAACTTATCAAAGTTGATACAAGAATCTTACAGCTTTGTTTTTGAAGTAAGTGAATCGCTATTTTAACTGTGACAGAATTTTAAGAGTAAAACAGAGGCCAAACAGAGGCCATTCGTGTCTGTGTTTTGTTCTGATGTTGCTCATGAATGGTTCTAAAAAGCATTATAAAGAGAAAAGAACAAACCATTTCCATGAACAAATTTTGATTACCATTCAGCGGTCTGAGGCAAATGCCAGTCTTGAAAAACTTGACCTAGGTTTCTTTATTGAAGAAAAAAAATATCACCATGGTAAGTTCTCTAACTGATTTTACTTCTTGTCTTTTTTTTTCGTTCCAGAATCGTGACGACATGTATTTCCAGCATTTCTATGGGGAGCAACATGAGAACGCAGCATACACTCACTGTTATGATAAGTCGGGAACCAGACTATTCGTTGCCGGCGGCCCCCTACCGGCAGGACTGTCCGGAAATTATGCCGCCTTGTGGCAATAACCCACCGTAACACGAGTCACATGAGAACATTGTTATGCAATTCACAACATTAAAATTGGTATTCGGATGTATCAAGGATGTATTGCCAGTGGTGTGACAAAGTTATGTAACATGAGTCACATAGCATTTGGTGTTTGGAACATCAAGGAAAACAAATGTGTGACCAGCGGTGTGACAATATGAGTCACAAAGTGGTGGGTATACGGGTGCGTCGAGGAAAAACAGCCGTGACAAATGGTGTAGCAGATTGGCATTCTGCACTCGTGAGGCCCAACATCTTTTGTCTGCGGAGGATTTAGATGTCGCCTGTTTGGCAAATTTTCTGCCCTTCAAATGCTGGAAAATGGATTACTGAGGAATCTCTAGTGTCGTATACAAAGGGAAGAGACACCAGCATGCTCCATGCGCATGTGACACATCTGCCAAACAACTGCATGACTTTTTCTTCGGCGATTTGACAGCTCTTTGAAACTTAACTTATTAGTTCCTGTACCACTCCAAACCGCATTACTCCCTGCATCGCTCCAAATTGCCCAAGCATGGTACTGTTGTATAGATTCATCGAGGTGGATAACAAGTCGTTGGTAATTTTATTGCTCAACAACGTTATGTTTGTATCCCTGTGTACATTCCTAAGAAGACGAGGCTCTTGGAGTGTGTACAAGTGAGAATTTTGGAGTAGATCTTTGCCTTCGTTTGAGTTGCTACACCATCCAAGTCTTAAAATGGCTGCATGTCGAAACTAGAACCCCTATGAACAGCATATGCATCCAGAAAGTTATGTCATCCCTGCATGTGTACCAGTAATTTGATAATCAGCACGCACCCACTGAGGGCGCCAGACAGGCTGCTGAAAGTGCATCAGACAACTTGTACGCTTTCGGCCGGATAGGAATGCTGATACTAGATGTCGAGCTACTGCTAATGTTCATTCATCAGTATACCGCCAATTAGAGATCCTGACAATCCCTTATTTTGAGAGGACATTCTCTCCGGAGTTGTAAAGCATGCAACTGGTGGTCTTGATCGAGAATAGTTCTGGATACAGAACATGTGTACAGCGACACACCTTAAAAAAATTAATTACAAAAAAATTCTGTGACTGACAATGACACCAAGACAAAGCACAGAAATGACATCCAAAATCTGTAGTTGTCTGTATTTGAAACGAAGTAAAGTTTCCAACACATTTGTCAGGAAACTATGTGCATGATGAAGGTATACACAAAGGATGACTGGAAACGTGAAACAAGATGCTGGAGAAAGATATTTTTTTTGTAAACACATGGAATTAATTTTCTAACTGGGAGAGGGGTTGCTTTTGTAAAGGAATTTCTTTGTAGATCTGAGCAAAAGCGTAATTGGACATTTCTCTCCCAATTTATTTTCTTCTAAAGTTTATAGTGAAGGGGGATTGTATTGAACTCGGTAGAGTATCATTGACTTAAAAGTTTAGCCCTATTGAAGTTCTGGGCAAACATTTAATTCACATTATTTCTTAAAATGACAGGTTCCTATTGTACATTGCAAGCACCCCGTCCCAGCTTTCTGAAAATTTGCTCCAAAAACAATTGAAAAGCTGAGAAGAAAACGTTTAATCCCATGGTTTATATTTGCATTTTTCCAAGTCAGCCATTGTGCTCCTCCAGATACAATGGGATATTTTTTATTTGAAAGTCTATATTGATGTTGCCATCTTAATTTTCCCTGCAATTTTTATGCAAATATGACTTACTGGGTTTGTATATAGAACTGGAATTTTTGGTAAATTCTGAAATACGTTTCCCTGATAACTTAATACCCTTTAACTTACCCATTTGTACTCCCCAAAACGGCCCTGCCTGTATAATTACTCCCTTTAGCGCCCAAAACTGCCCGAGCATTCTACGGTTTGATGGGTTTATCAGTGAATAAACACAATGTAATACAGTGTGGAGTGCTGTGGCCTCGTGGTCTGGAGCATCGAATTTGGGGTCTGCTGGTAATTCTGCAGGTTGTGGGTTCGAGCCCAGCCTGCGGCTATGGTGTGTGTGCCCTTGGGCAAGGCACTTTGTCGCACATTGCTACTACCCACCCATGAGTAAATGGGTACCTACAAGGGCAGAGACGGTTATTGTGATTACAGGCATGCAACTTTTCCTCGGATCCGCTGATTTCCTCGTTTGTACTTCTCGGGAATGGCATTACAAATTGAAAAACACCGTACAAAGTCTTGCGTGGTTTGGAATTTCCCCGTTTTTTCCAAAATTCCAAGTTGCATGCCTGTGATTAACTTTAGCTGCTTTGCGCCGAAATGGCAGCATCACACTGTATACTACCTGAGGAGCTGAGTCTGTCTTTAGAATGTTTCATTGGCCCACTGAGCAGGGTGATAATGATGTAGCGCCTTGAGCACCAATACTGGTGGATATGTGCGTTTTATAAATACACACAAGTACACATTGTTATTACAATGTAGTACATGTCCTAATGGGTTAGCCCCATCTTTACTTCAAGATGCATTCACGTTTGTTCTGTTTTTTAATATTGTAAAGTTGTTTGGCCGTCGGTTTCAGAAAAAAAAAATAAACATGGCTATTTTTGGTAAATTTGCAAGCTACTGATAAGTTTTGTATCAAAAGATGTTTGATGAGGAAGTTAGTTTGTTGCGTGTATTTGACGGCTTGGTTCTAAAGAATTTGTTCGCATAGGAAATCCTATTTTTATATGCCACATATACTGCGACATGTAATATGTCATGACCGGCCATATCATTTGAAAAGTCCTTGGATTTGTACAAAGTATGAGTAACATTTTTAAACAACATCTGCTGTTGTGTACGTGCCAATACTGAATCACCCAAGTTTTGTAAGTGTGTAAGTTTAAATTGAAAGTATTGATTTTCCTACATACAGGGAAGAAGAGCAATTCTTTTGCGTGGTTAGAGAGAAATCCCCGGGTTTTTTTTCACCAAAACTGCATGCTGTCAGAAAAGGAATTTTGAGATTATTCCTTGTTAAAATTAGCCTCATTTGTTTTCATTAATTCATCTGCGATTACTTCACGAATGGTAAGGAAATACTTGTAAATATATATTTTGTAAACATATTTATTGCCGAAATTTATTTGATGTATGATTCTTATGATTTAAATATTTTGTATCATTCATTTTTATGTACAGACAACAAGATGATTTTACGGAAATGCTTTTGTGTACATGTGACGTGAGTTGCTCCCGTGGAAAGGACAAATAAATACAAATTTTGTAACTTAAAACAAGAGCTTTCTTTGGCTTTATTCAACTTACTGATACCCAGTAAAATGACAACACATTTAGACAATTTTGGTTATTCCAATTTATTACACTGATCAAATTGTTTTTGATACAAATTGAAAGTAAAATAATATGTTTATTTTGTAGATCTGTCCAATAAAAACACCACTGCGTTCTGCACCACCTTGGCTCGGGCCATTATGTGCATCCAGGCCAGTTTTAAACCTCGTCCAGGCCCCTTACCGGCCAAGCACATATTTATTCCCTTATTATTAAATAAGTAGCTATTCCGCCATTTTAATTTATGTCTCTGCCTCGCTTCTCTATCTCTTTGGTTGTCTGGTCCTTGTTGTATGAATGTCATGAATCCAGCACTGCAGCCCACGCCTCGCCACTAGGCTCCGATGGCAGCACCCATGAGACAGGCACGGCTGAACCCTCTGGGTCCTCAGCAGGTACAAGGAACTGGTCCCACTGATGCCTGTAAACAGGGCAAAAAATAGTGGATTCATCAACCCATTAGTCCATGTACTGCCCACCTTATCTATGACTCATTATCTTCAAGCAAACTTGAATCCTCGATTCTGATTGGTCGATCCATGGCAACAAGCCGTGCTACATATAACCATGTAGCACGGCCTCGGTCCATACCGCACTCCGTGTATTACGCTATTCAAAGATGTGAGCGACATTCCAGCTGCATACGCTAAACTGCTGAATGTCCGTGTAAAGCGTGCTCGTTCCAACTGTACTGCGCATCAAGTTTGCTTGAAGATAAATTCGTTATCACGCTCGCGGAACACGGAAAATGTAGTGCGTCTGTGTGCCACATACCACGAGGCCGAAGGGACACAGACGCACTACATTATTCCGTGTTCTACGAGCGCTCACGGGATAACTTATACTGTACTGCCCCCAAATCACCCGAACACACTGGTTCATGGATTTTTCTGTGAATAAATATACATGTAATGTTATAGAATGTAGTACGGGTGCTAATGGGTTTACTGAAATTCTACAAAATCAACTGGAAACTTTGGGACAGTTTTGCTATGAGGGAAGGCACAGCTCAGCTACTATCTGCCATTGAAGTACAATAGATATCTCTCAAAGACAGCCATCTCTGTAGGTTTGTTTAAAGCCAGAGTCCATCATTTGCAGCTATCCAAAAAGTAACTGGCGTAATTATTGTTGAAAAACATACTTGGTTGAAAGATAGTAAGGGGACTAAACTCCCTGTGAAATTATTCTTTCTGGCAAGCTGTAATTTTGAAGAAATCAACAAGCCAAGGCCTTTCCTACGGTGCTTCTTAAGAAGCACTCTAGGAAATTCAAATTAGTAGTTCGTTTTGTTATCCGGCGAAGCGCGCGCAAGCATTGGCACGATGCACACGCGCCCTCGGTTGCTATAATTCGTCGGATCAGTGCGTGACATCGCGTAGCTGCAATCGGCTCAGTGAGAACGTGTCTCGGACGCTGGATTCATGCCCAATTCAAAACATGATTCAGCAACTTTTGATTTGAAATCGAGATCCTAGAATGTTGTTTTTCTCGAAATATACAGCTGAAGCTGAGCTGAAACTTCATCAGGTTAGTTGCTCAGCACCCTTCATGAGATCTTGAGCACTTTTGCTGCTTCAAGCGAACAAAATGCACAAATTACAAATGATGGACTATACCTTTAAGCTTTTGCAATATATTCATGTACCCCCCCCTCAAAGCCATCATTATATAAATATTCCTGATGATGGATCAGTCTTCAAGAATGGAATCTACTTGCACTGAAGGAACAGATCATTTGCAGTTATGTACTGTACCTGATATCAACCAGGGCATGTATGTTATTCTCCGCTTGCGTGTAGAACTGCTGAAAGGGGTACATGGGGTCGTCTGGTCTCACTAAATCATCTGTGAAATGGAAGGACAATTTGTCCAATTATTTGACTGTTTGTTATTCACCCGCACGCCAGTCCAGGGTACAATTCGGGGCGATTCACAATGCAGTGCGCCACCAAGAGTTTGCCATGGAGAGTCAATTTTTCAAGTTTACAGTCGACAAAACATGGCCCATTTGAACGAGTGTCAGTAGACAACTTGAGCTAATTTGTTACAGATTGGGGCATGGTGTTCTGCCGCCTTACAAAAAACACCATATTGATAAGCAGAAAAGAAAAGGGCAAACATATACTTGAATCATACGCTTGCGAAACTACTGACCGGAAAAACTAACAATTTCAAATGTTCTGTGCTGCAAATTTGTTGACCATCTCCCACAATGCACTGGGAAAGGTTCACTCCCCGTGGTTAACTCTTGGTGGCGCACTGCTTTGTGAATCGCCCGAATTATAAAAACCAATGTACATGGCATTGTTTAATGGTATAAGCAGAAAAATTGTGCTTACTATAGCAAAAAAAATGTTGCTGTATTTTTAATACTGGGTTTTGCCCCTCACATACTTATTTTATGAAGACTGTATACTCAGTATTGTCCCTAGTGATTGTAAGAAAAAAATTCACAAACTTCTTGGGTGGGACTTGAACCCATGACATCCTGCTTACTAGTGCAAACTTCTCACCGCTTGACCACCGAGGTGGTCAGATCGAGTCTGGTGCAACAGTAAGTACCGCAACCAACTATTTGTCAATTCTCATTGAGGTGGTGTAAATTCAATAAAGATTTTTGCCTTACGGACTTGAACTGGCCAGCCAGCCAACCTAGGCAAGCTCGGTGGTCGAGTGGTACGACGTCTGCACTAGTAAGCAGAAGTCATGGGTGTGAGTCCCAACCGAGTAGTTTGTGAATTATAGAGTGTTCACAAATACGATGCAAATTCCATCTTATAAATAGTTGTTTATATATCATGACATAGACTTGGTAGCATGAGTGTTCATGGTTCTTGTTTTCGGTTTTTCACATCTTTGGTTCAGATAAAAAAAGTGACGTTTAGTTTGGTTGCCAGAAATGTTAACGGTATGTCCGTAAGTTTCTTTTCGGGAGTCATGATATATATATAGGGAGGAGATTGTCAATTTAAAAAAAATGGATGAAGGTCAGAAACATGCATTTCTTTCCAAATTGATAATGTCTTTCTCTCCGATTGAAAATGTTTGATTTTAGACAAAAGTGTGAAAAGTCCCATGTCTGTTTTACAAGCAAATAAAAGTGTGAAATTTACGATTACACTGAATCAGAGAAAATTTTCTGTTAACCTTTCCCAAAGAGTAACTTCATCTTGGCCTGCTTGTCCTTGATAGCCTTCTCCTCCAGCCGCTTCTTCTGTCTCTTCTTCTCTTGCTCTTTGTACTCCTCATGCTCCTCCTCCAACATCACCTGGTAATGAATATACATGAACGGAAAATTAAACCAGCCATACAAAATCTCAAGCTTTTCCATAGATTTGTCGAAAAAACGTGGAGTTTTGTGCTATAGATCTAGTAATTTCAGAAGGCTGTATGTGGTCCGATGACTGTAATGTACACGCAAAGTATAAATGGTCGTTGGCTCTCTGCGACCACTTTCGAATAGTCCCATGGGAGGGACTTTGGTATGTCTCTCCCAGTGGTCTCCCCCAACTCTCCCTTTGTAACCGTTGAGGGGGTACTTGAGCAAGGAGTCCATACCTGCATGACTCTCTCCTCTTCCCTGTACAAGACGCTCTGTTTGCTCATCAACTCTTCCAGGGGTCTCAGCTTTTCATCAAAACTGATGTCAGAATCCCTTGGTGTGAAGACACCTTTAAAGAAAACAATATATTCACAAATGACAGGAGCATAGCAAACAGGTGGAGGGATGCAGGGGGGGGGGGGAGACAAAATTGTTTTTGTAATCTTGCTGCAATAAATATCCCACCATTAACCCTAAACACCCCAACTCCATCAAAATCCATCCCCCCATTTTGGTGGATTTTGGGGGACTTGGTCTAGGAGGCCTGGTGTGACTAACTATTGATGGAGTATGATGGACTTGGGCCTAATGGCCTGAAGCAGTGCTAGGGGTATCAGATTGATTTTGCCTAGCTTCCTGTACTACTAGTATGATAAAAAGCCATGTGTAGCAAGTACATGGATGTCAACCACTGCATATACAGTGGTGGATTCCATTATGTCATGTACAGTTTTGTATTGGAAGCACAGTGATTGATGGATTTTGATGGACTTGGTCCAGTTCCTAGTAAAACATGCTAGGGAGTTACGGTTAACAATGACTTCAAATAATTTTTCATAAATTTGTTGGGTAGGTAGTTTGCTAGTCATAATCACTCTTGGAGGACGACTGCATTAAGGAGTGCATCAGAATTATAAAATCATAGATGTCAGATGTAACAGGGACAGGGGAAAAAAGGACCTCAAATCTACATCTTGTCTGCTGAAGCCTAGTAATTCGAAAGGCAATCTCACCCTTTGCCTGTGCAGCTTCCTTCCTGAGATGTCTGAGCTTCCTCAGTCCCTTGATGAGTTCCAGAGCCTGGGAGACCTCCTGTTTCTTCTTGCGGACCTCGTACAGAGTCTTGTCAACTTCTTCCTGCAGCTCAGCCTCCTGGAGTTAGGGAGGGGTAGAGGAGGGGAGTAAAGGATGATTAAAAAAAGGCAACAGGACCTCCAACATTTGGCATTTGAAGCAAGATGTGCGACGAAGGGGACCCCCTCTTTTGTGGTAGTCAATGAGTTCCTCGAATCTCAGGAATTGTTTTGAGATATCTAGGGGATGTGTTAACAATGGTTTAGAGTGTGGATAGGTTACAGGGACACTGGGGGTACCCATTTTTTTCTCAAATCGTGCACAATACAACATCTGGTGGGAACTGTATGTTCTGCGAGACAATAACTTGAGGCTGTCATTTTATTTTTTAAATTTTTTTAGGGGAGATATTCCACATTAGAGACAATAACTTATGTTCTAGTGATAGTCTTGAGGCTTGTAGTCTGAACTGGGGAATCAGTGTGTATGTTCTTAAGCAAGTTAGTTTACAATGACTGGTTTTTCAATATCAAGATGCAACGCTGGATTCTAAAGGAATAAGTCCATTAATGTAACCGATAAATGCTATTAAGAGTACTATGACTGACTACCTGAAGCTGCCCAGTTGAGATAGATACAGGGACTACTTCCATGGTCTGCTTTATAGCAGAAAGGTTGTGCTAACTAAATGTGCTAACCTTAAGCACTATTTCATGGCGTGGATGTGCTAGTGCCAACGGTTGCGCGCGCATGGAGACTTCTATTGTTACGTCACTAATTTAAGCAATTTTTTCCTCCGAGGTAAACATTGCTTTGTGACGTGCTTACTGTTTACTGTAAAAAAAAAAAACAGAGTGAACTTCAGTGAAGCTCTGTTGTAGTAGAAAATCATGTGCTGAGCAGCGCCAAGAAATTGAGTCCAGCTTGTTCTGAACAACAGCTATACGAATCTGACCCTTTTCTTCTCTTGTTCAGCATGCAACCTCTTGGCTAGTTCAGCATCAATCCTCAGATGAATCTCCTTCCGTCTGGTTTGCACATCTTCTTGCATCTGGTGCTTCTCCAATCTCTGTCTCTTCAGTCTTGCCTAGGGGAAAATACAAATTGAATATCAGATTTTCCAGTAAAACCTTAACCCCTTTGTATTGTTGCTGGTCCCAGAGGGGCCAGCCTATGGGCTCCGTGCGCGAACGAAAGAGGGTGCTTTTTGACCACATTTGAAAGCTGGGGGGATGCATCACGTGTACGTAATGGTTTTTTGTGTGTATGGCGCGAGGTACGTACAACTTATTGTATTTATATTTTCACAAAGCTATGGCGTTTTCACGTGAGTGTCAGGCGTTCGAATGTCTCCTGATGGTCTCGCCAATTCTCCCTTTCTTGCCAGAGAGGGGTACTTGTGCACAGAGTCCTCTTTGTATCTGGCTCACTGACTTACTGAATGACTAACGCTTGTGAATAAGACTTGCTATAGTCTCGACCCAAAAGTTTGAAATAGGATTACTCTGTAACGCCAATGAATGGGCTAAATACGGCCCACTGTGTAGGCCACATGCATGAAAAGACTTCTAGCGAATTAATGGCAATCCTGAATCAGTAAAATTTTATTTTGTTAGCCCTGGTACGAGCTTTAATATTTTAAACAAAGTGCCATCTCCTATCCAAATTTCCTGCATAGAGGTAACAAGGCTAAGGAAAACAGCTTTTTTAGGTCCACAAGATTAAACCAAAGGCTGAAATCCTACCCTTTTCTTTCTAGCCTTCTTCATTTTGTTCTCCAGTTGATCGGTAGCCTCTTTGCTGAACAGCCTCGCCTTTAGCGTCTCAACTCTTTCCTGTCAAAAAGAAAAGACAACATACTTGAACCAAAATATTGCTGGACATACATGTACACCCTGGACATCCTGGCATTGAATGCAATGCAACTTTGGTCACAACATTTGCTTAATGTACAGGGAGCGCTGTGGTCTAATGGTTGCGGTGTTCCGACTCACTTCACGTGGTGCGTGGTTTCGAATCCTGACAGGGAACATGGTGCCTGTGTTCTTGGGCAAGACACTTTACTACAATTGCCTCTCCAATTATGCTCATGGAACATGGAAAATGTTCGTAGTGCGTCCGAGTTCCACTCACGCTCGTGGGACAATTAATAGAATACCTTTGTTCGATTAGCTCTTCTGCATTCATACTGCCATGATGACTCGTCTTTGTTGATGTGACGATCCAGCATATCCGTCTGTTCCTTCAGCTGACGCAGTGCCATAAGTAAGTCTCGCACTAACTGACGACCCTCTTCGAGCTGTGTATGTGTGTGAAATGCAATCAACAAAGCTGTTCAAATACACTGGAAAAAGAGCTAGTAAAACATTTTCAGCTGGATTTCAGTACAAAATGACACAAATGGCTGATGGCTCCATAAACCCCGAATCGGTGGGTTTGATTTTCTAATTTACACTGAACAAATCTGTAAAAAATTTGCCAAATTCTCTTTTTGTTATGAAACCGTGAAGCTGCATGTTTAAAAGTTTTAATAGATGGAATGCACATGTCAACTCAATATTTCAAACTCGTACTCACTGTGATAGGTTTTTGTTTCATCTCCCTTGCCTTCTCTGATTGGCCAATCTTGCGTTTCCTCAGCCACCCCGTCACCCACTCCTCATCTTTTTCTCTTTGAGATTTCTCGTGCTTGGGCGCCTGAGGGTGTGGAAAAGGGTGTGGCTCAGGAAATCCGTGACGCTGAAATGGTTGGTGAGAGGGTGGGGCCGGGTGATTCAAATCTGGTCCGGAGAAAGGGCCCGCAGTCACACCTTCTTGCTGAAGCTGTTGCTGCAGTGCAGGTGCTGGAGGCATTGGAGGGAATTGAGGCTCAGGTGGGCGCGGTCCTGCTGGGTGTGGTTCTAAAGGGCGTGGCCCTTGGAAAGTTCTTGGTCGGTTTTGCACTTGTTGCTGTTGGTGTGGATGGAAAGACTGAGCTTGGGGAAGTTGGGGTGGTTCACGTAATCTCCCCGGCGGTCCAAATGGACGTGGTCCGGACTGATGCAGTGCTGACTGGTATGGTTCAGCCGGGTGTGGTTCGGGTGGATGTTGTCCAAATCGGTGTGATCCGGGTGGATGTTGCCCAGATGGGTGTGGTCCATTTGGCTGTTGCACAGATAGGCTTGATCCAGGTGGGTGTGGTCCAGATGGGTGCGGTCCAGAGGGGTGTGGTTCATGATGCCGTCGGAAGTGTTGACTTTGACCAAATGAATTATCAGGTGGAAACTGAGGTCTTGGAAACTGTTGCCCTTCTTCACCAAGCATTTGGGGATGGTGGGTCCCACTCCCAGATTCTTCCATTTTGTGATGCCGATTTGGAAGGGGCACGGGCGGAAACGCCTCAGCTTTCCGTAGACTAATTTGGGCATCTTGGTTGACAACGTTTCTGGCAACATCAGGACGGTTCCAATGACTCTGGCTATTCTCAGACTGATGAGATGGCCCCTGTTCCCTCTGACTTTTCACAATCACTGGAGGTGGATTTTGCCAAAACGGTGGTCTGTTTGAATTAACAACCGGGAAAGGAAGCTGGGAACAAAAACGCGGGCCACTGGTGGGCAGTGATGGGCCTGGCGGTGAGGTTCCCTGGAGAATTCTTGTGGACGCGTCCATAGGCATGTGAATCTTCCCAACTGTGTTCACATTTGCATTGTCCGATTTTTCTCTCTCGCGTTCAACACGTATACCTGACAGAAACTGATCTAAATGTTGATTATTCACAGAAGGCCCAGACTGGTGTTGTGGATGCTGCGTTCTCTGAATCGTAAAATTGGGTTCTTGATGTTGACTCCATTCAGCATGTTCAGGTGGTCTGAATGTCCGTCTTCTCTCGTTTTCATCCATCGTTCAAGGTTAATATGCCTGTGGGTAAAATGAATAAATTTCTTCACAGAGTTTCAGGGGACAGTAACTTATGACATCGTTCACAGTTCCGGAGTTTTGGATAAGAAGAATGAGACACTAAGGATGTCTCCTGATCATCTTGATCTGAAGACTATAGTGCTGTGAGTTCGGCTGCCACAACAATCATGACAATGACTGAATCAATTTCCAATTTGTTTTAAAGTTTCAATATATATCATAACTGAAAAATGTTGAGGGTAAATTTGATGATTAATTGAAGATCCAGTCCTGCAACAAATATGTACAAAGTATTACAACAGCGCCCTCTGTTGGCTGCTGTCAAGTAAAAAGTAATTAACAAAATGTTTACTTACTTAGGCTTAGCAGTAAATAGGCGTACAGCCACGATCGAGTGTTCTAGAGTCAATCCGTGATCATCACCGTAGAATCTCACTTGTGCTTGTGTGTAAAATAGGCTTCGAAGTTCAAAGGAGGGTCGTGCTATTTTATAACGACAACAAATGCAACAACAATCGGCGCGGCGCGGCGCGGCGGCGTGACATACATGTATATGCAGCCTGGCACCATCACTTTCTTAATATATGATAAACCGCACTTCGCTTCTGGGTACCGGACGTATAGGCTGGTACCTCTCGTAATAATGTTCAATCTGCATGGAAAGTACTACCGTGCAAGCAGGAACAAGACAAAGTTAGAAATGGCCGACGACAGCAGAGCCGAACGAATTTTGTCAGATTTGTGCGGCGTTTTACGAAGAGAAAAGAACATGTAAGAAAATCATTGCTAATGCTATCCATTAATTAGTAATCCAGGGTAGCATCACAATTATTATCTGAACCAAATGTCTTTATATATCAACACTTTTTGACTTGTTTATCTTGAGCGGTTTGTTCGTAAATGTTCGATATGTCGGAAATAGCTGCCTTTTCCATTAACCCTCACTATCGGTGATGTGCTAATGTTATTTTAATTACGAAGTGGCTATCGTTACGGCAGCCGTTGTTTAGCGCCCTCTGCGATACTTTTTGATACGCACGCAGGTATATAATTATGTGTTTCCCCACGTCTTAGCGAGCAGTGTGACAGCTCAGTCGATAATAGAGGGTAGGATTTTGCACCGCGAGTTTTGCACTCGAATTTTTTTCCTTTTCTAACCTGAGGCTTTGAAGGATTTTTTTTAAAAGGGAAATAAAGTCCGAATTTCATAACGTTCAAATTCACTTTTTTCCTTCTAATTTTATATTTTCTTCTCATGTTTTTATAAACATGTTAAAAGTTGCAGTACTACCGTAACGATAGAAAATGGGAAATGCGTTACGGCTGCCGTAACGATAGCCACAGCGTTTTAATTATTAGGCATAGGCCTAGGTCTATTTATTTAGCCGGCTCCACACGGCACATTTATTTGCCGGATAGGCACAATCACCACTTTTTCAGTTGTGACCCTTTGTTTTTTTCAGATTTCCTACTTTTTTTGTCTAGGCCGTAAATGGGGCCAAAATCACAATTATTGTTCGCAGTGGCTATCGTTACGGCAACCGTAACGCATTTCCCATTTTCTATCGTTACGGTAGTACTGCAACTTTTATAAAAACATGAGAAGAAAATATAAAAAAAGTGAATTTGAACGTTATGAAATTCGGACTTTATTTCCCTTTAAAAAAAATCCTCCAAAGCCTCAGGTTAGAAAAGGAAAAAAATTCGAGTGCAAAACTGAGATGCGAACCCGCAACCTCCTCGCGGTGCAAAATCCTACCCTCTATCGACTGAGCTGTCACACTGCTCGCTAAAACGTGGGGAAACAAATAATTATATACCTGCGTGCGTAACAAAAAAGTATCGTAGAGGGCGCTAAACAACGGCTGCTGTAACGATAGCCACTTCGATTATTGTTTTGACTAACATACACTGAAGGCCAAGTGTTCCACTTGAAATTTCTTTTACGGCTCGTATTTAGTCAGAGCAGCTTTGCACTGTGTATTTATCGGCACATCCCTTTTTACTTGTCACCTTTTCAGAAGTGAATTTGGATTTGTCTACTGCCCAGAGCCATTGTACAACAAGAGTCCCATCATATCAATTGATGGGAACTTGGGCATTGAAACGTGGAGCATTAAGCCTCTCTACTTCCACGCCTACTCACAACTCTTCCACCACAGGCACAGACCTCATGGTAAGATTCGGGTCATCTGAAGACTAATAGACTGATCCACTAACCTCAATGCCCTAGGCCCTTTTGGCTAGGAACCATCCTTAATCCTGCAAAATCAATTGTTACTTCTTGAATGTGTTCAGTGGTGGGATGACCATTGCCTCAATTGACCTATCGCGGTAGAATCGCATCAACGCAGCTTGTGAAATTTTGTCCAATAACATGATATACAAATAGACGCTGAACGCGCAAAATCTAAGACAAATAAAACGTACAAAAAGCCCATGGGGTTGTCTAAGGGGCGTGGCTAACTCGCAAACGGCGATAGGTCAAAACTTCAGAATCCACAAACAAGCACTGATAATGGGTTGAAACAGTGCCCATTTGACGATATATTTAGTCAAATTTGGAATAGTGTGTGCATTCCTAGAGCACGCAACAGCTTAAAATTTGTTGTGCCAGATCATTTTGTCTGAGCAATTGTTAGCGTCAAACGTCGCTGTCTTTAATTTTGAAGAGCCTATACTGTAGAATGAAGCATTTTCAAACGGTGACATTTTTAAGACGTTTTTTCATATTGTTAAAGTTAACATAAGAATTGTGGGAAATGTTGGCAGGTTCTTGATCAAATTGATGGGAATGGCAAACATTTAATGTACAGTATTGTTAAATATGCCGTTAAAAGGCAAATAGTTTAGGTCTAAACTGTATCATATTTTCTCTGACATGAATGAAATATTCCAAGCCCCACCTAATAGTTGCTTGGAATTTCTTTCCTTTGAAGACTTGAAAAGGGTGAGTGATTGCAGCATGGCCGTTCTCCTGCTTAACCCTGAATGTCTGTCTGCATGGAATCTCAGGTAATGATCTCTGTGTTCCTGCCTCCGTGAAAATGAAAGTCTGGCTTCTAAATTCTCGCTCCGTCAAATTCTTTTTTGTTTTCTTCTGGCATGTCCGTGTTCATCTTGTCATATTTTTGCTGGTCCCAGAGGTCCCAGCGTATAGTCCTCTCTGTACCTGATTGACTGACTGACTAACTGATTGATTGACTGACTGTCACTTGTGAGCTGGGCAGTGCTATTGTATAGCATTACCCTGTTACGCCAATAAATGGGCTAAATCCGGCCATGAAAAGACTACCAGTGAACAGCCATTCTGAATCAATTGAAAAGAATCTTGTGCTCTTTGGGACCAGCTCTGCTAGACTTTTGACAATTATTATTACTTGACCAGCTTGACTAGGCTATATTTTTGCTGGACTTTGTGAGAAAGGATTTGCGGTCACACCAAGTACATGTATCTGTGTCAAATTCCATGGCATAGCCATAACCCCTTAAATGCCATGCAGCCAGGGATCATGCCCAACGTCACGATTGCTATCAACTTTAGCAATGCTGCATATCTGGGGATATAGCAATCAGGGATCACTCAGACAGGATGCGGCTTTTATTACAAATGTTAAATAAACCACAGAGGGAAAATGACTAGGTGCATTATAATAATTAGGGACTGCCAACACAGGGCTGGATAGCTCAGTTGGTAGAGCACCGGAACAGCAATCTGGAGGTCGCAGGCTCAAACCCCACTCAAGTCAATTTCTTTGTTCAACCTTAAAAATTATTATAATGCACGTGGTAAATTTCACCTTGCGGGTTATTTGAAAAGGTTTTAAAGTTGTGACAATTTTTTTTTCATCCTGTACAGGAAACAACTCATATTGAACAAGTACTTAAAATCTGAGGATGAATTGAACCTTGCCCGGCTAATCCTGTCCAAGCACCCCAAGAGCCCAGAGACATTCAGCCAAAGGTGAGGTATCACTGCCGAGCGCAGCATCCAAACTAGGGCTGTGCATTGGGACCGGGTACCCGAGTACCCGACCATTAATGTCAGGAACCAGTTCTTGATTATGGGATCGGGTACCCGTAACCATAGAGCAAGGACCCAAGGAGTCAGAACTCTTGGGCGATTTACATTTTGACCATTAACATACCAATCCCTCGGGAATGTCTATAGCCACAGCACTGTGACTGCAAGCCTCGACCATTCAAAGCGTGAATGCCAGCGGCCTTTGAACACGATGATCGTCGCCGCCTTTTTAGTTGGTAACCAACAACCTCCCTATATGCTGCATAATAAGTCATGTCACGTCGCTGCTCTTTTTTGAAAAATATATTTTACGACAAGATAGGTTTTTACAACTGCGCAGTTGTTAGATGTGAGTTATGAACTCAAGTTAGCAATGTGCAGTTGTTGGTGCTTAAAAGCGTTATCTGTCCCTGTAATTTGGAGATAAATTGGATTTCTTTCAGATAAGTTTTCACGTATTTTCAGACATTTTAATTCGCAATATATCATTGATGAAATGTGTTTTTTTGGAAAATTTCACAAGTTTTCACACTAAAGATACAGAGCATTTTGTTCTTCATGAAATGATTGTTCCAGTGATGTTGACCACATTTATATACAGTATCATCCAACTGCGAACAAACACTTCAAAATCATTCATTTTTAGCGATGTATGACAACTGCGCATGCGTATTTACCATGGTACTGTCTACGAAGCCATGCAACTCCTTTTTCTGGCATTAGTGAGCGCGGATCTCTATTGTGTCGAGATTAGCGTAGTGAGCAACTGAGCAAGCTGGCTGCCAGGTGCTTTCTATTGTAGCTTTCGAGCACGGCGACCATCATTTTACTTTTGAAGTCTTGGAGTACGAACTCCTTGGGTCCTTGCTCTATGCCGTAACCAACTTTACAAATTACTTAGTCACTTCTCAGACGACGAAGAAGAAAGGTTTTAAAGTCGTTTGTGGGGAATTTTGAAAAAGAAAACCAGGCCACATGGGAAAAACAAATGATTGTGATAACTCTTGATGTCTTGTGATCACTTGTGATAACTTGTGATGACTTGTGATGACTTGTGATGACTTGTGATGACTTGTGATGACTTGTGATGACTTGTGATGACTTTTGATGACTTTTGATGACTTTTGATGACTTGTGATGACTTGTGATGACTTGTGATAACTTGTGATGACTTGTGATGACTTGTGATGGTTAATTGATCAATACATTTACTGTTAACTCCTAATCAAGATCCTACAAAAGCCACCATTTTGGAGGATTTCACAGGATTGAGAAAGGTGAAGCCAAGTCACTATTAACTTGTTGTTTCATAAATAAACTATGTAGAGTGCTTCATTTATTTGCTTTACAGTGGAAAACATTAGTGGATTCAGGAAGACAAAAAAGTGAAACTGAGTTAGGATAATTTAATACGAATTTGTATTCACCCTCCTTAGACGGTGGCTGTTGCAACAGTTATGTCCAGTGATCAGGCGTCGAAAGGACACCATCTCCCAAAGTGAAAGCAAGGACGACAATCCCACAGCAATGGATCCAAATGCTGCCAGGAGATTGCAAGAACAACTCGAAGAGAACGCTGCCAGACAGCCACCCGTGGAAGACGAGACATTGATGAGGCTTGTCAGGGCCGAAATGGACGTTTGCGCCCTAGCTGCCGGACGGTACCCGAGCAACTACAATGCCTGGAGCCATAGGATATGGGTTGTTGAGCACCTAGCTGGTAGCCCGCCGCAGGTAGTACAAATTTGCAATTTGAGAGAGTGTAGCTTATTTTGTGCTTCAACTCATTAATCCCTGTACTGCCGCAAAAGCATTCTGCCTCTTTACACCGCCCCAAGCCGCCCAGCACTCCATGGTTCTTTGGATTCATTGAGGATTAAATACAATGTAGTACAATATAATACAATTGCTAATGGATTAAGTTATGTTCAAACATACACATGTTGGAGGGTACGTAGGGTTAAAGGGTGTGTATATTGACAATTGACCTATCGCGGTAGAATCGCGTCAACGCAGCTTGTGAAATATTGTCCAATAACATGATATACAAATGGACGCGGAACACACAACATCTGAGACACACAAAACTTAGCGTACAAAAATTCCATAGGGTTGTCTAAGGGGCGTTGCCAACTCGCAAATGGCGATATATACATCATTATTTTACACACCGTGTGTTGAACTTGAACGGTCGTCGTAGCAAATACTGCTCCTAGGCAGGGCCTCAGAGCGTTGCAAAATATGAAGATACGATGAGGAGTATCATACAAATATTGTACAAATGACTCGAGAGAGTCAGTATTTGTGGTGTTTGACTTGAGTCTCAACCAAGCAAACTTACGAGTTTTGGCTCACAAGCTCTTGCACACTATTGAAGGTACAGTTTTGTTAGTGTCGGTGAAAGGCAAAATCCAATACCTGAATGTTATCATTCAACTGAATTATCTTCAATTTGAAATTATATAGCTGTCCTTTGTGGATTCAAAAACTGTACTTTTTAAGTTTATGTTTTTTGTGATCCTAGTTTGTGAGGTCCGAGTTAGCAGCCACCAAGCCATGGGTTTCTGCTCACATATCTGATCACAGTGGCTTCCATTATCGGCAGTTTCTACTCGGTGCGTTGACGGGACTTCCCCAACCCACCCGCCCACCATCCCCTGGGTCTGGCGTGGGGTCTCGCGTGGGGTCTCGCGTGGGGTCTGACGCTGGTTGGCCCGGGGGTCTGGTCCTAGAGGAGCTGCAGCTAATCCTGGAGCTGGTGACGTCCTACCCTGGACACGAGGCTGTTTGGTACCATAGGTCAGTGTTATTATTTATATTATTATGAATCATTTCTGGAAATGAAACCAAGGATTCCTCAAAAGCGCCTTAGGCACCGTAGCTCGCAAGCCAGAATAAACCTGTGGAGAGAAGACAATGAGAAGAAATTACAGTTTTAGAGGTGGGAGGAAAACAGCAAAACGTTTTGGGAAAACCTATGGAATGAGGCAGGGACTGAAAACCCAATTCACATATTGTCACAGACGGGATTCGAACCCGGGTCACAGCGGTGGAAGGCGAAAGAACCGCTATGCCAACCTGACTCCCCTGTTGTGTTGTTATAACTTTGGGACCCACCAGTATTTTATAGAATAGTTTCTGTACTAGTTGGCAGATATGGTAATGTATTATGCTAGACAGCTGCTTGTTGATCTGAAGAGTGTGTCTAAGTAGAGGTTGACTTTTAGTTGTGCCTGGGAGTCATTAATGGACGCTGTGCATGAACATAGATGGAGCTTTGTAACCTTTCAAAGCCTGTAGTGTCTTCGCGAGAGTGTCAGTTGCCGTCAGCAGTGCATTCAAGTGTCCCTCTCAGTGGTCTCCCCCAACTCTCTCTTTGTAATTTCTGAGGGGGTATGTGTGAAAAGAGTCCGCAGGGTTGTGTTTCTTACTTTCTTCTCCTCAGGACTTCCACAAGGGAGTATAACTAGGAGGCCAGAAACACCGGGGCAAACCCCTTCTCTTAGCGATAAGTGTTACTGGGTTCTTTTACGTGCGTTAAGCCTTATACAACACACGGGACCTCCGGCTTAACGTCCCATCTGAAGGACGAAGCAATAATGGTTAAGTGCCTTGCTTAAGGGCACAAGTGTCCGGGCCTGGGCTCGAACCCACGCCACTGTTGCCTCTGAAACACCAGAGCATGAGTCCGGTGCTCTTAACCGCTAGGCCATGACACTCCCTGTGTATTAAATAACTTATGGTAGAATGTTGCACTCTTTTCACTGTCGTTTTCCTTATAGCTGAATCCGGCGACCAGAATTAGAAGCTTTTACTGCGGTGGCGTCACGCTCACACGCATGCTGCACACGTTCTTAAAGATGAGGCGCACGCGCATTTTGGTATTCCTATTGGTTGAAGGAGCCCGGGGTGCGAGTGCATTACCTGAGCGCGACTCACACAAGCCTTGTGCCATTGCAGACAATGGCTACTGCCGGATTTGTCTATAAAATAAATGGTCAAATCGATGTTTGATGAATTGAGTAGATTGCCAAAAACGAGTTCACTCCAAAAATTGTGTTCAAATTTTACAGCTTTTTTCTTGTCTTCTCATATTCGTCATTTCAGACGATTTGTAATTTACCTGTGGAAGACTCTTCTATGCAACGGAATTTCAACAGAATTAGATCAAGTCTCTCATAACGCTCGAGCTCTTAGTGGCATTGAACCATCCGACATGCGTGAACCATCCCCGAACAGACCCTCAATCAAGGATTGCCCAATTGCAGATCAGTTGCATGGAAAACGACCGAGTGAGAACCAACCAATTGGGAGTCACGCACCGGGACAAGAACCGATTGAGAACGGCCAAAGTGAGGCCTCTGCTCCCACTAGGGGAGAGGATTCTCAAACGGGCACAGTAGAAGATGGCCTGAAACGAGGAATCATGTTCTCTCCGATGCCGCTCGCGTCAAATTGCTCCCACGATGCCTCCTTACTTCATCTCCCCGGAAAGCACATCTCAGATCAACTGCCTCTACAACAGACCTCTTTCCAGGACATGACTACCTCCCAAGTACCGCAGAGTAAGCCAGTGGTCACAGTTAGCGCCACCGCTAACCCCTCAGCGCCCAGTGAAGTTCACTGGCTCGTCCAGCACGAGAAGAGATTCGTTGACATCGTGGTAGACGGCACAATTCCAGCGGAGAAAGCAGCGCAAAAGAGATGTGCCGAAAATTACTGCCGATGGCTGGAAAGCTTACATATCCAGTAGCCAGTAAGCAATATTTTTGACTGATTGGGAGCACAGTTTTTTAAAAGACACTCTTTTGCCATTGCAATGCTTGGTTGTTTTCGTCCCACGCAAACAAGTGTTACACCTAACGCCAGTGCGCAAACACTCCACAGTGGAGCCCATAATTCACGCTTGTTTCCAGAAACTTACACGGGACAGTGTTTCTCAATCAGTCAGGAATACACAGGTTTGCATAGTCATTTATCTGAAATTGGTTTTTAATATTGTCATAAATGTGTGTGTGTGCATGATACTGAAATTTTCATTATAAACTTAATTCATAAATACCTTAGACAGTTTGCCCACTCCCATTGGTCGAGAGCCCGTCACGTGGCCGGTCTTAAACGGATGATAAAGACATGGCTAGCTGGTCTTAAACACTTTTCCAGTGTCACATGAAATTTGGACTCCTATGAAGTCCAGTGCATTTTACCGTTTTATTGGTTAAATTCACAATCCTCACATAGGCATGCGCAACGCTACCAGTGAGTCAGTATTTCATAGTCCTAAATGCACAACGCACTCACCACAGCTGCATTTGCGCGTCATTGCGCATTAAGCGCAATGCGCATGCCAATCTCCATAAAATGAGTTGTTTACGTCTTACTCGCTAGCTGGACACTCCATTATATAGCTCCATTAAAACAGAAAGTAGACTTGTTCAACAGTTGTTGGAAATTTTTAATATTTGACTCGTTTTCACTTTTGGACCGAAGATATTTGATTTCTTTGACCAAAAAGGTATTGATGAATGGGAATAAATGTGTGCTTGGGAGATGTTACACTATGTTTTATCTTCAAGTAAACTTGAATCCTCGATCCTGATTGGTCGATCCATGGCAACAAGCCGTGCTACATATAACCATGTAGCACGGCCTCGGTCCATACCGCACTCCGTGTATTACGCTTTTCTAAGATGAGATGTGTGCGTGTTCCATCTTAACTCTGCGTCAAGTTTGCTTGAAGATAAATTCGTTAACACGCTCGCGCTCGTGGAACACGGAAAATGTAGTGCGTCTGTGTCCCACATACCACTCGGCCTTCGGCCTCGTGGTAGGGGTATCTAAACAGAAGAAAAAAAATTGTGGTTACAGAAATGACATTTTAATTAGCACATTGTTAATGTACTACTTAAAGCTTAAAAATGCCATAAAAATATGAAATCGTGGTATAACAAAACAATGTCTGTTGTGATACAGTCAATGCATTTTGCACTATTAAGGGGTCATTTGAATCCCTGGTGCACACAAAACGCCAATGACTGAATCGCAGCAGACAGCAATATATTTTGTTTGTAGTACATACATGTATGTACTCTTCATAGAGCTATATTAAATTACTAGAGCGCTACATGTAACTCTTCATTCTTCCGCGCGGAGAAGCTTTGAAGCCGTCCTGGGCGCAGACATTTTGAATTTATGTGCGTGTTTGTAGAACACAATCAAAATAGATGGACTGAATTTTAAAAGTATACTCTAAATGCAACACGCAAGTAGAAGATACACAACTTAAGCGCGTCATGACGGTTTGAAAAACGTCAAGGCGAAAAGCATCTGCAGCAGAGGGACACGCACACGTTGCACTGTTTGCGTAGAGCAAAATGACATGCTGATCCTGCGATTCGGTTTTGGGTGTATCGGCTTTGATGACGCACTGGTATGGAATACAAACGCAGATATGCAAATAGACGTACAAAATACGTAGACAATTTCTAGTTCTCCATAGGTTTGTGTACAAACATGGATGCGCCCAGCAGGCATCACTTTGTACATGAGTTAGCGCTCTAGTAATTTGATATAGCTCTATGGTACTCGTGTGCTGAACAAATTCACCAGTATTAGTCTTTCGAAAGTTGTGTGATGGTATTCTTTGCAAAGACTCGTTGCTGTCTTCCTTAAAGTGGAGATTTTTTATCGCCTGTGTGTGACTGTGTTACTTCAATGGCAAATTCTTTTTAAAAAACAACAAAGGAAGTATTCTTTTTATAAAAACCAAACACCTTTTTAAAGTTCCAATGTCAGTATTTTATTGCATTTAGTCATTTTGGACAGGAATTGCACATTACTCCATGGTAATTCTTCCTTTGTAACAAAGTTTAAATACATGTAGATCCTAAATATCTAGAGCAATGTCTTGTAAGGAAAATGTACAGCTAGTGGTTGACAAATCTTACATTTCTTATTAGATTGTCTTCACAAGCCAACATGGCCCATCATGCTGGCGTTTATCTCTGCTTCCCTTGGCATGAAATGGCCGAGAATATTTCAATTCCTTCTGGATGGGATGCCAGTCCATCGCACTTTACTACCCAGCTGATGCCAGTACCCATTTATACTTCTGGACAGAGAAAGGCAATTGGGGGTGAAGTAGCTTGCCCAAGGACACAAAATATGGCCGGCAGCTAGATTCGAACCCCCGATGCCTGATCATGAGCCATGAACCCTAACCACTGGGCCCCCAGCCACTCCCCCTTCCCCAGCCCCCCCCCCTTCCCCAGCCCCCCCCCCCCCCCTCTCCCTTCCCCAGCCAGTAACCATTTATACTCCTGGGTGGAAAAAGGCAATTGGGTTTAAGTGGCTTGCCCAAGGACACTTATATAAGACCAGCAGCCAGATTCAAAACCCTTGCACTACTTGGCCAACACTCCCCACAAATGTAAGACTAACTCTAATGACAATGTGCCCAGATTGTTGTATTGTTTTTTTCTGGCCCGGTTATGCCTACAGTAACAGTATTATCCACTCTTAAAGTATTTTTTGTTGGTATGAATGTAACACCTATGGAGTCGGTCGGTCAACTGGGGTTGGGGTGGGGGTTATCTGGGCAGTAAGCATTAGCAAATAATGTGTTAGTAACATGAAAGAGTTGACTGTTGCTAGTGTACATGTATCTCTAGCCTCGTAAATGTGTCTCAAATACCATACTCCCTCCATGTTTATAGCCACACAGCGATGCGTGGAACATTTCCTGAAAAGTTGTGTTAACCTGAATTTGAAATCTAGCCCATTTTATTTAACTTGTTTCCCTTTACTTAAACCAATGTTATGACGTCACACTATTGTTAAAAGTGTGGATTCGGAACTACGTATCTGTTACGCTGGTCACAAAGTGTGGATTCGAAACGAAGAATCTTTAGCAAAGTGTGGATTTGGAATTACGAATCCACACTTTGAACATGTCAGACAATTGTTCTCCATAATGAGCATTAATAGGACCGTCTGCGTGAAAACTTTCCTTCCAAAATTACCAATGCATCTTCATTGTCAGATTCTCTGCCGTCAGGCTGCAAAACCTACTTTGAGTCAGAAGAAATCATTGTCTGAACTATATGTATGTTGATGGAAGGAGCCGGGAAAAATGTTGCAAGCTGACGCCACTTTTTCTTCATATATCATCTCAATGAAGGTCATTCATTGCAAAAATAATGATTACACATGAATCTGGGACTGAGAATATTTCCAATTTTGTTAGGAAATACTAAGAAAATTTTCTTGACTCTCCATAGACTTTGTACACAATCGCGGAAGTGGCGTCAGGTTGCAACATTTTTTTCCAGCTTGACTACTTGAAAACTCCCTTGTAAATTACCCCAATGGCCACGACTCGACACGAGATATGCAAGTCTAAGTCTTTTCATCTCCACTCACAGAGTGTTAATGAAAATACTTCTTTTGACACAATGGTTTAAGTCGAAAAATACACTGCAAGTGTGGATTCTTAATTTACGAATTCACTCAACGCTTTGCGCCTCATGAATTCTTAAACTGCGAATCCACACTTCCTTGTGTATTCTCCTTAACAGAAGCTATACTTACTTGCTGTTTACTATGGAGGAAGTCAAATATTTGAGCACATGTATCAGGCTAGTGTATCACATGCTTTTAGTATTTTGTATAAAAGATTCCATGAACTTTTTACAAGTGCTCATTATGTTTTCATTCATAATAATGATATTGATAATGATAAAGCAGAACTTGTAAGGTGGATTTTATCTGTAAAACTTTCTAAGCCGTCAGTCAACGTGGATTTATAAGAGAAAAGTGTTTGTGTCTGAAATGAAAACAGTTTCGAGCATATGCAATAAGTGCAAACAGTGAATGCCTGTTATTTAACAACTCGTATTTATTAGATCTGTAACCATACATAACTTTGTCTCAGCACAAAATGCATTATTCAGATCATTTACACACTTTGAAAAAAAATTCTTGTAGAATATAATTTATAAAGGCCACATTTCAATATTGGACTATACATGTATTAGTGTTTAAATTGTCTTTTTGGAATTATCAGTAAAAACCAAAGTTTTAAAAATATACTGTTTTAAACACAATCACTGCTTCTTTGTAGTTGTTCTTTTGTCTCTGCTATTTGAAATATGATTCATCTCGATTTTTCTAATCAGGGTCATACATGATGACCTTAAATGGCCTCCACTGCCCTCTTGTGGTGACCTTTTGCGAGTTCATCCGTTATGTACAATGCATGGAAAGGGAGATGTGACACCCCCCCCCCCTTCTGTTGGTGATATTCAAGAAATATGCCACGGTGATTGTAGCGCCACCTGTTGTCCTATTAAGCATGGTCATCTAGTTTGAAAAGCGCCCTCAAAAGTGAAATTGTATCGAATCCCCTTCCCCCATTCAAATTGGTCTGGCGCCGCCCTTGAATACCTTATAAAGTACAAACACAACCGAAATACTTTGATGACCTGATTTTCAAGATTAAGTATATTAAAAATTGTGTACATGGACAAATATAGTAACTACATGTAATAGAAATAGTACATGTATTTGTTATCTTTACATTAAAGCTAGCAGTGGTCAATTAAATTTGTTTTTCTTTATAAGAATCTGGAATTTAATATCTATAATTACAATAATTTCAGAGGAATTGTAAAATATATCTGATCCCTGCATTGATAAACTTAAAACAATAAGTACCCTGCCCCAATCCCATCTTTACATTAAAGCTAGCAGTGGTCAATTAAATATGTTTTTCTTTATAAGTATTTTTGGAATTTAATATTTTTTTACAATAATTTCAGAGGAATTGTAAAATATTTCTGATCCCTGCATTTATAAACTTAAAATGATAAGTACCCTGCCCCAATCCCATCACCTCGCTCTAAGAAAAAGACTTATTTATATAATATAACACCAAAATTTAGATTTGATTAAACATTTGCCTTAATTTCAGGACAATTTCAATAACTAATTAAAAAACACTAGGTTGAAATCGATGTAAAACTAGTCATGTAACTTGGTTATTGACTCTATAACATAAAACAATGGACCACTACCAAAGCAGTCACAAATACACATCTATATTTGAAAAACCTTTAAATTTACCTGCAAGCAAAGTTTGGTCACAACATAAGAAATTCCATTTGCATGCACGTGCTGCACACTTGTTCAATTAGCCATTTGCGAGTTAAATTTGAATAAAATCTAAAACGCTGACTAAACCAATGCTTTGCACGTGTTAACTTTGTATTCTCCCGACCAAAGAGACTGTTATCACGTGGTTCGGGGCAAGCCTTATGCTAGCAACCCCAGCTCCAGCATAGTCTGGTGTCTTTGTGCCATTCTCACCCATTGTGAACAAGGTATTGGTGCTGAGCATCTCTTACATAACTATGCAAGAGCTTGCCCCGAATCATGTGATTAGAAACAGTGTCTTCGGTCTCGAGAATTCTCAGTTAAAATGTGCGAAAGGGTATAGGTCACTCGTAAATGGCTTATTGAGATGTATAAGTATGTGCACCGGCACTGTGCATGCAGGCTGAAGAAGCGTACATGAAGTACATTAATATGATATCATTGTTGACTGCCGAGATGTTGGACATGGCATTAGGTCAGGGTGTGCTTCCAAGTCCAACGTCGAGCAGGAAACAATATTAGTTGTTTTATAACGGTAATATATTGCGATTTCTAATTGGTCGAGAACTGAGCACGTGATGTGCCACAAACACGCATGTACTGTGTCAAGCGTATACCCGTGGTACATGAGTGATATACCCACAGGCTAGTACATTACCTTGATCGTCCCCACTGTTGAAAGTGTTGTTTCCACTGCCTTGTATAATAGAAAAGGCCCGGGTAAGAGGCTTCAGACAGCGCGCACACGCGCGTACGCTTTTCAAATAAATGCGCGTGCTTTGTGTCAGATGGAAGCACACAGACAATGGTCGCAGCTGTGATTGGTTGGCAGTGATTAAAGGATTGGTCTATTCTGGGAAAAGGTAAATTAATTTGTGTTCCTGTGCAATGAAAAAAAACCCATTATGTGCGAATATTGACGGTGCAGTAATCGCGGATCTTTTCAAAATACATGTAGTACTTCTGCGATTACTGCACAGCAACTGGGGGATACCCACAATTTCAGACGCTTGCAAGCTAGGCTATTACCGTGGTAAAACAATTGTTGCCTGCCGTGATTGGGGTCCATGGTTTTTTTTACACCCTCGGGTGCAAATGGCACCCGAGACGAACATTTGCACCCTCGGGTGTACAAAACACCATGGACCCCATCACAACAGGCAACATTTGTATATTATCATACCAGTTTGAAATTAAATATCACTCTGCTGTTGCTATGGGATGGACCAATCAGAATTGTAGATCAGTAACATTTTCTTAAAGGTAAAAAAGGCTTCCACTATGTAAAGAAAAAAAAAACATATTTGAAATTAAACTCAGAACAAGTTTTTGCAAAAAGAAAGACACAAAGCAATACTCTTTGAATTTCACAATATCCAGCTGGAAAAAAGCCCAGAAGGTTCAATCGTCAAACATGAAGTCATCTAAAAGAAATAAAGAAGAAAAATGCAAATTGGTTAAAAGTGGTTTTAAAGGCATCTTTGTGCACAAAATATTATAATCTTGGCAAGATATGTGTAAAGCACATGGAAGAATACACAAGGAAGTGGTCTGTGGGACGAACAAATGTTGGGCAACATCCAGTTTGCAGTTTTTGTTGGTAATTGTTGCACTATTATGCAGCTCATTAGTTTCTTTGAAGTTCCTTAATATTCATATACTCAGCAAAAGTCTCTCAAAACTCTAACATACGATGTATACATGTTCCATGTAAAACAATGCCTTATTCCCCTTAATAAGAAAGTGTTCATCTGCTACACGAAAAAAACCATACCACTGCATGGTTTCTATTATGTATCATGTTAATTGTTCTCTTTCTTACAAACTTCTAAATAATTTTTTTACCATCATTTTGTTTTCATCTCTGTTTGTTGTGAGCCCAAAACTTGTGAATGCATCAAACCACTGTGCAGGAGTGTCGCCAGATCAATTTGAAAGGGGTGGGTAGGAGGTGTGACAACAAATTTGCCAACTGACCCTTTTTGCTGGAAGGTTGCAAGGATTTTTTTTTCTGGTCAACCAGCATTAAAAAAAAATAAAGGGGGGGGGGGGGGGGTTGCACACCATCTGACAATTTGGGGCGCCGTCCATGGACAAGTTGTGATGGACACTTTTGGACAAAAGGTGGTGCTCTTCGTTGCTGCATATTTTCTAAGAGACACCAGTTTGCTGAAGGGATGACGATTTTGTGGACAAAACCAACTAAGCAACGCCCGTGTGGACCAGCCCTTGTGATGTATTTTGATTTGGTGGTACATTTTTCAACCAAGGCTCAGTGTCGACTGAGACATGTTATTGTCAGGATGTCACGTAGCCCTCTCTACATCACTCATTCACTACAGCCCTGATGACTAGAGGGCAAGGGCGGATCCAGGGGGGGGGGGGCCAAAGGGGGCCATGGCCCCCCCCCCCCCCCCCCCCAAAACGAAACCAATTTTTTTTTTTTGAATGTGACATCGCAATAAAGGCAGGCAATGAGTACACCACCATCTTTTCCTCAAAATAAATTGGTTAAAGTGGTCAGAAATTGCATCAGATCGCACCACAGAGCATCTAGAATCCAAATTTTTTTAGACCCACTTTTTGGGGGGACCAAAATTTTTTTGGCCCCTCCCCAAAATTGTGTTCTGGATCCGCCCTTGCTGGAGGGTATTTAGAATCAAAGACTTGAATACAGCATGTCTACTGAAAAGCACAAGTGGGAGGGATCTTGGTCGTCAATCGGCATCAACAGATTCAGATGTCACAAACTAGCAACCTGAAAGAGAATCTCTTGAAAATGGCAATCCTTACCAAAATCATCCTTCTTTCTGTGATAGAACGGGTCAGCTAGTATCATCCTGTCTTCAGGTATAATGCCATCCCCGCCGTAAAAGATGTTCTGCAGGACCTCCACGGGGTTGCCGCGGAAGGTGTGCCGCAAGATCGGATCCTTGGACTGGGAGAAGAGTCGGCGGAATCCCCGGAGGTTGCTGAGGCTCTCCAAGAGCTTCCCCTCAAAGAGGTTGCTCTGGAGCTCCTCGGCGCACATCTTGAAGTCCTTGTAGGAGTCTTCGTCCAAGCCTGTTGAAGGAACAAAATCCAAACAAATTTGCAGATCCTTCCGAGTCAATCGAGTCATTCAGTCTCGAGTAAACTGCGATAAAGGCAATTCCTTTGTCATTGTTCATTTTCTGTAAAGGCAAGTGTGTGCTTCATGCTAAATGCAAATGCAAGGTGAATTTGACGCCCCGAAACATCCAAAATGAAATTCGTTAGGGTTGATAATCTTCCAAGTTTTGCAAATTTGCAGTGAGAATAACTGCTGTGATATCACAAACTCCCATCCGGATTCGAAGTTACGAGCATGAAAATAACGGGCCTAAATTTCATTCTGACATTTTAGTGACCGACTGTTTTTGTGTACACTGTACAGCTCTGCAAACGTGTCTGCCTTAACTCAAGTTGACCTGGCTAAGAAGTTGCTTAATACTTTGGAAAGCTTCCCTGGAATATGTAAATGATCCTATAAACATCTCTTGGATAACAATTCTGAAGCTAGTCTTGCTTTTGTTTTTGGTCAAAGAAAGAATGCTATGTTATTTACCACTAGAAGCAATGGAATCTTGCGGTATAAGTCCCCCTTCTATGATCTTCTCCAGCTCATACTCCATGGTAGCCCACGTGACTTCAAATTCCTCGCTTGGGGCAATTGCGACCCCTTCGTACTTTGTCACGTGCCCGATGAACCCATCTCTCAGCAAATCCTCGGCCCCGTCATCCAACACCGGCACACTTGCCGGTAGGATCTGGGAGGGGGCAATGTGGAGGATATCTGATGCCGAAACCCTGGATTGTCTGGTCGATTCTCCAAAAGATTCTCTGGCCGTCGTGCTGGAGTTGTTTAAGTCTCCCCCGACTGCACCTTCCATCTTCTGCTGGGCTGCTCCTTCTGGCAAGTCTCGGCTTTTGGAGATTGCCCCAATCTGAAGGGAAGTCATTCCACTGACATACCCATCATGACCACTGGCTTCTGAGGTTGAGCTTGCAGCAGCGCCCTGATCTTCAGTAGATTCCTCCTTATTGTCAGTTGGTTCTTGAACTTTTTCATCCGACTTATTATCGTCAAGTTGCCCAGAGTCCCCTGCTGCGCCAACCACATGTTGTACACCATTTTCTTTCTCCATTACTGAAGCTTGCAATTTTTTCCCCTAGTATACAACGCCTCACATCTGAGTAAAACAAAGGTAGTGTAGATATTTGACCATGAACTGGTCGCAGATTTTTTGGCTCTTGTAACGGCCGGCACTTGGAGTTATGCAATAAATGTTTTGGGGATTTTTTTTGGGGGGGGGGAACTTTTACTGTGAGGAACTTTTCTCTGGTTTCGCACTTAAATTGTTGTTGTGACTTGGCAGTTAGGGGACAATCCACACCTAAAGCATTGGTTCAGACATTACTTCTGTTTTCAAATTTTGTTTACAGAAGGAACGCGCCCTCCTTTGTTAGCGCATGAGCCCATAGGCCCAGGCGCAGTTCTAGAACCAATATTTTTGGGGGGCTAGCACGGTGGATCCAGATTTTTTTCAGGGAGGTGTGCTGAAATGTTGACCGGTTATTTTTTCCAGACACTTAGGCCTCCGAAAATCAATAAGTGGGGTGGGGTGGGGGGGCTCATGCCATATTTTCAATGGGGAGCGCCAATAACATCATACAATCATTCACACTATATTAACTAATGCACCCTTGTCACGGCTAATTCTTCTTTAGGGGGAGACCGTTCGCATGTACATCACAATCCTTCTTTTTACTATTGCAATTTTATTTTTTACGGAATTTATTTTGGGGGGGCTAGACACAATTTTGGGGGGGCTCCCCCAGCCCCCCCGTAGAACCGCGCCTGCATAGGCCTACTCACTTCTAAAACTAGAACCCATCCGCATCTGTGTTCCTCTCACACAAGTAATTTTGTTGGGCACAAATGGTTGATCTGCGCGATGGGTCGATTCTGTAGGATATCTCGGACTTACCTATTTAAGAAAAATCCTCCACAGCAGGCTGAAATTAGAAAAAAAATCTTTCCAACTGGTGGAGGCGCGAATGACAGATAACTCATCATGATCTACCAATTAGTGCAGCGCAATCGCACACATCGACCGATCCCGCCTAGCTGGAGTTACCTCAGCCCTATATTTTATCATTGGGTTGTCATTATGACAACCAAATGATAAAATATATGGCTGAGGTAACTCCAGCTAAATCCTGCCCAAAATATGTTGAAATTTTACAGTCAGATTTTTAGCATTTAATATTAAAAAATAACTAAATATAACATTAACAATACCTACCCCTAGAACTATGGGGCTCCACGCAAGCACAGCGTGAAGGGTGAAGCCACACTCCGGCTTGAGACACTCCAGCTCCAAATTCCAATGCTAAAATATTAACTAAGTATCAGTATCAGGAACTCGACATTTATATCGACTTGTTGATGAGCATTGGAGCTGGAGTTATATAGCGGAGCCCCATAGTTCTAGGGCCGAAAACAAGACCCATTTGGTTCACCTGTGATATTGCACTTGCAGATAGTAACCACATATGCGTATCCCTAAAAATAAAACAGCTTCTGCCTTTGTTGCTCATACGATGGGGAAATCCAGGGGAAATCCCCTTGTCCGTTGTGTCCAATGACGTCATATTATATCGATAAGTTCATCTCTTGCGCAAGATACAACGGTGGAGGGCCTTCCTTTTTTAGGGTACAGAAATATTGGGCAACGTCTGATATTCCACCCCCCCCCCCCCCTTTGCAAACCAATATTTACCCGTTATTTTAGTTTGTAGAACTTCGAGAATAACAATTGGCTGTATTAAATTTTGAGAAACAAGGATAACAGTGAAAAAGAATTAATAAATAAATAAATATATCCCCAACAATTTGAGTTGTGCCTATTTAGTCTTTCTCTGTGAAATGATTCTGAAAAAAATTAATTAAAATCACTGTATAAAACTAGTGGTTTACGATAACACCATGTGGAAGAATTTCTTTTGAGATGATTCTTCCACATGGTGTTACCGCAAACCCTAGTTTACACTTCCGCCATGCAAAGTTACAAATCGTATTTAAAATCACTGTGATGATAATCAAAACAATTTTTTTTTTAAAATGGAAACAGCTTTTATTGAAAAACAAGCACACCATAGTAAGTAAAAAGAAAACACTGTTTATATAAATAGAAAAAAACACAGCGGAGTCACCAATGTGGAAAAGTGTGTAAAATAATTACAAAATTGTAGTAAACTCCAACTGCAACACAAGGAGTGTTGAGCATCTGAGAACTGAAAGGACCCATGTCACAATGTAATTTTTTTAAAAGCAATCCTCGAAAAGGACCTTTGTTATTTTCAATTTTCGGTTTCTATGCTAATGAAAATTTCCATATTCATGAGCAAAATTGTGATGTCAATTCAGTAGCCACTCAATGTTACAGCTATTTCAGCATCAAAAGTTGCCAGAATTGTTGATGTTTTGCTGTTGTAGATTTTCTTTTCTTTGTGTTTTTTTTTTTGTCAGTACATGGCAGTAAGCCGATTGAGCAAACTTTTCTCACAAATGTTTTCAATGAGCAACATTTTGGGTTCACAATTCTTTTACAGAAAACCCATAAACTGAACAGTGTCTTCCTGAAATGACATCACAGCAACAGCGCCCTCAGTTATCCAGAAAAGCATGGACATTTTAAAAATGTTTTAAGAAGTGCACTTTTCAATAAAATTAACCAAAAAGGGATTTCATACATATAAGAGTAGAAAGCTGAACAAAATCTGTTAACAAGAAAATGCACCGACCCTTCAAAATTTAGAAAAATACAAGTTACAATACACCATGTCATCGTATTAAAAAAAAAACCAAATGATCTTGATTATGAAAAAAAATTGGAAATGTCAAAAATAAAAAAGGTTAGTTAACTACTATAGTAGTAGTTCAATAATATTCATCGACGTTCACTGGACTTGCACAAAACTTTTAACTGCATATGAGAATTCAATAATGCCATTACCCCTAATATAAAAAGTTAACTCAAGACAATTTATACAAAAGTATCTCATTATGATGAGGTAGGTTAAATATGATTTCGACAAAATACTCAAACCAAGTGACTCAAAACTGAAAACTCATCATCCATTATCTTCTTTGAGATATAGACACAAGTAGAGGGCGCTTTATTTGATTTGGGTCAACTCTTTTTTGTTTACCCAAATTTACCTAAACCTACCTAAACCAATTACAAACAGTGCCCTCAATCCTATACTCTAGAATAAGCTGTTAAAACAGAAAAACTCTATCCAAGTAATTTAACACTCAAACCCTGAAAAGTTAATAAATTACAGGCACGGATCCAGGGGGGTTGGGGGTCAACCCCCCCCCCCCCCCCAGCTCTGTCAAAAATATACTGGTAATGATGTCCACCTGTGCACAAAATACAGCAGAGTCCGCTTGGTTAAAGGGGTATGTACACTATTCTGCAATATACATGTAGTGTTAATAATCGTCGGATTTGAACAGCGCCCCCATTGAAAGCATGGTATGACCAAACCCGTCTACAATTCAGAATTATTTTGCTGATGAACCCCCCCCCCCCCCCCCCCCCCCCGCAAAAATTCCTGGAACCGCCCCTGTATTAAGATGCAAGCCTTAAACTAAGTGACTCAATACACACCACAGACTCGAGGATTCAAATTCCGGTTACTCAATACTCACAACCAGTTAAGTTACCACACACGTTAGCATCCATTATCACTGTCCTGAGAATTCAAATGTTATGTTAAGCTCTGTATTATGGTGTTATAATTTTGTGCAAAATATATCTGTGTCAACCCTTACCAATTGAATTAATATAAAAATATAGAAATAATACTTGTACAACCTGAGGTTGTTAAATTCATCTAAGAAAAATTCAAAAACAACTGATAATACAAAAGATTTCAAAGATGGTCTACTTCATAAAGTACAATTGCAGAACGAGGAGAAACACACACGATGAATTGAACACAACTTAAACAAAGATTGAGGGTAGAGTAGATCATTTGCAGCTATCAAAAAAGTAACTGACCAAATTATTGTTAAAAGTTTACTTGATTTAAAGATAGTAATGTCAATAAACTCCCTGTGAAATTATTCTTTCAGGCATGCTAACATTTTGAAGAAAACAAAAGAAGGCCATTTCCAGTCATGTGACGCATTTTAGGAATTTCTGTTAATAGTTGGTTTGTAATTCGGCGAATCTGAGAAAGCGTTGATACGATGCACACGGGCATGCAGTTGCTATTATTCATCGTTTCAGTTCGTGACATGCCGTAGCCGCAATTGGCTGAATGAGAACATGTCAGGCGTAATTCAATACATGACTTGTCTTGACAATGTTTAAATTGAAATCAAGATCCTAGAATATTGTTTTCTCGGAATATACAGCATTCACAGAGCTAAAGATTTTAGAATTTGAGCAGTTTTGTTGCTTCACACCCAAAAAAATGTACAAATCATAAATGATCTACCCTACATTTAAAAGAAACCAAAAAAAAGCATCACTTCTCTTGAAACATCAATTAAGTAGCAAAACTGAAAAAAATAAAATCTAAAAAAATGTGCACAATGATAAAAATATAAAAAGGACACACATTAACTTTATGAATTGAATATTAAAATAAACCTCAAAAGACAAACAAAAATGCAGAACTTCTCCTGAAGGCACACTTCTCGACAAAGCATTCTTACGCTGTACATGTACTTCTTACGCTGTACATGACTGGATTCCCTCACTCACAAACGTATCAATCTGGAAAAAAAGAAGGAAAAAAGCACACTGAGTTCTAAAAGTAAACCACACTGACATCTAAAAGTAAACAAATGTCTTATTATGGAAGCTTATCTTCAAGTTGCTTTCCCTGTGTTTTTTTCTGTAATAAATTTTCAACTGATGTGTTTCATTTCAACAATAATTTTTTTTGGGGGGGGGGGGCAGCAGACTGGCTTCGGGTAGTCTGAGTATCATCTGTTGCTCAAAGAACCTGCAAGCAACGTTGTTTCATATACATTGTATGTGGCGTGCAAATTTTAAACTTTGTGTCATATACAGTGCAAAAATAAGAATGTTATTCCTGTTTGTTGATATGGCCCCAGTTTATCAAACTGCAAGCCATTTCACCACATGACCATATGCCTCAACTTGTGTGTGGATACTTCTGAAGCACTTTTCTTCCATTTTTGTAATGGTAGCACTAAGAATATAGAACACCATTAGAACAATCTGAAAACACTCTTTCAGCCGGTATATGGTTGATGTATGGGCAGCCAAACGTACCAACAAGCCAGCTTTCTGAAAAAGCAGTGAATAGATCCGTATTGAGTGTGCTCTGTCTGTGTTTTCCTGATCGAAGTCGCCTTTAGTAAGAAGCAGATGGGAAGTTCCCTGTCGACAAAAGTCGCCCATGGTAAGGAAAGCGTTAAGCAGCACAATAAAAGCGGCCCCTGATTTGAATTCTTTGAAAAGTCGCCATCCGACTCCTCCAAGCGGAGTATATACCTGCATGGTCCGCATTTGTGTAGTGGAACGGATCGTCCAGTTTCATTCTGGACGCGGCCAGGAGACCGTCCCCACCATAGAATATGTGCTGCAGGACCTCGATGGGTCTGCCCTTGAAGGCCTGGCTCAACAACCAGTAGCTGGACCTGGAGAAGTAACGGCGGAAGCCCCGCAGGTTGCCCAGGGCCTCCAGGAACTGCCCCTCCATGAGGTTGGTCTTGAGTTTATCAACACACAGTTTAAAGTCAAAATGGGAAGAGTTGTCCAGACCTGTGATAGTTTTTAAAAAAAGAAAAAAGAAATATATTGAGCTTATACTTGTAACAGAGGTAAAACCGAGTTTTGCGAAAATTGCGTTTGAAGTTGGTTGATTTTTCAATTGGCCTTTTTGTGTACATTTCACAGCATCTCTCCCCCAGAATTGAAAAATATATAACTGAGACAATAGCCCAGGAGTTAAATAGCCAAAAACAATTCTCTCTGTTCATAAAATCATGTTTAATTAGAAGATATTAATTACTAAAGATATCCGTCACTTCTTCAAAACGGAAAATCTACTTCTTAACGAAAATAAGGCATATATTTGTTTCCCTTGGCTTGGTGTGTCAAGAGTGTGTCAAGTTCTTCATGGCCGTGAGCGTCAAGTCATGATTTGGTGTGTCAAACAATTTATGGGGTGCGTCACTTTTCCTCAGTAGGTGCATCACAATCTGTGAAGGGTGGGTCAAAAATGTCGCCACATACATGAAGCGTCAAAACGATACATTTGGCAGTCACTACTCTGATACGCGTGCAGGGGTATATAAATTCAAAAGGATGACCCACTGTTGGACAATGACGCACCATTCCCGGGGTTCATGGGGTGTGTCATCCAACTGATAGGGCTGTGCAGACACTCTTGTTTTACTATACTCCCGAGGACAATGCTTTGTGTTTCCTTTTGTCCCTGTAATATAACACTCTCCCATTGACTAAGCACAGAAACCTACTACAGAGGACCGTTTTGAACGAAAGACCAAACGCGCGAGGACTGAAAGGATCTGTTGTTCTCCCTTTGTGTGTCGGTCCTCCGGGGTTATGTAGAACACGTGCATTACTGCACGCTACTTGAGTTAACGTGCACAATGGATAACGTTGCTCTCTTTCCTTCCCACAGTGCTTTGTAGCTATTGTGCAATATCAGTGGGGCAGTATTTGAGCTGAGGTCTATGAACATGAACTAATATGCTGCTTTGTGACCACTCATGTTAGTTCAGGGGGAGGGGTCAGTTTACATGCAATCACTGGTTGCAATGTGTATCGCGTAGTTGACGTTCAATGAATTTTAGTTTGAGCGTGTGAAAACGCATTATGTTTTTCTGTGCAAGTGTCAGGCGCGTAACTGGCAGCAACTCACTGGTGTCCCACCAACCTCTGTGCCCGGGATTAGACTCCGTCTTTGCAACCGAGTGAAGGGGCACTTCTGCACTGATATCTTACCCAAGTCAACAGTTAATTTAACCTTAACATGGCTCTGTTAGGCCCCTACGTTCCTTTTTATACATTTAAAGTCGGGACGATCCTCACTATGGTTGGGAATTGGGATCAATCCAACTACATAAATGGGACGATGCGATGCATGCTACAGTTGGGGCATAACAAACTAACAATCCCCATCCAGTCAAACTCCAACACATGGATTTGTTGGAATCTGTTAGAGCGAGTACTACACTAGTAAACTGATTGTGCTTTTACATGGGGTTAGGCAGGGTTCGACCTTAACTTTTTTGTTCACTAGCCAGCTGGGCTACTGAAACGGACTCTTAACTAACCCGCGGGCATTTTCACTAGCCCGCATTTTTTTCTTATCTCAAATACAAAATGGCGTATTTTCAGGCTCAATTCTGAGGCAATTTTGTCAGTATTTTTGATTAACAGATCTTATAATTTAACCCTTAACCCTTACTCTCTGAGGGTAGTTTACTGCATGTCAGTTGGTTATGCCAATGCCCTCCAGCTGCAGTTTATTGGCAGATAGTTCGTCTTAACAGTGAAGGCTCCAATTGGCAGGAGTTGGAGGCCCTGGAGGGTGCCTGATACTGACCAGCTGGGGGCACTCACTTTGTTATCAGAGGACTCTCATTGTTCTCTGTGGCATGTATTGGAGTGCCTGTCCAGTTACCCTTGAAATGACGTGGCAGATATTGGAGGGCCATGCAAAAAACATAGGAGATTTTCTTGAGGCACATATTGGCATGCGTTGGAGGGTCTAGTAGGGTAAGGGTTAAAACAGTTGATAAAATTATTCACAAATTGATGGGGTTTTCTTTCTGAATTTAATGATTTATTTCTTCCTGTACGTTCATCTTTGCCGTATCTCAATAATTTTTCACTTGCCAGCCGGGCTAGTTAAGGAATAGTTTGTCTAGCCCGCCGCTGTTTTGACTAGCATTTGGCTTGCGGGCTACCGCTAATTTCGAACCCTGGGTTAGGCATACTACCAATAATCAGAGTCCAACAGTTTTCGTGTACAGTTTACGATATGGTGTTGGGATTTGCAGAGACGAAGAAGATTCCTAGTTAATCACTACAGGGGGTTAGCTAAGCTAAGTAGGAAGGATAGTTGTCACCAGTTCAGCAGTACATGTATGCATCACTAACCTGCGGAATCAACAGCATCCTGAGGTACAAGTCCTGCAGCAAGATACTGCTCCAGCTTCTGTTCAATGACTGCCCATCTCACCGCAAGATCTTCGTTGGGTGCCACCGGCGGCCTGGCATCGCCTTCTTCGGCTGCACATTTATCCTCCAACTGTGGCTTTTCGTTATCACTCAAGGAGGCTCTGTCAAACTCCCTTAGAACGTCCACTGTTGCCTTTTTTCCTAAAAAGATGTTTTCAAAATCTCAGCTGAATGATGTGAATATACAGTCGACTCTCGTTAGTACAAACTCTGTTAATACAAAATTCTGGTTATAACAAACATAAAGCCTTAGTCCCGACTGTGCATTAATGAATGGGACTGATGTTCCTCTTAATACAAAATTCTGATATAACAAACAATTTGGCTAAGTCCGAACGAGTTTGTTATAACGAGACTGGACTGTATATACAAAAGTTACTGTTCTGTCATAAGCATTCACACTTCTAGCTTAAATTCAATCCCACTTACTTACATGAGGTTGGAAAGAATGTAGAATCCAGACGCCACTTCTTTTGGTTTGTGTATAATGCCTTTGGAGAGTTGAATGCCCTTTCAAAGTATTTTCTAACAAAATTGGAAATTTTTTTCAGTCCCAGATTTGTGTCTATTAAATTTTCTTAAATTTGTGTAATGATAACATTAGTTATATTTAGTAGGACTAAACGTAAACGCTCTTTCAACTTTATATGGCTAAAGTATGGGCGGCCAACACACCAACTTGCCAACTCTCTGAAAAGCACTGAATAGAAGTCGCCTATGGTAAGCAGCAGGTAGGTAGTTCCTTGTTGCAGCAGCACGATAAAAGCGGCCCCTGATTTGAATTCTTTAAAAAGTGGCCATCAGATAGACTCCTCCAAGCAGAATATTTACCTGCATGGTCCGCATTTGTGTAGTGGAACGGATCGTCCAGTTTCATTCTGGACGCAGCCAGGAGACCGTCCCCACCATAGAATATGTGCTGCAGGACCTCGATGGGTCTGCCCTTGAAGGCCTGGCTCAACAACCAGTCGTTGGACTTGGAGAAGTAACGGCGGAATCCCCGCAGGTTGCCCAGGGCCTCCAGGATCTTGTCCTCTAGGAGGTTGCTCTGGAGCTCATCAGCGCACAGTTTAAAGTCAAAATGGGAAGCACTGTCCAGACCTGTAATAGTTCAACAAAGAAGAAAAACAAAGAAAGAAAGAAAGAAATAAAAGAGAAAAAAGAACTCTAATGGGTTATGAATCTGAGGTGAGTGAAAAAGTTTCCACCCATATAAGCCTCAGATTCACCTGCCAATTGCAGAGCCCATGCTTCCCAGGCCCCGGCATGGTGTGCCAAGGGTACGTCAAGTTCTTCATGGCTGTGACACACTGGGGTGCGTCAACTCATGATCTGGTGTGTCAAACAATTGATGGGGTGCGTCACTTTTCCCCAGTGGGTGCACCGTGCATCACAGTCGTGAAGAATGGGCCAGAAATATTGCCGAATAATGTCAAAACGATACATTTGGTGCCTCACTACTCTGATGTACTGTATGCAGGGATGTATAAGTTCCAAAAAAAAAGATGTCCACTGTTGGACAATGACACACCATTGTTGGACAGGCATGACACAAGTTGCACGCTCATAGCACTGTGATCAATGACGAATTGCACATGTACGGGGTGGCGCGGCGTGCGTGATCCTCAACTGTCGAAACTGATCTGCAACTGTCGGATTCAGTCCTGTACAAAAGCCATGACTTTTTTCACTTTGTGTTGAGTCTGTGTGAACACATTTGGTTTTAACTTGAAGAGGAGGAACTTCACACTGATGGTATGTATCACTAACCTGCAGAATCAACAGAATCCTGAGGTACAAGTCCTGCGGCAAGATACTGCTCCAACTCGTACTCGATGACTGCCCATCTCACCGCAAGCTCTTCGTTGGGCGCCACCGGCAGCCCAGCATCGACCTCTTCGGCAAGTCTCTCCCCTTGCTCCTTGTGGGGTCCCGCATCGTTGTACAGTACTTTGAGCTGACCCAGATATGGAACTTCCGATCCTGCATTGAATGCAGGAGGAAACTGGGGCTTCTTGTTATCATTCGAGGAGGCTCTGTTGTCCTCCCAATCCCAGCTACCATCTTCCTCGACACTAAAGTCGGTGTGAACCTCGCCTTTGTCGATCCTGGTAGTTTCTCCAGCCAATTCAGCCACCTCCCTCGGAATGTTTGCTGTTGCCATTTTTCCTAAAAAGTTGTTTTCAAAATCTTAGCTGATTTATGTGAAAAAATACAAAAGTCACACGCATTTACACTTCTAGCTTAAATTACGTCCCATTCAATGTACATCACGACTAGGCCTGTAACATACATCCCATCTATAGTTGCCAAGTTTAATGATCATCTGCAGGTTCAGTACTTGCATGAGGTTGGAAAGAATATATGTAGTATCAAGACGCCACTTCTTTGGTTGTGTACAATGTTGACGGCATTGACTGCTGTTGCCTGTCATTCAAGTTTGGTCAAGAGCGCACTTTAGACCGACGATTAATGAAATGACAGGCAACAGCCGTCGATACTGTTTGGTATTAATGCACGCTCAGTGGATCAAGCCCGAATATCATGATCACAAGACACCGGATGACACGACCTGTATGTTAAGCAGGACATAGGTCATGACATCCAAGCCCACAGAGTAGGGGTGCTGTTCCTTTTATTAACTACTGTGGCTAGGGGTAGCCAAAATTGAGATTGGGACTAGGCTCATAATGAGGACTATTGGAAAGAATGTTGCAACCTGACGCCACTTTTTTCGGCAACAATGTTGCAACCTGACGCTTTGTCTTCATATATCATCTCAATGAAGGTCAGTCATTTGCAAAAATAAGACATGAATCTGGGACTGAGAAACCTTTCCATTTTTGTTAGGAAATACTTATTTTCTTGACCCTCCATAGACTTTGTACACAATCGCTGAAGTAGCATCAGGTTGCAAAATGCAACTTTCTTTCCTTTTTTCTTTATATTTCATTATCATCTCAATTAAGGTCAGTCATTGCAAAAATATTGAAAAGACATGAATCTGGGACTGAGTGAGAAACATTTCCAATGTTGTTACTGTTAGAAAAACAAGTAGCGCTGAATCAATGACTGTTTCGTGTAGTACATGTATGTGCCACGCGTCGTATGGACTTTTGGCACGGCATCAGGTCAACTCGGACCCAAACCAAGTCGGACCCATGCCAAGTCGGACCCACGCCAAGTCGGACCCACGCCAACTCGGACCCACTACCAACTCGGACCCACTACCAACTCGGACCCACTACCAACTCGGACCCACTACCAACTCGGACCCACGACCAACTCGGACCCACTACCAACTCGGACCCACTACCAACTCGGACCCAAGACCAACTCGGACCCACTACCAACTCGGACCCAAGCACAACCAACTCGGACCCAACAATGACTTAATCATTAGTTTCAGAGATTATATTTATAGGTCATTTTAATGTTACAGTGCTTATATAGTGAAGATATTCTGTAATTATATTGGTCAGAATGGGGCTTTTAGTTTTGTTGTTGATCATACTACGTCGATTTTGCTCTCTTATTACTCATTCACATGAAGAAATGGATATCTATGTGCAATGTTTTCTATGTGCAATGTTTTTTTATACGACATTGTTTAATTTTTCATACTTTTTTATAACTTTTTTTTTATAAGTATATTATGGAACCCGACATGTATTTCCAAGCTCTATCAATTACCCGAAAAAATCTGAATTTGACTTTTTATACTTCATTTATTATGGAACCTTCGTTTTTTTAATAGAACGCTTTTTAATTTTAATTATTTTTGGGTACTTGGAAATGGCACGTTTTGTTAATACTCCTGTCATTTAATAATAATATTTTTCACCCATTTAGGCAGTTAATTTCATTTCATTATATATTTCAATTCACTTACTTTGTTTTTTAGTAAAGCATATTACACATTTTGTTCAGTGAGGAAGTTATTAATTTGAAATAGGCCTTTCATTTCATGTAATTGTTAGTTTTTTTAGTTTTTTTTTTTTTACGAATCTGTTTAACTTTTCATACTTTTTTTATTAACTTTTTTCCCCCATGGAACATCATAGTGGAACATACAGGCAGCTACCTGTAAGGCCTTGAAGGATAATCTTCCCAGAGCTCCAATACTCCTTTTTGATGATTGACATTCTTTTTGTGGGGTATTTAATAAGTTGATCTTTTTTTCGGTTTACATTGAATTTTTTTTTTTTTTTTTACGCATCTGTGTAACTTTTTATACTTTTTTGATTAACCTTTTTTGTTCAATATGGAACCTTCATTTTTCTTGCAGTGTATGCAATGGTGTTTTTGATGTGGGTTTTTTAAAAATAAATGTAGATGTAGAGATTAGAATAGACTTCGTTTTTATACCTTATTTATTTTATTTAATGACATAAGTTTACTTATATTTATTGAATTAATAATATCATGTTTGAAAGTGTTTATGTTTCAATGTCATGCTTTCCAATTTTATTTTTCTATGAAGATCTGTTCTGAATTGATGTGGTTTGAATTAAAAATGAAATAAATTGCTGTTAAATTGAGCAAGATGGCGTGAACGATGTCAAATATGAAAATGAATAATTGGTTAAACTTTAATTTTAATTACTTTTGGTTAAAGCGCAATATGTTTCAATGGAAACAAATAATAAAAATAAATAATTAATTACACTTTTAAAGCGCATTTCAAAATAGCATTTCAATGCGCTTTACAACGACAAACTGCTGCAGTGCAAAACAGATATTTTACCTGATAACTACAATGAAAATTTATACTTAAACAGCATAACTCTATTAACAGATGATAAGTGGACAAACTTTATGAAATTGTCGAATGATTGAAAACGCTGTCGAGTGATTGTAAAGGATGAGTCCAAGTTGGTCATGCATGGGTCCGAGTTGGTAGTGAGTCCGAGTTGGTTGTGGGTCCGAGTTGGTTGTGGGTCCGACATGTCCGAGTTGGTAGTGGGTCCGAGTTGGCGTGGGTCCGAGTTGGTAGAGGGTCCGAGTTGGCATGGGTCCGAGTTGGCTTTGGTCCGACTTGGTTTGGGTCCGAGTTGGATCGAAACCTTTGGCACGGGGCACCTACCATTTCACGAAACACAGTCAATGTCTAACCATCCAGTGCGCCGTGCGTGGGCTATGAATGGCGGGCAACCGGCAACCAACCGCATATTTACACTTGTCCTCTGCTTGTCAAGCAAACGTGCGTGATGATTTTTGTTTTATTCTGATTGACAGGTCCTCTCTTGAGTGCAATGTAAGTCACTCTATAAGGCCCATCACACAAGAAACGACAAAGTAATTAAAATTACTTACCCGCTGGGCGCTCTCCCGGTATCCCCGGCCTGCTAGTTGTTTGTTACGCGTGCACTGTTTGCTTTTTCGCGCTGTTTGTTAATGTTGTGTACGGTGTACATGCGTACGTACGCTGAAGCATGCAATAGACTTGATACACAAAGCCAACCTTCAAATGTTCGAGATTACAGAGAAAATTATTCGGCATGCTTGACCAATTCACATTTTTGGATGAACAAATGAGGATGATACTGTCAGTGATCACAATAAATGAATTTCTTGTGCGCACAGAAATAGTTTGTGATTGTGATACAGAATAAGTTTAAGTCGCTACTGGGATCCGACTTGCATAAAGTTTAGTAATTTGTGTATTTATTGACAGAGAGGGCGCGATACCGCCAGACCCGCGCCAAATCCCTGCATTGAGTGACCCATGCGGCACGCACTAACGCTTGTAGTTGTACCAAAGAGCAAGGAACCGACCGAAACAATACAGGGTGCCCCCCCCCCCCAAAAAAAACCCCACGAAACGTCGTATTTCCGCTTCCCTGAGACTCAAACAGTCAACCTATACCGTACCAATACATGGGTAATTCTATTAAAAGAAAAATGACACCCAGATCGCCCGATTTGGTCCAGCCAATATGGAGGGCTAGGGATGTATACTCACTGGAAGAAGAAGTAGAACTTGTTCCGGACTGAATTTTGCGAAACAACTTAAGCCGGGAAATACTTGTCCCGATGAATGCTCCATGATTATACTAAACCGCGCCCACGAACTGAGAGGGATTGTTATGTAATAATACCCACATGAAAGATGTGTGTTTCACTAAATATATAGGCGCAGCAAAAACTACGAATCGGGAGATCTCAGTCTGATCCTTGGCATGGTATCACTAAAAGTTTCCCCATCCACCGGGTGGTTTGCCATATTTTATGCCGTTACAATGATTGAAAATTAAATAAACAGATGAGATTAAGTGGTGCTTCTCCAAATAGCAAGCTATCAAGTAAGTGGAGACATGCATGATGTGTATAGGCCTAGGAAAATATATCTCATCACTCAGTTCTTTTAGCTTTGAAGTAAACTTCAAGTTGCACATGCAGACAATAATAAGGGATCAACACAGGATCAGCTAGGACAAGACAAAAACAAATCAAGTGCACTGAGTTTGGAGCAGAACCTAGTACGCGGGAATGATCATTGAAAGAGTCTGTACAGTAGCGTATGTTATTATGTGGGGGGGGGGGGGGGGGGGCATCCGCATATCCGCACCGACATGGGTTTTTTTTCCTCCGGACACTTGGCCTCCGTAAAATCAAAAGCCCGGCGGGGAAGGGGGGGGGGGGGGGGGCTGGAACCCATCTTCCAAATGGAGCGCTCTTCAAACTGACCAAGTGTGCCGTCACTACACGGACAAAATAATGAGTCAAAATAATGACCCACTTTGGGTTTTCTGGGTATATACATTGTTTTGGGGCAATTCAAGATTTGAAAGGGGGGTGCGTATAATTACGTCACTGGATAGCGAGTTTTTGGAACCAAAGCGCACCACCACAACCGCCCGTCAGCAAAACTGACAAAAACAGACTATATAGTTTACCTGGGCTTGGTGTTATGAGTTGAGTGGGCCAGCTGTCTCATAAAACGTCGATGCACATCCAGTCAGGAAGCGGCCGGTCATGCTCTCCCAAGTAACGTCGCAAAAAAGGCAACCACTCGAGTACACAACAAAAAGTAATATACATTTGCACCCCTCCCCTTGATGCTTGTCGAAAATTAACTTACCGAAAATTTGAGGTACTGAAAAACATTGCCCTGGCAAGGCACTAGTCAGAGGAGGCTCTCCACCTTATAATGAGACATGCCGCCGACTTATTTTTCCTTCCTCCATGATGATATGGTTGGTCTAACTAAAAAAAAGTCGAAATCATGCAAAAAAAGACCTAACAAAAACGACTTTTCCAAACTGTATCATAGTTGCACTAAAAATCAGTGTTGTACTCAGTAACGCCACAACCTCGTTGTGCTCGTTTCATCCCTATATACATATAATTTGTTTTTAGTTTGTTTTTATAACATCAATATATATTTTTTTATAATGATTCTTTTTGATCATATTTGTGTATATATATATATATATATATATATATATATTAATAATTGTATAATATTTTGTAACCAGTCCTGTAATTGGCGGTTTGTTCTGCTGTTGGATGTGGATAATAAATAAATAAATAAATAAATAAATAAATAAATAAATAAATAAATAAATAAATAAATAAATAAATAAATAAATAAATAAACCTCCGAGGCGGCCAAGGCCGGGCCTTGCACTCCGAGTCCGAGGCCAAGGCCGAGGTCGAAGCCATGAAAGTCGGCCTCGAGGCGGAGGCCGGCCTCCAAGCCGAGGCTGGCAGAGTCGAGACCTCCAACACTGCCAAAAAAAAAAAAATAAAAATCAGTCCGTTTCCGCGGCAAGTTTTGTTTCTCAGTAGTGAAGCTAGCAAGCAAAGACGTCAATCATTTCTCAAAGGTGTGTGTGTGGGGGGGGGGGGGGGGGGGGGGGGATACCGTGATCAGAAGTGATGCGAGCGCGAAGCGCGAATCCCTAAAGGCGTGGGGCCCGCTTAAAAACTTTGAATCCTAGATGCACTGTGGCATGGTGCGAATTAAGGCAATATCTGACCACTTTAACCAATTTTTTTTGCACTAAAGATCATCCGTTTGAACATCGTTTTCGATTTAAGTTGGAGTCAAGTTGAATCAGCTATTCTGAGCTATAAAATCATACAGGCCACCATTTTTATTCGGGGACGAAAAAAGTGTGGGGACAAACGATATGATATCTGTATCTGTAGCGTACTGCAAGCAAACTCCACTATGGGATATACGATTGCAGGCGCGTGGTGGCGCGTGGTGATACCACCCACTTTAAAAAGTGGGGGTCGGGACTTGGTCCCCCCCCCCCGTCCAAGTGACGCCCAAGACTGTACTAATATACCCCATGGCCTGCACCTGTGGGCCCACCGTACGCACCGCGCCGGCACCCAGACTGAATGAATCCAAAGCTGGAACGAAACCGATTTCTAAAAACATCGTCTCAGGAAAGGTTATTCACTGGTTCCCGAACTTAAATGATGCACAAATGAACGTGAAAACTGATGTAGCTGGTATCTGGCTTAATGAGAGATTGATGGGTAAACATGGCGTCAAACTCGAAAAGACTGTGATGCACTTCGTAAAGGACAGAGAGCGGTAAATTGTTGTCTTTTGTTTGAGCTCTTTCTCAATTGTAGTAACTTGTGAGTGACAGAAAATAATTAGTTTGAATTGCAGTTGATGAAATTGTGTAAACCGGACCGATTTCATTGTCTGCAGCTTTGTAGAATATTATGTTTTTTGTCATGTTTTGTTGAATTATGAAAATTGATGAAGAATAGGGGATATATTGCCGGCGGCAATCCCTATCAACAGAGGGCGCTGTACTCTCTAAGATAGGGCTGAATTATAAGATATATTTAACTACCACCAACGGTTGTGTAGCACCTGTGCTGTGGCCTAGTGCATAAGCAACGGATCTAATAAGCGGGAGGATGCAGGCTCGATCCCCGCTGGCGAAATTTTTAAGGCAATTTGCTTACGAGTCATCCGACTCGTAAGCAAACTTTAGTGCCTCAATTTGGAGCAACTATAGAATGCAGGGCCACGCCGAAGCAAGGTTTTTTATTTTGCCTGGAGGCGTGGATGGAATAGGAGTAATAGATATGCAAACCTGCAAAAAAGTGCTAAGTACAGCGAAGGAATGCACTGCACTTGTCTTCTAAGCTTCTCATGAAGGATTGGAAGGGAGGGCGTGCTTGTAAATGTGTTGGGGGCACTGTCTGGAGTGGCGGAGGCGCGGAGTCGAGTCTTGGAGTCGCAGAATCGCGCAGACGCGGGGCACTGGAGTGGCGGAGGCGCGGAGTCGCAGAGACTCGCGCGCCGATAGAGGGCGCAATTCTCGGCGGAATTTTTTTGAGAACGAAGCATCCATATCCATTTTAAATGGGCGCGCAAATTAGGAAGGGAGGAGGGCGACGGGGCATTGTCTGGAGCGGCGGAGGCGCGGAGTCTTGGAGTCGCAGAATCGCTTTAAATGGGCGCGCAAATTAGGAAGGGAGGAGGGCGACGGGGCACTGTCTGGAGTGGCGGAGGCGCGGAGTCGGGGAGTCGCAGAATCGCGGAGACGCGGGGCACTGGAGTGGCGGAGGCGCGGAGTCGCGGAGTCGCAGAGATGCGCACCGATAGAGGGCGCAATTCTCTGCGGCTCCACGACTCCACGATCGATTTTCGGAGGTAGGTCGACTGCGGTTCCACGTCTCCACGCAGCCGTACGGAGGCGCGGATGTAGAGTAAAGTGGCCCTGCATTCTATAGTTGTACCCTCAATTTTAATCATCGATCTCTCCTTGTATCTCAGGTGGCGTATCTAGTAATTTGGAGGCTGTTTTGAGGTAAATCTGATGTTTTAGTTGGCCAATGTCGTTTTTTTTTTGGGTCAACGGCAGTCGGCAGAATAGTGTCGCGCGACGTTTTCTCATGGTTTCTGGAGAATCGCCACCAAAATCATCGAAAAATTTCATATTTTAGTCTTTGTTGTTCTGTTTGAAGTCGATTTCTAGCTTCATGAATGTCTGTTGCATCGTATGAGGTATGAATTATGGAATCTGGGTCGGGATAATATAGGAAAAATGAACCGTTTTTGTAAGGCAGTGAATATTTTGCCGGAGACGGCAAACCTTTAGTAAATGTTAGTTTGCCGGATATGCAATGAACATGCGCAGTTACTGTTTTTTTGTACTTAGACATTTCCCGGTGACAAATTTTAGTCTGGCTCCATGCCAACATTATCGTTGTTACTTCGTATTCACAAGATGGGAATCAGATCATTTTATAATTTCGGACTTTATTTCCCTTTTAAAAAAAATCCTCCAGAGCCACAAATCTGAAAAAGAAAATGTAATACTCTGCAAAAAATGTTTGAGACATGTTAAAATAATAAAAGAAGGATATTCTTATTTATTTGGGGATGAGAAAAAAAACCTTAAATATGTGGTGCGGTCGGAATCGAACGCGAGTCATCCCGCCTACTAGAGCCTAAGTTGCTTAATCACTACACCAAACGTGCTATACAACTTTTGGTGGGAATTTAATACATCTTATAATTCAGCCCTATTTTAAAGAGTACAGCGCCCTCTGTTGATATGGATTGCCGCCGGCAAACCTTTAGTAATCGTTAGTTTGCCGTCATTACCTCCGGCAAAATATCCACTATCTTTTTGTAATGCACTGGGGATACACAGTCCGGGATTTCGGGATTCTTACGACCCGGTAGTTATAACGTAGTTGTGACTCCAGCTCTAATGCTATAGGCATTAAAGCTGGAGTTACTCAAGCTAGCTCTTGAGGATTTTTTTTAAAGGGGAAATAAAGTCCGAAATTGTAAAATGATCTGATTCCCATCTTGTGAATACGAAGTAACAATGATAATGTTGGCATGGAGCCAGACTAAAATTTGTCACCGGAAAATGTCTAAGTAAAAAAAAACAGTAACTGCGCATGTTCAGTGCATGTCTGGCAAGCTAACATTTACTAAAGGTTTGCCATCTCCGGCTAAATATCCACTGCCTTGAATTATCGTCATCATGATTTTTTTTTTGCATTGGTTGTCGGTCACTTCGCCATATTTCCATTTTGCCCCATTGCCACATCGCCTCACTGCCACTTGACCCCGTTGCCACTTTGCCCCGTTGCCACTTTGACCAGTTGCCACTTCGCCCCATCGCCACTTTGACTGACCTTCATTGAAATGATGTATGAAGAAAAAAGTGGCGTCAGGTTGCATTATTATTTTTCCAAAGCCACTTTTATTTCATTTGGGAAAGGATTCCATACATGATGGACATCACTAATTTTTCCCTGCAGTGACCTATCACTGTATGTAAATAAAAAAATAAAAAAAATGTTTAGCGTCCTGCCTTTTTGAAAAAAAAGGAAGGAGGAGGCCCTTTTTTTTTTCCTTCCAAAATGGCTGACCGACCGGGCTATTTTTCAAGATGGCTGCCAGCTTTTTTTTTTTAAATGGCCGCCACTTGGACTCAGGAATGACATACCATGGGCCAGATGCAACAAACAAAGAGGCCAAAATGATGTCACTGTTTAAAATTGATCATTTTTCGTTTCAAAAAAAAGAAAAAGAAGGAGGGGCCTCCAAAAAGGAAGCGGGCGCCAGGCGGGGACGCTAGACATTTTAAAAATTTTATTTGGCCTAATCATCGTTTCGCCTGGCTTTTGGGAATGTCATTTACAGTTGATATAGGCCTAATGAAGAAAAAATGGTTTGATATGCACATCAGTGGAGGACATTCTTACCTTTTTTATATTTCATTAATTACTAGTACTAGTACTAGTAATTAATTAAATATAAAAATGGTAAATAAGACCTTCCTCATCCCTGTAAATTCCAAAACCACATGGTAAACTGTAGACAGAACCTGTTGGACTCTGATTATTGGTGGTATGTGTAACCCCATGTAAAGCATATAAGGCCAAAAAAAATAATACTTCTGCTTCCGGTTACCTGACCGACCCTATTTTTAGGCTGCGACCCTAAACATTCTATCGGCAATTCCAAAAAAGAAAGAAAAAAGATTGAATAAATAAAAATAAAAGCTTGTTGTCTTTTCTGTCTTCACAAAATACATCTCAACAACCAATTTGCATCAAAAAATGCTTGTATTCATTTGTTTTCTTATTACATTCCCTATTTTTTTCAAAAGAAACCAAGTTCGCTTCGCGATCTGTCATCATACCTCACAATTCGATGTCACGGTGACTATAATCACGTGCGTAAACCTTGCTCAATGCAGTGATGACTGGTTCCCACCGCGCCGCGCAGGGGCCAATTTAGAAAACATGATGAAAATGCGGTAACCAGTCTGTCATGGCTATGCGATCGCTAGCGCCAGCATGGCTATGCATTAGGCACGTGCACTGTCAGTGTCAACTGGTCGGATTCGACATCGTAAAAATGCCAAGAAAACACCGATGGAGAAAGAACATTTTTGCAAGTTAATTCACAAAATTGATCTATCTTGTCTGTGTATGTATTTTCCGTGTTCAAGAGTTCATTTTGAGATCGCACTACTCGTATTTGGAGTGATACATGCAGCGTGTTTCCTGAAATTTTCGACCGTAAAACGAGGTCTGTCGGCCACGGGCCACACATGCACAGTGCATCACACGCTACAGAGTTTTGGCCAGCTTCCCGTCTTGACTAGCGTTGTGCATATGATGCGAACGGCCTGAATTTTCCATTCTTTTTTAAGAATTATCAAACGTAAATATGTTGACAATAATTAAGGTACGTTTTATTCACTTTTTGTGGCCATTTTGTGTATAGCTTTCGTACTGCAATGGAAATAGTTCAGGCTAAAACTTCGCATATAATTGAATACGCCATTCAATCTGCATAAAAAAAATTGGCAAAAAAAAAAATCTCGACCAACCGACCCTATTTTTGAAAGGCATGTAATCGGAAGCAGAACTATTTTTTTTCCCCGGCCTAATCAGTTGACCAGTGCAGTACTCACTCGAACAGATTCCAACAAACCTGGTGTTGGAGTTTGACTGGATGGAGATTGTTAGGGTTATGTAGGTATTATCTCAGCTGATATTTTGAAAATCATCTAATATTTGTCATGGACTACTTTTTCTGAAGTTGGGTTTCTCTGCTCTGTCTCTGTTGCAGTTCACCAGAAAACAATTGATCAGTCACATCGTCTTTCTGGAAACTTGGCCAAAATAAGGAAGGATCGGAAGGTAGGTTATTTATTTGTACATACATTTTGTTTGTTTTCAATCTGTTTTGTTACATGTATTTGGGTGTTTCTTTCAAGTAGGGGGCCAACCGTGACATGAGAGTCAAAATTTCAAAACGATCTTTATTCAAAATTTGTAGATAGGCCTATGTAGTTGATAATGCACACATTAAGTGTTGTTTTTCATTTGAGTCAGTGACTACTATTTATTGTAGCAACTCATTTACTGTATAGTGGTGCGTTCTGTAGGTTACTTTTTACTTGATAGGATTTACTGTATTTCCTCGTTTTTTACTTCTCATGAATGCCATGACAAATTGAAAAATGCTGTAAAAGTCTTGAGTGGTTTGGAGTTTCCTCGCTTTTTTCCTGAATTCCCAGTTGCATGCCTGCATACTATAACTGTTGGCAGCTACGTTTTGGATACCTACCATGTATTTTTAACACAGGCTTATTTTTCTAAACAGGGTAAGCCTTAAGGATTTTTTTTTGTATAGCAAAACTGCTATGCAAATTTTGATTTGCATAGAAGTTTACCAATTTTGCATAGCAGTTTTGTTATATACTCAAATTTAGCCTCGGCTTTGCAATTACTATTTACCTGTCAGTGTCAGACTGTACAAACTACAAAGCAATAAAGAAGTAACTTACGTTAAGCTGTGAACTTAATGACTCATCAGTTGTCTGTTTATTTCAGGAGCTGCATGCTTGCTGGAATAACTTTCGAGTGAAAAAGCAAGTTATTAACCCGGGCCATTCCTGGCCCGGGTCTAGATCCGCCTGCCAATTATTGGTAGTATTTGCCTTGATACCGGTAGTTTTCGTCATGTTTTCATCAATATGCTACACAGCGCACAAACAACAACACAGCTGGGATTTTGACGTTTTAGTTCCCACGAATCCCACGTGCGTATCAAGTGATTTACTTGAAGGGGTAAACCCGTTTTCCGTGTCGGCAAAATGTTTAAGATAAACCGACAAATATCTAAAGAATAGTGATGAGAAAAGGGCTCCATTTACCTGGGTGCACGCATGCACCAGTGCATGTAGATTTTTGCTTGTGCACGTAGCTTTTTTACTGAGCATGCACGACGTGCATGTAACTGTTTTAGCCACCAAAATACTCATTTCATGCATATATTTACCAGTGAGTGAGAATAAGAATAAAGTTTGTTGAATACTTGACCAGATAGTGTACAAACGTGTTATTTCTTTTATAAATCCATAAATTATTCCTCGCACAGTCGCAGCAGATTCAAAGTACATGTACGAGGTAAAATCTCGACGTACGTCGCGTCCTAGCCCTGCAACCTCCTCTGATCATGCACGTGATTTACCACGTGATACATGCTGCGGATAATTTGGTATCGCACTGACGCCCCAGGCATTCCTTATGTCCGGATCATAAGTGCGATTCCAAATTATTAGCTGCGTTTATCACGTGGTCTCATTATTGGCCAATCAGACGCCGCCTGTTTACAAACTAAACACGTACAGATTTTATACAGCTGAACAAAATTGACGTTCTTTTTCAGTATTTAAGCTTAACTAAATCAAAACATGATGGATGTTACCAATACCATGTCCGATAGTTGTGGAATTCAGTGGACCGAAATTTGGTGGCAAGTACACTTTGTGTCAACTTTTCATGATCAAAATGTTGTATAGCAGTTTTGCAATGCACTTTAAAAATTGCGTCGCAGTTGGCCTCGAATGTGTCGCAAATTGCGATGCGATACCGCTTATTGCGGACACTGTTTCTAAATGTAGTTTCAGTTGCACAACTGGACAGTTGGTTTTTAACAAAATTTGTAAAATCTGACAATTTTGGTTTCTCCTTCCCTAACTTTGGCTCGTCAATATTGAAACAACCATGCTGCTAAAACACCAAATACAATGTATGTATACAGGTAACTTCTGTTGTGTATCTTTCACAGGGGCAAAAGTACTGAAATGTAGTCACATGAAATAATCAGTTTCACAACTCACAACCATTAAAGTTGGAAAAGACATTGCACTGACTTATTAAACAACAGTTGTTGGAGTTTTATTGTTTGCTCAAAAAAATGTAGGTAAAATACTAGCGTTCAAGGTTTACAATGGATGGTATACATACAGGGTGATTAAAAAAAAGCGGAACCCAAACCCCCAAAAATATATTTCATATTTAAAAAAAATGTGTAGCACCAAACGTAATAATAACTGGAAAGCCAATTTCATAAGCTACTTTTAGAGTGGAAAAACTACTGAAATTGCTCAATCCGTTCAGAAGATATTAACATTTAAACGCAATAACCCTAAAACCTGTTTCGTCAAAAAAAAAGCTGTTTATTGTGTATTCTGATTGTTTGGAACAACAAAGAAAATGACACAGAATACTTGTTTCAACAACTGCCAACAACCGTAGCGCACAATATCTTTATTAACAACCCTGGTTAGGCAAACTATGATTTATAAAATCCCCTTTTTTTTAAAAGACGGGCCTTCAAAAGGACCTTGTTGAATATTTGTAACTTTTAAACTAAGTTTCATCGCTGGTGATGTTTGAAGACAATTGTGGCGACGATTCTTGAAATCGCATTTTGGACGAAAGAGGTTTTAGGGTCATTGTGTTGAAATGGTGATATTCTTTGAACAGATTGAAAAATTTCAGGAGTTTTTTCTATCTAAAAGTTGCTCATGCAATTGGGTTTCCAGTCATTATTATGTTTGGTGCTACATCATTTTTTGTTAAATATGAAATATAATTTTAGGGGTTTGGGTCTCGCTTTTTTTTTTATCACCCTGTAGCATACATGTACACGTACAGATTTCAAATGAAACGCAGATCTGAAGACATGCATAACAACAGGTGTCTACAGATGAATCTATGACAATGCATGAGCAAAGCAGTGATGTCTTTCCCAACGTGCCCAGCGCAATCCCGATCACAAACAAGTGCGTTATACGCAAAGAGACTCTTTCAAGATCGAGTGCGACCATACGATTTGACCTTGTTGATATGTATGTGGCCTATTTTCGAGTAGTATAATTGGGGTGTAAGTGGCGCCACCAACGTCAAAATAGTCCACTTCTCCCCCCCCCCCCCCAAAAAAAATTGTGAGCCCCCCCCCCCCCAGCCAAATCCTGGGTGCGCCACTGGACCTTACCACGCACATGAATATCGATCATGATAGACTGGTTCCTGCTTGTAAAAACACCCCAAGAAACAAGTGTATCCCAAATGGCAGTGAAGAGATTGGAGCCGGAGTATACATGAACTGGTTCCCGCCCGTATGAATTCCAACTGATCATCAAGGGATTTGGGCAGAAACCATTGTGTATGTTATCACTATGCATTAGAGTAACAACGACTTTGCCAAACTTGATTTGGAAAGACGATGTCCATGGATGATCAATATTATTACGAACTTGTTCTACGAGACCACGTCAGCGCTGTGCTTGTTCGGAATGACCTTCTGCTTCGCCATTGATTGATGGTCCTTCACACAAGGTGGAGAACATTATACCTTCTGCTGTTTAAACAGTCACAGACAGACAAAAATTCCATTCCTTTTCCCCTTCCATGTGTTTTACACAGGTTAATCACAAACAGTCATCAGATTTCAAGCAAGCACTCTGACTAGTCAAATTCAGACAACAGACAAAAGCAGGAAACTGGTGGCACAGCTGTCATATCAATCACATACAGTCAAAGCACAGCTGTATCAAGTTACATAAATAGTCACAGCCAGTAATCCCGCTTTATGTAGGCTGGGAGCTCTTAACTGTTCAAAACAGTCACTTGATTGATTTTGACTGAAAAGACAACTTGGCACAGAACATGTATGTTTGCATAGGAGAGTTAAATGATGAAATCAGGCCTTGCACCTTTAAAGGTATTATTTACATTTTAAGGGAGAAAAATTAGGATTAACACCATCAATTGGGACTTAAATACACCTTTAGATGGTTCAGGAAGCCTACACCAGCAAAGTTGAGAACATATAATTACTGTAAACAGATCAAGGAATGATAAAAAATCAAAAGTGAGTGTGCTGACTGAACAATTAATTGAGTTTCTAAAGAAATTACAATTCAAACTTCAAAGAAAAACATTTAGGCTCAGATCTTGATTTTCATTAAATCAATGATTTTAGGTAATTTTGCAAATCCTACACGTAAGTTGAGTTGATGCTGATGAAGTAGAGATGTTTACATGCGTGTGTTAACTACACCTTACATGCACTTTGTAATTATTAAAGTGGAATCAGTTGATTTCTTCAGTATTTATGTACCCTTGTACCAATGAGGTTGATTGCGTTAGACAAAATCAAGGGATTTTTTTTTTTTTAAATCGCTGATTCAGTGTAACTTTTTTAGAGGTATTTATCAATGCCTATTGGGATTTTTTTTGGGAAATTTCCAAATACTGAATTGAGTTTTGTGGATGATTGGTATCATCCTTATTGATGGGTGTAAGAGTGCATGAGAAGATTCAGACACACTTGAGACAAATCATTTTTTTGAAAGTTAAAAATAATATAACAAATCTGATTTAAACAAACAAATCTGATTCAAATCAAATAAATTTGATTTAAACAAAAAATAGTAAAAAACAAAAACTCGCCAACCATGATCTTTGGAATTGTTGGCATTGTGGATAAATCGATAAAATATTTTTGTTTCATTAATGGAAATGTAAAGTTACCAGTTGGTAATTAGGCCTAACCGATGCACATGTGTAAAATGTTGGCTTTAAAATACCCACATTCAGCAGAAACTGTCATTCATCAAAGTGCAATGTATGTATGTGAGAACATGGAGTGCCTTTGTAATTTGAGTTGCTGGTTTTTTCTTCAGTATGAAAAAATACTCAACCATGTTTAAGTAACGGGGGAGTGTGGCCAAGTGGTTAGGCTTCGTGACTCATGATCAGAGGGTCAGGGATTCAAATCCAGCTAACGGTCCTATATTGCATTCTTGGGCAAACCGCTTCACACCCACTTGCCTCTCTCCATTCAGGAGTATAAATGGGTATCGGCATTAGCTGGGGAGTAACTTGCGATGGACTAGCATCCCATCCATGCCATCCAGGGGGAATAGAAATATCCTCAGTCGTTTCATGGTACAGAAATTGGAGATCAACGCTGGCCTGATTGGTCACATTGGCTCGTGGAAGACTTTACTTTACTTACTATATTTAAGTAATTATTTCTTGTACACTTTTGTTTTCTCCACAGATTGTTTAAGATACCGAATATGTAGTTGTATCTTGATGTCTTGCGAGTTGGAGCACCGTTGTCAACCTTGGATCAGCATTGTCAGCGTTTCTGGAGCATGCTGACGTATCAGGTTAATCCAATTAACAGTTGACGTTTCACAGCTACATCTTTCACTGGGAATGGATGACCATAGCCCAGAGGATATCACATGCGGTGATGACAGTTCAGTAGGAGGGCCTATACGTCACCATAGTAAAGTCAATCACCCTTCCCCAATGGATGGTGCGGGTGATGATGATGGCCACACTGTGGGTAATACCAGTGACCATCCTGTGATATCAGTGGACAATAATGGGGAACCAGAGCTGGACCAAGCCAAAGAATCAACTCAACTACCCCACAGGGAGGAGCCAGAACATCTCTTGCCAGACAGCATCATGCCCACCCACATAACCCGCTGTGACAGTGCCTGTGTGCAAAACAATGCAACCCACGAGAGACAGAAATCCGGCGAAATTGCCCAGGAAAAGCAACACCCATGCTCAACCAGTGAAAACTCATTCGCTAAGGTCCCTGATCACGCTGGACTGAATGTCTCGCCATGTGGGGACTGCTGCAAAGAGGATGGAAAAGGAAAGGATTCAATAACTGCAGGAGACCGTCCTGGGGACCAAAAATACAGTGTGGAGCATTTACTGCAGCCGTCTCCAAACAACAGTGGACAGAGTAAAGGACTCCACTGTGAAGACTCAGAGAATCATCCAGGGTGTGGGTCAAAAACGAAACATCCTGTTGCTTTGGAGAAGCATAACTTCTGTCGAACCAAGGGATACCGTTTTGCCTTACTGTCAAAATCCCAGGCATCAGGTGCTGATGTAAGGGAGAGAAATGCACAGTTCACAGCAGAGGGCTCCGAATCAGAAATGATACCATGTTCCACTGTTAATACCTCCCCAGACCAGTATCAGATAGATGTTGTCTCACATACGCCTGTAGGTGCTGAGACTGTTCCAAGCAGCGTCAATGCTTCAACTCAAGAAAACACAATATGCAGCTCTGGACATGCATCCCCAGCAGTTGAAAATGCAACCCAAGGCAAAGGCCTCACTTACCAAGCTGGAGAAGCTGAAGAATTGGAGAATGATTCCTATATACACACGGACGATAGTTCCAGAGACCGAGAGATGAAAGCAGAGTATGAAGGTGGGAACTCACAGGATCCCACTTCATCACTGTGTGAAAAAGATCTCAGTGAAACAGAAGCTGTGAATCAACTGAGGCCTGGGGTGAAAATTAAAGTGAGAAATTCCCCAAGAGAAGAAATAAGCTCACTGTGTGATTCAGCCTCAGATTTTGTTGGTGCAGCTGTGAAGCAGGAGCCAATTGACACAAGGACCATCATCAGTCCAGGGACTAGGCGTATCAGTCCTGGAAGGCTCAGCACCAGCCCAGGGTCAAAACGTTTGCGGCCACGGAACTCTCCAAAACAGTTCACAGGGAAGCCTGTTAATTTTGTGAGCATGGAGGGGAAGCGGCTGGAGACCCTGCTTCGGCCGAAAGCCAAGAGAAAGAGAGTCTCAAGCATAGGGACAAAAGAGCCAACCCCCTCTCCCCAACAGGAGCAGCCCAGTCCAACAGCTCCACTTGAAGAATCTAATGGAAGCGAGAGCCCTCAGGCCAACAATGACAGTGACAGCTCAAAATCAAGGAAGGGCAAAAAAAGTGGCCAGCCAGTCCTAGTTTTCCACCAGGTCATTCCACCAAGACCTAGGGCACCCTTGCGGGAAGAGACGCCACCCGAAAGTTCCAGTGGGTTGATCAGTTCCATGTTAAGAAATATTGCTGAGCAAATCCAAGAACCCAACACCGGGGACCAAACAACTACACAACAGAACACTGACGCAGACAATAGGGACTTGCAGCATCAAGCCCCTCTTCAGCAAGTGCCTCCTAATACTCACAGACCTCAAATCAGTGCACCTGTGCAGCCAGGCTTCCGCCGCCGGCCGCAATTAAGGTTCAGTGACTACAGCAACTGGTTCACAAGTCAAAACTATCTATCCAGACAGGGCCCTAATAAGCAGCCAGAAGAATCTGGCTTTCTGGCATGGAAGCGGGCGAAAAGAACAGATGAAGCACTCTCTGATCAGCAGAGACAGCCCTCCTGGACAAACTGGCCAACTAATGCTGAAGATAGAATCAGTGCCAGCCACGGAATTCATCCAATTGGAGCAGCCCTCAGCCAGGTTGGTGGAAGTTCAGTGCGAGAACTTTTGCAGCGGACCAATGAGCCGGGGCCCTCGGGGGCTGGAATGAGCAGGCTTGCAGAGGCTCTCAGGCCAGGTGGAAATAGAGTTGGCAGTGGGGTTGGTGTGGTTCCGACCGCAACTGTAGCTGGTGTTGTGGGCTCATCCAACTTCTCGTTCAGTCACGGCCAGCAAGATATACTGCGTCAGTATCTGACATCCCATGTTGAGCTGCCAACATCCACTTGCCAAAGTATCACCAGTTCAACCATCCCGACTTCTGTGATGGATACCCAGCCTGTCATGACCACCCAGGCACACGTGGAGGACTGTCCTCCGCCCCGTCAGGTCCGATCCTTCCGCTGGCCTCAATCAAGCCACTTCCATCAGCCTGACCATCCAAATCCCACCAGGAAGCGTGTCAGACTCGTCTCGGATGAGAGTCGCCACAGCCCACCAACCACCCTCAATGATGACGTCAGCTCTAATCATTCGACAGAATCCAGCAGCTCACACCGGACAGTGCCCTCAATCAACCGGGATCAGCAGACAGCCCCTATGGCCGAGCCGCCTGACATCAAACCGGATATTAAAACACTTGCAGGGTACAAGCAACCTGGTGCAAGCAGTACCAATCCCAGGCAGTCTGACTCCAGCTCCAGCAAGTCAAACTTTAACACAGACTCTTTAATCCGTCACTTATTGGTGCAGGGAACCTCCTCCGCTAACAGCATTCCTTGGGAGCAGAGAATGCAAGCTTCCGCGTCTACCTGTAGTGATGACCATCAGATACACGTACCTACCATGGCGCATGACGTGCCTGCCGCAGATCCCACACTGCAGCCAGGCAGCAGCTCAGGGACAGAGGAGGAGACAAAGTCCGGGGTCCCTGTCAAACGGGACTCCTACACTCGCTTGGATCTAGACACCGGCCAGACGCAGACCACCAGCTACACCTGCGAGCACTGTGATGTCATCTTCAGTGACAGCGTCATGTACATCTTGCACATGGGTTGCCACGGCCGACGGAGTGCGTTTGAGTGTAACCAGTGTGGCGCGGTGTTCCGGGACAAGTACGAGTTCACAATACACTTCATTCAAGGGGAGCATAGCCCAAAGTAATGTAATTTTTTTATATAAAATTGATGTACATGTATTTTGAGCCATGTTGAAAACTGGATAACGAGTACAGAATCAAGTTTGAGTAAACTGAAATATAAAGACTTTTTTAATAGTGGTAGTTTTGCTTCGAGATGTGCGCGTAAATTCAGTGTTTGTTTTTGCCCTTAACAATAGTCTCTCAGATAGCACTGAGCTCTTATGAAATTATGTCGGTGGAAGGCAACACCGGATATTGAATTAAAAAAACATGAACAGGGCAAGTAAAAAAGAAAGCGACCTGGATTAGCCCTGACAATTCCCATGCAGTCAACTACAACACCAGGGTTTGCCGAGTGTGAGTACTGCACTAGTAAAACTGATTATGCTTTACATGGGGTTAGTTGTACCACCATAATTGTCCAATAGTTTGTGTGTACAGTTTACCACATGGTGTTGAAATTTGCAGGGGTGAGGATGGTTCGTAGTAATTACTCAAGGGGGTTCGTGTTAATGACTTGTTTCCTCTGAAAAAGCATTTAATTTTTCATATACAACTGAAGCGTGTATTAAATGAGCATGTTCTTCCACTCATTTTATAAAGGAGAAAAAAACCCCCAAGGTTCAGTCAGGCATTCTAGAGTTGCGCCGAACCAAGTTGAAGTCAAGATTTGAATTGAGTACATGAAAAGTTCGACATCTGAAACAATTAGGAGCGACTAGACGTGCCAGATGGCGAAAGATCGACAGTTGAAGCCGTTCAGAACGACTCTAGAGCATCTTGATTTTAGACGTCGCACTAGTTGTAAGCCAAACTCAATGCAAATTCATGTAAATAAGTAGCCACCTTACGACAAACCACACAAGTACCCATAAATTAGGACTGTAGGCGATGTCTTTAAGGCACAACACAGCGCATACAATTTAAATTGTTTCTTTTTGCAGGATCTATCCTGTCAAACAGAAAATGTTGACGTCGTGTCAAGGAGCAAAAGCTTAAATGTACATACCTCTGTTCCTATATAACACAAGATAATTTGTTTAAGTGAAAAACCGAGACTTCCAGTATCCATATGGTACAGGCATCGTGCAGTCTTAAAAAACATGTTTGTACATGACGTGACTTGCAAGAGATAACGCGTGAGCGCACCTGGCTTGCTAGCTGTATGGCTAGCTGTCCTTAATACGTGCGCAGTACGCTCTGAATAGTCAATCAGCGTCGTTTTCTACCCGGCCAGGCGTTTAGTGAAGGAATGCTTACGCAGCCCATGCATGCAACTTAACTACGCGCAATGCCGGCTTTTTGCTTAGATCTAGTGTTCGTTTGTTTGTACACTATCCTCCAAAATGTATTAAGTTTGCCTGACTGAAACCAATCTATTTGGTCTGCGCAACTTTGGAATGCATGTCTGAACCGGGGGTTACATGTAATGAAATTGATCCATGCTTTCAAAAGTCATGCATGAACCCACTTTTACTGCTGTCCACGGAATGCTAAACACTTAAAGCTATTTAGCTAAGTGAGAATACAGGCATTACAAATTTTGTACACTTTAATACAAACTTGATCACGTGTTGGAAATCGCCAGTAACAAAAATTGTCTACTTGTACCACTGAACCGAAAGTGACTTACTTTTTTGGGGTGTTTTTTCTAAAGGTCCAACAAATGTTTCTACAGCAAAGTTTTGCTCTTAAACGGAGTGAATGTTCTACGCAGATTGAATTTTTTTATATATTGATTTATATAGTTTGCATACATTTTGATAACTTTTACAGTATGTAAATATTACTTTATAATAATTATATGTTTGTACGTACATGTAGCAGTTGCTGTCAAAATTGTATACATTTTTGAATGGGAGGTTTGCGGTAATGCCATGTGAATGATTTTTTTTGGGTGAGTTGTGTGTTTATGAGAGGAAGCAGTTGGTTTAACTTGACGTTTCGAACAGTATGCTCCATTCGTCGTCAGGAGACTGCTGGACTCTTGTTGGTGTAATACTTTAAGTAGTGGATGCTGAGTTCAGTTGACCATTAAGGCTGGAGATACTGGAACAGGATGCTAAGATGCCGGGTAGGATGCTAAAGTGAGCTGTGCGTGCTCACTGAAGCATGTCAGAAGGATAGTGCTACAAGCTCAGCTACAGGCAGAGTTGTAGTCGAGTACTTTCCGAGTACCAGGTTTACTTCCAGATATTAAGATGGTTTTGGTATGGATAAGCTGCATAATACAGACATTGGACAGTAAATTCTTACCAAAAGACTTTGGACAATCAGAATCTTGTAAAAACTAAGCTTTTGAGACGAAAGCATTCGAAAAGTACTCGCCGAGTACTTTCCGAGTACTTTTCGAGTGCTTCCGTCTCAAAATTTGAATTGAAAATGTATTTTTGATATATCTGAAGTCTCAGGTTTATTTGTTTTCAAACGCTAGCAACATTTGCTATCTACTGTCAATGTTTCTCTCGCGTTGTTCACAAGAAATAGCTCAATATTTAGTAGCAAACAAAGTACTCGGAAAGTACTCAACTACATGAACATCAAGCAGAGTGCCATGGGTAGAGGGGACTCATAGGCAAAATGTCCAGTTAAAGGGACACTGCATCCTGGACTGAGCCCAATTGGGCTACAAAACGTGCTTTGAATGAAATGCTATTAATCGGAAAGAACTTTTAAAAGTAGGATGTAAACATCAACACAACTAGCATTTAAAAACAGGGCGGTTTTGTGTTATTCTTGTGTTATGCGTGCGAGAACGACTTTCTGGGTCCACTCTTGGCGAGCCCAAAAAGTTGGGCTGTTCATGCTAGTTGTGATTCCAGCCATAAAGTGTTCGCCTTTTGCGGACGTGTAAGAAACCACATTTGTGCATTGGTGCTGTGCGAAATGTTATGTGACATACACAAGGTGTATCGTGCATGGACTGAAACGACAGGAAAAACATATGCGTACTCCGTCGTGTCCGATGTAAACAATCGGATTGTTTGGTCTTTTCTTGCAAACGAAGTAGGTTGGTTTCCTTTCAACTAGATGTTTGAAATAGGATAAGTAAACAATCCAAAACAAGAAAACTTTGTGGATTTCAGGATGCAGTGCCCCTTTAAACCAACTGGTTCTTCAGAACCACACAACTCACAGAGATATCATTCACATGTTTGACCCCAAACCTCCCATTCACTGATCATGTCCGCCATGCAAGTCTCGTTTTAATTTTTGTAAGGACTCTGTGCAACATTGTCTATTGTGGATGGTTACGACTGGATTTTTATATGTAAAAATATATGTACATGTGAAGTGCATGCTGGTGTTTGTAATCGGCCAAAAGTTATGTACATGTACAATGTACAGTAAAACAGGGTGCAATTTCAATGAACAGCTCAGCTGAATTTTTTTTCACGTTAGAAAAATGGTACAAATGTAGTTCTTTTTCTTAATTGGTTATTACTCTTTTTTGTAGGGGGGGGGGGAAGGCATTGCCTTGATTTCTCTTTCATATTAGTCTTGTGTGCTTCATTGAAGATAAAACTGTATACAATGTAGCTGTTTTATTGTATCCATGAATATAAGAGTGTATATACTTGTAAGCAAATTGACTGCATTTGTGGCAACATTTGAAATTTGACTCTCTTTTGCTATGATCCAAGAATGATTAATGGAATGTAAGCCTGTCTGCTACTTTACAACTGAATAGTGAGCAGACACTACTGTTAACAACACTACATGGGGATGCCCATCTCTTAAAGGGAATGTACACATGTACAACATTTGCTTTTGCTGTAATTTTCAGAAATAAATGGATTCGGAGGATTTGTACGTTATAGCAAATATTGTTAAACTGACTTGTTTCACGTTTGGGGCTTGTAAATGCTGGGGGAAAAAAAGAAAAACAAACATGTTCGTGTAGTCTGGTTCCCTGACCCCACTTAAGATGAAACAGAGAAATTTATAGACTTTGGGGAATTGTAAGATCAGAGAATCAGTCTGGCAGGCTTGTACCTCTTCACAGGTGTGTAATCAATTGCAAAGAAATTCGGATCAACTGTTATGAAAAATTCGGAGCGATTTTTGTGAAAAAAAAGCCAGTTTTCTCCAACGCTGGTCGACCGACCAGCATTGGAAAAATACAAATTTCCTTGAAAATTTCAGCACACCAGGAGACACAATTTTACAGGATGCTTTAGACTGCCATTCTCTTACAATTCAGTAAGGTATTTCGTGATAATTTGATCATTTTGTTTTTTGATGTTTGCAAATGTATCTTCCCTTTAAACACTGAGGATGTGTATTTTGCCATTTTAGGAAAATTATTGCATCAACCGGGGTTGAAATTTATCGGGCTTATGACTGGTCACACAAAATATCGCGCCAGGGGCGGATCCAGAAATGTTTGCGGGGGGGGGGGGGGGGGGGGGTCATCAGCAAACTTGTTTGTAAAATTAATGTAGACAGGTTTTTTCTTCACGACACTTGGCTTCCAAAAATCAACAGGTGGTTGGGGGTAGTACCAGACTTCCAATGGGGCGCTGTTCAAATCTGAGGATTGTTAACACTATATTACAGAATATATAGTGTGCAAATACCCCCCCCCCCCGCATTGCGCCTCTTCCTCAAAATTGATCAGAAATTAGTGCCTTCATTGCACAGAGCATAGTGATTTTCAGCCAACAGTGAAATGAAAACAATTGTGTGCCAAACAGGGAAGTTGGTTGCTATACACACGTACCGGTAGTCAATAATTGTTCGGTATACTCGTAGTAGTTTTCAAGTGGCATTCTACTGAACTGTACATGTGAACTCATGGGCAATTCCATGATTTATTTTTCTTAATTAACCCCGTCGGCCCCGGCCCGAGTCCCCCAGTTTTAATACAATTTTGTCACACACCATGGAAATGGAATATATTGATTAAATATTACTTTGTAGGTGTCATCCATCATTGTGAGTTATTGCATAATTTGGTCCAGTATGAAATATTCCTGTGCAGACACATTCATAGTAAATTTTGACTGGGGGATGACCTCCATCTAATATATGCAAATGATCTCCTTGAAATTCGTTACGACATGTCCCTGAATAATTACTTGGACAGCCCCGCCCCCTTTCACAGGTTGTCTCCGTATAAATTAATACAAAGTGTTCTCAAGTTATCGTTCGGAAATCGAGTGTATTGTTTTCCCCCATAAATGTTGACTTTAAATCGGATTGTATATTTGTCACGGTGAACACACCAGATTGTTCGGGTTATAATACTCTTATTGTTTAACAATTGTTCTCTACAATGAACAGACTTGAGTTACATATCACAAACAAATAACCAGACCGAAATTCAACTCAATATGTTAACATTTTCTGAAGTTATCGTTCGGAAATGAAGGTATTGTTTTTCCCCCAAAAAAGTTGACTTTCGTTCGGATTGTATATTTTTCGCGATGAACACACTGGATTGTTCAGTTAATAATACATTTATTGTTTGATAACTTCTCTCAACAATCAACAGACTTGTGTCATAAATCACAAACAAATAACCAATTCAAATCTCAACTCAATACATCAAAGTTTTCTCAAGTTATCGTTCGGAAATCGAGTGTATTGTTTTTCCCCATAAATGTTGACTTTCAATCGGATTGTATATTTGTCGCGGTGAACACACTGGATTGTTTGGGGTATAATACTTTTATTGTTTGATACTTTCTCTCAACAATCAACAGACTTGTGTTATATATCACAAACAAATAACCGGACCAATTTCAACTCAATGCGTCAAATTTTTCTCAAATTATCGTTCGGAAATCGAGTGAATTGTTTTTCCCATAAATGTTGACTTCATTCGGATTGTATTTTTCGCGGTGAACACATTATTGTTGGGCTATAATGATCCTATTGTTGGATAATTTCTCTCAACAATCAACAGACTTGTATCATATATCACAAATAACCAGACTATATTTCTTTTCCTCAAAAAAGTTGACTTTCGTTCGGATGGTATATTTCTCGCGGTGAACATACTGGATTGTTAATATTATAATACACATTGTTTAGTAATTTCTCTCAACAATAGACAGACTTGTGCTATATATCACAAACAAATAACCAGACCGAAATTCAACTCAATACATCAAAGTTTTATCAAGTTATCCGGAAAACGAGTGTGTTGTTTTTCCCCATAAAACTTGACTTTCAGTCGGATTGTATTTTCCGTGGTGAACATACTTGATTGTTCGGGTTGAAATACTCTTATTGTTTGATGATTTCTCTCAACAGTTAACAAACTTGTGTAACATTTCACAAACAAACAACCAGGCCGAAATTCAACTCAATACAACAACATTTTCTCAAGTTATCGTTCGGAAAACGAGTGTATTGTTTTTTTCCCACAATAAATGTTGACTTTTATTTTGATTGTATTTTTCGCAGTGAACACACTGGATTCTTCGGGCTATAATACTTTTATTATTGGACAATTTCTCTCAACAATCAAGAGCCTTGTGTTATATGTCAAAAACAAATAACCAGATCAAATTTCAACTCACTACATCAAAGTTTTCTTAAGTTATCGTTCGGAAAACAAATGTATAGGGTTTTCCCCATAAATGTTGACTTTCATTCGGATTGTATTTTTTCGCGGTAAACACACTGGATTGTTCGGTTTGTAATACTCTTATTGTTTGACAATTTCTCTCAGTCAACAATCAATAGACTTGTGTCATATATCACAAGGAAATAACCAGACCAATTTTCAACTCAATGCGTCAACAATTTCTCTAGTATCTAGATTAGGCCAAAAAAAAAAGTCTCCGGTTTCTGGTATGGAGCTTGCCCAAAAAGTGGTGCGGTGACGCGGCTTTTTTTTTTTTTTTACCTGATTTTTTTGCTTCAAATGTCGGCTGATGACTGCAAATGGTGCCCGACTAAACTTAGTGCAAATATATGGGAGTCCAGAGAGGCCACATAAAGCTTATTCTCGACCACAACCCAATCTAAAAACACGTTAAAATTGTGCAGCAGCAGAATTCCAGTCAAACCAGTGAGTTTGGCGGTTTTGAGACATCATCTTTCATTGAAAAAAAAAACTTTTTCATTTTGCCGACGCGCATGGCTACGGCGACGCGCGCGCATACCAGAAACCGGAGACTTTTTTTTTTGGCCTTATCGGCGTCTATATATTTTAGGGGGAAGGGGGAGACGAGGGCCCGTATTGAAATCGTTATCAAATTCTTTAAGGGAGGGCGCGCCACATAAACAATGCTAGCCGTGTGCTGACATCTGACCATTCGTGATGTAAGGTTAGGCCTATTGTTAAGACGAAATTTCAAGATAAACGCCTTGCATTAAAAGAAATCTCTTCCAATATTTTGCTACTCAGCGGTACAGCCGCTGGGGACGAGCGTTATTGATCGCCCCTAGAGGTACACCCGCTAGGGGCGACCGTTATAGCGCCCCCAGCGGTACAGCCGCTAGGGGCGACCGTTATAATCGCCTCCAGCGGTACAGCCGCTAGGGGCGACCATTATAATCGTCCCCAGCGGTACAGCCGCTAGGGGCGACCGTTATATCGCCCCCAGCGGTACAGCCGCTAGGGGCGACCGTTATAATCGCCTCCAGCGGTACAGCCGCTAGGGGCGACCATTATAATCGCCCCCAGCGGTACAGCCGCTAGGGGCGACCGTTATATCGCCCCCAGCGGTACAGCCGCTAGGGGCGACCGTTTTAATCGCCTCCAGCGGTACAGCCGCTAGGGGCGACCATTATAATCGCCTCCAGCGGTACAGACGCTAGGGGCGACCGTTATTGATCGCCCCTAGAGGTACAGCCGCTAGGGGCGACCGTTATATCGCCCCCAGCGGTACAGCCGCTAGGGGCGACCGTTATAATCGCCCCCAGCGGTACAGCCGCTAGGGGCGACCGTTATATCGCCCCCAGCGGTACAGCCGCTAGGGGCGACCGTTATAATCGCCCCCAGCGGTACAGCCGCTAGGGGCGACCGTTATATCGCCCCCAGCGGTACAGCCGCTAGGGGCGACCGTTATAATCGCCTCCAGCGGTACAGCCGCTAGGGGCGACCATTATAATCGCCTCCAGCGGTACAGACGCTAGGCGCGACCGTTATTGATCGCCCCTAGAGGTACAGCCGCTAGGGGCGACCGTTATATCGCCCCCAGCGGTACAGCCGCTAGGGGCGACCGTTATAATCGCCTCCAGCGGTACAGCCGCTAGGGACGACCATTATAATCGCCTCCAGCGGTACAGACGCTAGGGGCGACCGTTATTGATCGCCCCTAGAGGTACAGCCGCTAGGGGCGACCGTTATATCGCCCCCAGCGGTACAGCCGCTAGGGGCGACCGTTATAATCGCCTCCAGCGGTACAGCCGCTAGGGGCGACCGTTATAATCGCCTCCAGCGGTACAGCCGCTAGGGGCGACCGTTATAATCGCCCCCAGCGGTACAGCCGCTAGGGGCGACCGTTATAATCGCCCCCAGCGGTACAGCCGCTGGGGGCGACCGTCATTGGTCGCCCCTAGAGGTACAGCCGACCGTTATATCGCCCCGAGCGGTACAGCCGCTAGGGGCGACCGTTATTGGTAGCCCCTAGAGGTACAGCTTCTAGGGGCGACCGTTATATATCGCCACTAGCGGTACAGCCGCTGGGGGCGATATATAACGGTATCAGTACCTCTACGGACGACCATTATTGTCGCCTCTGGAGGTATTTTACGTCATGAGTACCTCTAGGGGCGGCCATTATTTCACGAACGGTCGCCTCTACAGGTATCAGTACCTCTACGGACGACCATTTTACGGTCG